TTTATATAAGTTAATTTAATATAAAAATCTAGCTTATTAATATTAAAATTTAGTTATATAAACACAAAGTTTATATATATAAAGTTAAAGTTAATATTAATAATATTAGCGCTTAAAAAAGCCTGTAAAGTATTAGGTAAAGGTATTAATAAAAAACCTTAAGTTAATCTTTAAGCTAACTATTATAAAATACTAGTAGTAGTATTTTTTACTTATATAATATTTATAAAGGCAGAGGCGCCGTGGCCTTTTTTACCTTTTTTTTTATAGTATTTAAATCTACTACCACGGCCTTAATAGGCGCTAGTGTTAGTATTAATACCTTTAAAGTTATTATTTTTATTTTATAACTAGGTATTTGCTAGATTTTTAATATAGGTAAAAAAAATAACTACTATATAACTAGTAGTATATATATTATATAATACTATAATTTTTAACAAGGATAAAGCTACTATAACTAGGGCGGCTAGTAATATTAGTAATATATTAAATAGTTTTAAATATTTATATTTAATTAAGTTTAAATTACAGGAATAGTAAATAAATATTATTAATATTTTAATAAAATATTATATATAGTTAAGTAATAAAGGGTTATATATTATATAAGCCTAAAATTATTATAATAAAAAAATATTATATAGCCTATTAATTAAGGGTCTAAATAATTATTAACTTAATAATAATATTTTTAAACTTTATAAAAAACTATTTTAATTACTAGCTAGTATATTTTATTATATTAAGTATTTATTAACTTTTTTAAAAAAAACTAGTACTAAATAAGTTATATAGCTTTTATAAGTAATAAAAGGCTTAAATAATATTTTAAAGGCTGGAAATTTAGTTTATATATTATATATAAAGTATTAATTATAAAAATAATAATAAAAAAAAATTATATTATATCCAGCGCCCTTACTTTACTTTTATTTTAATATTTTAAAAAGTTTAAATACTAATTTAATTTTTAATAATAAGCTTAGTAACTTAATTTTAAGCTATATTATTTTTATTAATATATTTTATAATAATAATAGCTTGCTTTAGCAAATACTTATAAAAAAAAACTTTTTTAATAATAATAAGCTAAAAATAAGGCAGTTTAAATTAAAGTATAATTTTAAAAAATTTATATTATAAATAATAATTTTTTTAATTATTAAGCCGTGTAATAACTTTATAAAAATTAAAAATAATAATAATAATATTAATTATATTATAAATAAATTTTTACACGGCCTTAATATATAAGGGTAATATAAAAGTTATATAAAGTAAGTAATTAAAAAATTTTTATTAAATAATTAAAAATCCTAATACCGCACGAAAATATTTTTAACTTAATAAATATTTAAAGTAAATAAATTTTTAAAAAAGGTAGTAATAAAAAAGTAGTTATATATAAGTAAATATAATATTTTAATAAAAAAAGCTACCTAGGGCACATAACCTTTTAAAAATAAAAGCTTAAAAATAGTATCTAGCTAGGCTATAATAGTAAAGCTATACTTGGTATGGCTGACTAAGCTAATAGGCGAGGGCTACAGTGGGGCGAGCAGTATACTACGCTCCGACAGCATCGATGCTGCAAGAATAGCTGTGTATGCAACAAAAGGGACTAATGCTGGAGTAGGCCATCGTAACGTGCGTGATGACTGAGCCCAGCACTTTCAATAGAGTCCTGCTCTATGGAAGAATAGCACTGGACCACAACATGCGCCCGCTTCGTCGAAGAAAGGTAGCAACATTGCCAACCAGTTAGAAATATCCCTGAGAGTCATTTTTCGGTTGGCGGGGCGCAAAAGCGCCCATATTCAAAAGCCCTTTACCTATTGCAGACGAACATATTTCTGAAGCGGACGGCGGACCGGGCGGGGTGTGACAAGGATTCCGCTGACATGAACGCGAGGAAGCTCTTATGAGCATTCAATCCATGATCGGAAACTTCTAAACGCCAGAAGAAATATTGACTTTTTAGCAACCGGTGAGGCAAGAGAGCGGTTCTGAAGTGACCTGGATAGGGCCTATGTTGGAAGAAATTGTTCTATTCAGTCGGAAATATTGTTAGAAGCAACGTATAATCCCTATCAGTCAAGATACTGTTCGCCGGAGCAGCAGAACGTACAAACAAATGCAGTATCACAAACAGGCTTGCCTTCAGAGCATGGGCGTGGTATGATCAAGCTGAAAAGCTCGGTCGACAAACAAAAATTCGTGGAAGTGGCGGAGACGCCTGTGACCACTGGAGGCTCAGTGCGGAAGTTTTTCCCGACAAAAATTGAACATGCTTATTGGCGCGGGGACCATCTGGAAAACCTGCCGCAAAGCATGCTGTGGAACATGCTATGGAACACGCTTGAAGTTCTCTGTTCAGATAGTTCGACGAGGCCTAACGTTGTTGCCCCGAAACTATCAGATGGTGCTTCAAGAAATGAATTCTCAGCTGGGTGAGCCTTTGGAGTTCCATAATTCTATGAACTTCCATCTCGGGTTTGCAGTAAGGGGACACTGGCCCGTGAGAAAGCTGCTATTCGTCTCTTTCACCCAATCAGGTTAAAGGTAAAGCCGGCGCAAGATATACTTTCGGGAGCCGGCAAGAAACATACCAAACAGGGTCTAAAACGCGAAGAACTGATGAAGAACTGAGGTCAAAGACCAATTGGCTTTGCGTCGGTACGATTAGGATATGCTGCCCGGATGCAAGTTCCAGAAGCCGCTGCCCGGTAACAGCCCAATAAATGTTGACCGAAAGAATCTGCCACCTCTGCCCATGCGGCTACAGGCTGTTCCAGCCAGCCAGAAGATTTTGTCTAGACTTTCGTATTTTCGAGGATGTCGTGCCACAGGGCAACGGCCTGGAAGTGGGGAAACTTTGTCGTACAGTGTAACAAACACTAAACGTCATTGGAATGAGGGGATGCCATACCCTGCATTGTTGATCACCGTTGAATTGAGAACGAGACTTACATCGTCGGCAAGGCTCAACAGTTTCCGCCCGGATTGCAACCGGGAGGTCAGAGAACTGTAACCGTGCAACCAGTGGGAATGAATAGTAAACGGGCGCATAGAAAGTACGAAGCGCCTTGCCCGTGCCGCTTGATTTGAGCGTCCAGGGTGTCACAATGAGTCGGTCGCGCCCAATTCCAATCAACAGCCACGACCCGGATTAGGTGAATGGTGAGGCTGCTTGCAGTTCGCACGGAACTGATATCTCCGGACTTGGACTTTGCTTGTGTCACATAGGTAGGTAGTCCACTGGCGCCACAAATTTCAGTGCCCGCCAATCAAACAAGCAGACGCTGGATCTTGTACCTGCCACGGCGTCCAAGGAACCTCATCAAGTGCCTGTAGCAGCTGAGAATATGTGAGCATTACACCGGACACCGAATGCCAATAACGTGAAATACTACTTTGCATGAGCAAATTGCCAAGGCAAATTCCTTGATGTGTCGTCAAAGCGTAATCCATCAACGCTTGACCGACGAAGATCCTAGCGCTAGGGATTGCGGAGTAGGACGGGGCACAGAGATCGTTCGGCTTCTCGCCCGCTTACTTGAAGCATGGCCCTCTGAAGCCTCGAACAATCCCTGCAAATAGCGGTGTATTTAAAAGGCGGAGAATATCTCGACTGTCCCGATCAGACAGGAAAGGATAGAGCTGATGTCATGCCGTGGAATTTCCATTGTGTTCTGCGCCGTTGCGAGGAATGACGAGCTCGGTGCCTGGTCTGGCGATGTTTGTTCAAGGTGATTGGAGGGCGATAGCGATTTGTGATGCACCGGATCTGAGGCTGTCAGGCTGTCACAAGAATTGCTTCTTTTTTGTCTGGCGAGGAAATCGAGGGGATGATCATACGACCTTTGCAGCAAACAGTTGTCTGTTGTTGGGTCTGCGCTCCAGGCGGCTAATGATCGGAAACCGATAATTTGGAATATGCTCGACGGTAGCAGCAGTGCTGGGACTCTGGATCACGGCCCGTCGAAGCCGTCGGTATCGGATGCAGGGAGGGGATGCTCAAGTGGGGGTTGGATGAAGATCATCAGGCGTGTCATTGAGGAAAAAGCAAAGAAGAATTGGCGTTCCCAACGGGGCGGGAAAGCGGCGGTAGGTAAGCCAAGCCACCTCTCGTCCTGCTCCACCCTCCCACCCTCCTTCCCATCTGAACACATCCACTTCCTACGCCAGATCGTCGTCCGATTGACTCCTGTCATCCTCCATGACTCAGTCTCTCTTTGTTGTTTCCACCATCGCTACCCAACTCTTACCTGTCGTCCAGCGTCCAATACGGAGTACGTGCAAGGTCCAATCCGTACAAAGCTTCGGAGCCACCCGCGGCCTAGATTGTGAGATCGCGGCGACCAATAGAGCTTCAACCCGCGGTTCCGACAGCCGTCACTGGGCTTAGGAGCTCCATCATGGGGCATACGTGTTCATGCTGCGGCACCGGATATCCTACCCGCGCCTCGAGAATGAACCCCGCCAATCGTGTGGCACAGTGATCAACGTCTGATGACCGACCTGGCTCGAATGTCAATTATCTCTCTAGCGCATGACGCTGCAGAAGGCTTAGCCTGCTGTTGCCCTGGATAAATCCGATCTATACACCGCGTATCATGGAGATTTGGTCCTTGCGGTTGGTATTTGATTGACCAAAAGGTAGCCCATCTTGGTAGGCACACGACGCGTCGAGGGGATGCACTTCTTGCTTTTGATTCCTTGGTCACACTGGGCTATTGTTCGTTTGATCATTGCCAGCGATGACTACTGCCCTGTTATATAAAGCTGGGTGTGTTTTCCCTTTTTTTGAAGGCTCTCAGGTAACATCATTTCCAACGTTGAATCCTGCCTAACTCCACGCAACACCCTTTCGCACCCTTGGCAACATTTGCGTCTGTGCTGCCTATAGAGAATCGTCTACTTGGCACTGTTTACTACCTCTGCTTAGAGGCATACCACCGCGCGTCAAACGCATACAGGCCATCTACCTTCAAACAATGGACCAGAGCAGTACTGCCAACGTGCAGACCACGGCTAGCAAGCTTTCGAGTCGAAGCCTTGCTGAATACCAAGCCGAATTGATATGGATGCACAACAGGACCATCCGCCAACTCAAAGAAGCCAAAGGTATTTTTGGTTCCCCGTTCTCGATTCCACAAAGTGTACTAACTTGCTTGCACAGAAAAGGAGAAGTGCGAGGCAGAGCTGAGATCACAACAATCATCTCAGAAACCTCAAAATTAGCGGAGAACAGGATGTGCGATACTCAAGTGGATTCATACATGCATCGTGGGCTTGATTATGACATGGGCGTTTCTTTTCCTTGGTTACGGCTCGGATTTCTAGTTTGTGGCTGACCCTGACGAGCTGGGGTTAATTGGGCACTCGGAGTTATATGATATCCGCCTGTTATATGAGTATTGGGCTTCTTTTGGTTCAGCGAATAAAATGGTTCCATTTGCTCCAGGTAGTTGCGTTGTAGATCTGAGGTGATCTATCGCACCTTCCACCGTGGTAGAAACTCAATCCTTCTATCAGGCAAGCTGCAGGGCTGTATTCCGTATGTCTCCAAACCCCTTTTTATCGTGGTGATGTGATCTAATACAGTTCTCACAGATCCGACAGGTTCATAAGCCATGGCGGTTAAGGCAAAAGCAATCCTGGAAGGAGTCAGCTGCAGAACTTTTATGCCTGTCCACTGGCCCCTGCATGGCAACTATCGTTTCACCGGCCCTTACTCAAATAGTGTGGAGTTTCCCTAGCTATCTGCCTTGCTTCGGTTTGAGCTTGACTTCATAGCCATAGGATATACGGAGTACAGTTGACATTAACTGTTCTATGCGGTCCTAGAGACTCTGAGACTGCCATCGCTAACTTGAGACCTGGCAAAAGTCACTGATAATTCTTCACGTCATAGTATCTATCTGGTCCTATCTACATGGAAAAAAGCAAATCCTGCGCAGAAAAGCAATCATGAAGCCTCACTTTCCCGGATCTCATGACTGGTTCATGCGCTCAAGTAGACAAGGCATCGGACCAGCTGTCACCCACTCGCGCGATATACATCGGACTCCACGTGGAAGCTAGGGGCTCCCTGTCACTACGCCACTGTTCGCTACTGCACTCTCCATGTACCCTTTCCAGCACCTCGATGAGCCCGATAGCTGACCCTTCTCATACGCGGATAGAATCTCCGCGGACCCACGAGGTCTTTGGTTCCGATATTCCAGCCCCATTATGCAAGATGCAAGGCGTTGGAGGCTGTCGCGGCTTCACATCAAGTATTGCAAAATACGATGGTTCGCGCGAGTTCGATCGATAATTGGACACTGTTGATTTGGCGATCTAGGTCATTAGTTGTGGATACGACCCCTGATAGCCGTCCTTAATTTCCACGACCCCAGCAATGATCAGAGCCCGGCAGGTCAATACACGATCCTACAGGAAGCATTGAACAGGTTTTCCTCATAGCCTAGCACATCTCCGTGCCAAATTCACGGGATACGACGGTACCGAGTAGTTGGGCTTGATTGACCCTTTCCGGGCTTGTAAGCCTCACTTCCACATGAACGCCCAGCTTCCATGCATGCTTTATCTGGATGTTACTGCATCATGCGGCAAGGGTTGTATATTGCCCTTACCAATTCGGACCGTGGAAGCGACCAATAACCTGATTTTCTTGAACCCAGTATATGCACCTGCAGGCCGGAGACAGGCCGTTTCTTTCAGTCCTACCAGCACATCTTATTATGCATCTCAGGAACCTACGAGACTCACCGCTAATTGACACTTGATGAACAGGATGCCTTACGCGTCATTGATTCAGGGACTGATAATGGTGCTTCTTGAACAATCAGAACGCAGATTGCTGCGATTGGCTCACTCAACCATCTAGAAAAGCAATAGTCAGATCTGTCAATGAAGTGCACATATTTGGTAAACAGCGGCTTCCATTAAACTCTGAGTGATTATATGTGTTATGCAAGACTCCAATCCTTCCAGATGCGTCTAGAGAATCGTCGCCCCTTGCGCAATTGCGTCTCACAGCCTAAAAATGCGTCCCGAGTAGCTCAGTTTACCTGCAGCTAGTCCTTGTTAGAGCTGCCCTGATCGACACTGCCTGACCTTTTACCGGTTATGATAAGCGAAAGGAGGAGTATTTGCATTTGATAGGGTTATCGACTGCACAGTATTAGAGCAAGTTTGGTAGTAGCGAGGAAATAAGCACCCGAGAGTTGTTAAACTAAGACCTAAACCAAGGTTATAGATATTAAAAATGCTACAAGCAAGCCCTGTCGCGATCAAGAGATGGTCAAACCTAGGGTTATCAGGGAATGCAGGTGCTGCGCCTGATCGTTCACTATTTGTCCGAGGTAGCCCTAGCATTGCTAGTAGCTTCATGCCGATAATCTATAGTGCTCTCAGAGCACTTGTCTCAAAACCAATTATATCAAATTGCCTTCAAATCTATATAATACACCGCAATCCAGATCTATCAAGTCGCACCTCAATAATACGTATATATATAGACCTGTGCAGCGACCCGCCGATCCCGCCATCCCGCTGTTGCAGGAATAATAGAGTGTGGCTCTAGCGCCCCAGGCTCGCTGCAGCCTAATACACAATGAGTATTCGCCTGGATCCTTTTTCCGGAAGGAAATGCTAATTCCACAGGCGATGTGATGTCCCGACGGCCGCTATCACCACGCTCGAGAGGCTACGGGTCACTAACTTTACACACTGCAACACGGCTGGCTCCAGGCAGCAATGATTCATGCGTCATTTCTTGGAAGGAGGTTGTGGTGCTACGATGACTCGTGATGTTCTTGTTCTAGGCATCAGCTTCTGGGCACATGCACTCTGTTCGAGGTACGAGCTTGAAGGTACTTGATTAGCGATTGACAAGGAATAGTCGTTGTAGTATAGATGAACTGATGGTGATAATATATAGTCCCTTAGGAGTCCACAAGCAATGGACGATGATCTATTTCTCATCATTGCAAAGTGCCTAGATTGTATAGTTCATACGCAACGTATAAAGCTGGTTAGGCTTGATCCTTAACAAGGAGCAAGAATACATATCTGGCTTATCATCACAGATAATTAGCATACATGCTATAATCTATCCCAGAATATCACAAGAGGGGCCAAGGAGTCCGATATAATACAGTGATTTTATTTTTTGTGCGAGGCGCGAGAGACCAGGCTATGAAGTGAGATGGACAGCAGACCTGGTCCAACGGAGTCAATGCCAGTCCATTCGAGCGTCGGTGGAGGCCGTACACGTTCGATGTATGGAGCCAAGGGTGCTTTTGTTTCAGGTCTGGAGTATAGGCAGGGTCGTAAGCTATAAGTACTTTTTAAAGTTCTGCCTAACAGCCAGAAGACAGCAGAGGCGTCTATATGTCACTAAGCGATATGGCATATGACTTTGTGGGTAATCAAGTCAACCACAGAAGGGTCACGTTGATAGCATTGTATAATAGCCGGTGAGCATATATATGTAAATATATATATTTCATACCATAGCGAAGGCATCTGCGCCTGGCGAGCCTATCTCCGTGACCTCGGGAGGTAACTGCGTCAAGCCTGGATTGAGTCACCGTCAGGTCCGAATCAAAGAGCTTTGATGATAAGAATAACGGAGTTAAGAGAGTTGTAACTTGTGTTCGGACTCGGCATATACGGAGTCTGGGGACGGAGCGGAGCGGATGAAAGACCATCCGGGGAATTCGCCTACCTAAAGGCTGGAAGCTCCAAAGTCGGTCAAACAGCCTGAAACAACCGCCACGTGAGTGCCATGCTGCCTGATGTCATCAACCAGCATCACAATACGAGATGCTGGCTGTGATCAGGCGACTGTGTTTTCGAGTACCTATAGTCCAGACCGTCCAGTCCTCAAACCAGAGTCATCGAAAAGAGCCTCGGCTGAGATCACGGATCGTCGTGAATTCCCCGCTAATTGTGGCCGGAGACGACTGGGCCACTAGGAATAATGCCCGGGAGGCTGGAGCGTCTTGGTTCCATACAGAGGGCCCGGAGTGAAATCATCGCCTCGACCGTGGTTTGTCGTCCCTCGGATAGAATGTTCAGCCGTTGAGGCACGTCACAGCCTGCTTTTAAAGGGTTCCAACTCCATCCTAGCCACAACAAGGAGCGAGACTGTCTAACACAATTAAATATGGCACTCCTCGATCTGCTCGAAACATACCGACAGCCTCTCGCCCTCGTGGCCGGCCTCTCGCTTGTGTTCTACCTTCTCTCACGCCTTCACCAACAATGGCGGCAACACCGGTTTGCGAAAGAAAACGGCTGTGAACCTGTTGTTGGGAAAATACGCAATTACGATCCCTTCTTTGCGCTCGACAGGCTCTATTTTCTGGGCAAGGCGGCCAAGGAACGCAAATTGCTGGAGAACAATATCAAACGGTTCAAGGATTATGGCAACACCCACCGAGGCCAGCGCATCACCACCCCCATGCTCGTGACGTGCGATCCGCAAAACATCAAGACTTTCCTGTCGCTCAAATTCAACGACTACAGCATGGGCGACCGAATCCAGATTTTCGGTCCGCTCTTGGGCCACGGCATCTTCACTAGCGACGGCGAGGACTGGGCTCGCTCTCGCCATATGATCCGGCCAAACTTTGTCAAAGAGCAGGTCGCACACCTTGAAATCTTCGAAGAAATGATGGACGACCTCTTTGCGCTCATACCCGCCGACGGCAGCACTGTTGATCTGCAGGAGCTGTTTTTCGGCTACACCATCGACTCTGCGACTGAATTCTTGTGTGGTCATAATGTTCACAGCTTAAAGAAACGTCGATCTGGGGTTGTGGATGGGGAGCCTGACTTTGCTGAAGCCTTCAACTATTCACTTGACAACATTTCAAAGAACGGGCGGTACGGCCCTCTGATGTTTCTTAACCAACACCCGAAAGCCGTGGAATCGCATCGTGTCTGCCAGAAGACCATGGACCAATTTGTCGACAAGGCTATTAAATTGCGAGAAAATGCTGGCAATGAGAAGGTGGTCGACGAGACCGCAGAACGTCGATACATGTTCCTGTACGGATTGGCACAACAGACGGGCGATCGCAGACGGATCCGAGATGAAGTCTTGAATATCTTGTTAGCCGGTCGCGATACGACGGCTTCGCTTTTGAGTAACATGTTCTTCCTGCTGGCAAAGCACCCGGAGACCTGGGCCAAATTGCAAGAAGAGGTCGCGACACTAGAAGGACGTGCTCCGACTTACGACCAGCTGCGGAACATGAAGTATCTCAAGTACTGTCTGAACGAAAGTAAGTTTAAGCTTCCTCGGACAGTTTGTCTTTGTCAACTAACCTTTTAGCTCTCCGTCTCTACCCCGTTGTTCCTGTCAACTCACGGACTGCCATCAAAGATACTGTCCTTCCTGTAGGTGGCGGCCCCGACGGTCAGTCGCCTGTTTTTGTCGCCAAGGGCACCGCAGTTGCATACAGCGTCTACGCCATGCATCGCCGCGAAGACTTCTACGGCCCCGACGCGGAGGAGTTCCGGCCCGAGCGATGGATCGATCTACGGCCCGGCTGGGAGTATCTGCCGTTTAATGGAGGACCTCGTATTTGCGTCGGGCAGCAGTATGCATTGACCGAAGCGGGATATGTCACGACGCGCCTAGCCCAGCGGTACTCAATCCTTGAGAGCCGTGACCCTGGCCCATGGGAGGAGAAATTGACGTTGACTTTGTGTTCCCACAATGGGACCCTAGTCAGTCTCCGACATTAGCGAGTCTTATCCCTGTCGAGACGGTGACAAACAAATCACTCAGCCCGGGTTTTCCTCTGCTTTTGTACATGGCGTGATACATCGGACCCAGACGGGCTGCAGATATGTCATTCCCCGCTATTATACAATTATGAATCATGACCACTTTACTCCATAATCTCCGTGAAGAAGATCTGCCAAGCTGTGTGAAGGACTGAATTTCTCCGGTGCGGAGAAGCGCTGTAATTTCTCCGTCTGCAGGGGTCTGCGATCGACAGCTCCTTCAGGCACACTCCAACAAATTATAAAAAGGCCCAGCCCGCCGAGTGTGCTTAACATCCAACCCAAGCACACAAAATGCGTGGATTGTCCATTGCCAAGTCGGCCCTCCTCCTGGCCACCGCGGCCAAGGCTGCCAACTACACAGAATGGCTGGCCCAATCGTTCTTCAGCAAAGGCGTCACCTATTCCCGGAACTACGCCTACGCCGTCCTCTACACGGGCGTCGAATACGCCTACAACAAAACCGGCGACCCAGCCTACTTCGACTACATCAAGACGCAAATCGACGGCGTGGTCAACGACGACGGCACGCTCGTCCAACCCATCACATCGACCCTCTCGCTCGACGACATCCGCATCGGCCGCAACCTCCTCTGGCTGTGGACCGAGACCGGCGACGAGAAGTACAAGATTGCGGCCGAGGGACTCCGCAAGCAGCTTGACTTCACGCCGCGCAATGCAGACGGCGGGTTCTGGCACCGCCGCCCGACGTACCCGAACCAGATGTGGCTGGACGGGCTGTACATGGCGTCGAACTTCTACGCGCAGTGGACGGCCTGGTTCCAGCCGCATAATACGACCGCGTGGGACGACATCATCCTGCAGTATGATCTCATTGAAGCGCATACCCGCGACAACGAGACCGGCCTGCTCTTCCACGGGTACGATGCCAGCGGCGTCGCTGTCTGGGCTGGTAAGCTCCCCTCCCGCCTGTTTGAGGTTAGCACTAACATCCCATCCTGCCTAGACCCCATCACTGGCGCCGCCCCGCACGTCTGGAGCCGCGCAGTAGGCTGGTACTTCGTCTCCCTCCTCGAGTTGCTCGAGTACTTCCCCAAGTCGCATCCGGGCTACAAGCGCACCGTCTCGCGCTACCAGAGCCTCGCCCGCGCCATCAAGAAAAGCCAGGACTCGTCCGGCGGGTGGTGGCTGATCCAGGACCCGCCATATCCCAGCGATCCCCGCAACTACATCGAGAGCAGCGCCAGCGCGATGTTCACGTACGCTTTGCTCCGCGGGATCAGGCAGGGGTTCATCCCGGCTAGGGAGTACAGGGGTGTTGCGTTGGATGGGTACAGCCTTCTTCGGGACGAGTTCGTCTCGCGGAATGCGAACGGCACGCTGAATTGGGAGGGGACGGTGCAGGTGGGGAGTTTGAGCGGGAATGGGTCGTTTGAGGTACGTTCTTTTTCGTTTTGGGTTGTGGAGTGGATTGGGCTGACTTGTTTACACAGTATTATGTTTCTGTGCCGGTTGTGCAGAATGATTATAAGGGTGCTGGGCCTTTTATCTACGCGAGTTACGAGATGGAGGCGTACTGAGAGGACGATGGATTTGATGAAGCCTGACGTAGATATCTATGCAGCCAAGGGACGTATTACTGTATAGTTCTGCCTTTTTGAATGGGTCATGAGATGACAAGACATAGTTAGCAACGAAGGCTGCACCATATTAGCTCACCAATTGTTGTACCCTGTAGACGGATGCAGAGAGAACAACTACAGTCTCGGTACCCAAGCGAGCACTCGATCATGGCGACGTCAGAAACAACAGAACAAACGAGCGGACCAACCGCGGCTGCGCCGTGTACCGTCCAGGATCCCATCAGACTCGGTCTCGAATTCGGTGATGTTAGTAGCTGCGCCAGAGGAGGTAGGCGTACCGGAAGGAGAGGCCGAAACGGAGGCAGAAGGGCCTGATATAATAAGCTTCGCTTTCACAGGAGTAATAGACACAGCAGTAGCTGTAGCAGTAGGTGTAGCAGTGGCTGTGATGGTAGTAGTAGATGCTGAACCGCCCAGGGTAACAAGCTTCGGAGTAACAGGTGTCAGAGTCATGGCAGTCGCAGTAGCGATCTCGATTGCAGTGGCAGCGGTATCAGCAGAGGATTCAGACCTGGTCTCGTCGTCGCCAGTGGCTTTGATGTTCATCTCTCCGTTTCCAAAGGCATCCTGTTCCTGATCCTGCCCGTTCTCGCCGTAGTAAGTCCATGCATTGACGATCGTCTTGCGATCCTCGCCGGTTAGGACGAGGGACTCGGCGGAGACCTTGCGGGACATTTTCGCTGCTTGAGAGCTTTAGCGTACGTTTGGTTGGAGATGTTAGAGATGACCTCAGGGTTCTTGGGATGAGAGGAATAGCCTGTTTTAGTTTGGTTGGATCGGCTCCAGTCTGGGGGTGCGGACAATGCGGATTTATACTCTCCTACCGATGCATCCTCAAGCAAGTAGACAGGGGCCGGTGAATAAGGCTGTGACAAAGAACTCTTCTATCTTCTTGTTTCAGGGTGAATGGGCCATGCGACATTCACAAAGGGGCTTGGGGCTCTGTCTGTCTCAGGGTATAAAGGTCTTTCACTTCACCCGTGTGCCTTGTGTGTACCTTGTTCAGCGTCCATTAAAAGGCATGACCCGCCTTTGCTCAGGCACTAATCATAGATTGAGCTTTCAAGACTATAATCCCCTTCCCTGCCTTATCGACCTCTTCACCCACGAGACTGCGGCAGGTTCAACCTTGGAAACATAAAATGACTTCGATTCCGCTGTGGACCGTTGCGCTTCTGCTGCCACCACTCCTGATCCTAGCACTTGTTCTAGTGCTCATACCTTTGTCGCCGCTGCTTCTATCTTTGATCCTTGCGAAGATACTTCTCGAAATGTAGGTTTGGTACTTCTGCTGCGCTGGCCCCTCACCTGCCGCCACGCCGCAGATTTACTTCCTAGAGCCTCTAAAGACAGTGGCTTAGTTGTGGACAGGGCAGACAATTTCGCTTATCTAGCAGGTTTAATATGATATATGTGCTTGCCCAGTATTTTCCTACTCAGTAATATACATCGTTGAGTGCATAGAGTTGGGCGTAGTTAGGGTTGAATCGGGCCGTGCCCTACCTAGCCCTGGTAAGTCCGGCTACCTGAGCAATGCATATGGACCAGTACTACCATAGTATAGCTAACATTATAGAATGAAACGGTGGTTGGCCCTTTCCCCAGATGTACTCTAACTCATCTTACAGGCTTCAGCTACGTGGAATCTACCAGACTCCCACCCTAGCGCTTTTGCCCAAGGCAAACGGACGTGCAAACAGGCGTTCTCCTGCCATCTCGCCTCTGCGAAGCAATTTCCGCACTTCCAAACCCTCAACTTTCAATGCCTATCTTCTCACTGAACCAATTACGGAAACAGCAACTAAACGATGAGTGCGTTCCACAAGGTCTGGAAGAAAGTTGACCGTCGGACGGACGACACCCAGCATGAGGCCAACACGAATCCCCCCGCCATCGTGCCTCCCCGCCAACCATCAATCAGCCAGTTATTCCCTAACAACCTGTTCAACGGCATGAGAACCCTGTATGAGCCAACCGACGCCAATATCGAGATTATCTTCCTGCACGGGTTGACTGGGCGCTCCGACCAAACGTTTCTCCATAAACTCACCGGAACATATTGGCCTGTGCATTTACTGGCGCAAGACCTCCCCAAAGCCAGAATCTCCGCTTTTGGCTACGATGCAGATGTTGTCAACATGTGGAATCCAGCGTCGCAGAACAACCTCCGCCACCATGCCACCAATTTGCTGAACGATCTAGCCCGGATCAGAAATCCCAACAGGCCCGGCCGCGTAAGTCCTCGCGTCAAGTTAGCACCGTTGAGCGCGACACTCTTACAAGCATTTCTTTCCTTCTAGTTCCCGGAAAAGATCCTTTTCGTGGCCCATAGCCTAGGCGGGCTTATCACCAAGAGAGCACTGGCCCTTTCGCAACACAGCCCGGTAGACTATCTACGGCAGATAGAGGAAGATACCTCCGGTATTCTATTTCTCGGGACGCCGCATCGCGGAGCCGACAGTGCGCGCTTCGCTCGAGCAGCGGCGAATATTGCCAAAATGTCGGGATGGCACGCAAACACTGATATCCTCGGCGTGCTAGAAAGACACTCGGAGGTCCTTGAAAGTGTGGGAGGCGATTTCATGGGCTGGGTGAATAACAAGCGTGGCAGGATCCAGCTGGCATGCTTCTACGAAGAGCTTCCAGTTGGGATGCCCGTGAATGCAAGGGTTGTTGAACCGGAATCGGCGAAGATTGCCGGATGGCTCGAACAGTCAATCCACGCCAACCATATGGTAAGGGGCTCCCCGTCTTCTCTGGCAGGCCTTGCTGATATGCCGTAGGACATGGCTCGGTTTTCCGGGCCCGATGACGAGGGCTACCAGCGTGTGGCTGATGTTCTCATCAGATGGGCACCGACCCCGGGCAACAGGGCTGGTAAGTCCATCATAATGCTTCTTGAGTCACCATGAGCTGAGTGATGTGAAGGGTAGACAGTATCGATTCTCCTTGCGTTAGACACGATGTTAAAAATGCACTGGTGGCCTGCTGTAACAAGCTAGGCCTTCGATTCGATGATCTTCTCAATGTTCCCAAGGACAAGAATCCCCCCTTCTTTCCAATCGACGAGGAGCCATTGGAATGGTTCATCAGTAGTCTAGAGTTCCAGGTTTGGCAGAGAGAAGATGGTCCCGCTTTACTCTGGCTCCATGGGCTTCCAAGCTCCGGGAAGACAGTAATCATGTCTTATGTTTTGGCGCGTCTTCCACGCTATCTTGGACATAAAAATAATTTTGACTCTGCTGCAGCATTCTGCAATTGTTATTATTCCGAGGAGCTGGTGGTCGCATCACTTGTCCTGCAACTGGCGGAGACCAGGAATGACGCTCAAGGTATCATGGCAACCGCGAAGCCCATGCCGCCATCGCCCACCCAGACGGACCTTGTTCAGTATCTATGGAGCCTGTTAACATGCATGATCACAGAAGCCCCGCTCCGTGAAACGATTCTCTTACTTGACGGCATCGACCACCTCAAACCCGATGTCCGAGCATCCTTTCTCCAGAACTTCCGAAGGCTTGAACGGCAGGCTCACTCCAGCGCTACAATCCGGGTCCTGTGCACTTCGAAGCCATATCCGGACCTCCAAGAGGCGCTGTCTCACTATGTGAGCATAGATCGAGAAAGGGAAAGAATGGGTAAGAAGGGAAATTGGAACATATGAGTAGACTCTCGCTAACAACGTCAATAGACTGCCTCAAAACGCTCTTCTTCCAGGAATGGAACGCGCGAGAGACCCGCATAGAAGCACCTGTGGAAGGGGGCAGTTGGCTGCCGGGCCACAAGAACTATCTGGGGTGGAAGGAGAGCCCGCGGTCTGATCTTTTGTGGATTGAGGGCAAGCCAGGAAGTGGGAAATCCACCCTAGCAAAGAAGATTGCTCGCAGGCTCCAGAACGAGCGCAACCTGTCCCGTTCAATCCCCAGCGATGCCTCAACCGTTCTAGATAACGGACGGGACTATCCGCCTGAAAACAGGCACCTCATTGCTGATTTCTACTACAGCTTCCGCGGAGGAATCCCTGAGACCAGCCACGAGCTCATGCTGCGTTCCATTGTTTATCAACTCTGGAGCCAGGACGAGAGGCTTTACGTGCTTCTTCGAGACCTCTATCGGGAACTGAAGGAGCAGCGAGGTGGCACCACAGGAAACGGATCAATCTGGCGTTATGACGATCTGAAGTCGGCTTTACGTTGCCTGCATCAGATTTGGGTCCCTCTTGAGGTCTTCATTATCGTGGATGGAATGGACGAATCTGGCAGTATGCAGCGCGACGATTTACTCCGGTTTCTGTACGCACTCTCCAGCGAGACAACCAAGTGTACCTTCAAGATACTGGTCGCCAGCAGGCCCGAGCCTGATATCAATACCGAATTGATGCGATGCCGCCACATCGTTCTGCAAGATGAGAACATGGGGGATGTTCGAGAGATAGTTGATCAGAAAATCAAAGCAATCAAGGACCTATGCATGGCCGGCGGAAGTGACAATGATCTATCACTATCCAGACAAGATCGATTCCAGGATGGACTTTCCATGATCGGAGAGTACATCATTGACAACTCGCAAGGGATCATTCTTTGGGTCTCGCTGGTCCTAAAGGACTTGGTTAGAGACGTCAACAAAGGGGCATTCACCGTGGCGTCTCTTGACAAACGAGTACGCCGGCTTCCGAAAGAGCTCGGTGGACCAAACGGCCTCTACCGAGAGATTATAGATTCCCTGGTGAGACACATCGAAGAAGCATCCCAAGACGACCAAGACCGCGAAGAAGACTTACAACAAGGACGAAGAATTCTTGCCTGGGTGACCTTTCCCAAGCGACCTATTTCAATCCGTGAACTTGGGGGTGTCCTTGCAACGCCCCCTATGTTGGATGACACGGAACTGACAACCTATGACCTTGACAGAAACGTACCAATGCAACTGGAAAAGGGAGTCCTTTCATACTGTGGTAACCTTGTTGAAGTAAGCCTCTTCGACCCCCGGGCCTTTCCCTGTATGGTCAAGCACTTACAAAGGGCCAGGTACGACCAGTTGCGAATGGCAAGATTGTACAACTCGTACATCAAACTACCAGAGACTTCCTGATAAGTCACAGGGAGCTCGCGAGCCCGTACGACCTTAGCGCCTCTGATGGAGACCTTGAAATTGCAAGCACATGCTGCAACCACTTGCGGATTGCGTTTACTCCAGCAAGTCTCCAACCTGACCCAAAGGGGGACTACTCGCAGGTTGACCAAGTGATTGAGGGCCTGGTTAATTGCGAACTCCTTCCGTATGCGCTGTCGAATCTAAGTTCGCATCTGGATCATCTCGAACAGAGGGACGAGAAGATACGTCAGGACTTTGAACTGTTCCTGGCAAGAGTCCAGTCTACTCCCACCTCCTGGCCTGCACTCCTTCTCAAGCAGTGGATCGCGTCACTAGGCTGGCCGCAGCTGCCATCAGAGGAAGCGTGGAGAGCCTCTAGCAAAGCTTGTATCCAGTCAGCATTAGTCTGGTCCTCGCGTGCTGGTAGACCCCGAGCTGTGGAGTTGCTTATCGCTCTGCAAGCCGAGGTGAATGGCAGTGATCCGCATGGGACATTCGCCCTCCAGGCCGCCTCCGCTTCTGGAAGTACAGATGTTGTGCAGGTCCTGTTGAAGAATAATGCGAATGTCAACGTCCATGGTGGCGAATACGGCACGGCCCTCCACGCTGCCTCCGCCCAAGGCCATAAGGACATTGTAAAACTGCTGCTGAACAATGGCGCTGATGTTAATGCCCAGGGCGGAGATTACGGCAATGCTCTACAGGCAGCCTGCAGTCAAGGCCATGAGGAAATTGTAAAAGCACTGATAGAGCAGGGTGCAGACATGTATGCCAAAGGGGGAATGTACAGCAACGCTTTTCAGGCTTCGTCGGGCAATGAGGATATTGTACAGCTGCTCTTAATCCATGATGCCGAGACAGGCCGTCCAGACGGCAACGCCAGATGACAGGCGCAATGCGATCTCGATGAATGCATTTCCAGTTTTGATCTATCACCAGTTGCAGTCATGATTGTTTCTGCTTGTAGACTCAGGAATTAAACTGTATCTGCTTGTACCCGTGTGCATAATCCTCATTCCCGAGATTCTCCTGCTTGTTGGAAACCCTCCCAGCCGCTGCTCAACCTGTGTTGGGAACTGTCTCGCAACAGCGCCATTTAATCACGAAGATGATGTGCGCGAGGCCAAAGCGCCAATTGGAACTTGCCCGAGCACCTGCGAGACCAAGCAGTCAACCTGAACCTCGGTACCACTCACGTAAATTCTCAAGACTATTAGTCCTACCGGACAAAGTTCCTGGTTGCTGTATAGGAGACGTGACTCGAGCCAAGCTGATGCTGCATGCATACAGGGTTCATGGGATGGTGATGAGATGCATGGGACTGCGTCCGTCGACGTACGTACACATCGCATCACATTACTAACTAAAGAAAGAGATGGAATAGAAATCACTAGATCCGCTGCGAAAAGGGGGAACATAGAATGAATTGAATGGTACGATCATTAGCGAATGACATGGAGGAGAGACATACGTTCCGGTGAAGAGAAAGTGCCTAGCGTTCAAAACAAAAGAAAAGGGAGACCTGCCTGCGGAGTTTGGAGTACTGTCTCTCAGTGCTCCGAGGGCTTAGAAGTAGAAGAGTCTGTGACAGGGGCAGCAGAGGCAGCAGAGGCAGCAGGATGAGCAGGAGCAACATCCTTAACATCACCATCTGCCTCAGATGTAGTGTTAGCCTTCGCCTTCCTCCTTACCAACTCCACAACCTCATGAAACATCAGGTTGCTACCTCGATAATCGTTGTACTCGCCAGAGTCCGAATAGTCACCTGCCAGATTTGCCATGATTGGTCTTCCAAACAGCCAGATAATATACCAGTTGAACTCCTTGGCCTGGCGCAGAGCTTCTTCTCTGCTATAAGTGGGTGGCTTGATATATGTTGTCTTGTTAAGACAAGAGGCCGTTTGGCTGTTTTCCCACAGAGCAAAGAGAAGGTCCTCTTTGTTGAGGTCGCCAATGTAGCATGCTTTGGGGGAGGACATTTTGCAGGGACCTGGATGGTTAGCACGGTGTAGAAGGATAGAAATTGTGTGATGGGAGCTGAGTAGTAGTGAGATGCCTAGAGAAGAAACATAGGGTTATTTATACTGCGTGGTCTCTTCGAGGTAGGTACCAAGCAACTATCATTGTTAGTGTTTTGATTGTGAAACCCGTGTAATACGTCTGGTGAAATATGGAAAATGCCTTCGATACTCTGAGTCTGGTACCATATACTCGTTCCTCTTTGCTTGGAACTACAAAGACACATAAAGGGCCTTTTAGGCCATCAGCGAGCACTGGCTTCAAAGAAAAAGAGAATGGCGACATACATAAAGAGAGCAGGCATTTCTTAGTCCCAGATATAAAGAAGTCTGTGACAATGCATGGACTGTACAATGAAATCAACCGCCCACAGTCAGCAGGCTGCCTCGACTCCTCCAAAACATGCAATACACCCTTCTTGCTTTCGTTCCACGTCTTCAAAAGTGAAGTCAAAATCGCGATAGCAGAGATAGCAGCAATCCTTTCTTAAGTAAACTTTTTACTGCAAGCATGCAGATGTATTGGGAGTGACCGCAATGCTATTATCAGCGTCAAATGAAGCATCAAAAGCAGGAAAGGTCTAGGCAACAGAATTATAGTTGCAGATGTAGTGCCTGCATGGCTATCTAAAAAGGCTGCTGCAAAGTCACTAGGTATATTACAATCGGTATATAAGAAGAATGACGGCTATCACTGCAAAGTAGTTAGAGGATTGGGGATTTCCCTGCATGAGTATGCGTAAATAAATCAATAGCCGCAAAAACAGTAGATTACACTAAATATAGATAAGGGGGCCTTAGAGGCTAGAACTAAATGATTAAATTAAACAAGCAACGCGATTTTGCGCAGCCTTTGCACCTGCATTGGGCTTTAGGGCTCTGCTTCAGTATTACCTGCATATGTCGGTAAACAGAGACAACTAGAGGAAGAGGGAACTTACCATAAGGAGGCGGAGGATCAGAAGCAGACTCACCAGTTCCCGATGGAGCCGACCTGGATGCATCATAGGGTGGAGGAGCGGTATCCGGCGTGTCTTCTTGACGCTCCTGGTGAACCGCAGCTTCTGGAAACCAGACTCTCATCCCATCTACAACAGACGTGAACGCGCCTGTTTGTTATGTGCATCGTATCCCCGCGGATCCACCTCGTCGACGCTTAGATCTGCTCTGATCACCCTCTCTTGCACTGAGTGTGGAAAGCGCCACTGCAAGCACTCGGCTTCGGCCAGTGCCTCTTCCACATAGAACTGATCTGTCCGATTGCGAAGGGGGGTTTTCGATCTTTGCCACAGCATTTGCAGGAGCACAAGCTTATCAAGGCCTCTGATTTTGACGAGTCGTGGTTGAGTCAATGTGATGGAAGGTGAACAGCTCTCACAGGTGGTGGGAAAATAGCCGAGTAGGTTTGAATGCGACGGGGAGTAGGAGGTGTTCTGATACCTTCAAAAGCTGCTCGGGCGATTAAGTCAAGGCAGGAGTGGTGGACGCTGTATTTATGTTGCGCTGCATCTTTGGCTGGCAGGGCCAGGGCCGCCTTTGAATGGGAGAGTGACCAAGATTACAATAGAAACAGAATATGGGACTGTAAGATGAACTGTACTCATTTGAAGACCGGAAAGAGTAGCATATGCAACGACAGACAGGTCTGTTAAAAACGCCTTAATCAAATAGCACGCCCTAGCGTATCAAGGACAAGTACGCCAAGCATCCAAAACAACTATAGAAGAAAAGAAAAACAAGCTTCATACCCGTACAAACTGTTCAGGCGTTCAAGGTTCTGAGTTTGGCTGTTGGTACCTGTAGAAACAGGAGCTGGGTGAGGAAAGGGGAGGGGCAAGGGACGTACCATATGGTGGAGGAGCCTTAGAGCCAGACAGTCTAGAATCGGACGTGTTAGTAGCAGAAGCAACAGGAGTATTATAATTAGGGGCTGATTAGAATAGGGAAAAGTCTGGGTAGCAGAACCAGCAGGATTGGCAGCAGCCCTAGCCCTAACCTCTCCCCTTACTTCATCAATCACTTCATGGAACCAGAGGTCGGAACGAGAGTTATTGTATTCCCATGGGGAAACAAACTCCATATCTGCCTAAGCCTAGTCCTGATCGTCCTGCCTGCACCACCCAGACATGCCATTTGTCCCTTTCAGCTTGGCGGAGGGCTTCCTCTCTGTTAAACTGGACTCGAGGATGGAAGGGTATGGAGTTGAGCCACAGCGCATAGAGCAGGTCTCCTTTGTCGAGGTCGCCAATGTACCATTCAGGATCTGGAGGCATGTTCCTTCTGGGAATTCCAGTAGCTTGACCACTAGCCCTTAAATCCTCGACGATATCATGGAACTTGCGTGTACTATAATGGTTACATTCCACCTCTTCCGCATAGTCATTTGCCAGAATGCCTTGATCTTTCTCCCAGCAGTCCGTCCATGTCCCAATACTGTTGCTCAGCTTGACGTAGGGCTCCCACCTCGTTGTATGGCGTGTCACTGCCAAACAATGAAAGCGGCTTTGCGTGGTGGCAGAGAGCGCGGAGGAGAACGGGCTTCTCAATATCCCCAATGTAGTTGTCTCCATTGTCGCTGGTATTGCACATCATGCAGATGCCTTTGTTGTTCCTTTCTATGCAACTGCATTCAGGCTAGTACAAGGAACCTTTATCACCAGGGGCAGGTGACATAAGTTCCCTTGATGGACGCAGAAGGGCCAAAAAGGGTCTTTGCGATTACCAGTAAATTCTTTGCTAGGCGTGAACACAGGCGACAATAGCCCTTTATCTACCTATAATAAAGAGGCCTTTCACACTCGCACAGCAGACTCTGCCAGTTGAAAGGCACCCTCCATGGTTCTGTAGTCTCAAAGCACCAATTATTCGAGTGTTCACCCGGTTCGATGGTGTTTCACCTAGTTACATTTACCCTAAGCACATCGAGGCCACCTATGGACCCAGTGGCGGCCATTAGACACACCAAGCCTGGGCCTACCTACATGAAGCATCTAACGTCTACCAGTCATGAAGAATAAAGTATCGGTTAAGGACACTACTACGGTATTGATTCCAATGTACCATATCCTCTACAAGCGGAACAACTGGAGAAAGCATGTCGACCCATTACCTAAGAACAAGACAAATACAGATTCAAGCTCTAGGAAAAGCAGAACTGAGCCTCGTCCATGCTGGCGCTAACTACCCTGCCTTCTGCAGGCCCATTTCGCTGCCCTCGTTGGTATGCTGATCGTATCTCTAAGAATCAATATGGTCACCACAAATCTGCTTCGATTACCCTATGTTGTCAAGCGCGTAAAGTGCCACAAGACACTTGGCCTCCAGTTTTGCATTGCGTTAGCGTTTCCTGATGCTTAGCTACAGAGTTTGAACAAAACAGAGGGCGAGGAGTAGACCGGGCTTGGGGTGTCTCCTAAGACGATGTTGTAGACTGGTTGAGTACGGAATAACTTTGCCTCTTGACAGTGGAATGGGTCGGTCTTTGGTAAACCTGCATTCAGGCTAGTATAAAGGACTCCGGGTCTTTATCATCAGGGGCATGTGACATGAATGCTTTGAATTAAGCGGAAAAAGAACCTGAACAGGAATTCGGCTAGCCAAACATACTTGCTAAACTCGAGCGCTACATTGGCCTGGCCATTCCTTTCAAGCTTCTTCACCCCAGTGGGTGCTTTGTTTGGACTCAGAACACATGCCTGACAGCCAATACGGATGGCATTTCTTTATACAGGCAAGATGAAGGATCTTGTTATTGTACTCGGTCTAACAAAGATTCATTATCTTCTCCCGTTTCATACTTCAAGTCAAAGACGTCAGGTTAACGAGTTCTCTCGATGATTCATTGGCCTGCATTGCCACTTGATCTCCGAATGAACAGACTGTAAAGAGGGCGTCCTTCCACAAAGACTCCGCAGCACCCTATATATTCCACCAGTCCAGATACAGCCTCGCCCACCATCCCTACCCTACTCCGCTCTCATCACCATTCCCCCGTCCACGCAGCCATCCCATCTCTCCAAAACATCCCAACCACCAAAATGCCCACAACCACACCCATCACCCCGACGCCCGCCCCAAAAGTGTACATCGGCGACCTCAACAAACTCAACCTGCTGCACGCCCTCTGGCGCTGCTCCCACCCACTCCTCGACCACCCCGACCTCCCCACCCAGCCCGTCTTCAACAAAGAGCTCGCGCTGCGCGCAGCCAGGGAGACGGACTGGACCTTCACATACGTGCAGGGGAGGCTCATCCGCGCGGATCTCGCAGGAGCCGAGGCGGATCCGTCGGGGTACGATGCGTGGAATGGCCAGGGCAGCTTTAGGAGGATTGCGGTGGGCGTGAGTATGTTGGGTGCGGACTTTGAGGGCGGGCTTGCGCGGGCGGGCCTTGCGAGGGCTAGGCTTGTTGGGCCAGCATCTGGTCCTGGCTCTAAGGCTGCGGCTGAGGCTGCGGGTCCTGCGTTGAGGTTTCCTGGTGCTAACTCTGCTGCTAGCGTTGGAAATAAAAGAGGACAGAAAGGTGGGTTTCGGCGACGGGTTGCTCGGTTTTTCGCATGAGAGGCTTTGGCTGCTGAGTTGAGCCGGTGAGTACTCCGTATCGGAATGGATCTAGGGTTTGTGATCTCCTTCGGGTTACAGTTGTTTCCAGACGTTCATTACTACATATGCGAAAGCAGTGATATAAGAATCTTGTGGCGTTTGCTATAGTTATTGCAATATATTTTTTCAATCCGCGGTTTCTTTCTTAGATTGGATGGTTATCAACTACAATTGAATGTCAGAAGCAATCTGTTAACATTTGCCTAGGATACAAAAGGCTGACATGCATAATTAGTATCGTCGCATATTCGGAAGGCCCTGCAAGACACCTAACATCGCTCTTTGCGCAGGACAGACAGTAGATATTGAAGCTGATGAAAGATTGTAGCAGAACCTTTGGCTCTTTACGTGGACATGCTCCCATCCATCCATGCTCTCAAGCAGGCTCAGCAACAACATTGCTGAATAAAAGGATACGTCTGGGTTAGGGCAGGAAGCAGCGATTGGCCAGCAACTACCATAGGGAATTGCGCTGTTACACAGGGCCTGCAGCGTCTCACACAGTCACACATTGCCCGAATCGCAAGTCAACAAGCAAATTTGTTCATGCACGTCAGATCACATTTGCATGTCTCTGCTCTCTCCACCCAGGGGCTCGGGTCCCTGGCGCTTAGGTAGGTAATCTCAAGACCGCTTGCAGGCGAATCAACCCTCTGCCAAACGCCAATCTATCAGCCACGACTTCGACCGGGAAGCGAATCTTACATGCATCGATCCTGTTAATCCTGCGTTTGCCAGCCACCTTACGCCGTACGGAGTACTCCGTAGATGAACCTGATACTCCTATGATTTCAGCCCGCAATGTAGGGTACGGTCGCAACCGATTTGTCGTGAGCAGTGCGATCGCTCGCTCAGGCCGCTGCAGTCGCAGTCTAGGTCGTTGTAAAATGGTGCCAAATGTAATTAAATTTGGTGCTTCCTATTCAAACGGCAGCGAACTCGTTCATGGCGATGCTGATCTGCGCTGCGGTGGAGGCGTGGCTGTACGGAGTACGAGTACTGGGGCGGCGTTCTCGGAGGGGCTGGGTGTAGCCTCGTAGGCTTGGTCTGTATGTCGGGCAGATGACCCAGGACTGGAGGTCAGAGCGATGAAGATCTGGAATAGGTCAGTCTGGTGGAAGTGAGCAACCCTAACGACTGGAAGCTCGGCTCGGCGCCTGGCGCAGCAACAGAAACCATGGGAGGTTCATGGAGGCGGCTAGGTTAATGGAGGCTGGGAGGTCTCGGACTCAGGATTCATCGCCAGCAATCAGTCGGAGTCGCAGATTGCTGTCTCATGGGGACCCCAGTAAGCGCAATCAAACCGAGGACCAGGGCGTCACGCCTTAGGACCCCGGGATGAACCCAGGACCTCCCGGCACTGGCGGCATCAGCGCAGCCCTGATTGGACTCGGGATTCGGATGCACCGGAACCCAAGGCACGGCGTTACACTGCGATTGCAAATAGGGCTGGTGCATCCCCGGGCCGAGGGGGCTGGCTCCACTGAGGCCGACCGAGTGCGAGGAACCGACAGGGGCAGGGAGACAATCGAATAGCGGACGAACTCAGGCGAACAGTGAACCATGGACCATGAACCCAGGGGCTGGGCGAGGCAGGTGTTGCCGACTGAACGAACTGCTCGGAGGGTTAGGGCTCGACTCGACGGAGTAATTCAGGGGTAACCCTCCGAGACAACCCTACGCCCCTTGCTTGCGGTCCGAACTCTGCTGGGCAGGGGGGGATTGTTGGGAGAATCCGAGAAACATTGGAAGTCTTCGATTGTATCATGGCGGTCGTAAGTTGTCTACCTAGTATTACCTATTATTCCATCGCCCTGTGCATACCTAACCCGCAGTCTGCAGTATATAAGTCCGCAAGTATATAACCACGCAGCAATATGTAAAACGAAGCCGTACCAAACCGCAACTGACAATCATGCCAACTTCCAAGTCTATAATAATTCATCACCGGTACCACGCCCCCGACGCCTCCCCAAGACACTCGCCCACCGTCGTAGCTATCCAACATTAGCAATCCCCATGCAAGATCCAAGTCACGAAAAACATACCAGTCAGCCCCCTCTCCGCAACCTCCTGAAGCATGCGCTCCGCCAAACTCACCACAGTCCAATAATGGATATCATGCGAGAGCACAATACTCCCGCCGGCATTCAGCTGGTTGACGAAGTTGGCGAAACTCGTCGAGATAATCGCATCGGGGTCCTGGTTCTCGTAGTCCTTCGTATCGACACTCGCCGAGATAACCCGGTAGTCGTAGTCGCGCATCACCTGCAGGACGGCATCGTTGGTGTCGAGATACGGCGGGCGCATGTACGTTGGCGATTTGCCGAGCGCGGGGCGGACGACGTTGTCCAGCTCGGACATTTCCGAGACGATGCCGTCGTAGCCCAGGCTTGTGAGGTAGGGGTGGGTGTATCTGCGTTTCCAAGTCAATTACCAAGTCTACCCTAGTCTTGTGGATAAAGGGAAGGGGGATTTGGGCGTACGTGTGCGAGCCGACCTGGTGGCCCTCGCGGAGCATGCGTTGGAGGAGGTCTGGGTTTGAGCGCGATGCATCGCCCAGCACGAAGAAGGTGGCGCGGGCGCCGTACTGCGCCAGCAGGTCGAGCAGCTGGCCTGTATACTGCGATGGCCCGTCGTCGAAGGTCAGGGCGATTGTGCCGGGTGTTGTGCAGTAGCTGATGACCTGGCCGACCGGGGTGCGCTTCGATACAGACTCAGAGGGGGGGAGTGGGGATGCAAGGACGTGAGAGAGAGCAGCAACGAGGAGGGCGAGTGTGGAACGCATTGTCTATGTACGTGTGGGACTGAAAGTGAATGATGCACGTATTTCAAGGTTGAGAGACTGAACAACCCAGGGAGAAACGAGAAGGATATATAGCCTACATCTGTACACGGTCGAGTCATGCAAGAAGTAAACATGGCCGAGACAGAGTCAGAGGAAGGCCTGTCGCACAGATCTCTTGTCCTCAGCTCAGCCAGAATCAGGGGGCTGGTTGGCCGATAAGCCTGTGAGCTGTCGCTCGCTAGTGGCTTGCCCTATGCAGCGGCCAATAACGCAGCCTGCAGTACGAGCGGGATTTGGGCCTTGACATCAGAAGGATCGATCTGCAGCCGGCGGCTAGCCCTATTTTGTGGGCTTGCAGGGCTGCTCGCTGCTGGTTTAGCTTCTAATTGATGCACGTCAACAAGGGATGGAGACACCCGGTGTGGAGGAAACTGGAGGAAATCGAAGGATGCATTATTGATGGAAGGTGCTCTTGGTATTGATATTGCCAGACCTGTCCACTTCCCTCACTCAACAATTACCTACGTGCATGTCAACAATTTCCGGATATCCCGGACTTTCGAATAGCACCGGCGGCTGCATGCATGACATAGCCCCCCGATGAAATGGTGAACATGGCCCTATGGGCCCAGCCTTCCTGCGCCCAGTCTGATGCTGAATTCCAACATGCACCGCTCCATCCCCGCTTCCAACGGCCTCTTCCCTGTCCCGCTTCCTGATAACTACGCGATCAGCCTATGGGCGCTTAGCTGAAACGCTGGGTCGATCAGTGCGGGCTATCGGAGATGCCTACCATATCCTCCGTCTCTGCGTCAGGAGATCTGATCTCGCTCCGGTTTATGAGAATCGAGAAATCGGGAGGTTAGGGGATTGTTCTAAGCGGGCCCTTCACTGGTGAGTCGATTGCCGTGCGCCTTCGATCGGACCAGGTTCCTTTTCCAGGATTCTCTCCTGGTATGAGAAGCTGCATTGGCGACAGACTCCAAAGCTGTCTCCTGCCGGACTTTGTCGCGACAATCGAAGGGGACTGGCGGAGATACCCGACCAGGCTCAACTCTCCTTGAGATTCGGGGCCTGTCTGCTTCTCAGTACTCCTGCTGCAGTGCACTCTCCTTGTCGCCAGTCTGCCGCCTCGCCGTTACTGCCCCCAAGGCTGGGGTCGGGCATGGCAGATGGCAAATGGCATGTTGCTGGGTACCTCCATGTACCTGCCGGGTCATTGTCGTCGCCGCGCATGATCCGGTTGTCGAGGGCATCCCTGAACACCATCTGCGATAGCCATATCTTCGCACGTCAAGTTGGACGAGGCTGGAGGCGAGACCAACGGACTCTTCGGCTCTCGAGAACGACACCTCTCGAGAACGAACACCTGTTCGTTCTCTGCCCTACTGGACCAGCAAAATGCCCAGCCCGGGCGCGAAGATCAGCCGACCGTTCGATCCAACCTCAGCAAGTCTTCTTCGGCCATTGGGGGCATGGCGCAGGCTGGCATGCCTTCGTCAGGGCAATTGAGGCTGGGATGCGAAGGCTGGTGGTGGATTGAAGAACGGACCGGAAAGAGGAGACGGGCCAGTCCACGGGCGTCCACGCTGTCCGCCCTGTCTCAGTCGGAGTTGAAATGACGGTGGAAAAAGAAAAGAAGACCAACTCCTTCTGTTGCGCGAATCACGGACAGTGGACAGACTACGTACGGGCGGGATTGATGGTTGTGAGTTTATAGAACTGGACCAGATTCACCTCGGGCTTATGAACTGTTATACTCTGTTTGCTTTTAGGGCACGGTTTCGTTCCTCGCTCTATGCACAGCCAGGTCTGTTCTTGTGTCTGGGCATACTACAACCCTACCTATAGGCTGGGAAAGATAGCTGACATCGTAGTCACCTGGCCATCTATCCAAATGAACTTCCAATGAAGAGGAACACTCCAGATAGGTGGCTCTGCTACATCTCAATCAGCCGGTTAGCCTAATAGAGGTCCCAGGCGTCCTTCCCAGTGCCATATTCCCCTCACAAGCCGTGCTCGCTCGTCGCTTCAACAAACCGGTGCGTGACTCTTGCGAAGACCTGTCTTTTATTCAAGGAGAGCTGAGAGACAGCTAGTACGTCTCGCTGAGACGGGGAAACGCAGTTCAAGACCTGCCAGTTCCAGAAGGCTATCAGCTCCGTCTTTGCTTCCAAGTACCCAACGTAGTCTTCGTATTGGAACCCAGTCCGCCATTGGAATCGGACTTGTCGAAATCCATATAGGCATTAGTCTTGGTCCCACTGGATCTCTCCTCGTCTGTCTCGCCATCGTCCACCCGATCGTCCTCGGATTCCCACTGGACGCCCTTGCCATACTCTTGATATTCGTCTTCCTCCACGCCTCTGCACGTACTTGTCTCATCATCCCATTACCGCCATCCCATATCCTCGTTATAGTCATGACTGCGTAGATGGCGACCCAGACCGGGACAAGAGTTATTAAGGATCCACTCTCCAGATCGCCAATTATATTAACTCTTGAGTAATCTTAATCGCCGCACGAAAAGTTGCGCTTTGAAGGCCTTGCCCGGTCTTCGCCCCTCTTTTCCTTTTTATATCTAGATAGAATCCTCGAGGCCGTGCTAATCAACTCTAGTGAAAGTGCTCAGGCATGTCTTGTGCGTGGCAGCCCGTTTGGCCTGGGAGTGTGCAGCGGGAATCGAAACGTTTTTCTTAGAAACTAGGGTACCTTTGTACAGACCCTATGTAATGCACTCCAGTCATTAGGTACTATGGTAGAGTATGGTATAAAGCCTGCCGAACTCCGAGGTAACATAGTAGCCATGGATAATGGGTCAGTGGGACAGTTCACGGTCTATGAGTCTATGGGCATAGCACTTGTGACTCACAGCAAGTGTCAAGTGGATACCGGTCTTCCACGCAAGTCTATCAGATCCACAGATATATAACTATATATACACAGACAGACGGCCATATCTATACATGTTCTTTTTGAACTGTATATATATAAACCTTAACATACCCCCCACAACAGCCCACCCACGACGGCCACCAAGATCGCCCTAATCAGCTGCACCACAAGGAACCCCCGCCTGAACCCCTTTATCACACAATACACCCAAACAATCATGCAGCATAAAATTGCAAGCACCAACTGGCCCGGCAAGCTCACCACCATCAACCTAGCAGAGCACACCCTCCGCTCTCCAACTCGCCCGCAATCCCCTCGCACCTACCCCCATCCAATCCAACACCGCACTATGTCCACGCCCACACACGCGCCTGGTCCGCGCTCATCACGCAGCTTGACGCCTTCATCTTCGTCACCCCGCAGTATAACTGGAGTATCCCGGCCTCGCTGAAGAACGCGCTCGACTATCTGTATTATGAGTGGGAGGGCAAGGCCGCGGGGAGTGTGACGTATGGGGGGAGGGGGGTGGGAAGGCCGAAGGGCATTTGAGGGGTGTTCTTAGGGGGCTGGGGATGAGGGTTGTGGGTGTGGCGCCGGGGATTTTGGTTGGGGGGTCGGCGTTGGAGGGGTGTTTGAGGGGTGGGGGGGTTGGAGAGGTGGAGGCGTGCTGGGGTTGAGGGGGAGATTCGGCGGATGTTTGAGGAGGTTCTCCAGGACTGAACCTTATGGGAGTGGAATGGATTGGGTACGCAGGCCGGCTGATATGCATTTCCCCTCCATATAGTAAGAGAACAAGGAAAGAAGTTCAAGCATCGTTGATAGGGTTATCCACTCATGACGGAGTCACATTTCCTTCTAACGTGCTTGATATTTGCGCTGTATCAATGTTTGATGCAGAAGTTGAATTGTTCTATCATGTATAGGATGCTAAGCTGTATTACGTCGTATATAAAGTGGAAACAATCTAACAATACTCAAGTATTCCCGTTCGACGGCCGGACAAATGCACTCGGCCAGTGCAACCAAATCTCCCAGCTAGGGCCTATATAATCCTTAACAGAATCAACGATATAAGCCCCGCTATCACCAAATGTCCACATCTCCCGGTGGAGGTGTAACAGGGCACCAAAGTACGCAAGAATAATAAGCGCTTGGGGCTTTCGCTCTTCCAGGAGATCGATATACCCCGGCGGGATAACAACAGGCCAGGAAATGATCGGTCCGACCGCAGAGAATCTCGAGGGGTGCTGGCGGCTTCCATCAAAGGCACTTTGGAGATGTCCGATAGTCTCTCTGTACGTGTTCCTTACGGACATATCCACGGAGTCTGAAGAGTCCAACAACTCAATTAGAATAGCACATTCGTCACCAGAGCCAGCCGGATCCCTTGTTAGCGCGGTGCCCTCCGCCTCAAGGAGAGTCTTGAGCGGTGAATTTAGCAACAGAGGCCAGGATCGATTTGTCACTGCGCGGACGCCGCGATGCAATCTTAAAGACTGGACGAAACCATCAAGGAACGCGTCAAAACCGCCCATTCGAAAGAGGAGCTTTTCGCTGAGCATGTGGAGGGCCAGGATCGAGGAGAAGAGAAACATGGGGAGGCACGTTTCCGCGCTGAGAGCCAGATTGGCGCTGTTGCTGTTGAATTCTGTGAGCGCGTGGGTCTGGAGCTCGGCTGCGTGATGTCGGTAGAAGGTCTGCTGGAGAGGACGGACGATACTCAGGTGTAGGGCGGCGAATCCCAGAATCTCATTCATCAGGAAGGGGGCGGCCAGGATGCACTTCGTCATCTCGAGAGAGGGGGAGGTAGAAGACAGGTGGGTATGCAGACAGAAGAAGGGCAGGATATGGCTGACGAAATGGTGGAAGAGGTCGAGATGCAGCTTGTTGATTGGCGGACTGGCAGCGGTGGTCGAGCTGGCTGGAGAAGCATGTTCGACTGCAGGTGCAGTTATGCAGTTGACTCAGAGCCAGAGATATATCAAGGAAATGATTCAGAATGTATTATTGTCTATCACGCTTTCTTCCCCTTGTTATCTAACCCATATCCATTCACTCCATCACACCCCTCGCAAAACATGATCTTCATCCAGCCTTTCCCCATCCAGAATATCCCCCGGATGGTAAAAGTGAAAGACGGCCTGCACAAAAAACATCGGAACAGCATCAAAAATATACATAAATACCTCATGCTCGTACAAGAATCCCCCCGTCCCCTGAACATACTCCACAATACGAAAAACACACCTGACAATCACCAACGCAGAAACAAGAAAGAGAACATGAAGCAGCCGGCGCCATGGACCACCAGCCCAGCCGTATCCACACTCCCGCAACCGCAGCTGAAAAGCCCCAGAGACGTATAGGAAGAACCCGAAGAAAAGCAGCTGCACAACAAGACCAACGACAAGGATTTTCTGCCCAAGGCTGCGCATGCTGTTGATCGTCTGCATTCCACCGCCCGCCAGCTGCAGGAGGAAAGCCGCTACGTCTCCAATAACGAACACCTTGGTGACTTTGTGCGGACGGATGATCGAGAGATGCGGTTTGCCGATGTATCGCACGACCCGGCCGTATGTCATGTAGATTGTTGCGGCGTAGAGCGATGGCGGGAGGATGATGAGCATTGACTGCAGGATGTACGGAACGAGACTGTCCGGTTTGCGCGATGACATTAGGCGGAAGATGTATCCCAGTGTCATCACTGGGAATGGCAGAAATAAGTCTGGTTAGTCTATTATACAACCTTGAACCAGGTTCTACCTTAAGGAGGATAAACACTCACTATATGCGCCAACGAGGAAGGCCGTGAAGAACCACGTTCTGGTCCTGGCCATGTGAAGCGTGTGGAATATGGCGCTCCCGCCAAACAACAGCATTGCGAGGATGGCTCCGACGCTGCTCGGCTTGTAGGGAAAGTACCCTACCTGACCCATGGTAAATGATGTTTTTGGCGTTGATGCGTAGCAAGGGAGGGGAAGGTCGAGATAGCTTGTGTACGGCGAGGAATAAAAACAATCCAAAGAACAGATGGTGGTTCTATTATCGCGAGGCTTATAAGTGCTACACTGTAGATTTTATCCCAGGCATCGAAGTATCAGCGTGTTTTGAGACCCCATCAGGCTATCCGCGGAACGAGCAGCTTGTCATTGGTTCGTGCCTGCCGAACACGCGTACTTAGAGCATTCTGATTGGCCAATGTACAGTGCTTAAATGGAGACTATCTTTAAAGTGGACCTGGCGCTGTGGAAACTAGGAATCAAGCTTTATACTCTATGTAGAATAGATAAACACTCGAAGATTTCTTCAAGACAGTGCAACAAGGCACGTACTGGGAATTAGATGTACTGCACTGCTTGGCAATCTCATAAGAACGACGTAAGAAGATCACAAAACCCAGACGTAGGTGACAGGAAACAGATAAGAGACCTGGCCGTGTGACAGAGTGCGAGAAGACAGACTTAAACCGGCAACAACGGCGAGAAGCTTGATCTGCTGGTGGAAGTCTGCTGAACCTGCTGCGAAGACCTCATCTTCTGACCAGCACTCACTGATGACCCATCATCCCCACGGCGCAGGTAATCCGTGCAAGGTTCCAGCGCCGCCAGAGCCTCCGCATCACCAACCGCCAATATCCCAGCGGAGAGGCCAGGGAGGGTAGCAGAAACAAGCTGGTAGAGAGGCTCCGGCCCTGTAGTGCTATTCCCCCCAGTCCTTGAGGGCCCATCATTCTTCCCCGGACATCTCGTCTTCAACGCAAAATCAAAGAGCGGGAAGGACGTGATAACAGGCAGGACAGGGCGCCAGAAGCCCAACCAGACAAAATCCGCCCGGATAAACGGATGCAGAACCGACTGCAACCCCACAGAAATTGCCAGCATACCATTGCGAATCATGATCTTATAATGCGGGACCGCCACAGACGCAGTGGTGCGGAACTCCGCTGATAACAATGGATCGATAACCCGCCTTACCTGGGCCTCGGGATTCCCGATATTATTCGCATTGAACGCCCATAGCGGAAGCGCAAGGAGGCTGTGGAAATGCTGCGCTATTGAGGATGGCGCGGGTAAGGTGGATGCGTTGAAGTCCAGGAGCCAGGTTAGGGCTGCGCGGAAGCTGGGGATGTCGAGGGGGACTGGTGGATTGGGGCGCTGGAGGAGGCGGAGAGGATGCTGAGGGTTGAGCGGGCGGCGATGAAGGTTGTGCGTCGGATGTAGATGGAGAAGGTTGTTGTTAGGTTTGGGTAGAAGGGGTTGGGTCCAAGGGCGCAGGTGCCGTTTGGTGTGCCGTCCGGGCAGACGTAGACTCCTGCATTTGTAAGTTGATATAAGGTGTTATGTAATAGTTGGGTGGTTGCTTACCAGCGGCGAACGGCCCCCGAACTGCCCGGCTACCGGCGACACAGAAGCTGATATCGACGTATGTTATGTTGGCGCCTGTCGGAGCGTAGTATACTGCTCGCCCCACTGTAGCCCTTGCCTATTAACTTAATTAGCTATACCAAGTATAGCTTTACTATTATAACTTAGTTAAATATAATTTTTAAGCTTTTATTTTTTAAAGGTTATATACTTTAGGTAGCTTTTTTTATTAAAATATTATATTTATTTATGTATAACTACTTTTTTTATTATTACCTTTTTTTAAAATTTATTTACTTTAAATATTTATTAAGTTAAAATTATTTTTATATAATATTAAGATTTTTAACCGCCTAGTATAAATTTTTTAATTATTTATTTTATATAACTTTTATATTACCCTTATATATTAAGGCTGTATAAAAATTTATTTATAATATAATTAATATTATTATTATTAATTTTAATTTTTATAAAGTTATTACATGGCTTAATAATTAAAAAAATTATTATTTATGGTATAAATTTTTTAAAATTATACTTTAATTTACATTATCTTCTTTTTAGCCTATTATTATTAAAAAAGTTTTTTTTATAAGTATTTACTAGAGCGTGCTATTATTATTATTAAATATATTAATAAAAATAATTTATCTTAAGATTAGGTTACTAAGCTTATTATTTAAAATTAAATAAGTATTTAAACTTTTTAAAATATTAAAATAGAAGTAAAGTAAAAACACTAAATATAATATAATTACTTTTTATTTTTATTTTTATAATTAATATTTTATATATAATATATAAATTAAATTTTTAGCCTTTAAAGCACTATCCAAGCCTTTTACTACCTATAAAAGTTATATAACTTATTTAATACTAGGTTTTTTTTTTTAAAAAAGCTAGCAGGCGCTTAACATGATAAAATATACTAGTTAATAATTAAAATAGTTTTTTGATAAAGTTTAAAAAAATTATTATTAAATTAATAATTATCTGGACCCTTAATTAATAGGCTATATAATATTTTTTTACTATAGTAATTTTTAATTTATATAATATATAGCTTTTTATTACTTAGCTATATATAATATTTTATTAAAGTATTAATAATATTTATTTATTATTCCTATAGTATAAGCTTAATTAAATATAAATATTTAATATTATTTAATATATTACTAATATTACTAGCCGCCCTGGTTATAATAACTTTATTTTTATTAAGAATTATAGTATTATATAGTGTATATATTACTAGTTATATAATAATTATTTTTTTTTACTTATATTAAAAACCTAGTAAATACCTAATTATAAAATAAAGGTAACTTTAAAAATACTACTGCTAGCACCTGTTAAGACCATGGTAATAAATTTAAATATTATATAAAAAAAGGTAAAAAAGGCCGTGGCACCTTTATTTTTATAAATATTATATAAGTAAAAAATATTGCTACTAGTACTTTATAATAATTAATTTAAAAATTAATTTAAAATTTTTTATTAGTATTTTTACCTAATATTTTATAAGCTTTTTTAAGCGCTAATACTATTAGTATTAACTTTAACTTTATATATATAAATTTCGTGTTTAAATAATTACTAGATTTTAGTATTAATAAGCTAAATTTTTATATTAAATTAACTTATATAAATATTAAACTAGCTATTAATAATAATTAAATACTTAACTTTAGCGCCTTTTATTATATAATATACTTTAAGCATAACTTTATATTATTTAAATATATTAAAGTTTTGGTTAAAATAGTTAATAATAATAAGTTTTTTAATAAAGGCTATAATAATATTATACTAGGTATTATTAATAAGTTTAATATAAAATAAATTAAAAGTTTTTTATTAAAAAAATATTTAGTACACGCCTAGCTTAGCTTATAATTTATTATTAATTAAATAACTTATAAATAATAATATTTATATAATATTTAATTTTAATATTATTATTAAACTTATTTAATATAAATTTTTAGTTATATACGCTATTTTACTTAAATTTTATTACTATTTTTATTTAAATATTAATATTTTTTAAGGTAATTACCGCGCTTGCAAATGCCTTTATACTTAATTAAAGTATAATTTTACTTAAGGGTTTAATAGCAGCCTAAGTAAAGGTTTTTAATAAGGTAATTTTAATATATTTAGCTTACTAATAGGCTGCCCACACATTTAAAAAAAATTAAGAATTTTTTTTAATATATTATTAGCTTTAAATTATATAAAGGCCTGCTAGTTAAATAGTATAAGCTATATATTATTAATAAAAAAATAACACTTTTCTTAATAAAATAAAATTTAACTAAAAATTTTAGCTACTAGCTAAGTAATATTACATATATAAATATTTATAGGCCTATATTAATATATAAATAAATAGGTGTTTTATACTTTATTATATTTATTAATAAGGCCTTTTAGTTTTACTAGGTATTTATTATAAAAGAAAAAACTTTTAAAAAGTTCCTTTAACTTATAATTAGCTATATATAGCTAAAGTTAAAAATAAAGCATATTTATTATAATAATGCTTTAAAATATTAACTACTTAAGTTATATTATAAAAAACTATAGTATTATTTTTAATCTACCACTAAAATATTACTTAATATTAAGTTTAATTAAAATAAAAAATAATTATATTATTAAACTAGTTATATTTATTATAATAAAAAAATAACTTTTTAAGGTTTTTTTTAAAATTACCTAGTTCTTGCTATTATTTATATTTATAATTATTTTTATTATAAAATTATTAATAAAACGCCTTATAAAGTGCTTTATAATATATAACCTAATATTTTTTTAATAGCGCGCGCTAGGATATAAATACTTTTATTTTATTTTTAAAAAAATATATAAAATAAAAATTAACCCTTATATAGCCAAGGGCCGCTTTATTAAATACTTTAAAAATTTATATAAAGTTTATAATCTTAAATTAAAGTAAGTTATTATTACTTATAATATTATTTTTAAAAAGTTAAGTACTTTCTTACTATTACTTATTAATAAATATAATTTTAATATTTCACGCCTTATTACAAGCAAAGTAAATAAAAAAATTATATTTTTAAAAGTAAAAATATACACTTTCTAGCTTTAAAACTTTATTAAATTTTTAAAAAAATATTTTTATTTTTTATAATCTTATTTCTTAACCTTTTAAAGTAAATTTAAAGTAAAAAAAAACTATTTTAAAAAAACCTTTTTAATAATATTACTTATAACCTAAAGTAGCTTTAAAAATATTAATTAATTAATATTTCTTTTAATATTTATACTAAACTTTTTAGTTTAGGGGTTATATAATATAAAATCTTAATATTATTTTATTTTAAACCCCCCCCCCTTTTTTAAAAAAAAAATTAAAAATAATTAATAAAAATTATAATAGCCTAGCAAGATATACCCATGCTTTAAAAGTTAATATTTAGCACTTTTTACCCTTAAAAAGTAAGATATATTACTTAAATTACTTAAAAAAGCTAAGTTAAATTATAAAAAAGTACCTTAAATTAATAAGTATAAATAAACTTTTTTAATATATAATTTTAACTTTTTTTTTAAATTATCTTATGTGGTTTTTTATAAAATATAAGCTTGCTTTTAATAATTTTATTAATAATCTTATTTTTATAGTAAACTTTAGCAAGCTAAATAAATAAAACTTTACTTTTAAAACCTTAAATAATACTGGCTATAAGCTAAAAATATATATAAATATAGTTTTTTATTTAAAGGTAAATAAATAATATATAATTATTTATAAAAAGCTTAATAATTATTTTTTAATAACACGTGGCGTGTTATTAATTATTAAAAAAATATAACTTTTTAATTTTAAATAGGTATTTAAAATTAAGTATAATAATACTTATAAAGCTTATTTAATTATTAAAAACTTTTATTAAATTACTAGCTGTAATTATAAGATTTATAAAGTATATATAATTATAATTAAATTAATATTTTTTAAACTTTTTATTATACTAGCTACCTGTTATAGCTAGGTATTATATTTTTTTAATAATATTATTATTTTTTTATATATAAATCTTTTTAAATTTTTTTTTATTAAACTACTTTAAAATAGTAAGATTACTAGTAAATATAGCTTGCTTTTAAAAATTTTATATAACCTAAAGTAATTATTAAGAAAGTAGTATAAAATACTTACTAGCCTTTTTATCTTGCTTAAATTTATTAAAATATATATAAATTATTTAGTCTTTACCTACGGCTAAGTATCTATTTTTTTTATATAAATAATATTATACTTTTTTTTATTTATAAATAATATTATAAAAATTATTAAGATGCTTAAAGGCACCTTTAAAATTACTAATAATAAAGTACCTATTTACTTTATTAATATTAATATTTACCATGTAAATAATAGTATTTACCTTTTTTAAAAATATTATATTAAAAGTATTTTAAAGTAATTTAACCTTAAAAATTATAAAAACTTTATAACTTTATATAATTTTAAAGTTATATTATAAAAGTTTAATAGCAAGGCCTTAATAAAAAAGATTTTTTTATATTAAAAGTAAATTAATACTTTTATTTAAATTTTTATTAATACATGCTTAAATATTTCTTTTATTATTATGCTTTTATTTTATTATATAATAAATTTTTTAAAAAATTATATTATAGCCTTAACACGTGTTTTTTACTATTTTAAAATATTAAAAAATTTTATAATTTTTTATTAATATAAAGGTAAAGGCTTTATTAAATATTATAATATTAACTAGGCTAGTGTTTACGCTAATAATTATATTTTTATTTTTAAATATATTTTTAAAATAATTAATAAGCTAACTAGCTAGTTTTTTAAAAAATAATTAGCTATAGCCCTTTTATTAATAAAGTTAAAGTATATTTTTTAGGTAGTTATAACTTAAAAACTTTTATAACTTTAATTATTTTTTATTAAACTTAATATTTTATATTTTGCTTTAATATAAATACTTTTTATTAAATTAATACTTATTTATATAAATAACTAAGGTATAATTACCTTATTAAAAAATTTAAAGTTTTATACTTATATAAAGTATATAATAATTAAATATTATTTTATTTATAAAAAAATAGCTATTAATAATATTAAATTTACTTATATTAATATTAAAAATAAGCTACTAATAGCCTTATTAAACTTTTTAAGTAAGTTTAATATTTTTATTTTATTAAGTAACTTAGTATAAAATACTTTAATAAAAAAGGTAATTTTTAAATAATTTTATAATTTTTTATTTTAGCTTTTATTTTACTTATACGCAAGGGTGGCTTATTATAATATTTTACTTATTTTTTATTATTTTATATTTTGCTATTTACTTTTTATTTAAAAAATATATTTAGCTTTATTTTTTTAGTAGGGCTTTTAACAAGGGGGGTGTTAAAATATAATATACTACTTACTTTATTATAGCCCTTGCCTATTAACTTAGTTAGCTATATTAAGTATAGCTTTACTATTGTGGCCTAGCTAGATACAATCTCCAAGCTTTTATCTCCAAGAGCGCCGAACACGGTGCAGTCCTCCGCTGCAAACGAGCGTCCTCGCAGACCGGGTGCAAAGTCGAAATGAACGGACGGGGCGTCATCGATCTGGATCACAGGTGCGGAAGAGTAGTTCGTCGGTGGCTATGGAGTCGCCCCTATCAGCCCGCCTGGGAAGAGGTAAGCGTCGCAGTCGTCAATGGCACACGCGGTGGTAGGTTCGCGTACTGGGGTGCCCGCAGCGGAGTGCATGGAGATGGTGACGAGGTTATAGACAATGGCTTGGAGCGAGTACGGCACAACAGTGTACGGGGCTATTTCCTTTCTCCCCTGGAGTGACTGGACGTAGGAGCCGTTGTACCGCCCTAGACCAGCAGTAACTTGGTAGGAAAAGACGGGGTCATAGGCAATGCCCACCGGTGTATCGGCTGCAGGATGGTCAGTCGCTGTAGGTGAGGTAGGCATGAATATGTATAAATCAAACAGGATAATCCCCAATACCCACACAACGGCCGCGAGAATAATGCTTCATTATCACGTTAGCACAAGGGCATAAGACCATTGGATTAGATAGGTACCGAAACAGCGGCCACAGCTTGTCAGGAACCCTGGAGCACCGGCTAAAAAGCACATTCATAGCACCAATGGGCCCGGTCGTCGGCGACAGTCTGATGGCACCGATCGATGAGAGGCCTTTCTCTCGTCCGATAAGCGACCATTGTATGGCCTCAAATTGGGAAAACAGTAAGGAGGAGAGCAAGGCTGACTGCAGGCCTTGGGAGATACTCAGCAGAGTGAGGATGGAGCTGGCGTCGATGGTGTATCCGGCAAGGGATATGCCCAGGGTTAGAGTGGTTCGGGCGGTTCATGCTGTGAAAGCGAGGACGGCAATGGATAGATGCTCCAGCAGCAGAGGCAACCACAGCTGCGAGCAAAGATTGCGCTTTTCCAGCATGTAGTCTCGAGGTGAGAGAGGGGGAGGAGCCCTGGAGTTTGATGCTGCGGTCTGTATGAGGCCCACCACGAATATTTGTTCTGAGATGATGGGAAACCCTGGTGGTGAATCAGCCGTGTGCAGGTGAATCGCGGCGAATGAAATTGATAGATGAATATAGCAATGAGCTGGCAACGCAGAGCAGACAGGGCCTACATGAGGCTGACACATTTGTACTAGACTAGGCCAGACACGAATCAAAGTCTCCGATCAGCAGAGATAGCACCTCGCCCTGCAGTCTCTAATGGTTGACCAACAGCTATTACACAAGGCTGTGTTCTGGCCCGTTTCAGCCGCTGCGTACGCAAACCAGATGGCTGGATCGGAATAGACATGCATGAACTGAGGGGTGTAACAGGCAGAAACGGGGGGTATCACAGGCGGCAACCTGAGGTAATCACGAACCACAGGCCCATTTGCCCGCGCTCATACGAAGAGCCTCTCTAGCCTTGCAGCTTTCTATGTTAAACAGGTCAACCTGCGTCTCTGAGACAGCAAAGCCAAGTACAGATGAGTGACAAGCGCGTTGTTATCAAGCTGAATCAACCTCCTCCAAACTATCAACCATGGAATCTAAGAATGTGAGTCGTTTGAAATCGCTCAACCCATACCAAGACGCTTCTGTTTCTCCTGGTTTCCCTCCTGCACGGGGTATCAGCACTGGTCACTTCCCCACTGCCCCCGCAGACCATGTCGACCTACACGTCCTTTGACAATACATCCCAAGACCCATCCCTGAGCAGTGCATCCCCCGGACCGCCGACCGTAACTCTCACCGAGTATGTACACTCTCTCACTAATACGGCTAGCTAGCTAACAACCCTAGGGTGGTCCGAATCAATGCTACAAGCCACGACCTCTCGCACTGGACAATGATCAGCGACACTTGGACCGAACACGCGACCCTATTAGCTAATGGAGACGCTTCGAGAACAACCAAGTACGCGATCCAGATGACGGCCATTACAGATCTGGTCAGTCGTGTATGGCACCCGCCCCGATGAGACGAGTTGGGTGACCGTTGTCGGCTTTGAGGTTTTCCCTATAGAGCATCTGCTTAAGCATGGGTATGGACTCTTGGTATAGATGGTTTTGGATTGTGCTTTATCCAACTGCCTCAGACGCGGTGATGCCGTTCAGACAGCGAATCCAGACCCTGAATCCTATCTTGATTCAGACGTTTGTGGTGGAAGCCCACGTCGCCCAGAGCCCGGCTGGATCCCGAAGCCGCATGCGACCTTGAGTACCTTCTCTACCATGGTGACACCGTATGTCTGACTCGTAGCTTTTTTCCAAGACAGGTAGAGCTGACTGGAATAGGACTGCATCCGGCGACCCAACCATGTCAATCTTGACCCAAAAGGCTAGGCCTAACTACATGTGGTGTCCGTCTTAAAGTCAGAACATTCGCTTACTGCTCCAGTTGCTTTCGCTACGCACGGTGATTACCAATCTGTACTTTCTTGAGTCTTTTACGGGGCTAGTTACCATCTGCTTCCCCTTTTGATGCTTCCATGTGACGCCCGTTTGATGAATCTGCTTCTTTTCCGTATTCGCCAAGGATATGGTAGACTTCTGCTTGTTCTGCATTCTCTCCCTAGTTGTTTCTGTTCTTTACAAGTTCTTGACCCGTTAATTCATGTACTGTCTGTGTATAGCATACCGAACAACTTGTTTTGTCAGCCGTGGCTTCGATATATAGGGAGCTAGGGCTTGGATGGATCACGATTAGCCCTAAGCCCTAAGTAACCCCAGACCCTGAGTGCAGAAATTGTAATGCTGCTCTCACATCAGCCCCTGGTGTTTGCATTGAGTTGGCACTAGGTAGATATCTTCTATCGCTCAGGGTCTATTGTTTCATACCACTGTAACATCCGAGGTTACCGTGCTCCAACTGTCTACACTCAGACGACCCTAGTATCCTTTCGTTTCCCGTCGCTCATCACAAAGTCTCTCCTTTCTAGAATACGGTACCTAATTGTCCCGCGAGACATTCTACACAGTATGGTCAGTCTTATTCGATCCCTTCGCCTCAACCTGGATCTCATCGACTGACGTCTGGGACTGGGACTGCGACTCCGTCTCGGAGTCGATAAAACGACCAGCAGCATCGTGCGTGGCATCCCAGTTATCAATCTCGTCGTTTGGGACCTTGCGCAGTCGGTTACTCTGCGCCCCGTCTTCAAGGATGATAAGGTCCTGACGCAGCTGGTACCCACGCCACTTAGGGATGAAATGTGCCCAGAGGGCGTAGTAGACTGCGCACGCGAGGAGACTACACCACGACAAAACCAAAGATGTTAGTATCAGTCCATCACAACATCATAGTCGGGACGAATAAATAGCAGGGAAATCACTCACATCCCAATCCCCGTAACCGCATACGTGGCATACCAAAAGCTCACATCGCCTGCGAACTGCCCCCCATCGGGCGGATACCACGGCATAATAAGCAGATACGCCTGAACAAGGATATTAAACACGATTGCCACATGCCACGCCCTGAACTCCGGCTCCGGCAAGCGTACAGTTGCATTCCGTCTTCTCCACCGCACAACATAAATCCCCACCGCCATCGCAAGATTAAACGCGGCTGTGGGAAACGTACCCAGGTCATTAACAAATGTAAATGCATCACCTGCCGGAATCGCCAGGATCATCAGCGCGGTCGTGAACCAGATTACCGCGTACGGGCCAAGGGGTGTTCCGAAGGGTTGTGTAGATACCCAGAACTTTGTAAATGGGAGCACGCCCTGACGCCCGCATTCGCGGATGCGTCGGGAGAGTCCAACTTGCACGGCTATTATGTTGCCGAAGGAGGCGAGGGCGATGAGGAAGTTTAGGCCTCGCACTGCGGGGCCGTCGCCGAAGACTTTGCTGAAGAAGAGGCTTGCGACTGTTAGGCTGGAGGATTCGAGTTCTTCTTTGGGGACTGGGATGGTTAGTGGGGGAGTCTGAGGGGATGGGGGAGAGGGGTAGGGGTACCAGCGGCGAAGAAGGCGACATTTGCGAACAGGTAGAGGATGTAGACTGTTGTTAGGGCTGCTGTGGCGTAGAGCTTCAAGGATTTGACGGGGTTCTGTACGCTGTTAGTACCCTAGCCCTAACTTCATCGCCTGAATTAAAAGATCTTCGACGTACCTTGACTTCATTCGCGACGTTAAACGCATTATTATACCCGCCATACGAGAAGATGATGCGATACAGCGCAATCGTAAACCCATACGCCGTAGCATTCGAACTCCCAGACCACGCATCCTGGAAGTTCGCTTTCGGATTTTCGACTCGCGTATTTCCACCCAGGACAACGAAGCCAGTCACGATGACAAAAAGGAGGGTACAGATCTTCACAACGCCAACAGCGTTGCTAAACCAGTACGCGTACTTGGTGTTGAAGACCAGACCTACACATGCAAGCGTTAATCCTTGCCCTTTCACTTTAGGGCGTGCTTGGATCGTGGGAGCATACTTAACGTAGCAAGACTATAACACGCCAACGCCGTCCCCTTAATCTGCCAGTCCGTGCCTGTGTGCCCGGAGATCGCCCAGAGATAGTTCGCCATGACACTCGCATTTGCGCTTCCAAATGACAGGATCACGCTTTGCACCGCAAAAGTCGTCGGGAAGAACCATGCTGGTCGAGGGTATGCTTGCTCGAGGTATGCGACTTCGGATCCCGAGCGGCTGGGGAAGTATGCTGTGAACTCGAGGTATACGGCGCCGGAGGCGAGGCAGAGCTGTTTCTTTTAGTCTTTGGTTTGTATGGGGGGAGCGTAGGTAAGTACCAAGTATCCAAGCGTCCAATACACAAAACTCACACCGACAGAGCCAGTGCCCGCGAGAATAGATTGCGCTACACGAAGCTCAATCTCAGTCTCCGTTCATTCCAATATTAGGGCCTGAGTTACTGACGTGTAGAGTAGATCCCCGCCCCAATCATCATGGTGATATTTAGCAGCGTAATGGTCACCGGACCGACAGAGTATCCCAATGGCGAGTTATTCTCGACTGGCGCACCAGAGGCGTCTTGGTATGTTGGTGGCGCATCGTTACCTCCTTTCTCGCTGATGTATTGCACGGTGCCTGTGTGTGGTTTGTCTCGGTGCCCGTGGCCGTGGCTTGAGACGATGCTGTGGGTGCGGTCGCTAAAGGGGCGGCGCGAGGACATTGCGAATGAATGAAGGGAAACCAAGCCCTAACCTACTGTACTGGTGAGCCCTTCCGCGGAAAGGATTGCAAGGTATATTATAGGTTCAGTATGAAGCTTGTTTCCGATGAAGGGAAGACAACTGTAGCGAGAAATAAGGGTAAGCATGTATTCATTATATACTCGGCATTTCATTGCTTCTTTCGAAGCTGTCGTCTAAGTTCTCCAATTGATCGTGCCGGCGTGGAACTAAAGATGTCAACATGGGGGAGGCCGATGATACAATCAACCATCTCGTTCCCAGGTGGAGAAGAAACAAAGAAAGTGAAGCCGTTCCAACTACCCCAACGTCTTACCGTGTTTTTTCTGAGGGAGAGAATAAAATTTACGTTGTGTGTAAGGCGTTCAGTCACATACAACGTTTCGCAAACTTGACCATGAAGCATGTCAGGGTGACAATACAACCTCCTACTTTTCAGCCTGGGAAACACTGGACGCTTTCTCCCTTCCCTATTTCTCCGTTGCGGAAACTAGGTACGAGCGGCCAGTGGGGAGTGGGTCGTTTCTGTTCTCTGAGGCCATATAGATCTGACGTTTGCACGCCATAATGATGCCTTATGGTCCAAATGGCATCACGAAAAACATTGCGCCAACATCCCTGTCACTCACGTATTTAAAGCCATCATAGCTGTTCAGTATGGTGTCTGCTCTATAAGAGATATCGCGTCGTACCTTGTTCAATGCTGGTAGCATATGCTAACCTGACCATCTGATCACTTCAGCAGAACGCTTAAGTCATGGGTTTCTTTGCGGCGGAAGAAGTCTCCGCTGTGCCAAGCGCGGGTCTATAGATTGAATTTAGTCATGCATGGCTTCCAGTACTAATCATATCATAGGCGCATCATGTGCGAGGATACAAGTATGGCGAATACACCCCAACCCGGCTGTTCCTACAGGCATCATTCCCCCCTGCTTAAGGGCCGGATCAATTCGGTCTGCGTCATAGCGGTACTTTGATTCATCAGTCAGAGGACAAGTATGTAAAGAATCTGGCACTGGACAGACACACTTCCAATACCATTTTCCACATAAACCATCTCACCGGCCGCAAGAACCACGTTCTCATCATCCTGCACCCTCCTGCGTCGTCTTTCCTCAGACTGCGACTCATCTACCAAGTAACTCGTCTATCGCAGAGAAACTATCCTGAATACCATCACTATCACCATATCCTCCTCATCCAACTCAGCCCCCCCTACACACCCCCGCACGAACTCCCCAAAGAAGATCTCGTCCCGTGGTTGGCGAAGGCAATGCACAACGCCTTCGAGCACTAATCCACACACACGATCCTGATTGACGTGATTGACGTCCTGAAATTCGAGAAAACGGTATGTGGCCCCAAAGCTGTGCTGTATCTTTCTTGACATGAGGACATGAGTATCCGGAATTATGAGCGGGTGGGCCGTACGCAAGCTGTTGAAAGTGCGCTTGAAGATCGAGAGGCCTTTAGGAAGAAGCTAGGCCCTGTGCTGGAGATGTATGAGGGGAGGGGGGTGTTTACGGAGATAGAGGTTGGGTGGGCGAGTTCAGCTACTGAGGGTTTATGTCCTGAGATTGAGATGGAGAGGGCGATTGAGAGGGCTGGGCTTGTTCGGGTAAAGATAGGAAATGGGAGGATGGGGATTTGTAAGGGTACAGTGTGCTTTGGGTTTTGCTATTGCATTCTTTTGCCCATTATAATCATTTTTCGTTGATTGTCTGTTTAAATTGAATGCTTTGTTGAAACTACCATATGCATCATGCTCTCTCTATCGCAGTAGCTAACGCAATTGACAAGTGTAGTCCAGCCTAGATATACCTAAGCGTACGCCGCCAAACAAGGGAGTTTGTACTTTAGGTAACCCTAATTTTTGGGAATTATCTTGCAACTTTGTGGTCTTGAGTGAAGGGGTGCAACGAAATATATATCGGTCCTCCGCCAAGCTACCTCTCTTCATTCAACGACATAGAGTAGGTCAATGATCCTGCTACGGTCAGAACTACTGCTTTTGGCGCATAGTCCTTTAGAGTTCCCATAATCCGTGGGATGACCCTTGCTTGTGGGTGTTGTGCCATGGCGCTGGGCTCGAAGTCCAAAGGATCGAGTTGGAGGGATGCATGAATGGATAAATTTATGGGGCTGAGTCAGGTGCATAAGCTGACCATTGAATCGTGCCGAGGTTCGCCGGGACCAGGAGCCACGGGCGGCAAGATGGACGCAATCCTGACTTAACAAGCTACAGAGTCAATGGTACACCAGATTTAATCTTACGTGTAAGGAGAACCGCGCATAGCACATTTCATTCTTTTAGTCTGTATGTCAATGGAAGAAAGGCGAATATATACAGAGAATCATAAGTCCATAGCGATCATAATCATAACTCAATCAAGCATCAGTCAACTTTTCATCGAGACTTAACCCTGGTAATCGATTGTGACATCCAGCACGATCCGTCGATCCTTCTGGATATTGCCGCCGATACCGCCGACCGCAGTCTCGGCCTTAGTATACGCATTGTGCACCTTCGCAGCACCGGGCGTGATGCTCGAGCAAGTCCCGCTAACTTCCTCGCAGATCTTCATCCCCTGCACGTCCATCCCGGCGCTCTGGGGTGTGATAGCAGAGACATCGAAGCCCGACCATCCGCTATTGCCGGTACTGCCGAAATCGAATTCACCCCAGGTCGTGGCGTACCCACCGCCGGGGTCAAGGGGCATGCTGCCGCCCGCGGCCGCAGCAAAGCCACCGTTCGTGTCGTCGTCAATGGCGACGTATTTCGTTTCGCCGGCGCCGAGAGACAGCTTGAGCGCGGAGAAGCCGAACCAGCCATTCATCAGACCGGTCGGGCCGTACTTGTTGAAGAAGACGACGTCCCAAGGCTCGGAATTTTGGCCGGAGAGCTTGACGACGTATTTGTAAGACTGAGCGTCAGACTCGGAGACTTCGATCATGTTGCTGCCGTAGGGATTGCCGACGTTGCCTTTGTATGTAATGCCGGAGCCCGAGCTGGATGTTCTCCTGCCGAAGCCCGAGGTGGAGAACTGGCTGGAGGTGGATGAGGCAGATGGGAGGTCGGAAGCTGGGCCGGCGGAGGCGGGAGACGTCCCAGTGTCGGCTGGGGCGGCGGTGGTAGTGATTCTCTTCGCGATCGAGGCGTGACGCCTTTGGTGTCCTTCGTGGCGAGCGAGGGTGGTGGAGGCCACGGCTGCCAGCAGCATAAGGTACTTGGTGAGTTGCATTGTGAAGGAGTGTGCGCGTCGAGCGAGAAGTAGGTGGTCAACTCGTAGGTTACACTAGGTGGATGAGAATGGTAAGTAAGGAGTGTAGTGGTTGGGTGGAGTTATGGAGAGAGCGAAGGGGCGAACAGATGGATGCAAGTCCAATCTTTATAGCTGAGCATGGTTACTCTGCTGCCACCACTTGAGCGTTGAGATCTCGACCATGGTGTAAAGGAGGGTGGCCACCGTGGTCGAGACTCCCGTGGGACAAAGCTGCGTAAGTGATGGCTGTCGCGGTGGAGACATGTTGTTGATGGAACTGCTGGGGCAGCCGTAAGCCGATAGATGTATTGAAAAGCAGCCCCATTGGCCACATTGACAGTCGCAAGAGGTCCACCAACACTGCTGCTGAAAGTATTATTGGTGGCTATGATGCTGTACCTGAATTTAGCGCAGGACCCAATACAATTGCCCGCAAGGGCACAATTCTGGCGTCACTGGCTCAGGCGGGACTGAAACTGCCGAGATCGAGGGAAGCACGGCAGTACCTTTTTGGAGCTGCGTATCAATTATGCATTGTGCTGGACAAGTTCTAAATCGTGTGGTTGCATTGCCACATCAGCATGCTCATTTGGAAATCATTTGGAAATCATTTGGAAATCATTTGGAAATCATTTGGAAATCATCTTGGGGGAGAGTCAAAGAAAGAGCCAAGGACATCGATAAAAGGTCTGAAACAATGCCGAGGATGCCAGGAACCACGTCGGTGGGAGTCTGGACTTCGAGTCAGGGCCTATTCTTGAGAAGCCACGAGAAGTAAGTCAAAGGGCTGTCGGAATCCCGATCTTGGCCTCAGGTAGCATTGAATACGTGCGTCCAGAGGTTTGAGCCTCTGAGAATTTGTCTCCACCTCCACCAGCTTCTTGGGCTCCAGCGGTGAGACTCAGCTTTGTGCACCGAAAGATAAGAAAGATAGGCTATCTGGTTGTTCATGCATGCGCAGCTGGTAGTTATTGGCAGATCTAATTGGAACACACTGCCGTTTCCGCGGGCGCACTGACAACGAATTTGTCGTACAAAGCCGCCGCAAGGATGAAACAAGACCCTCGTGGTTCCGTTAGAAAATATAATTCGAGTCTTTGATTCTGGATTGCCAAGTTTGGAACAGGGGCGGTGCCAATCAGCAAGTATGATTCTGACCAATGCTACTGCTTTCCGCGAAGCAATTCTCAGTAATTGTCAAGTCAGACTGACTGCAAACCACGGAACACCCGAGCCAAGATAGGCCGGCCCTTGAAAGCATAGAATCATCGGCGATCGCTCTTCGAATCCTCGAGTCTCCCCACACAACAGATTGATCGGCAGCCGTGACTGACCAAGATCTTGAGCGAAGGAAGGACCGGAAAGATGTACGAGAGTCGAATTTGAAAATTTTGCGAGTGCAACGAAGCTCCCCACTGTCCCGAGTACAGGTATGTGCGCTGGCCGATGTTGCACCAGCCCCAAAGCTAGAGCCTAGGTATAGGCTCACAGGTCCGAGCTTACGTGCTAAGTTCCACTGCATTGTCTAGCGACCTTGTCGAGGAACTGTGGTCTGCCGTTGGCCCCGATTAGCGGTTTCACGACAGCTGTTGTACCTTGCGGGCGGCCACCGAGCGCCATCGATTTGTCTGAAACGAGGTTGCAGTTCGTCTCTGGGTCCCATTGATGAATAGATTAGGCCATGCTGTTTTATCATAGCAATGGGATCCTATTGGTTGAATCATGCTCTTATCGCTTCTAGAGTTCCTTCCATTGACTCGAGCACCGGCAAGTGACAAAGACCGTTGAGAAGCGAGAATAATATTTGCACCGCGGCCATTCCGAACAACGCCCGAGAAGAGGCAAAGACCCGCTCGGAGCTTTGAAAGCGCAGGGTCCGAAGCCTCTGGAACGAACCTTAATGGCAGCCCACAGTGACCCTGCCACTGGGAATCGGTGCGATGAATTGCTGTGGAGCGAGCGGCTATCCACTTCCATCCATTCAAATGCTGCGAATCTTGACCGATAGAGTGGTAGTCTGGATACTGCGTTAGGCCAGGAGCATGTGATGTCACAACTGGTGGCGGCGCTCCGAGGCAGACTTTGACAGACTTTGAGCCGACCTAGGTTCAGCACGCTCCCGCATGGCAAGGTTCATGGTAGATGAGCGAAGATGTATGATCTCGTGGCTCAGACTCTGTCTGCGGCGAGGTTTACCCGATTCTGATGTCAGGCATGAGAGCATAAGGACGTTGCATAATGGGGTTGATATCCGCCACTCTTTCGTAGGAAATGCGAAGGTTAACCCATCGGCCGCTCGATAGCCCGGTCACTCCTTGGGAAGCGACTAGGATTTTTCATTCATTGTTTGTAGACTTGCGATTTCGATGGCGTAATGGCCACGTAAAGCGAATTCGGTGCGTTGCGATTTAGACAGTGTCCTCAGCCAGCATTATTATGGTGTTATGAGTAGAAAAAGCTTCCATTCAGAACTCGAGCCATCATCGCCGACTGACTTGCTCTGCGTACTAACTTTGTTGAGAGCTCCTTCGTAATGACGTTCCCCGTCACTGTAGTCTGCAAAAAGGGAAATCATTCAGGATCGCGGTGGTGGATAGCAGGGAGCCCGAGCAGAAGCCATATCGAGAGACGGCGCGGAAGAAACCTGACAAGAGATGAGCATGAGGAGCGAATAAACTCATCAAGTAAATTGTGAGAATGACAAGAAGTGATCACAAACCACAGTCTGAACTGGTTGAGGTCGGTCGCCCGAGGTGATGAAGAAGAGGAAGGAACGTCGTTGCACTGGAGCCGAAAACACGACGCGACCCCGCAGCCGACGATCCGTCTGCAACACTGCGACATGGAGAGCAGCCAGCTACAGCAGCACCAGCAGCGTCGAAACAAGCGATCCAGAACCGGTGAGACTCATTATACTGCATTTCAATATAATCGGCTCATTTTCTAGGATGCCAAGTCTGTCGTTCCCGAAAGGTAAGCTATCCAGATTGATGACCGACGCGTCAATCAGAACTGGCTGACGGAAAGTTCCCAGGTCAAATGTGACGAGCGTCCAAACGGCTGCGCCAACTGCGAGAGAGTGTCCGTAGAGTGCCCCGGCTATGGGCGCCCGATAGTTCGACGATCTGATACTCCGAGGGCGCGGCGAACGTACCGATCTTGCGCAGATTGTCGACTGAGAAGGGTCCGATGCTCGGGTGAGCGACCAGCTTGCTCAAGATGCAGGGACAAACAGCTTCAATGCCACTATCTGGACAATTCTGAGCCGGCTTGGGCACAGCGTCTTGCAAGCACTCTCAATCCGCCCGAAATAACGAGTCCGGCATCAACGGAGGATGACCCCGATAGCTCGCCGTTGAATTGGTAATACAACTTACTCCTTTAATTGAAATGTAATTGATTTATGGACTTAGGTTGAGGTCCACTGACTTGCCGGAGAAAGCGAAAGTGGCAGTCCTGGTCAATAACTACTTCGCTCACATCCACCCGATTCGATGTTTCGCATTCCTTCACCGGCCCTCTTTTCTACAGAGGGTTGATCAGGAATTGGCACCAGAATCGAGCGCAGGAGCCTTGCTTCATATTATCTGTGCCTTGGGTGCTCAGTAAGTGTTCGCGTTCCAATCCGGAGGCTTGGCTAAATTGACAGGTTCTACGCCTTAGAATGCAGTACGACTACCCAGAGACTGTCGTCGAAATTCATATTACGATCAGGCAGCCAATGGGCCGAGAAGGCCTATGGCATGGTCCTCAAAGACCTGGACAAAATATCCGTGGATAATCTCATGGCCTCGCAGCTCCTCTATGACTATGCTTTGCGGGTGGGCAACTTCACCCAAGCGTTCATGCTAGGGGGTATCACGGCACGCATGGCTCAAGCGTTGCAAATCAACCTTGAATATTCCACCGACGTGCTTTGCTTGGAACCTGGCCTGTCCATATCTGCGCGAGAAGCTCGTCGTCGCCTAATGTGGAGTTGTTTTGTGACCGATGCGCTTCTCGGAAGCGGAGTTGATCAGCTCATGTTGATCGAGGAGAGAGACATCAAGATACAGCTCCCTTGCAACGAAAGTCGCTTTGCCCAAGAAGCTACTTGCGTTACGCGAACGCTCGATGGTGCTGTCCTAGGGTTTCTTCCACCTGAGATTGTCCCCGTCGCCCCGGACGAGAATATGGGAATCATGGCTTCCTTCATTCAACATATTCGCATTCGCAAACAGGTCCTTCGCTACATCAAGCACCTCGATAAGGCCATGTCACCGTGGCTCCCTAATTCCGAGTTCGCTATGCTAGACAAGGCCTGTTGGGATTGGTACAATTCCCTCCCAAAAAACTTGCAGTGGTCACCATCCACAATTTACGCACGAAAAGCTTCGTCCCAATTAGGCGCGCTTGTTCTTCTTCATTGCTCCCATTACCAGACATTGTGTGACTTATATCGACTTGGAGCGCCAGCGCTGTTTAAGCTGCGTTCGGCCATCGAGTTTCCGCCGGAACAGAGCGAATTTCTGCAGAAAATGCGCCTCGACTTATACGAACCAGCGAGAACCATGGCGACGATTATCAGCGAAGCCGAAACTCACGGGCCGCATGTCTTGTCCGATACCTGGCTGCCGACCATTACTTACGACAGCTCTCGCATAATGCTTTACTATCTTACTCAGCTCATTGAACCCCGCGAACAGAAAAGCAAGGACCTCGTAGTCCAAACTATTCCTTATCTCGAGAGCAAAATTCGAGCCCTCAAAGCGATGCAATCTTTGAATGCTGTCTCTGAGCGTCTCGTACGTTTCCATCAAGTAACTCAGACAAAGCCATTGCTAACGACCCTCAGTGCAACCTTGCGGAAACCATGTTGAAGCTTCTAGGCTCGGAAGTCGAAATTGCAAACCCCGGACGAAACATCGTTCCAGATGACTTGTATCCCTCAGAACCAGACGAAGCAGGGAGACAGAGCCCAACAGGAATCCCGGCTCAGAGCGCACCTGACTACGTACTGAATCCGCTGACCATCTACCGCATGGCGCGTAGAACAATCCCTGAACGACATGCCCCGGAGCGCATCGTATCTGCAAGCATCGGCCCTACACTGGATATATCCCCGCCAACGTTGACAGGGGCAGACGAATTATCGCTCTTTACATCAGATCTTGGTTGGACGTGGCAGCCAGCAGAAACTGCTATCCACTCTGGCTTCGAGCATACGAACTTGCATCCCTGGGTGGGCGGGTCATATCTACCAAATGAATTACAGGATGCGAGCGGCTGCGGACATCAATTTTCGTTCACATCGTAACACAGTGGTATATTCATCGGAAGTTAAAGCTACCTCGGAATGATCATTCTGCATCAATAGGACATTTTGGCGGTTGATCGCCTGTTTGAATGCCGCCTCTCTTCTTGTTGTCGGCATCGGCAAATGGAATTCTCCAGCCTCCCTCGCTTTGTGGTACTCCCAACCATAACCTCATGAGGTGTCTTTGGGGTCGTGGATTTCCGTCCTCGTCAAGGGATCCAGGAGGGTAGTCGGTGTATGCAGTGCGCGCATGGAAGATGTGGGGATTGTGCAAGAACTGGATGTCGCCCGGCTCGAGAATCATATGCAGGGATAACTCCTTGCACGTCCGCTCCAACACCTCAATGGCGTACTTCTGCTTGTCCGACAGAGGAGGGATCTTGGCATCAGGGCCAGAGTTGAATCGAGCTAGCGACGTCGCATTGTTGGGGTCGAACTTGCCGTATACTCTTGGGTTCGGACCAGTTTCGAGCCAGAACACCGCGCCCCGATACCACGGCAACTGCCCTTCAGATACCTCCCCCTTCCGGTCGAGATACCAATTCGGCTCAGCCAATGTTCTCACAACATCTGGGTGCTCACGCTGCAGCTTGTTGTAGACGTTGTGCGTGGAGGCAATGTCCGATTCACCACCAGAGAGTGACTTGGCAATGCATAACAGACCAACCATATCTCCGGCATCCGTGTGGAAGAATTGCCTGCGATAATTAGATTTATGTGATGAGAGAAACGATGGTGGGCATACCTGGCATTCGTTCGGTAGATTCGGACCTTGAATGTCTGCGTAGGGTCCTCTCCCAAATCCTTGACATGACCAAGTACATGGCCGCGCCCGTTCTGACTGACAAAGTACCCCAGGTACGTGCCAAGGCCCATGTAAGCAACAGCAGACTTGTGCAGACCCCACTGCCTGACAGGCAAGTTCCTGAACCGGAAGAAACCCTTGCCATTGAGCAAGTCCCCGCGCAGCGCATCCATTCTGGCCGAAAGAACGGGAAGGGGAAATAGAGCCTTGGTGATCCCGGTCAAGGGCGTACCCGAAGCAATGAAGGCATCCGCCGCCGCACCAATCTCGGCGTTTTCCTCCTCTGTGAAGGAATGCGTCCAATGCTCGGGGCTGTCTCGATACTCGGAAGCATCCCAAACAGTCGGACCAGTCATTTGCTCGGGGAAGTCCTCGTATGGACGGAGGAGTGACCAGTCTGGTTCGTGCTGCCCAGAGGTCTTTAGACCGTCGGGAAACAACGACAGAGGAACGGATGTATCACTTGTGGTTACTGTGGAAGACATCTTGCGAGACTTGGATTTTGGGCAACGTTTCACAAGGGCTGAGGGGGTGCAGACATGATTTATACCTGAATTTCGGAGTTGGTGAGAGTTGACGACACGGCTCTTCGCTCTGCGCAGTCTCGGTACGTAACCGACGGTCCAAGCGACGGTCCGCTCTGTATGGTACATGTCTATGTCTCGACGAGCCCCAGCCAAACACAACCACATCAAGATTAACATGGATTTTCCATCATTGCCCCTTGTCCAGACTCTTCTACATACTGGAAGCTTACAGCAATAGCTAATGTCGAATCCTGCTAAGCTTCAAGGGATGCTGTTCGGCAACTCGGGCGAAATAAGCGACGTCCCTTCCGGTCGCGGTCGTCGCCGTCACGCCATCCAGGCTAAAATCTAGCAATGCGTCAGGCTTGTTGCATCATCGTCGGATGATTCCTATGGGGACTCAATTGACAATACGAACAATTGATAAGGTAAAGATAAACAGTTCATTGCTTACTCGGAAAGCACTACTCTACCTAATCGTTATCAACATATTCCGATACTTCCTCCGCACGATACACGCTCCCGATATCCGAATCGGATACAGCTGCGTTGGATGGCAGAGCTCGCTGAGAGTATGCCGGCCATCTGGTCAGATTGACCTCGGGTGTCGAAGCACCATGGTCGGACACAGCACTTCCTCCCACATGGTGTGATCCCTGCTGGAAGAACCCCAATACGGCGTCTGTATCGCCAGCGCCCATGAAAGTTATTGACCGGGCGCCGAGATTGCTGTCTCCGAATCTCTGATCAACTCCCCCGTGTAAATGCTGCGTTGCGATTCCGGCAAACAATCTCGCTTCCTGCGCCGCGTTGGTATTCCCAAACTCAGATTTATATCGCGCATGCTCCTCGACGTTATTCGCGCTCTCCCGGCAAAGGCTCAGATGTTCACGAAGAGCCAAATCTCGATCGGCAAGCCTTCTTCTTTTCTCCTCGCCAAGGTCATTGCCCATGACTTCAATTGTAATCTGAATTTTGTTCATCCGGTCCGTGATATCTTGCATGGTCTTGCTGGCCTCGCCCTGGTACCTTTCGATCGCATCATGGCTATTCGTAGATGTGACACTATAACAGCTGAAAGTTAACCTTGGAACTTCGCCGTTTGTCGGGAATAAAACTGGAGCATACAGAACCAAGCTGCTAAGGGCGAGCGCGAGGCTCTCTCGAGCCAAGCTAATGTCCATCCTCAGGTCTTCGATGTCTTCCTCCTTCAACGCCAACCTCATTCGGTCCCCGAGACTGATCTTGTCGGAGTTCTTTGCCGATCTGCCCAGCAGATACTTAAGAGCATCACATTTGAGCTTACACCTCGACAAGACCGGTGATAAGTCAGGATACTGCTGGCCTATGTCGGCGGTTGGTCCCCCTAGATGTTTGTGCAAGCTCTCCAGGATTTCGACAGTCATTCGAACATCGAATTTGGCTCTCTCCAGAACGTCCGGCGCATCTGCAATGCCTTCAATGACTTTATAAAGCTGCTTAGCCGCTCCGAGAACGGCTATAATACCAGAGACAATGCCGAGTGGCTCAGCCATGTTGCTTGACGGTTTTGAACAGCCCAAATTTGCTGGATGCACCTCAGCTCACTCCTATACCCCGCACTGGTTACCGTATACTGAGTCACTGACCAGCCGCAAAAGCAAGGTTGGCGGCTCAACAGCCAATCTTCAACAGTCACGTGTAGACTGTGCTACACACCATTGTTCTTATGACCTGCAATCTTCTGTGGAATGAACACCCTTCAATCTTTCCCATGAATAAGCGTTGGAAGGCTACACCGAAAACATCCATTTGACGACAATTTCCAAGTGCTCCACAGCAACCTATCTCCGTATAATGGATCGACAACCGAGTCGTATCCACCAGACCTTCGGTGAAACAAGCCTCGGATGCAACGCCACGGCAATCCAAGGCTTTTTTCAGGGATGCAGCATTACCACGAACGCTGCATTAACCCCCGAGACGGTCTTGCAGATTGAGCTACTTACCAAACTCCTTTCCGCTACTCATCTACCGGCAGACTCATCTCGGATATTCATGAGCGTCAGCCAGCTTGGCTTCCTTGGTGGAAGCAAGGAGCAAGTCCTCCGAGAACATGACGCCAAGTCGGTTATTGGGAATGTCAACAATATTCTTCAAGAGCTGTCGCGTCCGCTGGATTCAACGGATGCGAGTGGGAATACGTTACTTGCGCAGAAATCTTTCAAAGCGAATCATACTGAGCGCGCTGACGCTCTAGCTATGCTTGGGAGGATTTTGGACGCAGCTACCGAGGTTCATATCAACAATGAAGCGATCGGTAAGATATTGCCTTATCTTTAGTTTGGCAGCTCATCAACTAGGCTCAAGTAGCATACCGCAGAAGCCGCCCGGGGGATTTCGAGTCTATGAGGATGGCGAGGATTACGCACGAGCGCGCTATACCTCATTGCAAGGTGCGCATACAAGCATGGAAGAGTGAGGTCCAGAACAAAAAGGGACGCAAGAGGAAGTACGAGCGATTCAGTGCCAGGGTGGATATCCAACCGGAACTTGTGGGAGACGTCGAGCGAAGATCCTGCATATCAGTCTATCTGCACCAAATTGTAGATTTCGACCATCTGGTGGCTCGGACGACACTTCTACCTCCTGCGATAATAGCACGAAGAATGGTCCCGGATAATTCGCCTGTTTTCCAATACATTCAAGAGAACAATTTCAAGGGATTTCAACAGCTTCTCCACAAAGGCGACGCATCGGTGTGGGATTGTGATTCCTCTGGCCGCTCTTTGATCACGGTAATACGTTGAAGATGTGTAGAATCCAATGATGTGCTAACGCATAAAGTGCGCATTCCGGTTGGGTCGAACCCAGTTCTGTCGTTACCTGATCGAGAACGGGGCGGATATAGATTGCGTGGAGCATTCCTTCCTTAGTCCAGGCAGATATGTGTAAACACCCTCTGCGGAGACGAAGCAAGACCAGGTCTAACATGATACAGGCCCCTTTTAGATCAAACGATCCTCGAAGAAATGGGATTTTTAATTCGCTTTCCAAGGGATCCTAAGCTGCTTGATAGCTCCGAGCGGCTTGATTGCTCCAGGCCGCTCGACAGTCCTGAACCACTCGATAGGGATCTCGCCTTCAATGAATGTCGAAGAATGATATTGGAAGCTGGTGCCGATCCAACAACAACCGTAGGAGAAAGGTGTCTCTTCTTAAGGATGTTGTGCTCCACAGTATGTCTACATTTGCTTTAATATATGCTACAGACCACATAGCAGCTGAGGCTAAACAGTATGCAGAAGTTTGAGGAACGGAATCTCAGTAAACCTACTGTACTCAATCTTATTCTTCGACACAGTTCCCATTATCTTCGCACAAAAGAACGCGATTCTATGGGCCGGACGCTCTTGCTTCAGTACTGCGCACCTGCAGAAGAAAGTTTGGGCCCAAGAGTCCAGGGCATCAAGACTCTCCTCCAACTAGGATTTAGCCTTGATGATCGAGATAATGAACTGAATACTTGTCTGCATCTCTCTCTGGAACACTTTCTGGCATTCATAGCTGGATCTCAAGATTCCAGTCCAGACGATGTTGATAGAAATATTTTTGGGTCCATAGACGCGATGGTCTATATGCTGCGTTGCGGTGCGGACATTAACGCTGTGAACAGGAACGGCGAGACGCCAGCCGACGTGGTGCACCGAAACATCGACTTTCCGCTAGCGGATTACAGTGATGGTTATGCTAGTCTTTTGGAGGTGTGGGAGGATGTGTTGGATGAGTATTATAACGGCACAATAAGTGAGGAGGAGAGTGGGGGAGATGGAGAGGACGACGACGGAGGAGGCGTCGTCTTGCAGGAGGAAGAATAGTGTTGTGGACACCCACGGCCAAAAGCCCACTGGCCTGCAGGCGATGATTGCTGTACAATATGGTCTCCGCAAATATGAGTCCGACGCCCTTCGATCTTGACTGGTCTTGCCTAAGAACTTGGACTCGGGACCTTGTCCCTCGCAACCTACTACACCACAAGAGCCCTGCAGAAGTCTCGCCCGAAGCTGCTGGATGGCAAGGGTCTATTCTCGACTTATGAATGAAAGACTGCCAAGCACCGGTCAGCTGCCGAGACTCTGCGCTGGCCATCTTTGCATCTCGTGGCTGTGCTCGCATTCTAAACGAGAGCCAATCAAATCCCGATCTGCGCAAAAGTACACAGCACCGCTGCTCGCATTCTCGCACTCTCTGAATGACTTGAATATGTATACCGCATTCGTTTCTCGTTATGCTTAGCCAGACAAGCAATGCGAGTGCGAGGATACGGACTGAGCCCTGCGCCAGGCAGACGTGTTATGGCTCTTGACAGACAATGTTCCGTCCCACTATATAACAGCGCTTCAACAATCTTCAAAGAAAGACCCAGTTCGTCGACTTCTACCAAATCTCCCCAGCGCTCTCTAATCTCATCGTCAACATGTACATCAAAAACCCCGATCTGACCAAGCGCGACACCGACTCGGACGACGAAGATTGGAGCCTCTTCTTCTTCACCCCTTCCCTCGCCGCTGCGATCCTCTTCGCCGTGCTGTACCTCATCCCACTCATCTACCACAGCTACATCTCCTGTGTTGCCTACAAGAAGACGAGCAACAAGTACTTCCGCTACAGCTTCTCGGCGCCTATAATCATCGCCACGCTGATCGAGATCAACGGGTACGCGCAGCGCAGTGCGAGCACACAGTCCGTGCAGGATATCGGGCTCTTTGCAACGAGTCAGACGATGATTGTCCTTGCGCCGGTGCTTGTTTGTGCGAGTTTGTACGTGCTCTTGGGCCGGGTGATTCGGTCGACTTGTTCACCACAGCCACAACCGCAAGGGCATGGGCAGGATCGAGGTGGGAGGAGGCGGAGGAGACGCACTGGGACGGGTACCGGTATTGCTAGGGAAGAGGAAGGAAGAGCATCTGAGAAAGCCGCCGACGCAAAAGTCGCAGGCTTCATCCGCATCTCGCACCTCCCCAAGATCTTCATCACGCTCGACGTCGCGGCCATGCTGACACAGGGCGGGGGGAGCGCGATTGCGGCGTCGGGAGAGTGGGAGGGGACACTCGAGGAGATTGGGACGGGCGTGTTGATTGGTGGGTTAGCGCTGCAAGTCGCGACATTCAGTGCGTTTCTTGCAGTGGTCATCAAGTTCCATCGACGGGTTCTGGAGAGGAGGGAGGAGGGGATGCGCATGGTTCTGAGGGGCGTTTATATTGCGGGGTTCTTTATCATGGTATGCTCACCCTCATATCCTGTCTCTTCTATTTGAATTATGCTAACAGGATTCTGGGTAGGTCCGCTCCATCTTCCGTCTGATTGAGTTTGCACTTGGTACAGAATCGTATGTCATGACGCATGAGTGGCCGCTGTATGTGCTTGAGGCGGTGCCGATGCTGATTGCGTTCATGGTGCTGGGGTGGTATCATCCGTCTAGGTGGCTTTCCGCTGAGGCTTCGGGGGAGTCGAAGGCGAGGGCGTGGTATGAGAGGCATCGGGGTGGGTTCTTTCAGAAGTAGGTGGATGGGTTGTTGTTATTTGAGTAGTTTTTGTCTGTTTCTGTGGGTTAGGGTTATGTCGAGAAAGGGTTGGTATGGATGGCTATCTTTGCCCTTCTTGAGGTCTCTTTGGTCTTTCGTTTGTCCGTCTATATATCTTCGTTCGTCTATAGTTTATCAAATATTATAGAACTCCAACACCTCATCCGGCACCCACCGCCGCAACCACTCAACAAACCCCTCCAGCTCACAATTCCACTCCGGAAAGTCCCTTCTATGCCTCTCCACCTCCGGCAGCAAATCCAGCGCAATATAGCCCACCAACTCACCAACCAACCCCTTCATCTCGCTCGACAAGCCCGCATACATATCCTCCACCCATCGATAAACCAAAAAGCCTCCGCCAACCCTCGGAATGGCCCTTTCCCGCGCAAGCTGCATGTACACGGGCTTCATGAACGTGTCGACAGTGATATAGTGCACGAACAGCGCGCGCGAAACATGGTCATCGGCGCCAACGAACGCCATGAACTCGCTATTCCCCATCTCCTTCCACACCTGGTATATCCCCGCCAGCGCCAGGAACGCGTGTCGATGCGAGAGGAGCAGCCCCTCATAGCACGCCCTCAGCGCAGTCCAGAACGCAATATGTGCAGGAGTCTGTAAGTACTCTCGCAATGCATCCAAACACTCCATACAAGACCCTATAACAGCTTCATCCTGCACAGCGCGCATCCCCCCCTCAAGCCACCCCGTAATCATCCCCTCCATCTCCTGCGCCCCTCTCAGATTAAAAATCACACTTTCCCTCTTTTCCTTCGCGAAATACCAGTCCGTCACGAGCCCGCACCCGCGCACCATCACCGCGAAATCAATTACCCCGTCCGCCATGTGGTGCGCCTGGAATGTAAGCGTGTAGCAAGTTGCGAGGGCGCCGTCCATTTCGAGGATTGAGGGGTTGGGGTTTGAGAGCGTGGCGTTTAAGGCGGAGAGGGCTTTGCCGCGGTGGGAGATTGCGAGGGCGTGGTATGTTGCTCTTTGTTTGGTGCTGGTGCTGGTGGAGGGTGTTATGAGGGCGCAGTGCGAGGCGCCGAGGGAGAGGAGGGCGTGGAGGAGGGCGGGACACTAGCCACAACAAACAACCCCATTAGCTTCTGCATATGGCAAGAGAAGGAGGAGGGCGTACATCATGCGCAAAAGCCGGGATGGTCGAGAGCCAAGTCGCCTCGTCGCCGAAGGGGAGGTGCGGGCGTGCGTCGACGAGGAAGTGGTGCCAGAAGCGGAGGTCGTCGGCTGTGAAGGGGGTTGCTGCGAGTCGGGTCGACAGGGATGGCGATGGGGATGTTGATGTCGATCTTGACGAGTACGAGTATTTCTGGAGGCGCGTCTCTTCTGGTGGGGGTGGGTAGACGCAGTCCAGCTCCTTGTGTAGACAGTTCCCGCATGCGGGTTTCGCCTCTGAGCACTTTTGTTTCGCACGATCAGCCTGGAGCTCTCTAGAAGATACCCTGTAAGAGCTTGAAGGGTGTGGCGCGCACCTTGATCCTCCGACTCTTGCAGTTGTAGCACCCCCGGCGGGACTTTGTATGCGGTCGTTTGACGCGGGTCCGGGGCGGGGTTGAGGTGGGCGTTGGGCCGCTTTGAGGCGTCGAGAGGGTTCCGGTGAGCTGATTCTGATCGAATAGAGGCGATGGGGGGAGGAGGAAGGACTGGTTGAGGTTGAGCACGAGCTCGGCTGGGTACTCGATCTCCATGGCGGCCATCTACATGAAAGACTTAAACCAGAGCCTTAGGAAACGAGACGAATTGCTCAGAGGAGCAGAGATTATTTTGAGAACGGGCGGCTTAAGATCTGGGCGTTGAGGCAGCACTTTTCTCGAATACGAGGCTGGCCCTGCGCCACGCTGAGTCCACCAATGATGAACTCACAGATCTCGCATTGTGACTTGGCAGAGTCATTGACAGGGAAGAGCACGATGGAAGGTTTGAGATCTGTTGAGTTATGGTTCTTAGATGGTTATGGTAATGCAACTAGGGCAGGCAAGCGTGCAGCTGAATATAAAAGACACGACCATACCTAAAAGATACCAGCTAGATACATATAGACCAAGTCCAGAACATACGGCAACAAGCAGCTCAACTCTTCGCACTCCCATGCCCACCCAGATAACACCGATGATTGCGAAACCAGGCCCGAATATGCGGATCAATGTAGTTCGGATCCCGGACCTCCTTCCTCAACGACACCATCAAACAATGCTGCATATGCGCCTCATCCACCCAAGTATCCAGCCTGGCCTCCAACCGCCTCGCATTCACCGTGATACTGCGATTCATCATGTACGCACAGTGCTCGTTATGCTCGCGCTCACTGACCCACAGCCAGCTGGGCCATGTCGCGGGATCCCCGTACATGATCTGCTCCTGTGTAACGACAATATCGCCGTGAAGGTCGGCGAAGAAATCGAAGTTCTTGTCTTTTGTGTGGAACTCGTGCATGGCTTCGTCGAAGCACGGGTTCGGCACCCAGCCGTTCATGAGCAGGTCGAAGGAGCAGTCGGGTGGTGGGGTGGGGTAGACGGCCTCGTCGCAGATGATGTACGGGCCGTGGGATGCGTCGGTGTGGATGGGTAGGGGGCCTGCGTAGGAGTGTGACTCGATGAGGGTTTGCACTTCTCTGGGGATGTGTCGGAGTAAGAGGAGGGTGTAGAGGGTTGTTGTGAAGAGGAAGAGGAGGGAAAGTGCCAGACTGCAGGCTGTCAGGGGCGAAAGGTGCATTGTTGGCCACCGGCGTCTCGCTTTTGGACATTCAAGAAAGTTGATGTGTTCTTCCTCGAGGTAGGTGTTCCGGAGCGTGTCCAGGTCGCACATGTCGTCTTTGGGTCTCATTTTGGCGGGCTCCATTCTGACTTCTGGCTTTTGACGAGAGGCAGGAAGACAGTCGATCGCGATATCCTTCTGTGGGGCATACGGACGACCTCTTTGATAAATATCAATCTTCAGATCGGGGACGGGCGTGGCCGTGGTTCTGGTTCTGATTCTGATTCCAGTTGGGTTCTGCGGTGGTAGCCAGATTAGGCCTCAATAGAGTCATGCTTGGCGTTCTTATTGAGAAGACGGTGGCGCCACTTGCGTTTATTGACCTGTTCTCCAGTTATTCAATGGCCTCTGTCCTGTCGAGCCGAGAGCTACCTGGCATTGATTCTTTGTTCCGCACGTGCGGCCCGGCTCCCCAGTCTTGTCTGCATTGTGCAATAGAGTTGCTGTGGCATGGCGTAATCTTGTGCCAATCTATGCAGCGAGCTGTATTGTCGGACCTGAACTGGCACGTGCAAAGTACTAGTTAGTGATACCAAGCAGGTGCTGTGAAGCCGCTCAGGTGCCATATCTCCAAATCGTGGCTTCTGGTGGTCGTTTCTCTGCACAAGGAACACGAGGGGCGTCCATCACAGTGCGCTATGTATTGGGTAGGTAGTTTAGTCAAGCCATTGACATCGACGAGCCGCCTTGATTCTCCAGGACCAGTACGGGTTCTCGAGCATGCGTAAACTCTCTTTCTTGTTTGGGCCCTTCATTGATGCGATGTGGCGTATCGGAAGAAAGCCAAAAACATGGCAGAGATTTCTGGCCGTACACCAGTGCTCAAGGTAATAATGACATGAAAGTAGACGAAGAAGTCTCCTGAATGAATAGAGTCGAAACGTTCTATTCATCCTTTGGCAGCAAATCCTATTCGTACGAACTTATTTGTTGCTGTTTAGCGCAGCACGATCTCATAGTCTCATTGGGCTGGTATTGGCGGCCTTACAAGGACAAGGCGTCTGCTCATAGATTCAAAACGGTCACGCAATGCCCAGACTCAACGCACATCCTTATCACGTACCGAAGCAGGGTCAAGACCGTACAAGGCCTAACGGCCCTGTTAAGCAGCCTGCTGATGCCGCCAGCGGTCCCGTGCACTTGTCGAGCAGATGCAAGAACTCATGATGAAAGTCAACCTCCCCCGCACCCGAGGTCCCCAGACCAGGCTGAACGGTTCTAAACGCGGTCCTTTGGGTTTAACAGTCCAAGCGGTTCTTGACCATCCTGAAACCCCTCAAAGGCCAAACAGTCTTCAACATCTTTTCCATATAGCGGGTTTACAAGCTCAACGGCACCTGCACTATCATCGACCGAGCGAGCAGCATAGCCGCGAATTGGAGCCCTCTCGTTTTGACGGATTTCAGGTTTGCGACCACGATGACGCGCCGGCCTTGCATTTCTCACAGCGGAATTCTGTTGTTCAAACTGGAGCAGACACTGCGCACTGTCATTCCAGTTTCAGAGTCTAAGCTTGTGTTTGGTGTGTCAGGGCGTCGCCGCAATCGACGATGGGAAAATACAGAGAGTCCGCGTTCGGTGGTGCTCTGCTTGGGGAATGCGTCCGACACAGAGGTCGATGAGCGATGGGCAGAGTTGCGTGGTTGTCTTCTAGTTCTGATCCTTCGCTTTCCTCTTCTTTTCTTTCTTGGGTTCAGCGACGCTACCAGAGATGGCAGCCGCCTACCCTCCAAATTGCGCCCACCATTCCTTTACCATCTTCTCATCAATCTTCGCAAACAGGTGTTTTGCGGAGTTGATCTCATGCTGAAATGAGATGGCCTATCTTCCAGGTCGAAGTCACCGCGCGAAGCAGTGCGTTCAGTCACTGTGCAATCGCGGTGGAGATCGCCGGCATGTAGGTAAAACACGACCGACAGTAGGTACACCAGATTCGGTGCGGCACCAATCACGCCATGTGCGCGGTCAAGGTTGTCTGTCATAAGGGCGGCGCCAAATTTGCTTTCCATGATGAACTGGTTTGCCGCGAGTCAAGAGTGCAAGGGCAATTTCTAGGCCTGCGCGCAGCCGCACGGCTTCCATGTCGGCAATGTGTCGCGACAGTGGATGATTGATATCACACTCAAGGCGACAGAAAAGGGATCACGCACACAGCTTGGTAGTCTCGGACTTTGCTGTCCAAAACCTTGTTTGTGGACATTATTTGATTACATGGTTCACAAGGTTATCTAGGCTCTTGAGGGTGCGTTCGCCATAAGGTCGGCGTTATTATTTCGGATAAATAACATTCACTTGAAATGAGTCGATCTGCTTGCAACGAGAGCATCGCCAGACAGAGGACGGAATCCCTCTTTGCTGGGCATTGTCGCCAAAGACGCCGACTCCACGGGATTTAGGGAATTTTTACTTCTTGTAATTGACATATTTGGCTGTTGAAAGGTGGTGCAGCATCGTCCACTCCTCGCGCGTACCGACCTCCCCATTTGAGGTCTCGCGCCCTCTCTTAACCACAGTTGGAGAGTGTGCAAACCATTCATCGACCACGCTTCGTCTGCGGCGGACTTTGTGACCCAGGCTTTCAGCTGGGGTTGGATCTGATCTAGGCACAGGTGGGCAGGGGTTGTCTTGCGGGGCAAGGACTTTACGCCATCGATTTTGTAGCGTGGATGTTGTAGTTCCAATGCATTCAACAGACTTCCGCACTTGTCACATTGGTCTCCACTGGCATTGTCATAGCCGCACTTTGGACAGATTCCTTCAACAAAGTGATCTTGTAGAAAGGATTGGTGTTTCTCGCAATACGGCTGCATCTCAGGGCGTTCTTCTAAGAAGCAATTGTCAAATAGCTTCGTAACAATATTCGAAGTGATCTCAGTTTGTTTCGTCGTCGTTGTACGGCCAAAGTAACCTAATTCGATGTCAGACCACTCTTACCCAGCTTTGTGGATGCGATGATACTTGTCGCAAAGTGCCTGTTGTGCCCTCTTCCAGCGCTCTGGTTCCGTTGGCGGTCTCGGACTTGTCGGAGAGAAAGGCCACTGCTACCGTTTGGTCCTGTACAAACTGCTTTTTGAGATAAGGCACCCAAGCACTGTCAGGGTTGTTTAATCCGAGCCAGGGCCGTCTGGATAGGATAAGGTCTGGTCTTTCCCGTGCCGCTACGCATGGAACTTGTTGTTAAAGAACCATTGATACTTGTCAAATTGTTCAACGGCAAAAGGGCGGAGACGCTCTTGAAGAGATCTCGCGTCGACTGGCCTGAGACACGCGAGAATAACGCTTTTCTCATTTCCCGACAAAGGCGATTAGGACTTGCTAGATTCGCCTGATGTGCTGGCCATGGGTCTTCCAGGATGTGCGGCGGTGGGAGACGGTTGTTTTGCTGCAGTGAGTAAAGAGTCAGATATCGATACAGACGCAGTTGTGTAGGATGAATTTAGCTTACAGAACCGGCGAAAAGAAGGGGTTCGAAAGAAGCCCGTATTTTCAGCCTCGTCCGGCGAAGTGGAAGGGGCCTTGCGGGGCCACGTCGATGTGCAGCTTGTGTGACCATCATCGTCAAATCAGCCGATCGTAATTCACTGAACGTCCTATTCTTTCTCAGCTGCGAGATGCGACCAAGAGAGCAGTCTCGTGTGTTAATGCGAAGGAGCGAGGACGAACATTGATACTGTAGTGGAAGGGACTCCTCGGTCCCTGAGCACCGTATACTGATGGTACTCCTCAGAGAGCTTCATATAGAACGACGGTTACCTACCGTTCGAATTCAAACCCTCAGCCTAACTTCGCTCTTAGAAGCTGTACCGTATACTAAGGCAGTCCACTTATATCTCGAACCTTGCGGCGACTCAAACCAGGACCCAATCAGGAGCATGCTTGGCCAGTCCAAATCCTTTATCACAAAGACCAAGCAATGGCGCAATCTGACACCATGACCCCGCACGTTCATAAAGACATCGAAAGATCTCCAACATCGCCTCAGCCTCCTTCCTCCCCACTGCCACCGTGTATCAATTGTTGGGAGCGTCGAAAAAGATGCCTCCGCCCGCTCAATCCGCTGCATTGTCAGCATTAGCAGACCTCAAACTCCCCAAAGACATCCACATCTCGCCCGACGGGTCAAAAGCGGTCTACGCCCTCGAGTCATTCGCAAAAAAGAACAAGAAGGCGGTCTCATCGCTTTGGATTGCAGATGTTGGTGTTGATCACTCCGCGCGCCAGATTACGTCTGGCTTGTTCAAGGACGAGAAGCCAAAGTGGTCGCCCGATGGACGGTATATCGCGTTTCTTTCTGATAGGCGATACGTTGGCAGTGAGATTTACCTGCTGGAAATTGGAGGGTTCGGCGAGGCGTATCCATTGACGGACGAGCAGGCTGGGCGAAACGTGAAGGACTTTGAATGGAGTCCAAGCGGTAAATTGATTGCCTTTGTTAGTCCGGATGGCGATGTCAATGAAGAGGAGGTGGACGGGGATGAGCCCATAGTATTCGGAGGCGATGAGGGAACAAACAATCATCGCCTCCGAGCATTTGACGTTGGAAGAAAAACTCTCCAAACGATGTCACCACCGGACGAGAAAGTGGACCTCTTCTCGTGGAGTCCGGGCCCTCACGCCGTCGAGGTCGCATATACCGTCTCAGATGCATCTGTCTCTGGGTTCAGCTGCGGCCGAATCAATATTGCTTCTATCGCCACCAGCCACGGCGAATCCGAGACATTCATCACGACGAAAAGCCCGATTATCTCGCTTGTCTGGACGCAATCGGACAAACTCCATTTCATCGCTCGTCCACCACCACCATATACCCAACCGGCTGTGTATGAGGCGCGAATCAAGTCGAAGCAGTACGGGAGTTATTTCGGCTGGACGGGCGAAGCTCTTTCACTGCATAAAACACGAGAATCGGTCGTGGCCTGCGTACAAAATACCAACCATGAGTCCGCGCACGCTTTGGGCGTTGAAGGTACAACCTGGCCTTTTGATAGCTTCTTCGATTCGGAATACGAGATCACATCATTTGACGCATTCCGGAAACCTGACTCGGATGACTTCATCCTGGTTTTTGCGCGAAGCAGTCCACAAGTCGCGAATGAGGTATGGTCTGTCTCCTTCAAGGACGGAAAACAGCAAGGTCTCGTCAAAATCTCATCACACAACTCAGCATTTGACGGATTCCGCTCAAAGCGTATTTCAGCTACCGGTCCAGATGGATGGGAGTGTGATGGATTGTTGTTCTCGCCCAAGCCGGTCACTCTCACTCGTCGTCTGCCACCGACCGTTGTCCTTGTTCAAAGCGAACATGTTCTCCCTTCTTTCTCGATTGGTCCTCATCTTGATGTCGCGTATTTAACGAGCGCCGGATACGCGGTCCTCTGTCCGATTGTACGTCCAACGAGCAGCGGAGGCAGGATTGGTGAGCAGTATACGGAGGTCATTGCTATTCTGAAGAAAGCAGTGTCGGAGGGCCTGGTCGATGAGTCGCGCGTCACAATCAGCGGATGGGCAGACGGCGGATTCCTCTCTTCGCTCGCGGTCATCCGCAACGAGTTCAGTTTTCGCGCTGTTCTCTGTGGTGGGGGCGTCGTGGATTGGGACTTCGTCAACGCAAACGGCGATTCCTCATGGCCGGCGCCAGATATCCCAAGCCTCTCCAGGAAAGACAGTGGAATTGACATTGGGAGAGCGGAAGCTGAAAGCAAATCTGGAACGAGACAAACGCCACTGCTCATCCTGCACGGGCGAGAGGATGACGTGGTTCCCGTTTCTGGGCCTCTGGCATTCTGGCGGCAGAGGCAGAGGTGGAACGGGGCTGTGCAGATGGTGCTTTATCCGAAGGAGAAGCATGTCATTCGAGGCCGGGAGCAGCTGCTTGACTTGTGGACGAGGGTGCTGGGATTTTATGAGAGGCATGTGGCCGACTGACGTATGTTAATAGAAGTTTTCGTTGAATGTATATTGATTGAATGGTCGAAGTGTTGAGTGGCTGCAGAGGTGCGAGGAGCTTCCGTTTGACTACCCCGCCACGGACTCTGGTCAACTCTGCTAGTGCTTTCCATGACCGTTTGACTCTTGCTCATATTTACCTTTCCAACATCTCGCTCCTTTCCTCTCTCAATAGCGCGAAGCCAAGCACTCTTCCCGTGGTTTTTCTCTTCATGGTCCACGTCCCAGAACTTATTTCTTCTCCTGAGTCTTCCAATTCTTTTAGAGCCTCAGCCCTTGCGCTAGCTTGATTGAGTGTCCGACGTTGCATTATCGCCAGGTTGCGGGGCTACGGTACCTAGTGAGGCTCTAGAGTCATTGCTCCAGACTCCAGTGAGTCACTTCTCCACTTGGCTATCTAGCTCATGATTATTTATCTCACTAATCTCTCAGCATCAACGGACTATCCTCGCGTCGTCTACAAACAAAATGATTCCTGACGCTCTGCAGCCAGCAGCGCTGCTTGCTCAGCCGCAAGCACTGGCTTCCCATCTCCGCACTCTTCTAGATGCCGACCAATCGCTCGAAAACCTCACCTTGATCAACACGTGCATTCTTGACCAAGTCCACACAGAAGCAATTCCCCCCTTCGTTTACAAGATCTGGCTACAGTTGACATGCCAGTACACGTGGCAATTCACCGTCTCCGCCCTGCGCGATCCATCCCACAGCGTCCGTGCTGCCGCCATCTACGTCGCCCGACGCCGTCTATTCCGCGGCAGTGTTTGGAAAGAACGTGGATGGGATCTACTCGGGGGCGCGCAGGGAATCAAAGACATTCTTGATGACCTGCCACTGGCTGAAGTGAAATGGCTTGTCAAGGTGATTTTCGGACGCTGTGGCGCAGGCGGCCCCTCCGACTGGGATAGGGAGTCGGTATCCGTCTGCGTCGAGGAGTTCCTTGCGCTTGTTGAGAACACCGATCGATGGACTTCGAGATCGCTAATGCCACATGTGTCCTTCTTGTACGCGTATTGCAGGGCAGAAAAAGTTGACCAACTGCTTCGGTCGCAGTCGCCATTGTCCTCCGCGATTCTCGGTTACCTTCCTCGCTTCCACATGCCACTACTGCGACGGATTGCGATTGGAGCGGTCGCGATGCCGGAAAACGTGCGACGTGACATCCTCGAACGGTGCCGACGCTCCCTGCTCAGCTCGAAGGAAGCATACGAGCCCATCTACTACCAGGACCAGCCCTCGGCGATATCTGGGTTCCCCGGGCTAGTGTTCGGCATGGATCTTGTCATCGCCATGGAAAAGGAGCCAGAACAGTACAGCCGTTACGAGTACGGTCAATGGGTGAAGGCAATCCTTCAACAAGTGATTCGCAAATTACTGCCTTTCGAATTGGTCCTTGCCATATTCAACCGAGCCCTACCAACTCTTCAACCTCCCGCGAGAGCACAGTTTCGCAAAAGCTCCCGTTGGCTTTCATGGGACTTCTATAAGGACGTGGTGCAGTTTTGGTCAATTGCACGTTTTGGTCAGGCAAAGGATGCTTATGGGGACGTGATAGCGACATTCATAAAACGGCGGCGCACCAAGCCACTCTCGGTGCACCTGGGACCTTTGGAAAAATGCCTAATCCAGCACCTGCTGCAAAAGAAGGACGACCGCTTGGACGTCCACCAACGAAGCCGGGACACGTTCTTTAGGACCATAGGACAGCTTGTCTCGTACGTAGACCTGAAAGGCAGGTTGGAGTTTCTGCATTTGCTCTGCCGGCACTCACCGAGCCTGGGCTTTGACCTCACAGCCTGGCCGCCGTCTCAAAGAGAGCAAGAGCTTGTCCCAGTCTGGGATTTCAAGTTCCTGAAGTATAGTCTGCGCCCAGAACACTCGAAACTGCTATTCAGCCGATCACTGCATATCCATCGCTGCGAGGACTTTCTTCCCGCCGGCGAACCACGGTCCGGTATCCCGTCATGGGAAGAACAATGCTTCTTTTGGGCAGAGTGGGAATCCTCCGAACCCGAAGAAACCGGGTTCCGCGTGACCAGGAAAGGTAAGCAGGCCGCTGCACTCGTTTATGTACTTACTCATGGAGATCAGCTCTGGACGATATGAAACTGAAGTCGATGCGGGGACGCCAGCCGCACGAGAGGCTGCAGTGGGCGAAGTCGGTGGTGAAACTCGCGGACACGGCCGGGAATCTGGATTTCTTTGCGGAGATACTTGAGTGGAGTAAACGATATATACGGGACGCAGTGAGTTGAATCTATTCCAGGTGCTCCCCGTAGACCACTCTGGCTGACTGATGTCAACAAACAAGCTGGTCTTTCGTGATTTACTAGGCGTGATAACGACGAGTTGCTGCGGACACATGCTTTCGTGCCGAACTGCCTTGAAAGGAGAAACGACATCTGTGCTGGAATTGAAATCCTGCCTGCTGCGAGAGGCGCAAATCGGCCATAAGATCTTGGAAGACCTCTTACAAACATGTTTACTTCTTCTCCGAGAACCATGGGCCCAGTCATCTATGGCGAAAATGACAGCGGGGATAAAAGGTATGCTTTCGAGCGTGGTCGGTAACAGGATGAACGCAGTCAGGAAGTGGTCACAGCCCTGCGATGAACGCGCATCGATCCCGGAAACTGAGGCAGTTGAGATACTCCTCGAGCCTTTACTACCTATACTGCTGAGATACGAGCGAGAAGGCAACACAAAGGGTCAGACCAGCGTCAAGTGGACTGGCCCGTCCGGGTTGCTGGTTCTGTCTAGTTGCCTGCCCGACGATCCCAATCCCGGGGAGCTATCATTCGTCGATCGATTGGCAAAAGCACGAGACGAAGTCTGGCAGCAGCTTCGCGCTGAGACTGATCCAAGTGTCCTTGATCTAGGATTAGGGTGGCCCCGCGGGCTTGCAATCCAACATCTAGTTAGCAGCCCGGACTGGCTAGGCCATGTTATGAGGCGGCCGCACCACGCACCCTTCCTGTCATCCAGAGCCAACGAGGTGCTTTACAGTACCATTGGCATTATCATGGTCGAAGTATCTAAGAGCAAAGACCGTGCTGGTGAATTTGTTGATGACCTCAAGTTTATCATTCGTGCTCTTCTCACAAATGATGATAAAGAAGCCAAACGTCGTGATATTCTAGGGGTGTGGGAATACTATTCAAAGTTATTACACCCACATCCGGCCTATCTCGAACTGTTCAGGGACTGGCTTGTCGATCGTATTCCTTACTGGGAGGTCGAGACGACAAACATCATTCGTCCTCCCATCTTGCCCGTCAGACCGAGAGTATCACCCGTGCCTGCAGGATCAGGCCCCGAAAACACCCAATGGAATCCTTGCGAAAGCGATTATCTTGTTTCTGAGACAGCCTCTGGAGATCAACAACAAATGTCTGACAAGATACCGTGTACGATGCTGAACTGCCGAATGGTGGGCGAAATACCATCCGATGCTCTTTTCGTTCGTCGAAGCAAGCCGCAAGCTATCCCTGAGCCTCTTTCAATCTGGTCTCCCAATCTGTGTTTACCACCGAGAGACAACCGAGACTCACGTTGTGTCCAGGAACCTATTCTTCTAGCAGCACTATTATTCTTGGACACGCATTGCAAGAGCCCTGGAATACTTGGAAGAAAATTCCCCGATGTCGACTACCCGCGGTATCCTCCGGTCTATCTGACAGATGAGTTCATTGCGTTCCACACCAAAAGCACCCCATACGAAACGTTGGTTCCGCCGATAGAGGTGTTGAGAAGGTCCGCTAGACGAGTTCCTCCGCGACTTCTGCGAGACCTGATCTGGTCGTTCCTGGATACTTTGAAAGCAGAACCCAACGCCCCCATGTACTCCACAGTCCTGTTTCGCACCTTCGACTTGATTGAAACTCTTCTCGTCACCGATAAGCCGCAACTGGCAGTCGACGTCGTTCTTCGAGTCTGGACGGACTTTCCGCACGAGTCTTCCTTTCATCGCAGAGTGAGCCTCGCCAAGCTAGGACGCACTCTTACCCGCAATCAGGCCCGTGATATGATGTGGCGGCTTACCGAGTATGTCTGCGACGCGCTGAAGCAGGCTCAACATAGTCAAGGCCCGCAACAGAAGACAGAGGGCAATAATAGACCATTCGTCAAAGTCACAACGGCGAAGATGCTCGCACAGGCCTTGGCGGAGGCGAACTTTCTCGCACAGTGCGATCAAATGGCGATGTTGCAGCGATTGTTCGATTCCGCGCGCCACATCGACATTCGTCGTGAGGCCGTCGCTGCGCTACTGGAGCTCGTCAGCAACAGTGACAGCCCCGAGCCGTACAAAGTCTTTGCGTCAATCGCTTCCTCTGTCGCAGGCCCCAACGAGCGGGAGATGAGCACTGAAGCAGAGTGGGAAGCTGCAGAGAAGGAGGGTCCTCTTCCCTACGTTGGACCAGTTTCCGAACGTCCGATCCTGGACCTGGTGGTTTCCACTGCCGCGCACAAAATTCCAGAAGACATGCGGGTGGGATATGTCCAGAGCGTCCTGCTCCCGCTGCTGAAGGAGTCCACCCGTCAGCATACCCGATGGATGGCCGCGATGAGTTCTAGGCTTGGACCTGGCCTACCTCTTGGCGACCGAGATCTTGTTGACCACCGAATCGGACCATTCGCACCAGACCTGCCGGATGAGATCCTCCAAAAATGGGCAAACTATCTTCCGTGCTCCTATCTGTGGCAGTACCATCGCCCCTGGGCTTTGCCTCGCCTTCAACACGAGTCACTTGTTCTAATTGATAAGGCGCTAGCGGTGACAACTGACGTTGCGCTTAAAGAGATCAATGTTCAAGATCATTGGCAGGCATTCCTCAATCATTTTCGCTCCCGACCTTCTCTCCATCGTCTGGACTTCCTCCTTGCTCGATTTGCTGACAAGGGATCGAAAGCGCCACAGGGGCTTCAAACGTCGCTGATTTTGGAAGAATTTATTGTTCGAGCCGAAGCCATCGCAAGACATCCACTAAAATGGAGCAAGTCCCGCAAGGAATACATCGTCTGTCCAGATTACACACTAGTACCACTGCGCCTCCTCCGAAAGAGCCGGGTGGACTGCGTTAACGCTCTGGCGAACCATCATGACAAGGTGGCTGTATTTGATAGAATATCTGATGCGATGAAACGAGTTGTCGAAATATGTGAAGCCGTCCGCAAAGAGGCACGTCCAGTCAACGGGTATCCAGTTACCCTGCCACCTTCTTTCGAATACGATATCCTCCAGCTCCCGTCTCCGATCTTCTACCCAACCCCGCCCGCCTACGAAGCAAATCCCCCCTCTGCAGCAGAAGCCTTCACGGAGCACCTCATCGACTTCATCATTTGGCCGTGGTCCTCGGATCCCATTTTTCTGCTGAAGCTCAACGACTGTTTGGAACCTGTTCTGCGCGAGATTCCAGCCGCTGATTTGAAGAAATGTATCTTGCGTCTCGGGATGGCAGGTGCGGCGAGCAGTGAGGGGCGCAAATGGGATGATAAGGGTGCTGTGTCGTCTGTCATGGTGAAGTTGGCGCGTTCGTTGTTGGGGCGCTTGTTTTCCGGGTCTGGGTCTGGGTCTAACAGTACCCGGATGGACTCGGAGATATTGGCGATGATTGAGGGGTGGAAGAGGAGTGATCTTGAGTTTGTGAGGCAGGTTGCTTGGGAGTGGGAGTGGCCATCCAAGTAGATTGCCTCATGACACACTTGGACGAGAATCTTTTAATCAGCGGGAGGATTCTTCAACAAGCGGAGAATGCTTTGATCAATGGAGAGGGTCTAAGGCAAGTACGTAGCTCGGTACCATAGAGTGCTAGATACATTTGCAGAAAATCGAAGAACAGAACCACTCTCTGCTTTTCCAGACCCCATCTGCCTCAACCTTGAGGCGTCAACCTATTCTTGAGTACCGTATCCTATAGTGACATGAATCCCGTTCGTAGCCTTGCCTTATGCTCGGGTAGCCAACCCTACCACCAACTCATGTGATTACGCCATCGTCCAAAAGGCTAGGCAGGTCAGTGCCCTGCGATCACATCATACCAGACCTGGCAGTAGTATACTGTGCAAAGTGGTATAGATGGGTGCAGCACCAACTTCTCCTAGCTATGATTTTTCCCTTCACTCGCTGCAAACGGAAGGCAGATGGGCTGGGCTCATTGGCTCTGAGCTTTATTTTCCCTGGCTTGAGTGTCCTTTGCCGTTGGCACGTACCTAATGTTCTACCTACCCTACTTCCTTATTATCCTGCGAGTCTACCTATTTGTATTCCAGCCCTGGGTATACACCTTCCAAGCACAGCCGAGCCCCAATGTGTTGGTCATCCGAGAGCACAATGGCATCCATCACCCGACTCATGACTACTCCGACTTCGAATACCGGCCCCTGAGCCATCATCAAGCGCTGGATGGAATATTGTTGTCGACACAACTTCCCCGCACTTCTGCCCATGACCCACTCGCCCCACCACCCGCCGGGCCGGACCGAACTGAGCCCTAATTCATACAATTACGTCAATCTACCGCCGTGCTCTGCAGCTGGACCATGGTCACATTCTTGTGTCTTGCGCATGTCTATGTCTCGAATTATTGGACCCAGGTGAGGACTGACAGATTGATAGATCTCGGGAGTCTTGAAGTCCGCCATGCGGCACAGAGATCTTTGGGCCGATCGCCGTCTAATTGAGAGTGATTGCTGAAGTCGTTTGGATATATTGTATCTTGGCCACTGGAGATGAGCACAGCAGGACTGGGAATATCATATGTCCCTTGGTGTTTCTTCCACTTTTAAGATAACTATCGAGACTAGAGGCTCATGCTGTCCTTCATTGCCGTCTGCCAGTGTATTCTGTTAGACTCCGCGGTGATCATGGCCTCGCCTACCCAATAATCGTCAGTTCTGGAAGCACTGCTATATACGGCGAACGGCGAGTCAGACGCGGCATCTCGCTCCGCAACGAGTAACATGAACCCCGCCACATGGAAGTCCGTACTGTGTGGCCTAAACCACGAATATTGCAACAATTCCACCTACCACGAAAGGCTATATAAGGCTTCCTCTTGGCTGTCCGGAGTAGAAGGTTGTGCTGCAAGAGACCGAAGTAGCATCCATTTGACATTATATACTGACGGGAAATATCCATCAGGACAAAGGAAGAGTTGACAATGGTCGACTCGTGATGCAATCCCCACAATGAAGCAGGTGTCTGGTATGTATTCCGCACCAACCGTTCAGAAATATGGTTTGAGTAAGAAGCACCGCTGGTGACTTTGCCTCAATGCTGGAAATAAGTTCCGCTAGATGACTCGCGTCAGCTGCTACCTTGCTATCCGTCATCTACATCACCGCATTTACATCACTCCAGCCCTTTACAGGTCCGTACATGTATAAGATCGACTGTTAGTTGCTCTGCTTGACTAGACAAACAGGAGTCTTCGACCATGGCCCATAATGTCCATCTCCCGCAGGAGATCCTTGATCAGGTATTTCACTCTTCATCCATTTTCTGGAGCTCAGCTAAGCTCCCCAGATCGCAGATGAATTCATCGACCACTGTCCGAACAAACGGTACGCCATGCATATTCTCCGGCTTGTAAACCAGGCCTTCTACCACAGCGCGAACCGGCATTTCTACCGCCACAGGAATGTCGTTCTAGCCTTCAACAGTGACCGCAATAGCAGCTCCGATATCATCGACCAACCAACGCACTCCTTCTCCCAGAGCGCCAACGCACGATACGTGAAGACCATCGCAATTAGTGCGACTGTAACACGCAGCGACGGACACCCAAACGCCAACAGAATCAACACGCCCCATTTCCCTCTCGCTTCCCCGCCCTACAGGGCCTGCATATCTCCAACGACCCCTGCTTGCTTGCGTTATCCCCAACAAACAAGAACACAGAAGACCATTGGAGAAAGGTTACATCCGAAGCCCTCTTCGGCGCCCTACAGGAAGCATCGAGCATGGGAATTCGCATACGGACTCTGACCCTCTCTTTCGAACTCGATAACCAGCACCTGAACAACCTCTGGAACCCAGCCTACCCTCCAGCCAACCCCGAAGATCCAGACGGATCCGACGAAACGCCTACCCTCGACACAAGCGTAATAACGCGCTATCTTCGCGCCGTCATCCTAAACCCTCCGCGAGCTAACGATCAAGGGCGACTCCCACGGTTACCTAGAGTCCACTCCGCATCCGACGGCGGAAGGCGGCCTGCTCCAGGCACTGCAGTCCGGCGGCACCCTGCAGTCCCTAACGCTCGATTCCATCCCTCCGCATCCGCATCCGCAGCACGACTTAACCCGCGATACCGTTGCCTTCGCCCGCAGCGGCTCACTCCGACTCATCCCTTGCTCCGCACCCCTCCGCCATCTCCGCATCGAGAACACGACCGTTCCCGCGGCGGCCCTGCTGGCCATCAGGTCCTCCTCCGCGTCCCTCGGGACAGTTTCTGTATGTTTTGTCCGCGCCGTCAACGGCACATGGAGGCAGATATGCAAGAGGGCCATCCGGCACTGCGTGCATCTGACAGATCTGACGGTCAAGGGGTGTCGGATCTCTGGGCCGAGGAGTGCCTGGTTCTGGGCGCAGCGCGTTGTCGACGAGGATGCTGTTGATCGTTGTATGGATCGGGTTCGGCTTAGGCGGAGGGACTGTTGCGTGGGGGATGTTATAGTCATGGATAGGCAGGCATAGATGCGTTCGGTTGGGATTTCACACCGACGCATGCCTTGCATGTTGTCGCTTGAGCTCTTGTGTTTGCTTGTTGCTGTTATAGAGGGTTTGTTATTGTTTACCAATGTCATTTGTTCTGCGACAGGCGCCAGTCCCTTTTCCTGTAGGATGACGAACACAAGATTATGGTCCCGATCATTGCCTTCTCGGGACCTATAAGTCCCATGGACGTCCACAGGTATAGATACGCTAATCAAATCTTTGCCATCATGATATACCTCAAGGCATCGTCCAAACCGTACTGGTTGATGCATGCAATCAGAACACAAAAAGTGGTACTGCTGCCGGCTACACAGGGAAATTAGCCATTAAGACGCAGCGCACGACACTCAATCAAGCGAATCTGCTTCCAGCTAGCCCCAGGAAACCAAGTAGAGCGCAGGCCAAACGTCTTCAGGGTGGCGGCGAAGGTTCGAAGAGCCGCTTGCACTTCATCCGCGGACAGCTTGCAGGTCTGGAGATGCAGTTCGCGGAGCGGCGCCGAGGTCGGTAGGAGAGATAGGCAGCGTCCATCCTCGCAATTAATCCTGGCTAGCCTGAGGAGTTGGAGATTTGTTCCGAGGGCTAGGGGCTCTAGAATGCGGCTTTGGGGTGGGATGGTGTGCCATGACCCGGCTGTGAGGGAGAGGGCCTTTAGGTGTGGGATTGCGCGGGTTAGGTAGCACGCGCCGTTTGGGATTAAAAGCTGGAAGGAAGATTCTAGTTCGTTTCCTGCTTGGGTGGCTGCTTCAGATTTGGATTCGGACACAGCGGGATCTGGGACAATTAGTTCGAGGGGAGCGAGACTGAGCATTTCCAAGCGAACTGGGTATGTCAAGAGAGTTTCCTGTATCGCGCACCAGAGTGCAGCGCGCCATTCTCTCGGCCTGTACGGTCCCCAGTACTTGGGCTCGAAATCTAAATAGAGGTGGCGCAAGGCTGGGAGCTCGCTCAGGGCGACGGAGATCTCTTCCAGGCGTTGTTTGACCTCTGGGACATCGTCAAGGTTGATTTCAATATGGCGCAGGCCCGTGACGCTCACGACTCTTATAAACCGGTCGTGACTTTCGTGTGGCAGTGATATCAGTTCAGAAGCCAGCTGGGCTTGTCCGTGAGCACGGCGTTTCCTATCCTTGGGGTCCAGGCTATATTCCACAACGCAAAAGAGAGCCCGCGTAGCAGCCCAGTAGAAGGCGCGATTGACTTCGCGCAGACGTTGCAGGGTGGGGATATTGTGTTTATCATATCTGTTGGTGAGGAGATGTCGGACGATCTGAGGCTGTTAGGTTGGGACTGGAATGTGCTGTTGTTACGTACCTGGTCGATTAGTTCTTGAGGGAGACTACTCAGCGTCGCCATTTGGTTGATGATGATGACTTGAGGATGTACTTCCTCAGTGATACACCTAATCCTCCTTCATATAATGACAAGACTATATATGACAGACAGGCCTTTGAGTCATTTGCCGGAGTTGATCTCCGCTCAACGTGTACATTACGCTATACTACGCATCATCTGGACCAGCCATACATCCTTGCTTTCGCTGAGGACTGGACGTCAGCCTAGGCTTGCCTCCCGGTTTTGGCATACTGCTACATCTAAGGGTACGTGACTTTGCATGACTTTTGAGTCATGGCGGAACTGGTCTCCGTCCACATGGGCCATCCTCAGGACTCTAAGACCACATGGTTACATAGGAGAGGTTTCGTCAAAGCCGTAAAGAGTTGTCTCGAGCTTCGTCGTGCTCTAGGCCATCATTTCGGGCTCTTCATCGAACCATTCCATATTGATGTTTAACTGTTCGTTTTGATACCTTGAAGAAGTTCCTGATATATGATGCCCTTGCAACAATTCAATGAAGAAAAGGCTGACTGCAGCTAAAACACTCGTCACAGTTCTCGATCTAACATCACTGGAAAAAGTGACGCCTCAAGCAGCATCAACCGCTTAACCTTCGATCACAAGAAAATCTAACTATATATTCCCCAGTCCAACCATGGAACAGGATATCCCACGCCGTCTCCCAAGGCGTACCCTTCCGCGCCAACACCCTGGCATCCCTAAATGCCCGCATCAGCTCAAGCTCATGGTAACAGGCAGCACCACCACACCCACGAAGGTGCCGACCCCCACAACCAAAGAACTGATCTTCAACAGCACACAGAAGCGACTCGGCAATCTGGAACTCCCTCAAGCGGCAGCACTTTCCAAACGTGGTCTCGAGAACGCTCTCCCAGCACCCATCCGCAACACGGACATTGTCCACGACCAGCGTCTCGAGCCTGCATGCAAAGTTCTCAAGGACCGCCACGAGCTCATTTTCAGGGAAGGAACTCCGCTCAAGAACGAGATGGCGCAGGGGCGCGCATCGAGGAAGCAATGATAGCGAGGGACCCTCGTCGTTGACGAGTCGGGATACCTTCAGCCGCTGAAGGCTGTCCGCATCCGCCAGCGCATGGTAGATGCCCCGTTCAGGCTTGGACCCCTTGCGCCACAGCCCGGATGCGAGAGTGAGCTCCTGTAAAGAAGGAATCGCACGCCTGAGATAAGACTGTGACACCAGGTTCCTGTACCTCGATTCAATCTCCCCCCCAGCTTCCAAAGCATACCTCAGCACAGGCTGCGAAGCTAGCATTTGCGCTTCTGCCTCGGCCTCGGATACCGGGACCAAGACATCCAGGGGATTCAGGTGAAGTCTCTGCATGTTGACGGGGAAGTAGACCGCGAGGGTACTCTGGACCGCCTCTGCAAGGGCTGCACGCACTTCGCTGGTAATAATTCCGTTGCAGTCGGGCTGTAGATCAAAGTGCAGCCCACTTAAGTTGGGGAGTCGTTTTAGAAAATGGGGTATTCCTTCGAGTGCGGATCTGATATGGAAAATGTCGGCCATCTCAATATCAAGCTTACCGGTATCGGACCTGGTGAAACCGGTGATTGTGACGTCTTGCACGAAATGTGCGTTGTTTTGGAGTGTTCCGAAGGGACGCCAGTCGGTTTCAAACAATCCGCACACCCGGTTGATGTGGATGGATATGCTCTGGAATAGAAGGGGCGTTGCGCTGTGGTAAAACGATCGGTTGAGCTTGCGTAGCCGGAGCATTGTGCGGGTGTCGTTCTTGTTGGTCGTCGTGATGAAGGCTTCTCTAACGATCTATGGTATGGTATCCTGTCAGCTGCTGCTGCGCGTGGCCCTGCTTGTATCTTACCTGGTCGATGAGTTCCTGTGGCAGGTCGTCCATCCCTATCTTGTCTGTGCGAGCCATGGCTATTGTAGCTTACTTCGCGCGAGAAGGGAATCTGCGTGGGAGAATAGTGCCAGTTGACGAGTCGGACTTTTTATTTATTATGTCGGGAAGAATGACCTGAGTCATATTTACACTTTTGGGTAAGGGTGCATAGATACTTGGACAGGAATCCCCGGAAAGCACGTTGACCAGACCGCCACGCAAATCGACGGGGAACGTTGCCGTGCCATTCGGAAGACAGTGTACGGATGGAGCGACATCAGTAGAACTCAGATGCATGTGAGATAGAAAGCGTGCCAGATTTGCCCAGGACATCTATTGACGAAGGGGCGCTCTAACGATTCCCAACTAGTATAGCCGTGTCTACATACAGGGCAGCGCATTAACAGATCATGCCCAGAGGTTGCAACTGCAGTTCAACTCGTTTTGAGCGACGGGCATCTCCCTGGGGCTGGTTCACATACACCCGGAATTGCCTCCGGGCCACTTACGGCGAATTTTCGATCTTGCGCGACGGGTGACTTTTATAATAATCATTTTATCTGGATCTACTATGGCGTACTGTATTGGATGCTCTTAACTCAATGATAAAGTATGGATATAAATCATTGTAGTTGTACATGCAATACGCCAAGAGACGGCTTTCGTGGAAATACGAACACTCAAGGAAGATAGTTTATGTGGCAAATAATTTCCATATTGTACTAAATACAAAAACTCCGATGCCGCGAAATTAAATCTCTCATCCATATTCAGATCACAGGGATGTCATTTCTCCAGCCCCATTGCTGTTCCAACACTGGCCAAGAACCCTCAAATCGACTCCTGTGGTGTCGTAGGCGCCCCGTCCCATGTTGCAAGCTGAGAGGTCTTAGAGAATCCACCGGAATCTGCGGCAATGTCTGGTAAGCAAGTATATCAGGCCCGAGAATAAAGAGACACACGCAGGATTAATTGGTACGAGAAAACGCCCGACTCAAGCAGCGATTCACGCGAAGAATGGTGCACTGGGTCAGACATTGGAAGGAAGTTAGGGCTTCGCGATGTGGGGAGCCGAGATAGTGCCGAGGCCGACCGGTGGGTGTGGGTGTGGGTGCGAGGGCGGCAACGACAACATTTGACGATCGCCCAGATACCGACAGCGGAGGTTGGGATTGTGATGAGTAAGGCACAGAGCGCAAGGATATTCTCAGTGGACCAGGCCATGGTCAGAGGAGGCAAGTGGGTGGTGAGACGGGAATTGCGTGAGGGTGACCTATCACAGCAGGGAGGAGGATGGCTGTAGAGTGGGAATATTAAAGAAACAGACTGACGCAAGTGGACAAAAGACAGCGATTGCCGGGATGCAACACTTGCTGCCGTGAACTGGGGCTGTGCAGTGAGCACGACCGGGTGGGATGCCCAGGTAGCACAAGGATGATACCGGCATGTCCGGATTGGAAAGGCAGTCGTTCACCAGTCTCGTTGCCTGGTACTCCGTCTGCTTGCAGGCTGACGATGGTCAAGGGGGGACGCTGGAGTCTACGTACAAGTCCCCGTTAACTTGTTTCAAGGGTAGGGCCATTGTTAATCTACCTATGCTTCTTCCTAGAATCTTCATATAGAGTGCACCAACCCCTGCGACCCTTGCTAAGCTTATCAGTATCCATTCCATATTAGTTCAGAAGAATGTATTGCTCGCATCTGCCTATCCGCGCCATTAGTCCTTACTTCGAAAGCATTGCAATTGCAAATCCATGGCCATGGTCCCAGGTAGAGTAAACGCGGCTGAAGGGGTCTTGCTGCAAGTGCTTCATCGCAATTGTTGTGCAGTCCGTAAAGTCAAGGGCCAAGCAAGAGCACCCAGCAAGAACGAAGAACGAAGCTCTACAAGTCTGGACCACGGCCAGAATACATGACGCCCCGGCCACACATCAATATCCTCATGTTCGTCGCCCGTATGTATTAAGACTATCAGCCGGGATCAGCAGATGGACTCTGGCCATAACAGCTACCACTCATACAGACAAGGCTGTACATTCACGGCATTTAACAGCACTTCTGCGTATCTTTGCAAGATTCAAGGATCTGCAGTTAGTGCTGAGCATGTATATTTCTAACTGACACCTTTCAAGTATAAAATGTGTTAACCTTAGGTAAACAAGACCTATTTTCAATAACCAAAACATGTTAGTGCTGTTTGCTCAAGCTCAGCCCGTCCGCCGCCCCTCTTAGTATCGCAACAACTTCGGTATTACCCATCTCCACTGCCGCTGCAAGCGGAGTCTTTCCCGACTTGTCCTTGTGGTTTAACTGGAGAACCACGGCTGGGCAGCTGTAAGTATGTCCACAACTTCGGTATTACCCATCTCCACTGCCGCTGCAAGCGGAGTCACTCCCAACTTGTCCTTGTGGTTTGACTGGAGAACCACGGCTGGGCAGCTGATAAGTATGTTCACAACGCCGACGTGGTTCTTGGCAGCGGCGATCCATAGCGGGGTGTAGCCTCTTTTGTTTGGATGATTGAGGTCAATTCCTGGGACATCGACCAATAACTTGATAACTTCATTGTGGCCTCTGGCAGCGGCGATCAATAGCGGGGTGTTGCCTTGTTTGTTTGGTTTATTAAGATTGATTCCTGGAACATCGACCAATACCTTGACAACCTTCTCGTGGCCTTTGGCCGCGGCGACCCATAGCGGGGTGGCTTTGTCGTTGTTTGCTAGATTGGGGTTGATTCCTGGAACTTTGACCAGTACCTCGACAACCTTCTCGTGGCCTTTAGAGGCGGCTATCCACAACGGTGACTCCGAAGATCTGTTGACTTTGTTTGATGTATAGGTAATCATCGCTTGCGTCTCTGATATGTCCTTCTCATCCCTGACTCTCCAAGACCAAATGCTTGTTAGAACGTCGACAACCTGGTCGTGGCCTCTTTGGGCGGCTATCCACACTGGGCTGTAGCCATCAGAATCCAATAGATCGATTCTGGCCTCGGTCCGCCGTATGAAGCACTCGACCATTTGTCTGCGGCCATGGAAGGACGCTATCCAGATTGGTGTTTGGTCATCCTCATTCATCGCGATCACAGGACTATTGCCCAACATATCTATAATACCATCAATTTGCCGTGTCTTTAAACCATGTTTTGCAGCGATGTGTAACGCTGTATTCCTTTGGAAGGTAACAGCCTTCAAATCCGTTCTGTTGGTTGATAGGAGCAGGTCAACGACGTAATCGCATCCTCTGGCTATCGCAGACATCAACATAGTATCGCCGTTGGAGTCTCGACAGTTCACATCTACCAGAGGACACTTGATCAGCGTCCCGGCCGTTTGAAGTCGCGAAAGACTCACTGCTAACATCAGCGGTGTTTGTCCACTGATATTAGCCAGGTTTGCCTGGACCGTTGCTGACCCGAGCAAAGAATCAGCGACACGCACGTTGTCTGCCTCGATTGCCCAATGGAGTGGGGTCATCAGCCGACTATCCGGAGTATGCGAGGCCCCGTGCGTTAGGAGGATGTCCACCATGGCCGTCCTTCCTCGCTCTGCGGCATGTGAAAGACTTGTGCGCCCATCGTCATCTACTTTATCGATATCGACCATGTCCAAAAGTCTCCCTAAAAGGTCATGCGTAGATGGGTTCTCAAGGTCTAGATGCCAGATATGGCTCGTCCACCACGCATCTGCGTACCTATGGAATGCCAGTGGAGTCACGGTATTTCCCTGGTTCTGCCCGACGTACTGGAGAAGCGTAGGACCGACGTCTATGTCCCCCATTTTTCTCCTCTGTAGGAGCTTCAAGGCGAGCTTTTGCGATCTGCCGTGGCCAAACGAATCTGCAACGGCAGCAACCACCGAGGACTTTACCGATTCGGTATGTATCTTCAGAGCCTTCAAGGATGCGACTTGTTTCGAAAACTCCTTGTAGTTAAGGTACGTGAGAACTATCTCGGCCATGTTTTGCGTTGCCCCATCGAGAGTGAACGCCTCACGGCCATGGCCGCGGTAGTCGCTTTGAAGAAAGGCTCTTACGCTGTGATGAACCATCTGAATGCTCGAGCTGTCCTCGTCCACGGTAAGCACTCCCCCGCAGCAGGACATCGTGGAGTATACATCATTTGGAAGGGCTCGTGGGTCCCAAACAGGGCTCCCAGGGACAACGCTGAGAGCTTCACGCATTTCCTCCATTGTTAGTGGACGGCAGGCGGCCACAACCAACTCCAATATCCTCCTCTGATGATTCATATTTGTGACTCCGGCCTTAATCAGAATTAGGTTGTATATTTCTGATAGACTCGATGGGAGGTTATCGAGTGCGTGCCGAATATCTGCATCTGTCCGTTCCAGGCATAAAGCCTTTATCTGGAGCGCTACCCACAAAAACATGCCTTGAGCCTTGCTAGTGAGCCCCTGTTGTATTTCAAGAATGAGTAGAGGGTCCCCAATTACGAGCTTCCTGGACTCGAGGCACCGTTGGAGCTCAGCATTGACAAACTCATGTATATCTGGATTCTCCACGGGCATGGGCAATGAAGTGACATTGCACAATTTGTCCGAAACATCCTTCAGGATTTCCGAGGTCTCCAAGCGACCAGAGATACACACTGAGAGCGATATCGTTTCTTGGAGCACGTGCAAGCTATGTATAATAGCATCTCGTTCCCCCGGATCGCAGTGTCCCAGACCATCGAGAATGAAGAACGCATGGTAGCCCTGCTGCAGCGTATCCTTGAGCAGGCTGATAAGGTTGTCGACAGTCATACGACCGTTTTGTGGTACCTGTCCGCTGGCTCGGTCGAGGTCGTCAATGAGAGGATGCAATAACTGCCGTGCTAGAGAGCCGATAACCGCCCGCGCCGTCAGACTTTCTTCCGCATCATGTTGACAGAAAAAATATGCAACCGGTGTCGTGTTGCCAGGTAAGTTCAAGTCATCAATGATATTCGCGAGGACCACAGATTTGCCCGAACCCAGCTTTCCGGTACACAGTAAAGTGCAACCCCGGTCATGACCTTTCCACGTTGTATAGGTCGACCCTGTGAGAAGGCTGACGTTCCCAAACTTTCGTATCGCTCTCCAGGCACTTTCGTAGTCGTATGTCGAGCACGCGTCCAGAATCCGTTGTTTGGCCCTCAGCTCCTTCACCTGTGACTTGGAGTCAAAGTGTCGAACTATTTGCGACTTGAACCATGTCCTGTCCTGGCTCTCCAGCGCAAGTTCCTTTGCCATGAGGGTTGTAACCTCCTCCTTTATGGACGTGGCCCAAAGCTCGAGTTCTGACTGGAACCCGTCCATCGTCGAATCATTCAAGGTGGAGGTCCATTGCTTAAAGGCCGGCTTTTGACTGAGCCGCAGCGTGTGATGACATAGTTGTACTACCACGATGAAATACTCCATCATGGACGATTGAAGAGTCTTCGAGTTTGGGTATATCAACGCCAAGGATTCGTAACGTGGCGCAGACCGGCCAATCTTCATAAGCATCGAAGTGAGCCGCTCAAAGTAAGCATTGTAGTTGACCATGGCCAAGAGAGTCATCCGAACGAGAGACCATACCCCACATGCGAGTAGGTTCTGTGTACCGCCAATGACTGTATCGCCTAATGCTGCGAAGTTCTGGACAGCCTGCAGAAAGGTGGTGACTCGCGTACCAAAGCATCGCACACCGCGTTGATTAATCTCAGCCGTGACTTGCATAACGTCGCTAATGCTAGGAGGTTTTTTCATCGTAGTTGTCTGGTGGGAGCGAAAGGTAGCCTTGTCAGCTGACGAGAGATCGGCTTGGAACTGCGAGATAGCCTGGCCCAGCCGAATCTCGGGTTTCAGTCGCGCGGATTGGACCAGTGCTGTTGCCATTCCGGTATTACCGACTTCGGATGGATTGACTTGAAGGATAATCGAGGGGTTGAAGGAGGTTCGACCTCCGGTGTGAGGAGTCTCTGAAAGATGATCGAGGGGTCGAAAGACGTTCGACCTCCGGCAGGTGAGGGGCCTTGACTGTGTAACAATCGCGAGGCTGATGTCTGATGGCGAGGTTGCAGGTGATTCGAGGGCGACGCTGAGCTTTTCGCGTGGACTCTGAGAAATCTCATTGGATCCTGTTGTTACTCCGTACTCGTCAGTCGTATTCGGGTGAAAGGTTCAGTCAGGGTTGATCCCGGTCCTTAGCGATTTCATGCAAATTTCTTGAGCATTTTCTCGGTCGGGGCCCGAAGCCTCTATCTCCTTGCCAAAACACGGCCTCGGCCATGGTCTGCTATCTGCCTTGGCGAGGCTGGCACGATCTGCTCCTCGGATTCAAAGAATGATTTGGCGATCGGTGCTTAGCGGTAGCTGACTGCAGGTAAGAGGAACAGATGTCAGGTTGAGAGCATACCGCAGGTGAATGTAGAAGCTGAAGAGACGCAGCGACAGATGAAGGCTGTCGGAGGCCAATCGATTTCCCAACCGGGAAGGTGCCTAGGTACCCGGACACGTCCACGTGATCAGTCACTCTCCCAACTGTCAGCCTTCAATCCTCTCCGTCATCCTACACTTCTTCTTGAATATGGCCCATGGTACCATCTGCGACACGACTCGTAACCCGGTGAACGATGGGACCATGGTCCTGCAGAAACTATCGCCTCCGGACGTTGATTCCGCGCGTTGTCGCAAGCGAAGTTCATTCCACTAGCTATTCAACGCCATGAGTCACTACTATTTAACCTATTTTCCTCCTTGGTGCACTCCTCTATTCTCGAAGAAATCAGAGCCCACTTTGCAGAAACCCTTCTCAATACGACCTTGACAGTCCAAGTGAGTATTACTGCTAATAGGAGATGGCAGACAAGACGCGCATGGCGCGCAACAAGCGAGCCTGTATTCGCGATCTTCCACAGGAGCTGTGTGACAAGGTGAGCTTTTCTAATCCTATCGATCCAGACTCGATACACTCAGCTAACTGTTCAGATAACGGAAGAAGCTATTAACAAGACAGTAAACAAAGTCACCATCCACACCCTCCGAGCCCTTTGCCGAGTTAACGAACAGTTCTACCGGAGTGCTACCCGACTTCTCTACCGCAGAGTACATTTAGACTTTGAGGATAGGGGACGAAGCTCTCTCACCCCTATCTCGATAGACAAGTTCTCCCTCAGCCCGCATCGCCGATCCGTCCGCCACCTCATGATCACCTGTCTCCGCATCAGGGATGACAACGCGATGGTCCGGTTGCAAGAATTGCCGATATTGCTCGCGAGGCTTCCCGGCTTAAGGAGTTTGAGTATATCACTTGCTCGTTCAAAGCCTGTAATTGGATCCTTGTCCAAAGAGAGAGAATTCGTCAATGTCCTTCACCAGAGTCTGCAGGCCTATGGCGCCAATGAAGACAGCAATCTCGATACGCTGCGCATCTTCAACCCACATATTCCGCTTTTTGACTCGGAGGCCATCCATGACACCTTCAATTTGAGTCGCGTAATGCTGTCCCTGCGCAGGTTCGAGTACGTTGACCAGATCCCGATGGACAAGAAAGCGCAAATTGGGATATTCCATGCTCTGCAGCATGCTCAGAAGATAGAGCAAATCAAGCTCGAGAGTCTAGGCCGGTTACAAGAGGCGTCTTTCTCGCTTCTACCTGATAATGCGCCTCTGCGACGCCTAGAACTCACGTCAATCACTCTTCGCGCCTCAGACCTCCTCGCACTAAGCAAATTCAAAAACGTGCTTGAATATCTATCACTCGATCATATTTCACTGACCGAGGGGTCATGGGCTGAAGTATTTCACTCCCTTTCGACCTACACCTGCCTCGCATACATTGAGTTCTATTGCTATCATCTTTGGCACGACCCTCAGACGAGATTTGCCATGGATGCGTGCATGCAGTGTTGTCGAAAGCTGGGCTTGAGGGCTATAAGTCGGGAGTGGTCATGGGGACGCGAGCGCACATGTTCACAGTATGTCTGGGACAGAGAAGACTGGGTAGTCTGCTCTGGTCCCGATGATGCCTATACAAGTCTGACCCCGCCTGGGAATTTGCACTTGCGGCAGAGCGGTTTGCAGCTCCTGCCCCTTGAGATCACATCGTATGCGCAGACAAATGAGGAGCGGAGGTATTACAAAGATGAGTCCTGGGACAACTGGAGCTCTTGAGAGAGGAGTCCTCGGGATTTGGTCAACGCCGGCTTTCTTCCTATAGTAGGCAAGGTCAGTGAAGTCTTACAGCATTAACGGGTGAAGGATCTCGTCTATTTCATTTGTCCTCGAGACTTTCCCTATTGCTGACTCCATTCAATCACTTCCAGCCCATGTCAAAGCCAAGCAGATGAACAATCACTTGTTGGCATGTGGTTTGATATGCAAGACTTATCCAATTCAGTCAATGCTTGATTTAGTTTTGCAGTGCGGGTGTTGAAGACTATTAGATTATATTATCGTATGCGTTTGTCCAGGTATGTCTAGAAATCTATGAGGTCCTTCTCTGCCGATTCCTGCGAATGCTAAAAGGCCAGCCTTCCATCAAACTACTCCACCTCCGTCATCTCACCATCCCCCAGTGCCTCATCCTGCCTCTCCTTCCTCCCCCCCGTATAACTCTTAACCGTATAGAGCACACTAATCCCAAGCCCCAACCCCCCAAGCCCAATCGCAAAATACAACGCCGAGCGATACCCTTTCAACCTCTCCTCCGCCGAATCTCCCTTCACAATCTGGCTCTCAATCGTCCCCGCAAATCCCAGACTCAGCGAGATACTATAGTTCACGATCGTCGTGACCAGACTCGCCGCGAGCCCCTGGTGCTCCCGCGCAACGGCATTACTGAGCATCAGCGTTGCAGCTGGGAACGACATGTCCATGCCCCAGGGGATGACGATCATCGAGACGAACGTTAGCGCCCAGTACGTCTGGTCTACCGGCGCGATGGTGATGAGGACCGTGCCGACCGTGAATGCCGTAAGGGACATGCACATTATGAGCGGCGGGCGGATTCTTGACATCAGGAACCCCGTCGCGAAAGACGCAAGGAGGCCTGAGATACCGGGGGGCACGAACTGCGCGGATGCGAGGAGCGGCGTGGCGCCGCGCGAGTCGAGCAGGAAGCGCCACGAGTAGTAGATCCAAGTCCCGAAGCAGCCCCATCCCGTCGCGACACAGCCAAGCACGAAGGAGACGTCCGTGGAAAAAGCGTGGAAGGGGATGAGCGGGTGTTTCGCGAATTTAAACTCGATGACGAAGAACGCAGCCAGGAAGAGCGCGCCGACGATAAGCAGGACGATGACGTAGGGCTCAGCCCAAGATACAGCGGGCGCTTGGTTCCAGGCGATATTCACAAGCACTAACCCCGTGATCCCCGTGAACGCGCCGGGGACATCAAGCGCGGTGAAGAGATTCTCCGTCGAATGAGCATGCCGAATCGGCGCGATAACAACGTACCCAATCCCCGCGCAGACAACAGACACAATACACATAGCCCAGTACGTCCACGGCCACCACACAAGCTGCGAGAAGAGCGCCGCAAACACAGCACCACAAATGGCGCCGTTCGGCGCCGTGGCCCCAAACAGCGCGAAGAGCATATCCTTCTTCTTGCCCGGGGCATACGTCGCGCCCAGGATCGCCAGCCCGTTTGGCAAGAGCATTGCAGGCCCGAGACCCTGCAGCACGCGCGCAAAGATGAACAGGATGTAGTTCGAGTAGACGGCCAGTCCAGCGACCAGCGACCACAATGCCAGCCACAGAAACCCGATGATGTACATGCGGTGGTACCCGAAGAGATCGCCGCAGCGGCCGAAGACCAGGATGAATGTTCCGACTGTGAGTGAGTACCCAGCTAGGAACCAGGCGAGGCCGCTTTGCTCAGTGAGCCCGAAGGCCCCGCCGACGATGTCGAGGGGGGATAGGCACACGCCGACATTTGCCTGCGTGATGAACTGCGACATGCAGACGATGATTACGAAGATGATTTCGCGGGGCCGCGAGAATGTGTCGGCGATGGACTGGTTGGTTTTTGTTTGGTGGAGGTCATTGTCATTGTCATTTTCGGTATTGTGTTTCTCGTGGCCGTGCTCTTCGTCCATGGCGGCCATTGTCTCTCCCTCTCTATCGGGCGTTGCTTACTGAGACACTGACGCTCAATGAGAATGACAGCGACTGAAAAGGGGGAGGTGAGGAAATTTCTCCGTCTCCACCGATAAGATATGACGTCCCCATCATCACGTTAAATAGGATAAGCTTGCCCGGCTAGACCCGCGGAAAGCTGAATCCGAGGCTGATCACGTCAAGCCCTACGAGGGCTTATTCCGCCCTGCTTATGCATCGCTGAATAGCGACTCTGCATGGATGTCCAACAGGAGAGCCAATGATAGACACATCTGTCTTTTTGACTTCTGGAGGAAAAGCGCATCGAAGCATCGTCGATCGAATGACATGCTGTTCTTCGGGGATTTCCGTATATCCGACGCCCCACTTGACCGTTGACTCCAAGCAGCAAGTCCGGCATCCCGAGGGCTATCTCCGAGCGCTGTTCTTCCGTATATCCGTCGGATTCGCGATATGTCAAGTTGATTTCGCGAACTAACCCTCGTCTAAAGTACCTGAGCCAATAATGTCCTGTGGCGTGCTGGAAAAAGGCTTCCTTACTTCGAAGCTTCAGCCTTGGCCCTCCTCTTCAGATTAGGCCCATCCGGCGGGCTGTGGGCAGATCGGTGTTGTCGGGGTATATGTATATACTTCGTATTCGTAGGACAAGTTCCACGAGCTCGGACTTGGTGTTCACTGTTCAACATGTACTCCGTACCCTGTAGACTCAGGGTTCGGGTGTAACACTGTGGCCATGTGGCACAAGACACCCCTTGCATCCCCATCCCACGTGTTCGTAACCCTAAGCCACCTCGTGATTGGTCCTGGCCCCAGGCCGTGGCGGTTTAAAGACAGTGACACCGGCATTGGAGTGGAGTGGTTAGGGCTCTTTCATCTTACAAACAACTGTCGATGTAGTACCACATCTTGTGCGACAAGAGACCCAGAGACCCAGAGAGACAAATAAGCGCACGAAGAAACCAAACAGGTACAAAATGCTTCATTTGCAGGGTTTCCAAACAACTTGGAAAGCTCAAAATCCACCGAACTAATCACAAAAAGCAGGAAAGGGGGGCGCGTAATAACCTTAGATTCGGGCTGCTAAGCACGCACATTTTGTCCTTTTGGTTGGTGCCTTGTGATATATATCTCCTCGATACCCAGAGGCTAACCATATGTTCTAATGGGCCCTTTCCTTTATTATGACTTTTGGATTTATCTGTCTTCCATCAATTCACTACTGCGCTTTGTGAGATCTTGCATGTTTTATGTTTTTCTAGAAATATAGTGCCTGTGTCTATCTCTTCGCAATACTTTTGCCTGGAGACATGCGAGGCCTTTTAGTTATTGAGTCGGCATGGCGGCTGTGTTCTTGCACCCAGTGGTTTTTAAAAAAGCAAAAGAGCAGCAGGATACGAGGTGTGGCTTTCTACAAAGGCTTCCAAGCAATTATGTCTTGAGGAAGTGCTACCAAGGTCTTTCCTTTCTCCTTGGATTTATCCTTTCAGTCTGGCATCACTGTTAACTGCCGCGTTGGTCATCAACGGAAGCCCTGTGAGGGCTCGGGCTTGCCTTACATATAGCCTAAATGGGTGGAGAGAGCAGCCAACAGCCAAACCCAGGGCTACCTACGCCACACCCTTGCCCCTACATCGAACCAAACCCTTCGGCTATATCCAATCTGAGAGTGAGTCCACTACCATGGAATAATCTTGAACCTACTTGCGACGTCATAGAGACAGAAGCACCATATAAATCAGCACTCATTACCAAGAAGGCTGAAGCAAAGCAGAGCAAATCAAAACCTCCTCATTCCATTCCATACCATTTTACACCTGAGCCCAGTATCCCATTGTGCCTACCTCACCCACACGATGTCCACGCCCCTCAAGATCTTCCTCACCGGAGCAACCGGCTACATCGGCGGCGACATCCTATACCAACTAAACGAGCAATATCCCGATTTCACATACGCGCTCCTCATCCGCTCCGAAGACAAAGCGAAGACAGTGCGATCACGCTACCCGAAAGCCCGGATCGTCAGCGGCGGCAACGACGACGCAGCGGCCCTAGAGCGCGAAGCCGCGTGGGCTGACGTTGTGATTCGTGAGTTTTCCGTCTTGGTGACCATCAGAGGATACGTGAATGCTAATGTAAAAGACACCGCCGACTCCTCCGACCACGCTGGTGCCGCGGAGGCTCTAGCCAAAGGCCTCGTGCAGGGCCACTCGGCCTCGCGGCCTGGCTTCTGGCTGCATACGGGTGGTGCCGGGATCCTGACGTATTTCGACTCGGAGGTGAACAAGATGTTCGGTGAGGAGGATAACAAGGTCTTCAATGACCTTGATGGCATTGACGAGCGGTTAACCTGCCTGCTGCGGCGTTCCACCGCAGTGTCGACGAGATTGTTCTGAACACTGGGATTGACCACGGTGATGTAGTCAAGACGGCTATCGTTGCCCCGCCAACAATATACGGTCAGGGCCGAGGTCCGGCATCTAACCGTGGCCGGCAAGTTTATGAACTGGTCTCTTTTATTCTAAAAGAGGGGTACTGTCCGCGCATTGGAAAGGGCCTGTCGCGGTGGAACAATGTGCATGTGCACGATCTAAGCAGGCTGTTTGAGCGCCTGGTGCAGGCTGCGACTGATCCATCTCTACAAGCCAATCCTGAGGTCTGGGCAGGACGCGGGTATTATTTCGCGGAAAACGGCGAGCATGTCTGGGGTGAGGTGTCGACAGCGGTTGGTCAAGAAGCCTTCAAGCAGGGGCTTGTTAAGGGCGGGCCTCCAGAGCTCCGGGACCTGTCGATTAACGAGGCTGTCAATTCGTCGGCGGGATTTGAAGCCGGGAGTTGGGGCATGAACTCGCGGGGTGTGGCGGAAAGGGCTAGGAAGGTCCTTGGTTGGAAGCCGCAGGAGAGAGGTCTGTATGATGAGTTGCCCGATATCGTTCGGTCTGAGGCTGCTCGGATGAATCTTTGATCTGGACGGGGAGTAGGGTAATAAGCCGGCCATCGATGTTTGCATCTGCACCTAACAAGTGGCCTTTTGTATCGTTGAAAAATATTCATCTCCGTCTTTGATCGGTGTTTGCGTTCCCCGCGAGGACGGATCCTCCATGTAGCACCCAGCAGCTGATGTACCCATAGCTACCTCTTATTCGGACAAAAAGAGTTCTGGCGGTAGACCAAACAGAGTCTCGAGCATGGGATTTCCCTGCCATCGATCATCTCCCAGTAAAGCGTTGAAGATGCCCACCTCATTCGCAGTGTTCGAGTTCATGGTACCGCTGACGCCAGTAGAAACCTCAGCAGTCCCCAGCCCTCCGCTCTCTTGCCTACTACTACCATCTGCAGTCCACGCCGGCTGGTCCAACGCACGACTCGACAGATTCTCAAACAGCTGCATGATAAAAGTCCCGCAGTCCCAAAACTCGCTGATAGCCTGCAGCACCACCTGGCACGAGTTCAGCGCCGTGCGTCCTAGCCTTGCGACCAACTTATCCGGGCTGCGCATGCGCTCGTAGAACGCGGCTTGCGCGAGGAAAATGCCGTGGTAGAGTTCGTTGGGGACAGTGAGGAGAGCGGACTTTGTGGCGAGCGCGACGGTTGGAATATGGTGCGCGGCGGTGTCGACGATCTCGCCGGTCCACTGTGCGTCGAGGGTGCGTGGGTCTTCGCCGCGCGGGTGCCCGAGATACAGGAGGATGAGGTGGTGGTTGTATTGGACGGAAAGGGACATGGAGAAGGGGTTCGAGAGGTCAGGCGCCTCGTCATCCCAGGTTAGCGTGGGTGCAAGTTGTGCTTTCCAGCGAAGTAATTTAGAGTAGAGTTCTTCGGACCGCGTGGGCGAGCGGCCTGGGTAGAAGCGGCTGATTATAATCTCCCGCATAAGAAGCGAGAGCTTCGCCGTCTGGATCTGGTACTGTGCGTAGCGCTGGGCGGAGGAGTTGTCGGCGAAATCTGGGGCAGCCGTGTCGTGTGCGAAATCTTCGATGGTCAACATGTCTGCGTCGGCCTGGTCCAGGTCAATCCGGAAAGGCCGCCCAACCAGTGTCCCGCAGATACTATCGCGGTTGACTAAGGCCCACCATATCCTCCGCATCAGGCTTTTGTCTTGTAATGGCATGTTGGGTATTGCAATGGTGGAGCGGTGGATTCCTATTGCTTCGGCAATTGTCACTGCTGTACTAACCCATGAGTAAAAGTTCCAGTAGGTATTAGGGCCGCCGCCATAGAATGATAGGAAGAAGGTGCTCTGGACGACGGTTATCTTATTTTTCTCATGCCCCATGTCGAAAAGGGCTTTGGCCTTTTTGTAGAAGAATGAACGCGCTTCCGGACGGTATTGGAAGCCAATAAGGCTCAGTATTGACTGCGGAGCAAATGTAACTGCAATGAAGCAAACGGCATAGGTAAGGATCAAAGGCAGTTCGCCTTTCTCGTACTGCAGGATAAATTCCTGGCGGTTGACAACGGGATAGAGCGGGTAGACACGATCCATGATGGCCAGATAGACGAGACCAGTGCACCGGTCGAGCCCAACGGCAGCAACCCCGGGAAGACGCATAACCCCGAAGGACAGCAGCTGCAGTGCCAGGCTCGTTCCGAACCCCATGCAGGGGAAGATCCCGAAGCACAGCGTCGCGCCCCGCAAGGCGTTCCCCCAGAGTTCCACGGGCTCACGGGCGAAATCATCTTCATCTCCATTTGCTCCATGGGCTTGTTCCTATTCGGCCTGTTCCTCGGAGACGTCGTGATCAACCAAGCTCTATTGCCCGACGCACTCGGCGTGAGCGAGAGCAACACCCCTTGGCTGATTGGGTCATTCTTGCTGGCCAACGGGATCGCGGTCATTATATCCGGGTCACTGGCTGATCTGTCCGACCCTAAAATCATGATGGTCCTGGGCTTTGTCTGGCTTGTGATCTGGGATGTCGTCGGCGTGTTCAACATCCGCCCCTCACTGGCGGTGCTGTTCTTTGTTGTCAGGGCCATGCAGGGGCTAGCGATTGGGGTTCTGCAGGCGACGTCCATGAGTTTGCTCGGGCGGGTGTACTCGCCGGGGATTCGCAAGACACGAGTGTTTTCGGTCATGTCTGCGACAGTTCCCATTGGGTTCTTGGTTGGGTGTTTGCAGGGAGGCGCGCTGACAGCACATCTGCCGTGGATATTTGCAAGCAATGCCATAATTTCCTTCATCTGTGCAGTGGCTTCCGTCCCTGGTATTCCCTTGTTCAGTCCGAAACACGGCCCCTCCGACGCCCCGTTATCTCTCAAGGACTTCGATACGCTAGGCGCTCTCCTGGCCGCTATCGGGTGCGGCCTGATTATCCTCGGCTTAACCCAAGGCGTTCCCAGCGGCTGGAGTCCATACACGTACTCACTAATCATAGTCGGAGTGTTCTTTCTCCTGCTATTCTACCTGGCCGAGAGACGAGCGGCTCGACCTCTGGTGGACAACCGGCTCTGGCTCACTCCCGGGTTCCTCCCACTAGCCATCTCCTATTTCCTTGGGTACGGAGCATACGTCGGCGGATGGATGTTCTTCGCCGTGCGGTTCCTCCTCACCATCCAGAATCACGCGCCCATTACGGTTGCGCTGTACTTCATCCCCAACATGATCTGTGGCATTCTGGCCACATACATTGTCTCGAAAACCCTCCATTTGTTCCCGGGTCACTGGATCCTCATCGCCGGCATGGTCGCCAACACAATGGGCCCTGTGTTTTTCATCCCGCAGACCCCATACACGACATACTGGGCACTTTCTATGCCTGGGATTGCCCTCGTGACGTTCGGACCGGATCTGACATTCGCAGCGGCGTCAATCTTCATCACCTCCAACGTCCCCCGCTCATTCCAGGGATCAGCGGGCAGTTTGCTTGTGACAATCCAGAACCTCTCCGCAGCCATTGTGACGGCGATTGGGGATACGATCGGGAAGGAAGTAACCAAAGCTGGCGGCGACGGGTATAGCCTGGATCTGGGTGCTTTGCGTGCGATTTGGTGGTTTAGTTTTGCGATCTCGCTGGCGGCGCAGTAGTGTGTGCTGGGTTCGTTCGCATTCCGAGGAGCGAGGAAAAGGATTATGTAGAATGAGTTCCGCCCAGAACGCGAACCAAAATCCATCTAGCTGGAGTTTGTACATAGTCGTTAAGGTGTTCGATAATGAGCTGGAAGATGTCGTCCTTGATAGAATCACCCATAGCAGGGGCCTGGTCAATGTCGCTAAATCCATGTATATATTTCGTAGCTCCGTGCATCATGGCGGATTGCAGAGAGGCTCGTCCCACCCTCAACGTGCTGTACACCAGTGTAACCCAAATCCACGTGGCACGAAACTTCCCTTGCTTCCAGTTCCCACGTGTTTGCGGCATCCATGCCACCATGCGAGTCTGCTGTCCCGAGCAGTGGCCACACATGACAGTGCAGAGGTGCATTTTTGACCTCAGAAGGGCCGAGCTTCTACCGTTATTGACTTGGCGCCAGGCTTGGCTGATATATCAAACATTGATACTGGCGACATGTCCCATCATTTGCAGGTTATTTGAGCTTCCTGCGGGGTGAAGCTTTGCAATCCCTCAGCCAGGAACCAAGATCAGCTGCGATCGTTGCTCTACGTTATGGGATAGAGCGTGGTGGAATGTAAAAATTTTCATTGAGACTAGTCGCTTAAGTGACGCCTCCGGGACGGGATAGATAGTATTGGGCTTGTTTTTGGTATTCTGCGGCGCGTCGCCCTTCATCGAAGCAATCAACAAACCTTCCAAGCTCTCGTTCAGTCGACCTTCCGTTGCACAGCCTCCTTACGGTCTGTATCCTGGCTAGGCGCGACTCGAGATGTTCCCTTCCCCATAGTCTTCGTAGGGTGGTACTTCGACTGGCCGAATGGGAGGCGCGGCGGTTCGTAGGGTGACGGAACTAGCAAGTAGGCGCAACGTCTGGGCACCAGTGTCGGACTGTCCTCAAATATATACTGATGGGGAGGAATTCGGGTACAAATTTCGCGGTAAATATAAAGACCGCAGCTCTGAGCTTTCAGCCAATATTCTGCATCCATAACGCGCAAATGCAGGTCGTTTTGGCCGCCCATTATCCCTTTTCCTTAACGTAAGGTTGGAGTGTCTTGCCTCAGACAGCATCATCCTTCGCCTCCAAACAAGCGTCAGCCATCTTATCAATCCCATCTTCCCTCGTTTCCGCGTCTAACCACCCTCTGTCAACGAGTCTGGCGAGAGCATCACCAACCCAATTCTGGCAGTTCCAATCAAGATCATCGCGGCCATTGCAAATTGGCGTTCGCTCGACCGTCTGGCGAATCGACTCTTCGCCAATGTCCGATGCGATCTCGGTAACTGGAATCACTTTTGCTAGGATTCCGACGCTGGCCGGGTCGATGTCTGAACCATGCGCGTGGGAGAAACGAAAGAGGCCCGGGCAGCCGATGACGTGCATTATGCTGCGGTTTGATGAGGCGAATTGGAAGTAGAGTGCTGTGTGGCGGTACTCGGAGTAGTCGAGGGGGTCGCCTTTGTAAACGAGGATGAAGAGTTTTTGGGGCATCTTAAAAGATTATTTAAAGAATTAGAAGGATTGTTTTGCTCGTGGGGGAGGAAAGAGCGGGGAGGTTTTTTTTAAGGAGATCGGAGCGCGATCGGCGGGGCGTTCCTGGTCCCTGGGCAATGGCATGATGTCATGGGCGGTTGAAATATATTTCTGCAATTTCCTATGCATATGATTACTTCCTGTTCACCAGACCTTCATCATTATACTCGTATTTAGTTTCTCTATCCTGAGGCATTTTGTCAGTCTCATTCGATAAGTTCCAGAAGAGAAATACTCACCCAGTACTTCTTGAATCCCACACCCTCACAAACCTCGTCGTATCCCAGAATCATCGGCGGCGGTCCATCCTCCACAATACTCCTCTTCAAGCCCTCCAATGCATCCTTGATAGCCTTCAACTTCGCAGCAACAAGCGTCCAAGGATACGCGACCGCTGCAAAACCCAAACTACCTAGCTCCTTTGCGGAAAGGTTCTCCGTCATTCCTCCTTCAATAATATTCGCGAGCATGGGCATCTGCAGCTCTTCCACGCAGCGCTTCATCGCGTCGCGGTCAGGCAAGGCCTCCACAAACACTGCATCGGCGCCGATCCGTTTGAACTCCTTTGCTCGCGCCATCGCCTCATCCCATCCATGAATCAAGGCGTCCGTCCGAGCAAGAATGAATATATCGCGGCCCTCATCGCGCGCGTCGCATGCTGCCTGGATTCGAGCGTATGCCTCGCCGCGGGAGACAACTGATTTTCCTTTCGTATGCCCGCATCCTGGATCAAAATAACAGTCTTAGCATCCGTACTCAACTTAGCGACGAGAAAAAGGAGACGTACGTTTCGGCCACGTCTGGTCCTCAATCATAACGCCCGCCGCGCCCGCAGCGGCAAAGCTCTCCACCGTGCGCTTGACATTCATCGCACTCCCATACCCGGTGTCCCCATCGACCATGACCGGCAGGCTTGTAACACGGACCGTCTCCTGGATCTTATCGCACATCTCCGCCATCGCAATGTAGCCCGTGTCCGGGAGGCCGTGCGTACTGGAGACCGCGAAGCCGGACAGGAAGAGCATCGGGAACCCGGCCTCTTCGACGAGGCGCGAAGACAGTCCATCGTAGCTGCATGGGAATGCAAGAATCTTAGATCTATCGGCGTAGGACTCAAGCCATAGAGATCGGAGACGCGATGCTTGCAGTGCAGGGATTGCCCCGCGGCTGTTGGGGGGTGGCGGTGACGTCATTTCGTTCGAGGAGAAGGAGAAGGGGTACGGCGTTGTGGATGCCATTGTAGAGGTATTCGGTGCTGGATAACTTTTCGCAATTGAGTAGAAAGATGAATAATCGGAAGCAGTAGAAAGAAAACCTTGAAGGTATTTATGCCAATGTCGATGTGCGGAGAGCTGGAGTCGGGCGGGAATGCTCATTTGGCAGGAACACGATCAACAGTCGATCTCTCAAGGCACTCAAGCTTCGCCAAGTCACTCTTCTCTTCCTTCGTCTTTTCTTCAACTCTACCCTCTCCGCATCTCTCGACTTCAGAGCCAGAAATCCATAGCTTTCCTCGATCCTCGACGTCCTGCAAACCGCCTCCGATCTGATTATTTTCTGCAGCGGGAATCCAGGCCAACAAGCCTCAATTGGCCCTCAATCACCCTAGGAAACTATCACCTCGGCGAGACTAAACAACTTTCCAGTACGCTACGTTCTCTCCATCATCAATTTATATGAATTGGATGTACAGACGCGTACGGATTGGAGATCGAAATTGTGGCTGCGCGGGCGTTTCATCCCCCCAATTCAAATATCTGCTCAAACTCTTGAGGAAGCAATGGCTGGGCTCGCTGCTGCTATTGCCTGGGCAGTCCTCCATCTCGGCGGGTCTTCGTGGCTACATCATGTATGGCGGAAAGCCGAAATACTGTCTATACTCGACAACAACAACAACAACACCAGTCCACGACAAATGCAACAGCTCCTGCGCATGAACCCGTGCATATTCCACTCCTTCCATGTAGCGGAGACTCTAGCAGCAGCATTCAGCTCTTCCGGGGAACCCCTAAACGCCCTCCTACAATGCAACTTCGTCCATAACCACACCCCTTTTGCGCTAGGCATTTTCTTGTTTGAAGTTGGACTCAACAAATCGTTCGAAGGCCTGAAACGACAAGCTGGCTGTGACGGCAACACAAATCCATCCATCCGTTTTGGAGGACGATCAGCTAGCGATCGATCTGGCCGATGAACTCTCCCTAGACGTCGGAGCTGAAGACGGAGTTGCCATCAAACGTTGCCTGCGCCGCGAATTTCCCGGTAGAGACCTGACAAAACAATTTGACTATGTTCAGTTCCGACATGACTTCTTTAATGCTGTTGTGGCGCCCATCCAGGCAACGTACGATTGTTATTCGTGTTGATCTCCTTTTCCCGCTCGCCGGCTGGTCTTGCTGGGACGGTTTACACTCGATCTCTCGAGGTCCTGATTAGCAACCGAGATCAGATTCAAGCGCTCACAGGTATGGTACTCCAGCTAAACTTACGTTGATCTTTGCGGCGCGTAAAATCACATCAGCACACATGTTGGTAACCCTGAGACTGGGCACCGCTTGACCCGGCTTCCGCGCCTTTAGGGCAGGAGCATCACCACTCACGGCGCTGACTAGGCCAAGGTTGCCTTTGCTACAGTAGAGCCTTAGCTGATGAATCGAATCAGCCTCTAACCGCCAAATACCTACATAATATCTGCCTCCGAGCGCAGGGCCGTCAGGAATTGCTATCCGATCTGATCAACTGTCAATAACAAAGCTTGTCCATACTCCGACTAACAACATTGTGTTGGAATACCTTAGTTGAACATCTGTGTTGCCGACGTGAATGAAAGATCCGGCTCAATACTACTCAGGACCTTGTCCATCTTGTCTCACGATCGGCCGTCTGCAAATTCAGAAAACGAACCAGCAAGAGACGCAGATTACTCTAGCTCCGACGCTCGGTTCCGACCGTCGGGCTCGCTGTCTTCATACAGTGAACCAGTCGGTTTTTGATCTGACTCCTGTAACGGGCTCATATCACCTTTGGCGAAGGAGATGAGGTGCGTGGAACATATCTCCGAAACGAACAGGTTCCGTCGGTTTGGCGTGAGAAAGGGACATTCTCTAAGCTACTGTACCATATGGATAAAATGAGCCCGAGGATACTATTGTGCTAAGATTGGGGTACTGATTCATGTTGACTAGTTATATAGTGGTGCAATTTTGAAACCCGCTAGTACTCGAGGAGGCCAAAAGAGAGCCCAGGTGTTCATTCCGCTCTTTGGCGATGCCTACGCTATACGTCAAAGAGCCCTCATAGCCTTCCCAGGGTTAAGTCAGGACACTTGACCATCAATCCCTTCTTCCTGAAACACCCTACGCAGCTCCTCCCCAAGCTGCGTAAAGTGATGCTACGACGAGTGCATGGAAACCAGACATTCCGCCTCGATGTCCCGGAAAAGCTTCGCAGCTTACTTTCCATCCAGTGTGATCTGCTAGCGCGGGCTACTCGGGTCCGTCATGTCCATATGCGCACGCGCATTTCCCAGGTTGAAAATCGCCGCGCAGATGTGATACTCCTCCGCAGTCTGCTTCAACCCAAGCACTTTAACATATACCGTGCCACCTGAAAGATAGAATGCGCTCGGGAGTCCTTCGCATCCGCGTCCGAACTAACTCGTCGCTGGTGATGATGAAGCCCGTGCATTCCCCTCCAAGAATGTGCTTTGTTGGCGTCCCAATGACAGTCCACTTCTTGTGGTGGCCCAGATCATCCAGGTTGTCGACGTGATCCTCGTGGCCCAGGAGAATGGCGTCGATGATGGAGAGCTCGTCTAGCCGGAGGGCGGGGTCGTCGTCCACGCCAAGGGAGAAACCATGTTGACCCCGTTGATCTCGAGGGTTGCGGTTGCTGTCCCGATGTGTGTGATGTTGAGGGTGGGAGCCATGGTGGTAAATTAGATAGGTAAGCTGAGTGAAGGCGTTTCAAAAAGAAACTGTTCGAATGCAAGGACCGAATGTGAGTCAGGGATCTTTGGCTGTGGGCTTACTTGGGCTAACTGGGCTTTAGGGGTTATTTATACCTAAATCGTGACTTTATAAATCGGTTGAATGTCTTGTCGGTATCCCTCTCGCCAGCATCTCTTCTGACACTCGTTTGTAAGACAACGGGTTGTTCGATTGACATTTACTCGTCCAGTAAGATCCATATCGCTGTTGCTACTCCCAAGAGCTGCCACAATGCAACCATTGGGTCTGGCAGTTTGCTCTATGGTGACCCAACCGGGGAACTTAATCTGCTTCGAACCACGTATATATACGCACGCAAAACATCAGAGCTCTCCAATAACCTGCCAGAATGGAGGCAGATTGGTCCAGACGATCCATGCAGCCGTCCGCATCCTCACCGTTTTCTGCATCATCGGACTTCACTTGCGCATTTTCTCTGCGGAAATGGAAACGAATTGCGTATCGACTCCACAAGACTTAGCAAGGACCAGGCGGGATGCCGGGCTTATTAAGTATTGTACGGTTAGGATTCATATACCTGGATGGTACAAAAGAGGAGGCAACTCCGCCTTCGTGCTGCAGTCCACTATACAAGGTCAGCATTGCAGTGGTACTCGCTTCATTCCGAGTCGAGGTCCCCTATACCCGACCTGGCTTAGCCGAGGCAGGGATTGTTGATCTTATTAGAATGTTTATTAGTATATCCGTTCTGGTAAGGGGATAATCTGCAGTATTTGCGACTGCTTTGAAGTAAATTCTGGAGATGCGTAGATTTCTGTTGTACTGGGCGGGTTGTTAGGGCTATCCTGCTGACTTGACAACAGGCTTGGCCGATAGACTACCCATGGTACACTTGGTACACTCTAACCCAATATAAGCGTCATTGAGCCCTGATCGATCTCGATTTCCATAAAAGAGGATACGGCCTGATTCAAGGTTGGTTGACCGAGGCACCTAGTTACACAGCATTCCATCACCACCGCATCGACTGAGATCAGAATGACGCACGCGACCAGCAGCAAGAATAAAACCGCCCACGCTTCCCACCACCACCAAACACAATTCATCCTCGATCTCTACACAAACACCTACCCTCAATAATACCATCAAAATGTCGTCCTCCAACTCCCGCAACCTCATCATAACCAGCATCGAAAGCCTAACGGGCTCGCAAATCGCCAAAACAATCCTCGCCAGCCGCTCCTTCTCGAAAACCATCAATCAAATCACCGGCTTAACGCTCACACCCGACGCAGACACCGTCAATGAACTCGTAAACGAGCACGGCGTCAACATCATTGAGCACAAGCCCGGCGACCTCGAGACAATGGTCAACACGCTCACCGAGACGGGCGCCGACACAATCTGCCTTCTCCCACCGAACCACAAGGACGCGTTTGATATTACAACCGAACTAATCGAGGCGACGAAGAAGGCGAATATCCCGAACGTCTGCTTTATTTCCTCTGCTGGATGCGATCTCGCGGAACGCGATAGCCAACCTCTCCTGCGGAGCGTCATTGATCTCGAGACGACGGTCATGCAGACGAAGGGCGATGCCAGTACGGAGACGGGCCACTCGCCCGTTATCATTCGGTATGCTTCCACCATCTTCTTCCACTCTAAAGTAGGCAAATCTGACAATATGTGTCCAGCCGCGGCTTCTACGCCGAACACCTTCTCTCCTACAGCAAGCAAGCCCAAGAAGCCGGAAAACTGCCGCTCCCCATCGGAACCTCGCACAAATTCGCACCGATGGCCCTCTCCGACGCCGTCGAGGTAATCGCACACGTCCTCACCGGCACCGGCAAGCACGGGTTCTCCGACAAGCACCGCGGCCAACTGATGGTCCTCACGGGCCCCCAGCTAACCGCGGGCTCGGAGCTCGCGAGTGCAGCAAGCCAGGCCCTCGGCGAAGAGCTGGAATTCGAAGATATCTCCCCTGACGAAGCGAAGAACGTGCTTAAGGATGACGCGGGGAGCTCAGATGGCGAGATCGCATACCTGCTTGAGTACTTTAGCCTTGTGCGCGAGGGCAAGACGAATTATATTTCGACCACGGCGTTCCATGATGTTACGGGGAAGCACCCCGTTGAGCCGACGGGGTTTTTCAAGAACTATGCTGAGGAGATGAGGCCCGAGAAGGCGAATAAAAAGAGGAAGACTCAATGAGCTGCGCCTTGTTCTATTGCGATTGATTAGCTGGGAAGCGTGTGTATATGTCCATTACATCAGGAATTCGACGACGAATTGATTGACGTCCATGAGATTTACCTTAAATCCCGAGTTACGCTTTGCGTTGACGACCGTATTATTACCTGCAATCCCCTACAATTATAAATTATGATTATGATAGAAGAATGACGTCGTGGGGAGGGAGTAGTAGCCCTACTCCGTACTGAAGTCAGAATGACGTGCATCCATGTGCGATCGTACGGTGAGACAAGAGAAGATTCAAGACCTCCAGCTTGAATCCCAACAGTATGCTCCCTTATATGGGAAATTCTGTAGGACGCCACCACGTGGGATAATGCTTAAGACAGGGATATCTAACCTACATACCTTTGTCCCAGGCTAAGGCCACCAGAGCATCGCAGACATAGGCACAAATTCGAGTTAGGGCTAGGTTTGATTAGCCCCACATGCAGGTGCACTCTGGCATGGGATTATATAACTGACAGGCCGCTTATTTAGGTAGTTGTAAGGTCTATCCCTGGGAGGATAGGGTAGAAGGCTAGGACTATAGCAGTAAGCTCTCAAGGCCTTAGAATAGTGGTTCAGGTGGTCGTCTTCAAAAGGTGGAAAGGTAGTAGCAAGATCGCTACCCAAACAGCGCAAGTTGGCAATAATATGGGGCAGGAACCTATTCACCCAGATAACCGACCTGTCAATCTAAACGGTCTCTTTCGGCATCGCAGGGCTGTGGTCAGATAAATCCAGGTTCGTTTCGTTCCGCATTACCCTATCTTAGATCTACGGAGTAAAGTCAACTTGGTCGATGAAGGAAGTGACGCAAAGAGTGTCAAGCTCTGGCCACGTACCTAAGCAAATGCGCACAATATGCGCACGCCCTACGCCAGATAAGCGTGGTATTCTAACGCAGAAGTAAATACAAGAGCCTCATACTCCTCTTCCCATCTCTCTACGTTTCCTGTACTCCGTATCAGCTAGAGCTGTCAGCCAAGCTCAGGGAGAACTGCGCTGTGTTGACATTTGCGGGATATACACTCACTGTCATGAATCTGTCCGTCCGCAAACTTGAGAATCGCTACAGCCATTATATTATTCTGGAGTCCATGCCCAACGCGCTTAGATGGGCAGGCAAAGTCCCAAGACAACTCATCCAGTCTTTCAGTCTAGGTCCTACCATTCCACCCTCTGCCACTGGCAAAATGTTATATAAGAAGAGCATGTCCTTGTCTCTGAGTGCTTTCCCATTGATAAGCAAGTGAGTTTCTGGCACAGCTAGGAACTGTTGTAACTGAGGAAACTTTATACAAAGTCCATTCTGCATCGATGTATTAGGCCTTTCTTCATACGGTTAAAAGGTAGAGAAAAACTTTGGTACAGTTTACTGAGCATCATCAGCTCCCTCGAAGATCGCAACCCCGATCTTGCGTTCCCACGTACTCCCCTCGGAGTCTTCAATGCTGACAGTGAAGTAGTCAATGCCGGCGTCTCCACTGGAAGTATACGTTGCCGTCGTCCCATCGATATTCACCTCTCCAAGCGAGTTCTCCGTCGCATCCACAGAGAACGAAGGCTCGACGAACCCCCTTGCCAATGCAGCCAGATCAACCTCGACATTGCCACTAGGAGTGACGAAAACATGCGGCTCGGCCATGAAGTTCAGGTATCCCTCAATAGCTGTGTACCCGTCGCCACCGGTCGAGCCATCCCACCAGTCCGCGATACCATCACCATCGGCGTCCCAGGTATCGCTGCGCGTGACTTCGGGGAAGTCTTCCAAGCCACCGACATCGGCCTCGTTGTCGATGAGACCCGGCTTGCCGGAGACAGAACCCTCGTAAGTGGCCGTGCCGTCCAGGGTCTCCGAGATTATGCGGGTATCGTGGTCGTCGAAAACGGGTTGGGATGCGCCGCTGTCAGAGAGGACGATTTTGTAGGCTTCGGTGGAAATTTGTTCGGTGATGTGGGAGGGGAAGAACCTATCACCAGCGTTAGCATCTCAGTCAACCGCGACGAAGACAGAATCTTTAGTGGCGTACTCTTCATCGAAGAACTTCTGATAGCTCGGAGCCGGGTCGATGCTGACGTCCGCATAGCAGGCAATTTCGGAGGTCTGCCCAGTGCCATCATCAACAAATTGCGTGGAGTCCTGGTCAAAGACGCCGGGCATGGAGTTGCCGGCGCAGTAGTACTGCTGAGTACCGGGAAGGTTGTCCTCGTACTGCGCTCTCAACGCGTAGGTGAGGTCGCTGGCAGGCCCTTGTTTGTAAAGGTTCCCGACGAAGTTGACCTCCATTGCGCCGCCATCTGTCACTCTACTTCCTGTGCAATTTTAGCTCATGTCCACCCAGTACTATTTAAAAGGCTTACCGAAGTTGTAAACAACATTATTTCTGATGTCCAACCTCCCAGCAAACGTCGCACTATCGTCGACGCCGCCGCCCATACTCCAGCTGCGTCCTTCAGCATGCGCAATGAGGTTGTGATGCAGACTGGCGACATCACCACCGACGGTCGCCGCGTAACCGTGCGCTGTGCCCTCGGGGTAATTCTGATGTCCAGCAACATTGAGTGGCTCAGAGATCATGTTGCGTTGGAAGGTGATGTTCTTGGCGGTACGCGATGAGAACGATTCATCGATCGCCCAGCCCATACTGCATCGGTCCATGATGCAGTAGTTCGATCCGGACATGCCCATTCCATCGATTGTTTCCCCGGTCGAAGAGCCCGGTCGAACGCGAATGTGGCGGAGAATCACGTCTGAGGCGCCGGAGAGACCTAGAGGCCAGCCTTGGATGACAATGCCTTTACCTGGAGCTGTTTGGCCGGCCAGGGTGATGTAATCGTCGCTAACGGTGAGACGAGAGGTCGTAGTGATGACGCCGCCGACATCGAAGACGACAATGCGCGGGCCGGTTTCCACGGTGAGTGCGTATCGGAGGGTTCCTTCGTCCTCGGTGTCTTCGAGGCTGGTGACCTTGACTACCTTGCCGCCGCGACCGCCGCGAGCGAAGCGTCTGCCGCCCTTGTTAGTCTAATGGAGAAAGTAGAGCGCTAGGGCTTGATAACTTACCCATATCCTTCTGCCCCAGGGAATGCCAGGTGGGCCAGACGAAAAGTGAAGGTACGCCCGGTGTATACAGTCTCGCCATCGACGACGTCAACGCGCCAGTAGTACGTGTCCAGTTTGTTGAGGCCTGCCACTGTCAGCATCGCCGGTACAGATTACATACGGGACACTACCTCCAAAAATTACAGTCGGCTCCGTCAGCCCTTCGCTAGACCCTGCCAAATTGTCGGGGTCAGTGCCTAGGTAGAGGTTGTAAATAGGACTCTCGACATCAGCGGGTGCTCTCCAAGACACCATGATGCTATCACTGCCATCTTCAACCTCAAGATGGCTGTCTCGGTGTGCGGGGCTAGGAAAGGTGATTTGGTTTCCGATGGCCGGTGTGTCAATCTCAAAGCCGTTCAAGTAGACGAGACCGTCGCCGCCGGAGGGGGTGTAGACGACCTCGACGGGGTCAGAGGCCGACGCGACAGTGAAGGTGATGTACGAGGTTTGCGATTCCCAGATGTTGTCAACGCGGACAGAGGGTTCAACCTAAAGTCTCAGCGCCAGTACTCAAAAAACATTCGCAAACAAAGCATACAGAAGCAAGTTCCTCTCCCCCGACCGAAACCCCAATGGTCGCCGCAGAATCCTCAGGGTCCGACCACAGATTATGCCAGGTGAGCAGAGTATGCTCACCCTCCTCCAAACCTGTAATGCTCAAAGTAATTGCTCCCGGATTGTCCGCCGAGGTGGTGATGCCCTGATTCACGACGCGCTCGCCCAGATGCGAGACGGTCCGGGTGTACTGGAACTTGTAGTAGTCGCCCTCAAGGTATGAACCGTCAGGCGCAGAGATCGTAAGACTCAGGTCAGAAATCTCAGCGGACGAGCTCTGGGCCTCGCTGTCGACATCAAATGTGGAGAAATCGGGCTCCTCGAGATCGCGGACGCTGCTGGCCTTCAGCCGCACCCGAACCTGGGCTTCGGTCAAGCTGAGCAAGGCCGCAAGGACTGTCAGCTTTCTCAGGTAAATCATGACGGTAGCTGCTGTGGGGTCTTACCGTCTCAACCGGTTGGAAAGTTCCTCACTTTATGTAGAGACGTCCGGTGCTTGCCAAGCACTGTAGAAAGGTCGTTGTATACATGAAACATCCGTGCTTTCTTTGGCACTTGCTCCACCAACGTCGGCGGCCAATTCGCTGAGATCAACAGGAACATCTCCTAAACAGTCTTGTCCGTCATGCGCGACCCTGAATTGGCGTGAACATGAAACCCAGGGTCCTCTCTTGCCTGCCGCGCGACTCCAGCTCAGCGACCGAACAGTAGTCTAAAACACTCCTCGAGCGCTTGGCCTTCCTCTCGCCCGGTGATCACTTTCGAATCCTGGAAGTCTTGCCGGTGCGGTGCCCCTGAGGATGCTGTGCTGGTTGCGGAGACGAACAGGTCCGAGCCCACCCAGGAACGCTGACTCGCGTCTGCAGGACCTGGCTTGGCACTCTATTGTGATGCAACAGTTCGTTACATGTTGATGTCGCTCGCTCGGGAGTCTTCGTAGTTCGTACCATCGTAGCCGGTTCTCTGCGGGGGGTTCTGGGTGCGGCGGTTGGTGCGGCGTCGGTCGTCGGTCGTCGGTCGTCGGTCGGGCTCTCGTGAATTGTGGAGGGGCGCTGATAGAATTCGAGTATGTCTGAAGCTGGCTTCCAATGCTGCGGCTTTCTAGCTTATGATTTGGAATAGTGGTAGGAATGGGGAGGTGAGAGATGGGGTTGTTGTGTTGCAAACGGAGATGGATGGAGGTGGATGGAGGATGAGATCGAAGGAAGGTGCAGAACAACAGCGAGCTCCCGCCATCACCCCTACTTGCTAGCATTTCTCAGGAAGCCAGAAACGTCGATTCCCATGTTCTCCGTAGTAGTTAATATATTAGACCATGGCCGTCGATCAAGTCGCAGCTGCTTAGCTGCTTTTGCGGTGATTGACAAGGTACTACAGTGGAGTGATCTACTTAGCAGTTGGATGCTTCTACTGTCAATGATCTACAAACTATACAGTGAGAGAGATTTCAGACGAGCAAAGACATTGTATTATTGTATGCTATCATGCATATAGTCATGAGCAAGTAGATAAGAGACAAACATAGTGTAAGACATCCAAGACTCCAGAACAATTTGAATCAGAATACATATTTAATCAGAAACAACATGCTAAAAGCTTTGGTTTTTCTGCACCTGCCCCTCAAGAGACCATTCCTTTCGAGTGTCACTCCACTCTTTGAGGAAGGGGAGGGCCATTCTCTTGGGGCTGGGCGCGTGGATGATGGGGTCTGTGTCTGTGTCTGTGTCGAGCTCAGCCATGTCGGCAGTCCTCTTCTTGCTGTTGCTGTTTCTGTTTGCCTGCAGGACGCGGATGTCGTCGGGGGATTCATGGATGATGGACATCCACTCATCCAGCTCGGAGTCAGAGTCAGAGTTGGGCAGTTCCGGCTGAGACTCCGAGACCACGGCGCTGGTGTCCGAAGACTCGTGGTCTGGCACATGTTAGCTGCTTGTTAGACGTAATGGTGGCAAGAACCGGAACGTACCTTCCTGAACACGGCCGAAAGCACCGGCCACAGGGGCGCTGGCGCTGGCCGGACTCTCACTGCCGCTGCTGCTCTCGAGGTCAGGCATGACCATGGCCGGAATCGGCTGGCTCATCATGTAGTCATTGAGAGCCTGATTCCGCTCGAGGGTATCCAGTTTCACGGCTTTGCGGTCATACCGCAGGAGAGCTTCGACGAGGTCGAGTTTGGTCTCGACTACGATCTCAGCGGCGTAGATGATGGCATCGTTGAATGCATCGAGAGCCGGATAATAGGACATGACTGGGGTTCTCTCTGCTACGCGCTTGGCTTTGAGCTCTCGATCTAGGCTTTCGATGCTCTCTGCGAGTTCGAGTTGGAGGTCGATCACGTCCTGGTCGGCGTGGATGACGTCTTGTTTGGCGATGTCTTTGCGCAGTGACATTCGGGCCATGGTCGAATGTTACAATTGAGATAGATAAAGATGAGGGAGATGAGATGGAGATGGCAGTGGCTGCAAGATGCTGATACTGCCTGGAAGGTGATGGTGAGAGATGTAGGAAGATGGAAATGATCAGAGATCAAACAGGCCTTCAGCGCTATATGAAGCATCATGAAAGTCAATTATGACTCTTCAAAGGACCTACGGACCGGAATACTGTTGCGCACTGGTCAGCCACTACAGAAAGAAAGAGGCGATGCTGGTTTAGCAATGTATGTGCTGTTTGATCTGGTCTTGTCCACCCAATGGACCGCTATCCCGCTCCACAGAGCAGGATCAAGCTTTCAGATCAGTGTATTCATTATGGACATACTGTCCTATCATTTACTATCACTGTCAGCATATATTGTGACTCATGGCAGGACTCTATTGATGTTTAGCTGTGAACTATACTGCAGCCGTCCGCGTAGAGCCAGCTGCACAAAGCCACACCACTTCCCCAGGTTTCTTGCATCATCTCTATTTAACTAGAGTTTCGGAGCCAACAGCCCAGTGACTCACTTTCTCTGTTTGCCTTTGACGGAATACAGTGATAGTGATCAGCCAGAACAGTATGTTGCTCTGTTTCCCGTTACCGTTCTATTTCCCTCCCACCCATACACTGCAGGACAGACCACGTACCATGACTGTAGAGAATACATCTCACTGCATCAATTGTTATGATGATCTTCATACCGGTATTGCAATGGCCACTGCGCCGCTCCAACTTGTCAGAGGCTAGACCATTCCACTCCATCCCGCTCGGCCTGGCTTCTACCTACCTTCATCCCGCACCAATGGGGGCAGTGACGCCGGTACTGTGTATCACAAGACAGGACAGTCACAGGAATCAATTGTCCTATTCTCTGCCAATCAATGTTAGGACTCAAGTGGTGATCCAGAAACAACGGGCCGTTGATGCAGCTTTCCGCATCAACCACTTTCCATCCCCATCTCCATACACATCGCATCTGCCACCCTCCCATCCCCATCTCAATCCCATCCCATCCCATCATCACAGAATAATTCCAGCCCACCAACAGAAAGTACCCTACGCCATTCTCCAGACACCCATCGCGTCCCATCGCGTCTCAGCTGACGTTCTAGTACAATCAAACTCTCTCCACACGAACCAAGCTCGATTGCCTTCCGGACTTCCACCCCGGTCAACGATTACTGGTCCAGCTAAGCGAGCTGGTGATCCTTTCAGCGCCGTGACAATACGACGCGAACCTGCCATCCAGATCACCAAGCTCACCAAGATCTTGCCTTCTGGCCGAGACGCGTCCATGTAGGGGCAGCTGGAGGCTGTTCCCCGGCCATTTACGTCACCGTCCGCCCATTAAGCGGCTGATGTTCTGGGCAACGTCTACGCAGCCGAATCGATGACAGGCCGCTGCACGACGAAGAGAATTGGGGTGGTATTGCGCTGGAGCTCGCCTGGTGCTTGGGAGTTTCCAGTGAATCGATCTGCGTTGACCTTGTATACAGCTAGCTAGCCAGCATGAAAGAAACATGTTTAAGCCCGGAGAATATTTAAGAACTTGGTTGCTTGGTAGCCTAGGGTAGCGCTATAGTCTCGCCTATCTAGAAATAGAATGAATACAGCAGACGATACAACCCCAGATCGCGACCAGAAAGAAGGGCCAGGTCAACAGGGTCCAGTTCACGTGTGGGCGTGGTAGGTACGTCATAAGCTTAAACCAAGCATACACGCGGTAAGGTTTAGGTATGGTTGTGGTCTGCCTTAGATATTAGGCATTTATGCTGTGCGATGTACTGTAACTAAGAAGTCATGAACTGGGTACTTTAGCCGGTAGCCTTGATAGAGTCCAACGGTCCCTGGCGGGTTTATCGTATGAAAGAGAGAAAGTTAGGTAAAAAAGAGTGTGGAAGTTTTGGTCGCTCCTTCCTCAAATCCAGGCAGCGCCGCTACGGTACCCAGACATCAACGTATCACAATAGCAGTACAACTTCCTCGTACAAGTTCAATTCTTCGACAATAATGATAACCTCAAGAAACCCCAGCCGCGTTCAAAATCTCGGAACAAGTGGGTACTTCATGACTCGAATTCTTCAGGCCATCCCCACAGTGGATTCTGCAGCCTTCCGTTGGAACCGCTGCTTATAAACCACATGTCCCCAGTCCCCAGACCGAGTTATGTCACTTGTTCCGAGTGTCCTCGCAGAGATACGACGCGTTGCGCAGCATACCATGTCGGATATCACAACGACCCCAGCCTGGATCCTAACGGGCCAGAACGGCCCTTCGTCCCTCGAATTCGTCGATGCCTTTGAGCTCCCGCCGCTCGGACCAAATGACGTTCTCGTCTGCATCCACGCCGCCGCGTTGAATTACCGCGAGTTGGCGATTGCGGAGGTCCGTACTTTCCCCTTTTTTCTCCTTAAAGGTCTTACTAACGCGTCATGCTATGCTTAGGGCAAGTTCGGCCTCCCCCTCACACCCCCCATAACCCCCTCCTCCGACGGCGCCGGCGAAGTCCTCAAAGTCGGAAGCGCAGTATCAACCTTCAAATCCGGAGATAAAGTGGTCGCGCATCTCACCGTTCACCAAGGCGACAACGAGCCGGCCACATTTGCGGATATCGGTGCGGGCCTGGGACAAGGCGTTCACGGGACGTTGCGGAAATACGCGGTTTTGCACGAGACGAGTCTGGTGCATATGCCGAAGACGCTGGGGTATAGGGAGGCTGCGACACTGACGTGCTCGGGGTTGACAGCTTGGAATGCGCTTTTTGGACCGGGGCTTGCCGCTGCGAAGACGGGAGTTGTCGATGTCGGCAAGGCGCTGGAGGGGAAGTATGTGCTTGTCCAGGGGAGTGGAGGGGTTAGTGTTGCTGCTTTGCAGGTAAGTCATTCCCTGTTGGCCTCCACCATATTAGCTTTGTTGCAGCTTAGTTGGAGGAAGATGATAAGACTGACGAGGCATAGTTCGCCGTCGCAACCGGCGCAACTGTCATCGCAACGACCAGCTCCGATGCCAAGGGCGCAAGGCTCTCCTCCCTCGGCGCGCATCACATCATAAACTATAAGATCACTCCCAATTGGGGCGAGGTTGCGAAATCACTTACGCCAAACAACCGCGGATTCGATACAGTCGTCGACGTCGGTGGTCCCTCGACCGTAGCACAGTCGCTCAAGGCCGTGAAGACGGATGGACTCGTTGCGCTGACTGGGCTACTTGGTGCGTCCGAGAATGTTCAGGTACCGTCCATCATGGATGGTCTGACGCATCTTTGCACCACGAGGGGATTCTTGTTAGGAACGCGGGAGCAGTTCAGGGAAATGAATGCTCTTATTGAGGAGAAGGGTGTTAAGCCTGTGGTAGATGAGCGGGTCTTCACATTTGCTGAGGTGAAGGAGGCGTATGAGTATCTGGAGCAGCAAAAACATTTTTCGAAGGTTGTTATTGATGTTGAGTGACAGCATACATGAAATATAGACAAAGAATGATACAACATAGGAGAAATAACAGTGGCAACGTCTTTGGGCTTAAACCCATGATGAGTAGTCAAAGGCCAAGGTATTGTCAACGGATTAGACTGAAACGGCCCTGATGGAAGGACGTTTAGGAAACGGTAATGGAAGCAGATCCGCTGCTCTGGTAGCCCTCGACAGCCACGATCTGGTAGTTGTGGGTACCAAGGGTCATGCCGAGGTTGGACCAGGCATCGAAGTGGTTCTGGGTGGTGACGCTGCCAGACTCGCGCTTGTTCTGGCGAACGGACCAGAACTGAGTAAAGGTGGCAGTACCCTCAATTGAGTCCGCGTTCTCGCGAGTCGCGGTGTAGATGTCGTAGGTTGAGCCGTCGGACTCAACAGTCCCCTGGTGGGTTCCAGCGGTGCCGGGGTTGTAATCGCCGTACGACTCGACGATGTAGTACTCGATCAGGGGGTTCTGCGTCCAGCCGTAGACAGAGAGGTAGCCGTTGCCGCTTGGGTTGAAGGAGCCGGAGTAGGTGATGGTCCTGCACAATTAGCTTCCCCCGCTAGGATACTTGAAGGCCACATACTGGGAGCTTCCAGGGTTCCATCCCTTTCCGCCGACAAAGTTGCCAACGTCCGACCACTCAACAGTGTAGGAGCCGCCATCGCCGTTGGTGTAAGTGACGTCGCCGCCGCCGTCGGTCCAGAAAGAGTAGTAGTAGCCGCCGCTGGTGCCGGTGGAGCTGCCGGTAGAGCGCTCAGCCAGGGAACGCTCGGCGACGCTCTGGTCGGAGGGGGCAGCAAAAACGGTGGCCGCAGAGCACGCAAGGAGGAGGGATGAGAAGGAGACCATGGTGACGGTTGTTTGTGTTGACTGTGCGGTAGAAGTGAAGCAGCTCGGGCTGCTTTATAGGCAAGTCCGTCATTGAAACCGGAGGTACTGCTATTTGTGGAGATCAGGAGTTTGAAGGACAATATCCTTCAAGCGGCCGGTTGATTCATGAAGTCCGTGGCTCCGTGAGTGGTCGCTATTCGGTTGACAGCGGAGGAGAGCCCACTTGGATGTCAAGATGAAACGCAGAACGGTGTCAAGCGAGAAGCTGTGTTTCGCATCACTATAAATAGGCTAAATCCGGCCCCTGTCTCAAGTATATTGGCTGTCTTGGCACATATAAGCTTCGCCTTCGCTTCATTCCGCCGCGGCAAACATGATCCGGGAAGTATAGGCTGAATGTGGGCAGAAAACCCGTAACTCATCCGTCCAACGGGCAGAGTTGAGAAGTTGTTCTGTGAGCGTCTTTCGGGGAGGTCTAAGCTTGAAGGGTGGAACTCCGCTACGTACAGAGATAACCCCGGTGGGTCTGACTCCTAATCAACCCTACACAACAAGTCAGTCGACAGGGCATCGAAGAGTAAATAGACGGATATAGGCTATAGCTTAGTACATACCTTCTGTTGCGATGTTTGTTTGAATTCCGATGCTCGGGTCGCACTTTTGTTGTCTCTGGGTTCGTCGGGCGTTGCTGATGCTTCTCAAGCATCATCTTGGTCACCAGAAGAATGTGGGAAGTTCTAGCCTCGCTATGCTGTCCGTAGGGATCAGTGGTTGAGGACGAAAGAGAAGAGGACGACGGAGGAATGATGGCCTGCTTGAAGCACGTGGCCCCACGTGTTCCTTCCCCGGGTTGGTCCTAGAACACTTCCAGCACTGACATTCTTAACCACCAGAACCAACTGAAGCTGGCTGCTCTGGTCAGATTCCTTCGCCTTGAACGGCTTAAGTCTGCATAAGATCCAGCGACATCAATACCTTCCTCCCGCCGTCCTTGATTCTCCCAAGTCTCGTCTCCCAAGTCTCGTTCGACGGCGCCTCCACAGGACATGAGAAGCTATCCAAACTAGCCGAGCCGGCCTCGCCTCAAGTTCGACATCGAATACATCACTGCGTCAGACTTCAGAGACCCGAATGTTGCAAGATTCAAATCCTCCGCGGTTCTTATAGCTCCGCCAGCGAGTCATCACGGTAGAAGCTACAAGCCACCCAGACAGCGATGGCTAGTCCGCAACCCTTGGCAATTCCACAAGATAAGAAACGCCAAAGTAAGTCTGCATATATTTTGAATCCTCTCAACGCCAACCTGACCAGCTCGCAGTCTCCGAGGCATGAACCCTGTTCGCGGAGAATTGATCTCCGGTGACAAAAATGGCTCGAATACGTCGTCGAGCTCGCCCTACTCGGTCGAGTTGGATCTCTTATCGCGAGTTGACGTGAAGAACGGCGCAAACTACAAGTTGCATCCTGTTCTCTCCCATGTCATGAAACTCAGAGACCAAACGACTTGGGCAAACGGAGGCAAAACCACCCTTTACACCCACGGCGGACCCCGCATAAACAACACTCCGCCGGATGACGGAGTCTGTACGTACAACATCGCGGATGGTTCATGGCAGTTGCAGTAGGCAAGCAAGGCCCGTGCTCCTGGTGTCCAGTAGTATAATTCCCTCCATAGCGCTTGTTACCGAGCTAACCTGCGCAGCACATAGGTACGGACGCCCCGGAAATCCAGGCAGTGTACTAGCTCAGCGGATATCGAAGCAGCAACACAACTACCGAAGAATCAGCGTGTACAACACGAGTTTGCAGTATAGATTCAAGTATCTCCAATATTGATGCCTTACTAATGGTACCTGCCCAAAACAGCGTTGCCTTGAATGTGTCCAGGAACACAAAGATGCCGAGCCTGGAATTAATTAGAACTGCCTACTGCACAGGGAACAATTATGGTCAGTACTTACTCTTATCCCAGTAGTAGCGACTCATGTACTCATTATTTATTTTTTAAAGAATGCCGGTAGCATCTTCACGGGATCCACCAGGTGTCTTACCAGCGATGCGCCAGGCCATGGCTTTTCTTTTGCTGGGGTTACTGACAACGTGCTTTCTGGTGGAGGTGTCTGGGTTGAGCTTGAGAGGCACGACATAAACGGCGGTCGCGGACAAGGACCCAGTTCTTACAGGCCCGGTCAGCGCAATGTCGCCTCCTCCGACGTGGATTCGGTCCTTCCACCGTCTTGAACGAGCCTTTTGTGCCCGTACAAGGATGAGCTCAATGGGTGCACTGACATTTGTCGGCGGTGAAGTCCATCTATTCAAGATGGGATAGATGCGAAACTCACTCAGGAAGGTTTTGCCACCTTGAACGCGGTCGAGAACCTCATAAGAACAGAACGCATGAGATTGTTTTCAGGTCTACGATAACGAAGAGCAAAAATGGTACAAGCAGCCAACAACCGGCAACGTGACACCACGGAACCAATTCTGCGCATCAACCATCCACGAGCCTAAGTCCTCCTCATGGCAAATCTATGTTAGCAACAGCGCGGATTTGGAATCCAAGGATATCCTCACCGACGTGTATGGCTCTTGACCCATCTTTCTTCAGGCCGCGCTAATCGTACTAAGGACATACCTCTCCGTTCCTGCTTCAGATGCTTTCGCGCTGAGTCTGGCGAATGGTCGAATGTCACATACCTGCCAAATGTTTGAGCGTCAGATATTCGGAATCGGTGGGCGCCAGGCCTGAGCTGATAATCCTTCAGCAGTTTGCTATGATCGCCCGGCATTTGCATACGACGCACAATCGGAAGTCGTCCGCAATGTATCCGACGTACGGCCAGCCTGCCCATTTAGCAACCATGGGCATGCATTGACCTAGTAGATTGAATGTCCGCGCTACCAACCCATTCCGTCCTCACTGCAGCAGCCGATTACATAAAGCAAGGTCCTTTCCCGTTACTCACCAATTGCTCGCTAGGTTTCCTCTTCACCATGATCCTTCCGGTTTATCCTCCTAGCGGAAACTCCATTAGCGAAGGCGCCATAGCTGGCGCAGTCCTCGGCGGCGTTGCGGGGCTACTATCATCGCCCGACTCATTGGTTTCTTATACGCAGAAGGCGTACTCGGGGAATGGATGATGATGCCGTGAACACCGCGATGGGGGAGTCGAACCAGCGCGGCACAGACGAACTCGAGGTAGACAATATATTTGGCGAGTGGGACGGGCGAAATCATTATCAAGCTCTACCCTGCCCCCATGGCGTCGACATATACAGAGGAACATTATCACTCCTATGAACAAGATAGATAATATTCCTCGCAATAAGAATACCAGAATTAATAATCGGCGGAAATACGGCCGCAGCTTCCCCACAATACCTACAGGTGCGCAAACCACTGGAGCTGATCGATCTTCCCCGCTCCCTGAATCGCATGTGGGGTTTTCTGTCCTCCTTTGCCAACTCTGTACTGCAGCTGCTGATCCTACGTAATCTTCGTAGAGTCCTACTCTTTACATCGCATGATCTCCAGTTTACATGTGGGGCCGCTCAGCTTCTCGAGGTACAAAAAGCTCCCCTCCTCAGGGGTATATGTGGCTCAATTGACGCTGACTGCTCAAGAACCCTTTACTTCTTGTTTCTGGGAATATCACCAGGTTTATAGGTACACTCGATCTTAATTCCAGCCTCAGAGCTCGATCAACGCATTCGCCCTACAATCCGACATCCCCCTCGAGCAACGCAACGCGACAAAATGCCCCCCACTACCCCTCCCACAGGCCTCCCGCCCATGAAAGACCTGACAACCGAAAACATCACCGAAAACGTGCACATCGTAAACAGCCAATGCCCGTCCCCACGACTCAAGTACCTCCTCCACCAAATCGTCTCCCACCTGCACGAATTCTGTCTTGAGACGCGCCTGTCCACCGAAGAATGGAGCTACGGAATCAAATTCCTCACGGAGATCGGGCAGATTAGCGATGATCTGCGGCACGAGTTTATCCTGCTTTCTGATACGCTCGGTGTATCCTCGCTCGTCGACGCGATAAATCACCCGCGCCAGCCGCCCGCCACAGAGGGGACAGTCCTAGGCCCGTTCCATACGCACGATGCAGTTGATATGTCTCACGGGGCAGTACTGCACACGGACCCCGACGCGACGCCGCTTTTCGTCCTGGCGTCTATCAAGGATACGGCGGGGAACCCGATTCCCGATGTGAAGGTTGATGTGTGGGAGGGTGACTCGAAGGGGTTCTATGATGTGCAGAATCCGAATCGGGAGGGCCCGGATGGGAGGGGTGTGTTGAGGAGTGATGAGGACGGATTGTTTTGGTTTCAGGCGATTGTGCCCGTGCCGTACCCGATTCCGATGGATGGGCCTGTTGGGAAGATGCTCAAGGCGCTGGGGAGGCATCCGAATCGGCCGGGGCATGTGCATTTTATGCTTGATAAGCCTGGATGGGATCTCTTGATTACGTGAGTGTGCCATATTGGTCCTGGTCCTTTTCTGCAATATTTTGATGGCGGATGTGCTAATAATTGGTCGATGTAGTGCGCTCTACCCCCGCGGAGACCCCTACGAATCGTCAGATCCGGTGTTCGGCGTGAAGGAGTCACTCGTCGTTGACCTGTCGACTGTCGAAGACGAGGAGATGGCGAAGAAGTACGGTGTTAAGGTGGGGACGAAGCTGCTGAAACATGACTTCGTGCTTTTGTCAGAAGAAGAAGCCCGTGAGTTGCGCAAGAAGAATGCTATCGAGGCTATGGAGAAGCAGGGGAGAAAGGTTGTTTTCCATGATGATTTGCCAGTACCGGCAGATGATTCTTGATTCATTGGTTTCGTGGTACATAGGTTTCGGGTATATGTCATAGCTTGCTCTTGTTGAAATGTTGATTCCGCAGGCCGGTTCATTTCATGATGCGTGTCATCAAGTCATCTTAGCTACGTCGAATAGTGCTCGCATTGTATGGACACAGTTTGAGTGGTCGGGGCCAGCTGTGCCGCCTTGGAGCAGTGAAACTGACTGATGTCCGCGTCGTGTGCGTAGTGCGAGTAGGGCGGGACCATCTGTAATCTGCAAAGATGTGCAGCTTCTCAATGGACCGTAGGGGGTTCGCCTTCAATTGTCACTGCAATATCCGGTTGTCGTCAGTTCTCGATTGCTCAATCGGATTCTTCCTCGCTCATCTCATCCGTAGCCTGGGTCAACTGCGTGCTTGGTCCCACTCCGCTAGGTCGGACATTGCTCCGTCTCTGGCCTGAGGATATAGCACGCTCGCCGACATATTTATCACCCGGCCATGGCGCCCTGCATATCGGACATTGCTCTGCCTTCTGCACTCGGAAGAAGTTGCGCATACAGCGGTCGTGTAATCGGCCGGCGCAGTCACGGTTACCGCATCGTTGTCCCTGTTCGGTCAGCACATCATAACTCGTAAAAAATTAGGAGACAACATACAATCGTGATAATGTCCTTGCAAGCAGCGCAGAACTTGATCTTCTGATTTCTCCGCCCGCCTTCATTCTCATCATTATACGTCGCAACAAGCCAACCCCTCAACTCCATCAATCCGCGTGGGCTCAGCGTATAAAACCCCTTCTGGCTCTTCTCAAACCAGCCATCTTCGCAGAGCTGCTTCAGGACTGTCTCCGCCTGTCCCATAGTCAGCGGCTGCGCCGCCCCGCCTTGGGTAGCTTGTGTTGCGGAGCCGGACTCGCGTCGGTTGCTTCCGCCGACTTTGCACTCGTTAAGAGCCTCCATTGTACTGAGAGAAATTGCCTCCGTAATCTTATTGTTATTCGTTTCGAACATCTTGTCCAGAACACGTTTGACGTAGGAGATCTCGTCGGCCGTATGTGTTGTCGCGAGTTGCGTCAGGCCGTCGCTTGTTGTGTTTACCAAGGCGTAGACGCGTTCGGGGTTCACTTGTTCGTTTGTGGGGTCGTCGAGCTCGACTTGAGGGATGGTACTGCGGATTTCGAGGTCGAGGGGTGAGATTGCGCTGTTCGCGGCCATGACGAATGAGTTCAGGTGGTTTTCTGTGATGGCGTTAGGGGAGACGGTTTCGCCTCCTGGGACAGGTCAGTAAGCTGGCTTGCTTCGTTTCGGATTCTTGACTTACCGTGCACTGAGAGGATGGCGGCGAGTATGGGCTTTGCTTCTGTGAGGGTCATCGTTGACCGGGCCATCAGGGCCTGGAGGAACGCCCGATTGCTGTCATCGTAGCCCTGTCTTCGTGACATTTGAGATGCTAGTTTTTAGTGGTACGAAAAATATGCTGGAGAATTGACGCGATGCGACAGCAGGTAATGAATTGCTTTGAAATAGTCAGTGTCGAAAGATGATTGCGGGGTGTCTTTCTTTGTCCGCCGGGGGACGCGACAGACGCGCCAAAATCAAAAACGCCAAGACCTCCCATATCTCCCAATCAGGAACGCTGAGGCGGGCGCCCCGGATCTCTGGATTGCTACGGAGTACAGGACACATATTTTAGGCATTTAATTGCTTTTCCATTAGTAGGTAGCCACGCCGTTGCTATACTGTGATATCATAAATAAAGTACACGATCATTCTCCCAACGCCGCTATAAAACAGACAATCGTTCAGTATCTCCGCCGTGTAGGCTCCGGGCTAGGACTGCGGCTGGCGCTCCGGGCATCGCGACCACGGTCCTTCAACCACTTCTTCGTGCTGAGGCGAAGCTCACGGTCGAGCTCGTTGCTGGGGTCTTTCCGGTGGATGAAGTTGCAGAACCCGCCGCGTACACAGCCCTCGCCACTATTGAGCCTGCAGCACGCTTCTCGGAAATCGGTGACTGGTGATAACTCGCAATATATCGGTCGCGCGGCATACCATCGAGAGTTGAGCGCATCGCAGGCGGCCTGCGCATCCTCTTCGTACTTGAATCGGGCGTAGACGTTTCCGATCAGATCTGCGGAGACGAGTGTTAGTTCTGCGACATATAAACCAGGGAGCGATGACTTACGGTCGTTGTTGTTGTCGCACACTACTAATTCCTCCAACTCGCCGTATTTGCACATCTCGCACCAGACGTCCTCGTAGAATGCATCAAAGTGGTTTTGCAGTTGACTCGGGTTCATTTTGCTCTTGGGATCGTAGGCGGGGTTCTGGTACATGTTTGGCATCAGGACCGTCTGGGAGTAAGACGGCTTGACATGTTTGCGCGAGCACCGGTCGCCGTGTCTGCAGGCGCCGATCTTGTAGTAGAAGGAGCAGTTGACCTTGTCTTGTTCGGTTCCGAAGATGGAGGCGAGGTAGTTGGCCATTGTGAGGGCGATGCGGTATGCAGGAAAAAGGGTAAGATGAGGGGCCGATGAGTTCTTGAGGATCAGCGAGGTTGAAGTGAGGTTGTGGCGAGGATGACAAGGACGAGGGCGCGGTGACAAGATGGCTTCTCCGACAAGATCCCCAGCTCTGAAGATTCTGGAGATCGACCTCAAGCTCCGGACCGCTGCTGACTAATTTGATGCCTGAGGCGGAAGCTTCTAGATCCTCCACCACTGCCGCTTTCTCATCTCCAATCACTCCAGTTTCGCGTTGACGGTTCATAGTTTATCATAATTGATCTCAAATGCTTACGGTGCTGTTCTATATGCGCTGGTCTGAGCTTGGTTATTGTTGCAGCTATGAAACGATGCCTTTCGAATCCATACAGCTGGCTTCCTGATCTATATCTTCATTCATGTGACCGCACGCTTCCATACAGCTCTTGAGAAGTTATTCGAGGAACTTAGGACGATTGGTCCTCCTTCTGGCTCCTCAACCTCAACGCCATGCTGCGCCAGGGTCGTTGGCGCTCGGGCGCTGCGCCCCGCATTATCGACCTCAGCCTCACTCGCCAGCAAGCGGCCGGGCATATCAAAACGGGTCAATTTGCACTTTTGAATCACCACATCATGCTCCTAACACTACGCCATGAAAAAGCCTCGCTTACCACTTGAAAGCTATACCGTAGGATGGGTCTGTGCCCTACCGCTCGAGCTCGAGGCGGCCCGGATAATGCTGGATGAGCATCACCAGGATCCACCACGTGAGCCGCATGAGGCGAACATCTATTGCCTTGGGAGGATTTGCGAGCACAATGTTGTTATTGTATCCTTGCCTGCTGGTCGCTATGGGACAAACGCCGCCGCTGTGTGCACCGCCCAGATGATGGAAAAATTCCGGTCGATCAGGTTTGGCTTTCTAGTCGGCATCGCCGGTGGTGCTCCTAACGACGAAGTGGATGTACGGCTTGGTGATGTTGTAATCGGTCAGCCTAAGGGCCACTACGGCGGCGTTGTCCAATACGACCTTGGGAAGATCGAAATTAGGGGAGAAAGCCGCCGAACGGGCTACCTCCATCCACCGCCAACGATGCTTCTCAATGCTCTTGCCAAATTCCAAGCAATGGGAAAAGATCGAAGCGACTACATTACGTCCCGTCTTTCGCTAGTCAAAGGCGTCCAAAAGCCGAAGTTGGATAGGTTGTATGAATCAACATACGACCATGTCGGAGACTCCTGTTCTGACTGCGACTCTGTGAGACTGAAAGAAAGGCCTGATCGTGTCGAACAAATTCGAGTACATTATGGAACTGTTGCTTCAGGTAACCAGGTCATTAAGGACGGTGTCACGCGAGACAGGCTAAGCCGGGAACTCGGGGGTGTTCTCTGCTTCGAGATGGAAGCAGCAGGTGTGGTTAATACCCTTCCTTGTCTCGTTGTACGCGGTATCTGCGATTACTGTGACTCGCACAAGAACAAAGATTGGCAGAGATACGCAGCTACAGTAGCCGCGGTGTGCACAAGGGAGATTTTCGATATCATTCCAGCTCCGCAAGTTACCGGGGTTGCCGCTGACGTGGATACCAGGCGCCGCTTTGAAAAGATGTTTATGACCGATCCTCGCGTTGAACGAGCCAATTTGGTCACTGGCAAAGGAGCTAGAGTAGACGGCACCTGCGAGTGGATTTGTGAGAATGAGCTTTACAAATCCTGGCTGAACACTGATGGGCCGCCACTACTTTGGATATGTGGAGGTCCTGGCAAAGGAAAGACGATGCTGTCAATCTATCTTACCGAGGACCTTGAAAGACGCATGCAGATCAAAGGAAGCGGCAGTGACCTACTGTTCTATTTCTGCAAACACGAGTCTGACAAGTGCAATTCCGCAAAGGCTGTCCTTAGTGGATTGATACACCAAATCATCACCAAAAACCCAACCCTTTTTCGCCATGCAAATTCCTCCTTTGACACCGATGAGAAAGCGGACTATACTTTGTCATCGCCAGAAGGACTCTGGGCCATCTTCCGAGACATCGTGCATGATCCCGAAATTGGTCAAGTTTTCTGCGTCATTGATGGACTCGATGAGTGCGACGAGGAGTCCATAAGTTTCTTGGGGCCCAAATTTCAGCAGCTCTATTCAGGCAAACAAGGTGACCATCCCTCGTTGGGGTTTCGGGTGGCGGTGGTCAGTCGGGAGCTTCATGCCATGAAGGGCTCGCCGACAATTCAACTGGATCCTGACTTTGATGAAGAAATTAACAGCGACATCACACTATTTGTTCGCAGCCGAGTGAATGAGCTGTACAGAATTGATGGCTTTAACTCGACTCTGGCCGAGCATGTTGAGAAACTTCTCCTTCAAAGGTCGGAAGGGACTTTTCTGTGGGTTGGTTTTGTTATAAACGAGTTGCTACAGAAAACCACCTGCAGTGAGCTGCTAGCCTCCTTGGATACTCTTCCCAAAGGTCTGCCGGGAATTTACAACCGGGTCTTGCTAAAAATCAACGAAAAGCACCGGCAAGTTTGTGGTCTCATCTTATGCTGGGTAGCCCTTGCGCTCCGTCCTTTGACCATTGATGAATTGGCAGGTGTTATCCACACAGAAGATTCAACGCTATTGGACCATGATCAATCGGTGCTGGATCAGCTTGCGCTCTGTCGACCGCTTCTCCGGGTGCAGGATAGAACTATCAGCTTCATTCACGAGTCCGTCCGCGAGTACTTGGTTATGGATAATGATGGTAACTCGGCCGTGGCCACTCTTAACATCGATTGGGAAGAGGGGCACCTCGAAATTGTCCAAACTTGCCTGGATCTCATCGAAAATGCTTTCGGTAAGACCGACAATCCTGGACCTCAGCGACCGCCTATCTTGAACTATGCTATACACTATTGGACGGACCATGCTCGCTTCGCCAGGGCATACGGCGATTCAATCTTCAACATGTCCCGTCCTATGTTCGGGGGAAAGGAGCCGGTTGCTTACAAGTGGTTCGCTACTTATATGGAGGATGATTTGTGGACACTTGGAGATTCGACTCTTCATATAGCCGCGCGCTTTGGCCTTACTCCATGGGTACGAAAGTTACTGATGCTGATGCTGAAGCGAAAGATATGGAAGTTCCGTATACGATCTTATGTCAACTACAAAGGCCTGGATGGATGTACTGCCCTCCACCGATGTGTTCGACGAGGACACGATGCAACCGCCCAGTTATTGTTGGAGCATGGGGCCGATATAAACGCGAAAGATAATCAAGGAGACTTTCCCATGGCTTATGCGATTTCAAGCGGATCGGTCTCGATGGCTCAATTCTTAATTACTCATGGGGCCAAGGTCGATATACATAATAATAACGGCTACACGCCGTTGGCGATGGCGTGCCTAATCGGACGCCTAGACATGGTTCAGCTTCTTATAGCACATGGCGCCGCTGTCAATCGCATTGGCAAGCATAAAGCCCCCCTCTCTGCTGCCGCCATAAGAAGAGCCGACGACATCGTTGACCTTCTAATCAAGCGTGGTGCTGACGTCAACGCCGTGGACGAGAACGGCCTACCATTGGACATTGCAGTTGCTCAAGTGAACACGAGGATGGTGCAGAAGCTGCTCTCCTGCGGAGCTGACCCGAACTACATAGATCGGCACGGCATCCACATCTTGTTCATGCCAGTGGTGCATGAAGATCATGAAGAGTTGGTGCCGTTGTTTGCCGAGTACGGTGCTGATCTTAATTGGTCAGATAGTAAATATGGGTGGACACTGCTACACTGGGCAGCTTACAGCAATAGAGATGCGGCGGCAAAGGCACTGCTGGATCATGGAGCAGACGTCTTTGCTAAAACAAGCATTGGGGAGGTTCCGAGGGCAATCGCTATGCGAAGAGGGCATCATACAATTGTGCAGATGCTTGATCAGCACATAGAGCGACTGCAGGGTGGGACTGCTATCATACCTTCCTAATATTTCGCATCGCACTGCAACCATGTTCAGAGATCCAACCATCATCCACGATTTGGATGCTAGAACCACGAATGGAACGATATGTTTGAGTTCCACACAGGTCAAAAGAAGAATGGCGCCACTGACCCGACCATGTTAGTCACTCGCCGCTTTGAACGTTTTTGAGCCTGGGTTTCTTACTTTGTTTGCTCCCTTTTCTTCAGCTGAGATACACCATCCTTGCATAGCACACGTCATGTACCATTTTCTAGCGTCTAATCAATTGACTTGATGTACTACAATCTAGCCTGAGCCTTCCGCATTGAAAAAAACTTCACCCTTAACAGTGACGTCCACCTTGGTAAGTCTTGAAATCGACCTTTCTGGGCATAAAGTACTTCGTCCTCTAAAACAACATTCACTTGCTCCCCTATCTATCAATTCTGTCGCCCCCCTACTATTCAGGTTGACTACGCTGCTCCTTCAACTCTATATTAAAGCAAATCGAGCTTTCCTAGCAGCGGATAGCTACCGGTGTATATTCAAGCCACTAGGGACATTCGACACTGAACAAGGGTCCATATTTCTTTCTCAACATACATGACATCTATACAACACAAAATACATAATGCCATCTGCATTGGAAAAGAATTCGAAGAAAGAACAAGGCCAGCTTCAGTCTATAAACCTAGAGTCGACGCTCTTCAATCTCTATCTCAATCCAACCATCCCCCTAGGGCTAGCGCTTAGTGGCGGTAGTGAGCCCTGCACTTGCCCTTGCCCCGGTTAGGGCGGGCCGTGACAGCCGCGGCCTCGCCGTCAGTGGAGGCGGGGAGCTGGGTGGCGCTGATGGCATCGACGGAGGTGGGAACGGCCTCGGTGGCACTGATGGCATCGACGGAGGTGGGCACGGCTTCGGTCTGTGTCTGGGAGACGGCTTGGGTCTCAGCGGCTACGGAGGTGGAGAGGGAGAGGGAGCCGGAGCCGGAGCCGGAGGATGCAGAGCCAGAGGCAGAGGCAGAAGCGGTAGCGGAGGCAGTAGCGGTAGCGGTAGCAGAGCCAGAGGCACCAGCAGAGGCGCTAGCGCTGCCAGATCCAGAAGAAGAGCCGGAGCCGGAGCCAGAAAGCGAGATACAAGCGAAGGAGATCTTCTTGGTTGTGGTGGAGCTGGAAGTATCCCACTCGTTGACGGTACCGTCGAGATCCCACTCCATGCTCACATACGGCCAGCAGATCTTGCTGCCGATGTTGACCATGTCACCGGCAACGTAGACGTCAGAGGAGTTGATGGCGGCTCCAACGACCGCACCGGTGCTGTCAACCTGCTGGAAGTGCGTGCCCGCGAAAGTACCACGGCAGCCCATGGCAATGAACTCATCGCAGACGGGGTCGGAGATCTCCTCCCAGGTGAGAAGGGCGTTATCGGTGCCGAAAGCAGCAGCGTGGACGTTCGTGTGGTCGGCATCACCCTCGGTGATCCAGTTGATCTGGCTGTCGGCGTCTTCAGTGCCGATGACGGAGGTAGCCTGGTCGCCGACGAGAGTCTTCTTGTCGGAGAAGAGAGCGACCGCGACGTTGCGGTTCAGGTTACGCGGGAGAACGTGGGTGTAGCCCTCGCCCATCCAGTCGTTCAGGGTGACGTCGATGGCACCGCGTGTGGGCCACGAGAAGAGGTACTTGGAGGAAGAGCCGAGCTTGACGAGCTGGGAGTAACTGCCGCCCATACCGCCCATGGGCTCACCGGAGGCACCGTTGGTTGTGTTCTCGTTCGAGACCTTGACGCCGATGTCCATCATGCCCTGGCCGTTGGTGTTCAGCCAGATGGCGCCCTGGTCCTCGGCGCACATACTGGCGAAGGGGGCTTCGGAGGCGGCTTCGAAGGCGATACCGGTGTTGTGGCTGCAGCCCCAGGTGCTGGTTGCGCCGGAGATGGTCTGGAGCTCGCCGTCGTCGTTGACGTACTGGATCGAGTCGCCGTAGTGGCCGGATGCAGAGCCGGAGTAGGCGGTCACAACGAAGTAGGCGCCGTAGAGGCCGGCGTCGGAGGAGTAGACGAGGTCACCGTTGAGATCGGGGGAGGCGAGGTAGCCTTCGCTGGACTCGACGTCGGGGCCACCGAGCCAGGTCTTCCAGGTTTGTTCGCCGTTGGTGTAGCGGTAGAGGACGGGGACGGGGGTGCTGTCGGACGGGGCGTTGGTGGTGCCGGAGGGCATGGCTTCGTTGGTGAGGAGGGCGAAGCCGTCGTTGTGAGCGACGAGTCCACCGGCTGCAGTACACGTTAGAAACTCCATCTGATACATTATGCGGGACAAGGTGAAGTACCTTCTTGACCACCAGACACAGTAACGGTAGTTCCCACAGCCTCAAAGGTGCTGGGGTCAACCTGCTGAATGTGAACACCCGACTCGCTCGAGTCCAGGTACGCAAGGTACGCCGACTCTCCATCAGGAGAGACAGCGAACGGGGTACGACGGTGGTGCTTGTACCCGGTCCAGTAGGCAGCCTCAACGGGGTTGAACGAGGACGTCAGCTCGAGAGAGTCGACGTAGGTCTCAAGGAGTGACGCATCTAGGGCAGCCGTGACGCTCTGCGCGGCAGAGAGCACCGCACCTAGAAGGAAGAGCTTCATTTTCAAAATGAATGGAAGTATATCGACCGGCGATATAGACTAAAAACGAAAGTACCAAAGGAATGACGAGCTGGCTGATCTTCAAGTCGCAGATCTGGGCAGAGATCGGGTTAATATACCATCCTCGTAGGGCGGGATGGTGGTGAGGCCATGCATATTGCTGGATGGTCCAGGCTCGTCGAGTCTCCAATCCTCAGACAAGGCTGTTTTGGATAGAGATGTTAAAATGAGGTCGAGCCCTAGGTGGTGGAGCTGCGTTTCACCATTGCGCTGGGACCGCCCCTTAAACGGGGTCTCCGTCTTTCATAAGCGGAAACTTCAAAATCCGGCTGAGATTGTTGAGGTCGATGCTTAATCAACCCGTAACTATTTGTACGATACAAAGTGAATGTGAGATTCGACTCTCGTGGGCCGTTGGGCCCATATTGATTGTGGCTGCTGACAACGGCTCCCCTGACTGCCAGATTCGGGTAAAGCCGCCACCAGGGTAATCTTAATTGAGGCTATATCCTAAGACTGCAATTAGATACAGGGATATGGGGACTAGATTCATAAGGCATGTACCAGCACTTGTCATAGTATTCGCCCTGTGAAATTCGCGGTAGCCCCGAGTCGGGACATGAAAGCAGGAGGATCCAGGGCAGAATCGTCGTGCTCCTGTCTCCGTTGAGTCGTACTCGTACTGGATATGGATAACCCAGGGCGCAGTGAGCCAGAATAATTAATGGGCCAGCCCAGACAAGGGTTTGCTGGAGCCTGGAGAGTTGTGGGGTTGAGGAAATCCTCTTGGCTCCTGGAACGGAGATGATGTGCCGCTCTTCATGAGACCTTAGGCCGCTTAGGGTTCGGCATGCCACCTCCGCCCAACCGTTTCCGCTGCATGGCCTCCATCTCCTCTTTCATAATCCGCTCCTGCTCAGACATCTTCTTGGGCGCTGCCATGACGGTTCCCTTCTTCCCGGCCAGCGGGTTTTTCTTCGCGGCGGATGCGAACACGTTCTTCGGCTTGCCATTCCCACCACCTAACGAGAGTGAAACTTTCGGCGCGGCCTGAGGGGCTTGTGTCGGTGCGGGAGAGGCAGCTGCTGAAGACTCGGGAGTTGCAGACGAGGATGCCTTCTCTTTCTCCGTCTCATCGGGTGACTGGGTTCCCGACGGCTCGGTGGTCGGTGCTGGCGAGGAGGGTTTCGCGCCGAATCCAATATTCAATTTGACCTTCTCGCCCTCTTTGCGCTGCAGATTCCTCGCCTCAGGATCGACTTCCTCCTCCTTCTCCTTTGCCCGCGCCCGCTCAACCTGCTCCTGTATCAACCGTTGTTCCCGCTCCTCGTCGCCCCGATCCTGCCGTTCCTTCTTCATGATAGCCTCCTTCCGCCGCATTTGTTCCGGACTCCGATCAATGTACGAAACGAAAAGGCCCTTCTCCGTTTCCTCGACGTGACACAGGCCCTCGCGGCCGAGGTGCGCCGCGAACTGGGAAAGACTCTTCCACTTCGTCGCGTTCATGTGAATGTGCTACAACGCCACAGGTCAGTACGCCAACGGGGAAAGCGTAGGGCAAAGAGCGGCTGGACTCACCTCCTTATCCGCAATAACCTGCTGATAAAACTGATTGATGTGCACCTTCTTCTCGCCATGTGTGGTCCGTAGCAAATCCAGGAAATTGCGGATAAACTGCCTGCTGTAGTCCTCGATATACCGCTTCGGGTCCTCGCCGATGAGTAGGACCTGTCGGACGTGGCTTTCGCTTTGGACGTGACTAAGACACAAAGAACAATCGTCAGCACCGCTCACCTCACTATCCCGTACTGCTAGTGATCGGAGTAAACTCACCATTTGAATCCGTTCTCATCGCGCATTTGGCGCTCGCATGCTTGGCAGTACCATCGTAGACGACCTAAGCCTTTCTGGATGATGTTAGTTCTTCAAGTCCATCTCAACACGGAAGCGAGCCAATGCTGAGGCGGCAGGGAACGTACAGCTTTGATCTTGTTGCCGAGCGCTTTCGTGCTTCCAGCTTCGGCGCGCGGCATTTTCACGTTCAGGTGTCAAATGGTGACGAGCGCAAGCTCTGGCAAAGTCGAGAGGCGATGAAAGTTGCGGAGTTGAAGGAGATAGCCGGTGGCGGCGATAAGTTGCTTATCCGTGAGTCACGTGTTTGTCAGCACGTGACCCTCCTTAGCAGTATAGAGAAAACCAAAAGAAAAAGCCAAAGGAGATATTTAGTATTTATATGAATACATTAACATATCTACTATATTAGACCAAACTCCGCCTATCCTATCAGCATCCTAGCAGATTGCTTTTCTGAAATAACAGACGACGCCCCATACGGTACACAATACACAAAATCACTGTAAAGAAGCAAATCTCAAGTGACCAAAGATGAAGAAAGTAAAGCCTGATACGCGTAATTTGCTTGACTCATGAGCTCACATAACATACTCATGGATCGCCGAGGGTCCATTCTCGTTGTACTCGACCCGGCTCATGAAGCCCTTACTGATACCCTGATCAATGACAAACACGACCTTAGACGCAACCTGGGCGCCCAGGAAGACAGCCTCTTCCATACCGCGGTGGCCGCCGCCGGAAGCTGGGCCGCCGGGACCGTTGAGGCCGGGTTGATTCTGCGGCGGCTGTTGAGTGGCTGTCTGCTCCTTCCATTCGGGGAAGTACTCTGGTGGTTTTACGGTGCGGACGGAGGTAGGAGTCTGCGAGTGGCCGGTGGAGCGGTGGTGGGAGAGGGGGTCGATGGATGGTGTTCCTGGAGGCATGGGGTTTCCAGAGTGGGTGGCGGCGACGAGGAGAGGGTTTACTCCTTGGCTGCCTGGGTGGTGCATTTGGCCGGGAAAGCCTGGAACGGGGGTGTTTGTCCCGCCGGTGGGAAGGGGTGTAGAGAAGTTGGAGGGAATTTCGGACGTGAAGATTGTGCCGGAGGGCGAGAGGACGAACTTTTGGGTGATTGTGCTGATGAGCGCTTGGGTGAAACCTGCAGGTGGTTAGTATGCATTGGAGATAATGTTGGTAGGTAGACTAACCCTTAACCTTGCTCCCGTTACCAACGATAATCAGCGAGTCCCATAGATCACTGCGCTTCGTAGCATCAGGCACGGCAAGGATGGTGTGGTGGATCTGAGTAGCGATATCCTCAAGAAGACCGCTTGACAGTCGCTCCCCTTTCTTCTGCATCGGTGTAGCAGAAAGGAACCGTTCGACGCTCACTTCGATATCTCTTGTCTGACGCATGAAGCGACTAGGACCGCTAGGCGCGTCCTTCTCTGGCTCCAATTTGACGAATTCTTGGTGCTGGAACGTAGCCTTCTCCTTCTTAGAGTTGGGAAGGCGGACAGGCTTCGCCGCATCAGCACCCTTCTTCGTCCCCTTGTCTTTCTCCCGCGCGGCGAGGAATTCGCTGGTGTTACCGCTGACAATAGCGGCTACGTCAAGGACGCCCTCATCTTCCTCGTTTTCTGCTGTACCATTCGCGTTCTTAGGTTGTCCATTTTCCACGCCGCCAAGTTGCGTGTTAGAACCAGCTGGCGGCCCGTTCTGGCGTGCTGTGGCGGCGGCGCCAGGTAGAGGCGTCCCCGCTGGTAGGAGCTCGGTAATGTTGCTCCGCTTGAGCTGTTCGCACATCTCTCTTGAAAATCCCTTCGAGCCCAGCAGCTCCAGCAGCCGGTCAGTCATGTAGTCACCGCCGCAACCTTCCAAGGCGACTCCCCGCCCGTGCTCATTGACCTGGAAATCCGTAACCGCAGTGACATCGACCTTGTCCTTTCCGACATCAATGACAGTCGCGGTCTGTACTCCATACCCGTAGCATACAGCGGCTGCGGAATCCATGAGGCAGAACGCAGGTGTCTTGAACTTCTCAAACACAAACTGAGTGATTGCCTCCCGATCCCGCAATGACCAGACCGGCTCGGCAACAAGCATGATAGGGGTATGGAATGGCGGACTGAGCGTGTTATACACGTGTGTTAAGAGAGCGAAGAAACACTCCCAGTCGACTATACGCCCCTTCTGCATCGGCCAGATCGCCCCTTCTTCAGACGCAATGTCTTCCTCGTAGAAAATCTCCTGCACGGTCTGGCCATTCTCACCACCTTCTTTGCCTTCTTCGCCCGCGTTCTCGGCGGCTTCAGGTTTCGTCTCGTCTGTACTCTCGGTCTTCGGCGCGTCTGCGTTTGCCGTCCCTTCCTGTGGTGGTTGGTCTTTCATCTCAACGTCCTCCTGCTCTTTTGCCGCGGTCGAGCCATTGGCGGATTTGACCTCTTGTCGCCTCTCGTGAATCTTGTACGGTTCGTATTCGCCCTTCTTCTCGCTTGGGAACATCCGGCTGGGGAAGCGCCATCGGGCGGGCGTGAACGACTCGGGGAGGCCCAGTTGCGCCAGGGTCACTTGCGATCCTGGCGCAATTATCTGGCATTATTAGCACGGATGTTTCGCTGGTCAAGGCGACAATATTCATCAAACGTACAAGAACATGCTCATCCTTGAAGGGCGGCATTTTGGCTGGTGGAGGCGGTAGTCTGAATGATGAATCTGGAGTTCCGCGGTGTTTGCTACGACTTGCGCGCGCCGGCCTCCAGGCGGCTGAGGTGCGGAACGCCAAATGCGGTTAGCGCGATCTGGGAAGCCTCCTAGAATTGAGCCTGCAATCCCGACAATTCACTAGAATTTAATTTTCTAATATAATTTCTGACGTTGAGCCGGAAGGTCAGCAGGATAGCATAGATTCTTAGGAATCTCTAGTGTACTTGCGAGGTTTGCCCATGGAGAGCGCAACGGGAGGCTAGGATATGGCAAAAATATATATTCCATCTACTGTCCTGTACACGCTACTTCAGGGCTTACGATTGATCTTACGACCACTCATACGAAGAAAAATCTGACAGAAGACACACGGCGTATGTATTTTTATTGGAAATTCGATCCTAAATGCATTCCCTTCGTGACCATTAATGAACTGAAGCCTATAACTCCGTAAACCCGATAAGTATAACTCCGTATCCGTCATGACCAGCACGAGCCCTCATTATACCCATCGCAAACTCGCTTACTCGGTGCCCTCCGGCGCAGCATGATACTTTTCTGTCGCCGAGCGAAACAGCTCCTGCTGCTGGCGAAGTAGTTCCTCCTCAGACAATCCGCTCTGCTCCATCTTGCTTTGCTTCTTCTCCCGGGACTATGAAACAGTTGTTAGCTCCTTCTCCAAGTACAGCCGGTGTTTCAAAGAGCTCCAGGCATACCTTCAACTGCTCCTTGTGCTCTTCCGCAACGGCAAGGACATCCGGGATATAATCGCCAAACCCGAGGTCACGCAGAGCCCGCTCCACATGCTCACAGGCGATAGTCTTCTTGGCTTCCTTCTCGCTGATGTCGTTCGCTTCGGAGGAAATCAGGGTAATGAATTCGACACAGCATTCCATGAGCAGGTCGCGCGCATCTTTGGAGAAGGATTGTCCGGATGAGGGGGGAAGGATCTCGGTGATGATTTTCTGGACCGTCGCTGATAGTTGCTAGTTAGCGGTAGTTGCGCGGTGCAGGCCAAGGCAGAAGATTCTGGGACGGTTTGTCGTAGAGCTGTATGTACACACCTTTAGGAAGCGACAGGTCGTCGTTTGCTTCGGTCGAGTTAGCGAGCGGCATAGTTGCGCCAAGACGCGATAGACGTACAACTAAATTCCCGGTCTGACATGGTTCCGGATATATTATATAAAAATCGCAAGAGAAAGCCGTCCGTAAGACGCGTATAAATCGGACCCGTGACAGTATGAGGTCACCAGTGTGTTGCCTCTTTGTCCGAGCTGACCCTCCCCTCGGAGCCTCTTTATCACGAAATATGGATGCGACGACGCGGAACGGAACAACCACGCGGCAGAATCCCACCGCTTACGATACTTTATCTTCGGCTGCGATTTTTTTCTGCTTCGCTTTTCTTCATCTCCCACAGAGAATTCACAATATGATGTTTTTTGAGGAATACTCGACAATTTGGCAGATCGCTGCTCACTAACTGATATGGTACGTTCAATCGGCTTTTCCCCTGTCTCCTTTTATCATGATGAACATCGTTGTCGCCCCTATCAGACCATCTCTGGTGACGTACACTGTCCAAAGCCAAACGGACTGCTGATATTAATCCTTCCTACAATTTGTGTCACTCAGCGCATTTTTGGCCACTGCTAACTGCCTGAAGATTCTAGTGGAACCTCCCCAACCGGCAACGCACTAAGAATCAATTCCGTAGCATAGGTACGACAATGACAATTTTTCTTTTCTACCTCTTTTTGTGATGAACAAACTACATTCCATGCTAAGTATGAAGGTGCGCTGCATCTGATGCTTAAGAAATGTACCTGCTTTTCATCTTTCGGCTGATCAATTTCCATTGTTCTATTCTGCTCTATGGCTTGCTTCAAGAGTCAACGCTGACTCGTCTACAGTAATCTAGTCTCATGCCTGAAAGGCCTCGAGTTGTTGATCATTCCACCTGATCCGTTCCGTTAGCTTAGCACCATCCATAGCACAATGCAGAAACTTACGAGAGGAACTTCCCGCTCAGCTCCTTGGGCGCATCAAGCACCAGTTTGGCCATGACATGTCCTGGCTGCTCGGGCTTGAGCAACTTGCCGTCCTTATGCACCGTCGTAAACTTAGAATGCACCTGCGGCTCCAGCGTCGTAGCATGGTCCTCCCTGAGCTCCCTCTGCATTTCGGTATCAACCATTCCCGGCCGAATAGAAACACTCGTAACATCCGGCTCCTCCTCACCCAGACTCAAGGCAAGGTGGTTCATCGCAGCCTTCGTAGACCCATAGAGCCCCCAACCACGGTACGCAGAGACGGCGGCACCGGAGCTCGTAAACACAATCCTGCCTTTGCTCTCGCGCAGCTTCGGCAGCGCCGCCTGGACGAACGCCACGAGGCTGAAAAAGTTTACATCGTACCCCTTCTTCCACTCCTCGATGTTTGCCGTCCCGATCTTGCCGACTTGTCCGAGGATACCGTGGTTGAGGACGAGTCCGTCGATGCGGCCGAAGCTTTTCAGCGCGAGATCAACGGCTTTCTGGGCGATCGAGAAGTCGGCGATGTCGCCGTTAAGAATCGCGACTTGGTCTTTGTATTCGGTTTTCAGGGCTTGCAGGGGCTCGACGCTTCGGGCGATCACGACGACATTGTGCGATTGAGGCGCGGAGAGGAGGTACTTGGTGATTGCGAGGCCGATGCCTGGTTGGGATCAATTAGTTTTCAGTTTCGATGGAGGAAGGCAGAGATAGCGACAGTACCTCGAGAGGCGCCGGTGACGATAATTGTCTTAACCATTATTGTAGTTTCCTGGTGTTGAAAGTGAAGCTCGAGAAGTTGTACAGAGAAAGACTGAAAGCCGCGGGAGAAAATGATGTAACTGACTCCGCGGAGGGGTCGCGGGGTCAAGCTCCCGCAACAATGCCACTGTGCCACAGCAGATAACGTACATGGATGAGCCTGGAAAATAGTCACACTACGTGCACCCGTCAGATCTATAGCCAATGCGGCTCAGATGGTCATTTCATGAGCCAATTCTTCTCTGCTAGCTACGGCTCCTTGACGTTCATCGCAACCACCCCTCTACCCCTCCATACCTATCGCACTCGTTCAAATCCGACCACCAATGGCTGATTGATAAGCCTTATGTACGGCCTGACGGAGAATGGCGCAAGCGCTCCTATCATTCCATTGAATCCATCATGTCCCTCCGTTATAAGCAATCCGGACCTCCTCCCCGGACCCAAGCAACGGCCCGGTGGCTCACCTGCGTAGGTATCCCGGCGGAAAACAGTTTCCCGAGTCCCATCTCAAGCTCTTGACTCTTAACCTGCGAGACCGGCTACCGTCCCGGTCCACCTCCAGACCCAGCACCCCAAGAAAGTTGCAGAAACCGGGACGATGGCGAAACCGACGAGCCTAGAACGAAATAGGTCAAAGAATCCGAGTCTGTCGTGCGGAGGGCGCGCCATCTCCACAATTTGCTGGCGCACATCGCACCACGCCTCTGGAGCTTGACACATTCACATTACAGCATTTGAAAATAGCAGGGTCGCTGGGCGGTATATAAGGGGGCCAATTGCTCGGTTTTGGTCAGGAAACGCAGCAGATAACGCCATTGCACCAAATTACACGATCAGAACAGAGATAGCAATCAAAATGTCCACCGTTATCCTCGGCGGGGGCATCATCGGCTCTTCAATCGCGTACTACCTCACTCAGCAAAACCCTTCAGACGCCTCGAAGATTCACATCATCGAGTCCAGCAATGAACTCTTCTCGTCCGCTTCCGGATACGCCGCCGGTTTCCTCGCAAAGGACTGGTTCGAGCCGTCGCTCCTCCCACTGGGCGAGTACTCCTTCGCGCTCCACGAGTCTCTAGCTGCTGAGCACGGCGGCGATAAGAAATGGGGGTACATGAAAGGCATGGCTTTGAGTTTGGGAAGCACGGATGCGGCGTCAGGAGGCGCCAGGGGAGACGACTGGCTACGCTCTGGCACGAGTCGCGCCGAGACGGCGACGACGAAGCCCGTCGTGCTTGCAGAGGGGCCGGAGTGGTTGACCAAGCAAAAGGCCACAGCTATTGAGAGGATTAGTGAGGAGGGGAGTGTGGCGCAGGTGTATGTTCCCTCTACTCCCTGCGTTACCCGGTACTTTATCGGATTGAAGAGCTAATGAAGAGAACAGCGACCCCCTCCGGCTCTCGCAATTCCTCCTCGACCAAGCCCTATCCCGCGGCGTAAACCTCCACCAACCCAGCACCGCAACATCCATACTCAAAGACGCCAACGGCACAATCACCGCCGTGAAGATCCTCAACCACGCCACAAAATCCTTCTCAACCCTCCCCTGCACAAACCTCATTATCGCAGCAGGCTCCTGGACACCCCGCGTCTTCAACACGCTCTTCCCATCCTCCTCCACAACATTCCCCATCTACCCGTTGGCCGGGTACTCGCTCGTCGTGCGCTCGCCACGCTACACAGCCAAGCACGAGAGCGAACTCAAGGGCGAAAGCCACGCCGTCTTCACGACACACCCGCCCTCCTGCGGCTTCAGCCCGGAGATCTTCTCGCGCGAGGGAAGCGAGATCTACATTGCTGGCTTGAATAGCCGGGAGATTCCGGTCCCCGAGCGCGTTGAGGATCTGAAAACGCAGTACTACGATGAGAAGGAGATGCGAAAACTCAAGGACGTCACCGTGCGGCTTATGGGGAAGCTGCCCGTTGGGAAGACCGAGTCCACTGATGAAATTGCCAACACGGATGATTTGGATATCCTCCGCGAGGGACTCTGTCTTCGACCCGTTGCTGAGCGCGGCGTGCCCTTTGTGACGAAGGTCAATGACTCTTCGCTTGGTGGGGCCAGAACAGCGAAGAATGGTGGTGTGTTCGTTGCGGCGGGCCATGGGCCCTGGGGTATTTCGCTGGCGCTGGGCACGGGCAGTGTTGTTGCGGATCTGGTGAGGGGGGTGAAGCCGAAGGTTGATATTGCGGGGTTGGGCGTTGGGGAGGGGACGAGCAAGGCGAAGTTGTGAGTGAGTCGAGGTTGACATTGACTGTCTAGACTTAGAATACATCATGTCCTAGACCATGGCTCAAAGATAAGATAGAGATTCGCCCAAGGCTCATTCATTACATAGATCCATATAGCCGAATAGAAATATCAGGAATGGGCCGCGTCCGTGATTTCAAAGAAAGCTGGAGGAGCTCTGATGCTCGTACTGAACACATGAGTCTAGCAGTATGGCAATGATCTACTAGGTATCAGTAGCGCAGGTTGGCTCAGGCTCTAGGTTATCAGAGTATCAGCTGCAAACTCGAAAGGAAGCTGGCGCGCAAATGCAGCCACGCTTCACGATGACATTGGAAGAGCCCAAGAATTCCTGGGTTAGTGGACATCACGAGAGCTTCTCTAACCTGGTTTATTCGGATATGTTTAGAATCCGCCATGTCAGAAACATCCGTAACCGAAGGGCAGAGCGAACATCGCCGCAGACTCTCAGGTGAGCCGCATCGACATCACCCTTGGCAGGAAAGGTAGTGCGGTCCTGGCGCGCTACCTAATGCGGACACGGGCTTGTCTGAGTGAACTGGAGGCGTAGGTAACAAACCTCGACTCCGGCGAGACGATACCGTCATGAATCTTCCGGCTGATACCGAAGCGCAAGGTCCTTCAACCATTTGACGAACTTCTCCGTGTAGATATCAGTACATTCCTCGGGCTTGAAGGCATCACTCGGAATACATAAGAACTGATGCCCGTTACATGGGTTGCGTAAGTCGAAATCTACGCCCTCGTTATACTGCGTCATGCAGGAGGCGCAAAAATCCCGATCGACGCATATGGTACAGGCGTACCGTGTACTGACAATACCTGAGCTGTCTTCGCAGCCCTCACAGTAGGTTGCCTTATGGTGGAAGGTAGGCCCGTTCCTGCTGTGCATGTTCATTGAGACAGTTTGGTCGTATACAACAGCAGCGGAGGCAGTGTCTTGCAAAACTAGGATGCAATAACCTAGAGCGAGGAGGGTCAGCAAGTCCTTCTTCCCCCCGGGCGTTATCCCTTGTGCGATCTTTCGAATGGACGCTTTGGCACGTTGTTGCCGCTCAGATTCTGTGGGTTCTCTGCAATCCTGGCACTGTGGAATAGTTGCTCGAAACTCCGCGCTCGCGTATTCCCATGGGGCCATCCCGTAAAGATCGAGAGAGTCTAAGGATGCGCTTTTGTCTAGCAAAAGCAGGATTATATCTCTGTACTCGAAGTAAAAGGCCAATTGCAAAGCTGTCCGGCCGTCGTGCCTTACTTTATCAATGTCCCCCCCGGCTTCGATCAGTGCTCTGATCAGTGGCCGCACCACTTCGATATAGCCTTCCGAAGCTGCCAAATGTAGAGGTGTCCAACCTTTGGAATTGCTTGCGGACACATCAGCACCACAGGCCAGAAGCGATACGACTATATCCTGGTAGCCATTTTCCGCGGCGCAATGTAAAGCCGTGTCTCCATCATCATCAGCTCTCGAAACCTTGGCCCCAGCTTTAAGGAGCTGTTGTATGATTTCAACCTTACCCTTCAGGGATGCCAGAATCAAAGGCGTCTCGCCGTAGAAATTTGGTAACGCAGGGTCTGCCCTACTGCTAAGCAGAAGCTTAGCTGCCTCCAGGTGACCGTGCTCGGCAGCAATATGTAGTGCAGAGTTTCCATCATTATCAACACATGTAGTCATAAGTGGTGCAGTGTTTCCATCACGATCAGGAATGGTAGTGCATGTCTCGGAATCCAGGAGAAGCTTCACTATTTTGTGGTCGCCCTGGAGAGCAGCGTAAAGGAGGGGAGTTCGCCCAGTCATCGTAGACCTGTAGAGGCATGCACCAGCTTTAATCAATACCTGACAGGTTCTGTAATGCCCACAAGACGCCGCAATGTGCAGGGCAGTGTATCCTTCGCTATCTCTTGCCTCAGTATCTGCACCAGCATCCAGCATGGCTTGAACTAAATTCTCATGCCCCTGGAGGGTTGATATATGAAGCGGCATATCTCCCTCTTCGTCAGCTAATTCAATGCTACAGCCGCTTTCAAGGAGCAGCTTAAATGTTTTTATGTCGCCAGACTGTGCAGCCCAATGCAGGCAAGTCCAGCCGTCATTATCAGCAACATCCAAGTCGACTCCCTGATCAATTAGGCGATTAATTAGAAGCCGACTGACCGAGTCACTGGCATGTTTTGCCGCTACCGACAATGGGCTGTTGCCGTCACTATCAGTGGCTGATATAGATGCCCCGCTGCTCAATAATTCGAGCGCTGCGGTCTCCTGGTCGTGTGCAGCGGCTGCATGAAGGGCACTGCCGTATCGACCATGCTCATGAATGTTGGCATTCTTTCTGAGCAGGAATTGAAGTACATCCATATTGCCCGCCACACTGGCGGCTTGCACCGGGTTCCCGTAAAAGCCACCCCCTTCGTTAATGTTCGCCATGTGTTTGCCATGTAAATCTTTGACCACTTCCAGGAACCCGAAAAGACATGCGTAATACATTCGACCACCGGGTGAAGAGCAAAAGGCTCTTAACCGGGAAGCTGCGAATACGGTATCTTCCGATGATTCAAACTCTTGGCGCCAGTTGTCCCAGTTTGGGTTTGGCTCGGCAAAGAAAGACAAAAGCTGTGGTCGTAATTTATCCCGGTGGTGCTGAGCCCTCCTAAGATGATCGTACCACTCTGACGAAGCGTACTTACGGAATGATAGGCTGCGAATAGGATTTTGGCTTTCTTCCTCGACATGCCAAGATTTGTTGTTGTTGATGTACTCGAGACAATGACGGCCCAGGTAAAATGACTGTGACATTGCATCGGAAAAGGTCTGTTGACCCAAGAGGAATTCAACCGCGGAGAAGTGAATCAAATGAACAATATGGGAATCCCACACAGTAGGTGTATTGGACGGTCGAAGTTCCAGGAAGGAGTCACATAGGGCGAGAATCTCTTCGTGAACATATTTCTCATCACGATTATCCAAGAACGTAACAGCTTCGGAAAGCTCTGCAATAGTGAGGAGGCGATTGGCAAAGACGACCCATCGTAAGATTGTTTCCGCACGCCGTCTATCAGAGTCAGAAAGATTCTGGATGTTCGACCAGTCCCTCTCGTAAATCCGGACAAGGTCAGTTGGCATTTCATCAATTGATGGATGCAGTTGATAATTTCTCTTCCGCTTCCGTGGTCGCAGGTTCCGACTCTGAAGTCGAACCATTAGAAACATACCGTCAGATTTCTCTGCCATCTGGGCTGCAATCTTCTGCTGATATTTGTCCGATTCACCCGGTAGCTTCTGAACAACGACGTGCTCTGCAAACCGCGCAACATCCGGGGCAACAAGATCCTTTGTGAGGGACAGTTCGTACAGCTTTACACCAGACCGCTTTGCATTATGAGGGCCAATCTGGGCTTTGATGTCGTCTTCGTTACGACTCACCACAAGAAGCCGAGCTGCGGATTCTGGTAGCAGGTGTACGAGCTGATCCAACACATCACCTCTGCTGCGGCTTGAATCAACCCTGGACGTACTCACCCGTGGGCACTCATCCAAACCATCTATGATAAAGATAGCACTCGGATCATGGGATAGAAGCTTCTGAAACAGGTTCCAGAGATCCGAATGCGTTGCCTTGGCTGCCTTGCATGACGGGGGCGCAGTCGGATCATGATGTTTGTCGAGGTAATGGTGTACCATCTCAAATACAGATTGATCTCGTGATACAGCTTGAATTATCCAGGCGCGAAGGACATAGATTGGGTCCCGTTGTAATTCGTTGTCCGCAGAACAGAACGCGTTATAAACTGAATTGCTGCGAGTGTCACGGAGCCTTTGAATGATAAACGCGCACAGCACAGACTTTCCGTATCCAGAAGGACCATGGATCCATAGGACCTTTGAAGACTCTCGTAATGGGCCTCTCAGCCAGGCGGCGTAGGTACGATGCTTAAGAATCCAATCGCAGGTGGTATGTAAGCGCGTTGAGCAGTATGCGTCAAAATAATCCTCAGAGATTGTTGCATCTAGCCAACGCAAGATGCGGTCAAGATTGTGCGAGCGATGTGATTCAAGCAGGGCACTTTGCAACCCTTGAGATTGGTCATATGGTAGATCCTCGAGTGGAATTAGAAGATAGAGCTTTTGTACCAGGCGATCGAAATCGTCAATTTGACGCGACAGCTTCTCAGACTCCGAAGCTGCCGACTGGAGCCTGGATCGAAGGTGCAATTCTGTGGAGGTCTGATGATTTGCATTGTCATGATAACGAGCAGTAGTATAGTCCACACCTGAGAGCACGACGCGTATTGATTTCAACAAGTCTGCAATAGCCGAGACCGCGGTCTGGTCCTGAAGCTGCCGGTGGAAAGCTGAAGCCTTCGCGAGAGCATCTCTGGCTATCCCCGTCTCCTTCCCCCATCGGTCGAATGAAACCTTTGTCGCGTCATAGCGCGATTGCAGGCTTTCGGACGAGAAATGTTCGACAGAGTGGACTGTTTTGGCCGCCACTTCATACAGCGCAAGCAGTCCGGCCACTCCCACCGTGAATCCGCTAAGCTCCATGGCGATTTGAGGAAGGTATAGTTTGAAGGACCGCAGCAAAGGAGTACTCGTGGAGACCAGCGGTAGACAAAGAGCGGGACGTGGTTCCGAATCGGAAAGGGTGGTGGAAGCTGATGAGTTTGACGCGTCTGAGGCTACCCCGCGTTGGCGAGGCTGGGGACAAGGCTGTGAGTGTCAGCTCCACCGCATTGCCAGCAAGGCTGCGAAGCACAGCGTCTCCATCTCTTTGTTGTTTGCTGCCTTGACCCCGGCCTCTTTCCTCTCCAGGCGCAAGACGTGGTGGTCAAACTGATGGCTGGACGAGTGGAGGTGGAGGAGTAAACATTGAAGTGGGGAAGGAGCTGGTGCACGTGACATCGATGTACATGGGCAGGAGTAACAGGCAGATTACCACTCAGGCTTTTCAAAAAATTTCTTCACTGATGGCCAATGGCTGGTACGCTGAAATGGCATCACAAGGATAAAACCTGCTAGACTTTCCGGCAGCAGGGCCTTCTCCGATCGCCGATACGAGAATAGTCAATGCTTTTTGGTCAAGATTCAATTGTCCTCATGTGTCCCATGGTACCTGCACGATTCCGCTCTGTTAGCTCTTTGCTTGGCCCTCGTCACTAGAGTGGTTGGTTGAAACAAGTGGTCTTGACCGTGACCTTCAGGCGCTTGTTGGCGGACTATACCCGTCACTTCGCTGAGCCCGACCGCCTGGTGGCGGTCGGTCAGCCCCAGCCATATGAAAACATTACCTCAATAAAAATATCAAATTTGTATGGGATTCCCATACAAATCTGATTTTTAGTTTTTTAATAATAACTTAACAACCACGCATCTAGGGACTTTAAAATAAAAATTTTTATATTATAATATAAAATACTTTATAAGAATATAAAATAAAAAATATATATTTTTTATCTAGTTTTTTAAATAGTATATTCCTGCACCTACATTTTTACATTTTTCTTAATAATATATTAAATTATAATATTTTTAAACTTTTAAAAAGTCTATAAAATAGAGAAAATTATTCTTTACAAAATACTTTTCTTTTTAGATTTATATATAGTCTAGTTGTGAAGTTATTATTAAAAAACTAAAAATCAAATTTGTATGGGAATCCCATACAAATTTGATATTTTTATTGAGGTGATGTTTTCATATGGCTGGGGCTGACCGACCGCCCCTCAGGGCGGTCGGGCTCAGCGAAGTGACGAGTACCTCGATATATTGAGAGCTCCACCCAATTTCCGATAAGCTCCTGACCAGGATACCTTTTCCATAAGACTTTGATCTCTAAAGGCAAGTTTTTGAATCATCTAACACCCGGGTCATCTGAACGTCCGCCCGCGGTCGTACCAAGTCACTGCGGGACCCCTTTTCGCGGCGACATTTCTTCACTTCATCTCCATATCACTTCATCCCAAACCTTGTCGCAAAATGGAGCAGTTACCCACTGTTCAAGAGTTTGTTCTGGTCTCTGGTGTACCCATTGGAATCGACGGAGTTTTCAATGTGCGCAGTTTCGGCGGCTATCCCAGCAACCTGAAGCCCAACTGCTTTACGCGAGATCGGATCATTTATCGCTCAGGCCATCTCAAAGACATTACCCAGCGTGGACTCGAGCAGGTCCGGAATCTAAGTATCTCGACAATCATTGACCTTACGAACTCCGGCGATACAAAGACACTTTTTACGGGCACTTCGAGCCTTGGCCATTGCAGAGTCGTCCACCTACCACTAGCAAAGCATGAGTTTTCCGTTCAACAGCTGGCCGAGAAGTACAAAAGATACCTTGAGCAGGGAGAGAAGGTCAGTATCCGGTTCAATTGTTATCTCATGTTCTGACATTTCCAGGCCATTGCCGAGGGCTACTTCCAGCTCCTTGTCGAAGGACACGATGTTATCGGGAACATTCTCGCATTGATACGCAACAATCCGAATGATGTGTATCTTATCCACTGTGCAATGGGCAAGGACCGGACCGGAGTGGTTTTTGCAGTTCTGCTCTCCCTAGCCGGCGTCCCCGAAGACGTTATCGCCGAGGAGTATAGTCGAAGCGAATCAGCCCTGGAAGCATCCCTGCCTGAGATTGCGACAGCGATTAAGAAAGCCATGCCGACAGTGACCGACACTGAGGCGCAGTGGAGGGCGAAGATTGTAATCCAGACGAGGTTTGTCGCCTCCGTACGTCCTGCCCTGTGACTAACTGTGTTCCAGGAAAGAGGCAATGCTGCTGATGTTGCAAATGGTGACGGAACAACTTGGTGGGATAAAGGAGTACCTGAAGACTTGCTGCGGTGTCAGCGGGGAGGATATCAAATGCCTCCAGGATATCCTAACTACTACGCGAACATACTCTAACCGAACTTCTCCTGCTATTCTTACCGCGAATTGAAGCCTTGAATCATTCTACATGGAGGCCCTGTCCTACCAACATACCAGAGTGCATTTGTTACCACTACAAAAGACAAGAACGGGCACTGCAACTACACAAACTCCCCAATTAGCCAAGCAAAGGCAACCTCTCAAAAGCCTCCTCCATCCCAACCAACCCTTCAATCCCAAGGTCCGCACTGGTAAGCACATCGTCCCCCTCAACAGAAGCCGAAAACGCCTTACCACCAACAGTCTTAAAATAAACCATCGACGTATCCAAAACATCTCCAACGACCGGCCACAGAGCTCTATAATCCTCCCTCGCAATTCTCAAAGCCCGCGCCTGCACCCCCTTAACCCTCCCAAACGTCTCGACCACATCCCCAAAGGCCCGCTCCTCAACTACACAGGAGACGATCTTCCCGGGCAGCGTCAGCTGAGGCTTCTCCAGAATAGCCTTAGCAAATAAGCCAACGTTGACCGTCTCATCACCTGCCAGCGGCATCTTCGTGCTCGGATCCACGTTGATGAACGTCACGTACGTCCGTCCCCCATCCATCCCATACACCGGACTGGGATGGTACAGCGGAACGCCCATGTTGCTTGCATAGCACCCGATCCAGAGGAAGGTTGTCTTCGCCCACAAGCCCTTCAAATTGGTCTTAATAAATTCATCGACGGCCCGCTTACTCGCGTAATACGGCACACTGACGCTCCTCCCGCTGATACGTTTCGAATCAGGCAGCGTCGACCAGATATAGTGCTCTAGGGTCGACGTTGCAGCCGCAGCTTTGGCAAGGTTGATTCCGGCTTCTGTTTCAGCGGCCATAGCCTTCTCGATACCCAGTTTGGGAAGGGATTCGAAGGGGGTTGTTACGGCGAAGATTGCGTGAGACCCGGCGAAGGCGGATATCAGGGAGGGGAGGTCGTGGACGTCGGCGCGGACGACTTCGATGCCCTTTTCGCGAAGGGCTACTGCGGCGGGGCTGGATGGGTTGCGGGTTATTGCGCGGAGCGTATAGTTTGAGTCGGGATTGGAGAGGAGGGCGTTCACCACGGATCCGCCTTGGATTCCGGTTGCGCCGATGATGGTTATGATTTTGGACATTGTTGGTAAGGTCGTTGGATCAAGGTTTGATTTGAGGGCTCTGAAATGGACTGGTGATCGCGGCGATGCTCACTGACTTGAGGGACATGCTACTGAGAGGGTACATCGGGTTTTAAGTAGACTTCCGGACTGCCTTCGAAACGGCAATGACCCTGCCACAACCATGTAAATGCGGCCCATACAGTCGACGGATTTGTCATGGATGCGGGCTTGACTAATTGTTAGTTACAACTGAAGATGCGGGCTTACTCAGGGCGTTGCGGGATTGCGGGCTGGGACTGCGGGCAAAAGTGGAGCCCCGCAAAGCCCTAAGTCGGCTCATCCACCCTGGCTTTCTGAGCAGATCGGTATCCAAAACTACATAAGGCGCAGGAGGTGCCCAAGTTACCCTCAGAACCTCACCAACCAGGAAAACTAGATTGCCATCGCCCATCATCTATTCAGCACCCATTCTCACCTTCAAAGTTCCATACGTTCCAAGCCCAACGCAGTCATCTGAATAGCCCTAAGAAGCCGAAACAGCCATGGCCATAACAGAGCTCCTCCTCCCAACCTTCAAAACAGACCCTTCGTCCATCGCAAACTTTGCATTCCAAGCCCCATCGCTCTTCGCGCACTTCCGCGGCGTCCGCGGTCTGCAATCATTCTTCCGCGGACGGATTGTAGCGGAAAATGGTGAGGCCGTTGATGGCGATAGCGGTCGCGGCGTCCTTATCTTGGGTATGTACACGCGCATACTTCCCTTGGGGCTTTCAATGCCGCTAGGTAGATATTAATGGATGAATCTAGAATGGGATGACATCTCCTCCTTCCACTCTTTCTACCCGGACTCCCCGACGTTTCAGGCGTTTCTTGCCGTCGCGAAACAGTTTGTTACGGAGAGGGAGTATCCTGAGCTTTTTGGGACTATTACGTCTTCAGTTCCGTGTGCGGAGGCGAGTGTTACGCAGATTGTTAAGGTTCTTGAGGGGCCGGAGACGGAGGAGATTTGGAACAGGCTAAGAGCGCTTCTAGAGGGTCAGGGGTTTGGGGCGGGGGGCTTTTCGAGTGCGCGGGGGATTGAGGAGCAACGGGGTTACTTTTTGGGGATGGTTGGGTGGCAGAATTTGGAGGTATGTACATTTATCTATCTACCTAAATACCGGGGTATTGGACCGGGGGCGAGTTAGGGCTGATGTGGAGGTACGATAGGACTACGAACGATCGAGAACAAGCGTTGATGTTGTTGGAGCTCTTAGGGAGCTCGGTGCTGGCGGAGTGATCCTTGATTTAGTCGTCCAAATGGAGCGTATTGCTGTCTAGCCTGCTTTCCAACATTGATCGACTATTCGGGAGAATCGCAGTACAGGAGAAGAGAGGAGAATCATTGACTAATTCGTGTACATGTACATACAATATACACATAGAAATCCCAACCCAACTCACCATTCAAATCACCAAGCACCTACATAAACCCAGCCAAATCATGAAACGCATCCACAGCCTCAACGCCCTGGCACGGCACAAGCAACAACCTCTCAAAAGCATCCAGCCGGCGCGGCTTAGAAACAAGCCAGCACTCCAGGAACTTCTCGTAGGGCATCGTCCGCTCATACCCGAGCCCTGACACTGACACTGACATTGACATTGACACTGACGCATCCGTACCCTCGCCATTCCAACACCCCACCCCCGCCGAAATCGGCAGCTTCACCAGCGTCGGCAATCCAATGCAGATCCCCTCGCGGCAAATCGAGTTCACGCCATACAGCATATAGATTACCACCACGGTGCGCCGGATACATTCGGCTGTGATCCAGGCTTGTCGGTTCTTTGGGGCAAGCTCCTGCGAGCGGGAGAGGAGTTTCAGGGCGCGCGTCATTAGGATGGTGCCCTGCTGCTCGGCTAGGGTGCGCTGTTTGAGGTTGTCGGCGTCGCTGCCGGTGCTGTGGAAAAGCCGGATTATTTGGTAGAGGAGGAGAGATTGTAGGCTCGCGAGGTCGTCGAGGAGTGGCGCTTGCCCACCTGCAGACTTGGTATGGGTTGGTTGGAGCAAGTCGTTGACCTCGGCTTCGATGACGCGGAACATCATTGCTTGATTGCCGGGACGAAGACATGAGGAAGACGAAATGCCGAATGCTGTTCGGATAGAACGAGGCATGGAGTCGCGGTAGAGCTGGTTGTGGATGAAGATTGTTTCGCCCGTTGCTGCGAAGTCGGCGGGGTAGCGGCTCAGTGTCTCGATGAGCCATTGCCAGGTTGCGTTGATTCCTTGGATGGGCTGGATTTCACCGAGGGGTCCGAGGAATTTTCTTATACTTGTTGATGGTAGGCTTGGATATGGTGGGATGCAGGTGTGCGGCAATATGACTTCAAGGTTTGATGGAGATCCATATGGAGGCGATTGGGGCTGATCGGACAAGAACAAATCTGGAATTGTGCCCGTCTCAAGGAAATCAAATGTGGAGGTATCAAATGCACTCAGGAGCGCTGTAAAAGAGTCCTCGCTGGTGCTGGCAGCTGGACCAGACGGGGCTGGAGAGCTCGTTGAGTCATTGCTCGATGGGCTACCGCTAGTTGGCGGATAAGCATATTGACAGCACTTTTTCGTCTTCCGGCAATACTCGCATGTCGGGTAGGCGAGATTGCATTTTCGCCGGCCCCTGAAGCAGGCGTTGCATGACTTGCGTCGTAAGGACATGCTGATGCAGTGGGTTGTTGTCGGATTTAAGTTCAGTGGATTGATGGAGGCCGCATCCAGGGCTGCATTACTAATGAGCTAAAAAGATATGTAAGCGCTTGGCTGAGCTAAGTATAAATTATTTGATCAATGCCATTTCATTTCTTTTCTCATACACTGGAATGTAGTTTATGTTGGCGTGGGTTTCCTCGTGGCACGGCCATGGTGTCAGACGATTTTGGCTGCAGCCTCTGTGTCATGGAAGGGTGAAGAGGATGGATTGAGTGTTGCTTTGGGAATGTCATGGAAGGGTGAAGAGGATGGATCAAGTGTTGCTTACCGTAAACATAGCTACTCCTGCGACGAGGCATCAAAAGACTACGAACGACTGCGAACGATTCTGTCGTTTTCTCTAAGATTTGGCGTAAAAGTGTTGGTTGATGCGAAGGTAGGTTCGAATTGTCGAATGATTGCTACTTCAATCTGAGAGTCAGCAGTTGGATGCGGTTGAAGATGCAATAACGATAGTATTCAGTGCGTTTCAAACGAATGACTTCTAATTTGGAACTTGCGGAGTCGATGTGGAGGATGGATGAGAGCAAGGTGGGAGATGGTCTGATATGGTAGTACCTATAGCATGGTGATGACTAAAGTTGTTGCTCTTCTCAGCTTACTGATTACTTCTAGAATGTCTTTAGTAATGCCACTGTCTGATGGTCAGTTCTAGAGTTAGAAGATAGCATAGGAACTGTTGCCCGACACACTGGAACTGGATGGACCCGAAGCGTGACAAATCCACGCAGACGGCAAGTCCTTGTTTCCAGGTATAAATTCTATCTCAGCGCACCCTCTGCACCTTCCTTTGTCAACTACCCAGGTGGTAGTAGTGGAGCAAGAGTGTCCGGTGATGCACCGTGGATTAGCCGAGTGCTAAGCACCGTGCATCATTGTACAATCTTGTTCGATTCCCTTATGATTTGTAGAATTCAGGTTTCCTGAAGGAAGTGATGATTAGCGACTGGTCCTTAAGTGCCAGATACATCAATATCTATCATGTCATATTCCGGCCCTTGGCCTGTGAACAAATTTTGTGGTGATCCAAACACGTGCAAGCGTTGAGGCCCTCAGAAGCTGTGTTTGATTCGGTACTGCATGCGTTGAACAAGATGCAGACTGCAGAAGAAACCCTTCTTTGATCCTCTTAAGCTTTAATTAGTTCCGTTAAGCTTCTGCTCATTGTTACATCCTACGATCGTAATTACTTTGTTTCTTGCAGATACTACATTTTCACTACCTGCACCACCAACTCGCCCACACAACCAAGCTGATATCTCATCACTGGATCTACGGCCTTGCTCTTATAGCTCGCTCTCTAATTCAGGGATGATGCAGATGCCTGCCTCAGGCTAGAGTCACTGGCGTGGGGGCCGGACTTACCCCGCGGATGTCAGCCTCTCCAACTCCATCCATCAACCTTCATCAGCAGGCATATTTCATCAGAGCTTCCTCTCATACTCATCTCAATGGCAGATCCTCTCTCAACAGCATCCGAGGTCATCGCCGTCCTCGAACTCAGCGGGCGCGTATCCGCCCGCCTGAACCGGATCACCAGGGAGAGCGGCAATGGCTCGCTCTCGCTGCACCCCGACGAGAAACAGGAACTCCAGGCGATGCTGATGACGTTTATGGCGAATATGCGTGCGTTCGTTGCTACATTTGAAAACGACACCTCTGGTGTTCCGCGCGACGTCATGGCCTCGTTCGAAGAGCAGTTGTATACCGCCAAAAAGCTTCTTGAGCGGCTGGTAGAGAGGCTTGGCACGGTTTCTACCTCCGACCTTTTTTCTCGAGGCATTAAGGGTGGGATTGGTGGCGGGAGGTTGTATCTTGTTCAGAGGGAGATTCGCGATGCGTTTGCGAGGATTCAGGGGATTGCACTGAGGCTGGAGGAGTTGAGGAGTGCTGTGCTGTGAGCTTTGCTCCGCAATTCGTGTCTTGATGATGGGGTTTGACCGACTGGCAGAGTTCAAATCAATGCGTCGCAGAATCGAGAGCAGGTTGCCGTTTCTGCTGAAGATGCTGCGAAGTTAGCCGCGCCGGCACCACCAAAGCTGCCCGAGAAAGAGCCACCACCTAGTGGGCCAGAGCTGACCAGTAACGTTGACTTCCCCCCGGTCGAGCACTACATGAAGGGCCTTACCTCTCGCGAGAAGCTGTATTTCTCTCGACTGGTGTTTGAAAATGGGAGGAATTATAGCTTGACGTTGAAACATCCTACGGTACGCTCGGAAGACACCAGAGATATAAGCTGACGATGTGTCTAGGACACATCTTTATCTCCTTCTGATGCGCAAGATATATCAAGCCTTGCGGCCATCCAAAGGTGGTGCGAGGAGTCGACCACCCCCGCGACCACCGAGGATGTTTCTTTTCGACTTTTGTAGGACATACTACCCAGCAAGTCATCTTATATGGTGCTGATGATGCAGCATCTGCGGCAAGGCAAAAGCCCCAGGAGGCATCTCGTTGCCGCAGAAAGTATTTGCTGCGATCATGGAACGGCTGAATTTACCACGCAGCTTCTTTCAGCTCTTGCTAAGTGGTGAGTGTGATATCAATTCCCAGCCTCCATGTCTAAGTAAGGACTCTAGGCACTTCGAAGCTCGTCAAGGAAGACAGCCTAACTGGTTCTAAGACGTCCGGTAATACCGAGTATCTGAGCCTTCATCATCCGCTGATTTATTCAGGCTTTGCCTTCCGCACGCCACTATCTCGAACCGAAGACTGGACCCTGGCTCTCCACTGCGACACCTCTTCTCACATCATCAACGGCTTAGTCCACGGACTCCAAGGCGACGAGAGGTCCGCTTTGCTCAGTTATGTGTCCGATGCGGCGAAGGACGCTTGCCATCCGATGTTGCTCCCTATTATTCTTTGTGAGATGCTAGCAACAGCCGATGCAAACGGCATCCGCGCGAACGGATTCGAGCTGGCCAAGGTGGAATTTAGGACAAATTTCTCAGGCTTCTATCAGATTAATACGGCTATGGTAGGTTCAATGAATTGTCTCTATTACCTATATTGGGACATGAGAATACCGACTAAAGCATTGTCCAGGATGGATCAGGCAATACACCCGAAAAAGAATTTGCGGAGATGACTCGAATGCTCAATTATATCATCTCTCGTCTGGCATTTCACGAGATGCGCATGCACGCCAATATGGCGCTGACGCGGCAGATTCGAGAGCACATGTCTGCTATCAAAGCCGAGCTTGATACATTGTTAAAAGTCCCGGAAAGCAATAAGGACTCTACCCCGAACTCAGGCCCGTGGATGCAGGTTGTGAACGGTGCATCGCGTAGGCTGACGCAGCGCGTCAAGCACTTGGAAGCCGAGCATGAGGCTCTTCTGCTTGAGATAGCCTGTCACCAGAAGATCGCCCAGAGCCAATTGCAGATTGTAAGTACCGCAACCGTTCAGTTACAATCACTACTAAGTTCGACAGGTATACAACCTTATCGCCCAGCGCGATAACAAGGATAACCTGAAGATGGCCGAGATATCAACCAGGATTGCGAATACAACTAAGAACGACAGTTATGCTATGCGCACCCTTGCCCTCATGAGCGTTGTCTTTCTTCCGGCTACCTTTATCGCGGTAAAGTCTTTGAATCGAGACCCAGTTCAGACCTCACTGACATAATATGTATAGTCATTCTTCTCGATGGATATGTTCGACTGGCAGGCTCCCACTGGCAGCAGCATTGTGACGCCGCGCTTGTGGATCTACTGGGCCATCACGGCCCCGCTTACGCTTCTCGTCGCCGCTATCTGGCTTGTCCTGTATAGGCGACATCTAGGCCGCGAAGACGAGTTCCCGTTTGCAGCGAGACTTGGACGGTCCTCTTCAGACACACCTTCGTGGTTTGGTGCTCCGGGTACAACGAAGGCGCCTTCACGACCGGTTGAGTCCGGCCAGCAAAGCCGTAAAAGGGCTCCGCATGCATCACTAACGTCAAGGCTTGGGGCTCTTGTTGGGATAAAACCAGATCGCGGAAGCAAGTACGAGAAGGAGGATGAGCTCGATATACAAGAGACGGAGATTGGGACTGGCATTGGCACTAGTAGCGCGCCTGGTGCAGGGCTGTCGTCAAGAGGAAACGGAGAGCTAAAGTCATTTGATCGACCCCGCAGGGTGAATACCGTTATTCAGGGCCCGCGGCGGTAATTTGATTGAATCATATAGATCGGTTGGATGCAGCTTTCTTCCGAGAACTTCGTGTCCGCACGCCTTCTAGCAACCGAGCAAAGAAATTCCCTTCCCTTTGCCACAAAAGCACGGTACGGACACGCGGCTTATTATCGCCCATCAATCCAACTGCCAAGGGCTCAGGGTAGGTGAGGGATGGTTGTTCTTTCCCAGTGCAACCTCCATCCTCCTTCTTCGTCCGGGTCCGGGCAAACTGCGGCCTCCAACAAGCCCCAAACGACACGAACACAAAACCATCCTTTAATTTAGTTTCAAATAGAGCATATTTACTCAGATCTTCTCGCTGAAGCAAACACCATGGCTTCCTCGACTTTCCCGGACGTGAAAATCAACCCAGCACCGGACCCATACCACTTCCCTGTCTGCGAGGACGCGAAGCGCCCGCGAGTCCTCCCCGAGCTCCTCAACCCTGACCGCGGGTTTCTTATCGACAAGCTCAGCAAACTCGAGGTGCTGAATGAGCTTAAAGTGAACGGGGATACGTGGCCGGATGTCGACAGCGTGACCTGGGCCCTGCTGTGGCTCGCTGATGTGGAGCAGCTGGAGCGCTTCGTTAACGATCCCGTCTATTACTTTTCGAGGGTCCTTGTTCCGGCGAGGAAGATCACGACGATTCTGAAGTGTGCGTCTCCCTATCCTAGATTGATGCTTGTTATATACTGACGCGATGTACAGGGGCGAGCAGACTGGAGCCGCTGGAGGCAATTGCACCGGCTGTTATCGAGCGGTTAGAGAATTTGGATATTGAGGACAAGGACATGGAAGATGTTGAGCCGAAGAAAGAGAGCGTGACGGATCTGGTTAGTCGCAATGAACTCCTTGCCGCTGAACGCTGTTGACTGGCGACAGTGCATCAAACGCGATCCGTACTGCGCCATCACCAACGCAGGGGAGCCCCTCGAAGTCGCCCGTATCTGCCCATCCAGCTTGATGCTCTGGAGTCAATCGGAACGTCACTTGGAGGACAACAATTTCTGGGGAATGCTGGAATGCTTTTGGAACAAGAAGAGGGTCGAGTCGTGGAGAGAGGCTGTCGCGGGCCCGGAAGGGACAGAAGTGCTGAAGAACATGCTCTGCTTGAGCTGTGACGCGGAAAGGCTCTGGCGCATGGGGCGCTTTGCACTCCAGCCTCTGGATCTTTCACAGGATGGGAAGATCCTCCGGATGAGGTTCTTCTGGTTGCCTCGCGCACAGTACTCGATATCCATTCCCATGACTACGCTCCCTTCTGTGTCCTCCACCTTGGACCACGTTGGCAACAGCACTTTTCTCTACAATTGCTTGACTGACAGAGCGGTTCGTTCTGGTGATGAGATTACGATGTCGACGGCAGATCCAGTTGCGCTTCCATTGCCATCGCTGCAGCTCCTCGAGATGCAATGGATGTTGACGCGGGTACTGGGGTTGAGCGGGCTGGCTGATGCCGAGGCGGACGAGTTCTTTGGCACCGAGAGGGTTCAGCGCCTGGGCTCGAATGTGACCATACTGCCTCCGATCAACAGGCAGTGGTAACTGTCTACAACAAGCCTTTCTGCGCGAAGGTCACTGTAGGTAGGATCAACGTGATATCTTCTTGGCACTGTTGGAAGTCGGCGATGCATGGTTCAGGATATTGATATGTTGCAGAGCTTGGGTATTGATTAATCGAAGATGACTTTTCGCTAGCAGAGTCTGACTCTGCTCCAAGAACACTGCCTCCGCAATCGCATTGTCCATCCTGCAGCAACCACTTGGACTGGCCTCCGACTAGCCCTAAGTGGTTGCATTTGCCGCCTCTAGCAGGGATCCGCTTCCTCATAACGGCCGGTCGGCGTAGTTTAATCTATGCAAGGCCCTCGGCGTGGATAGCGTCTTGACCTTTGCCAAGTGAGGAGTAGTGATCGATCTGCTATAAGAACGACGCGCTGCCTCCAATCTTCCATGTCAATACGCCACATTTCACCTGTAGACATCATGCCCGTCTCAAAAAGCTACCACATCCGCCCGCTGGAATGGGAAAACGACCCAGAGGTAGAGCGGTACAGGATCTCAACGCTTGACTACCTCTCCGTCAGCAGCTACAACAACTACGCCCTCTTCTTCCGCCTGGTCGATTCCGAAAAGCCCAATGCTGTAAACATCCTCAAAGCCGGCCTTGAGCGAACACTCGCCCAAGCACGCCATCTCTGCGGCGCAATCGAGAAAGACCCTAGCGGCGGCCACGCCTTTACCAAGAGAAAAGACAGCACAGTTCAATTCGTCGTGCAATGGCTCGACCTGGAGGAAGACGCAGAAACATATCCCTCGATCGACGACATCGAAGAAGCGAACTTCGCCGCCGTCAAACTGGGCGACCTCAACCTCTGGAGCGTACCTCCCATGACATACGGCGAGAAACCCGAAGCCCATATCGACGCACGCCCCGTCGTCGCAGCGTACAAAGCAAACTTCGTCCGCGGCGGTCTCGTCTTCGTCATGCACCACCACCACTACGCCAACGACGTAATGGGCTGGGCGGGTCTCACGCACCAACTCGCCGAGAACTGCTACGCGATTCAGAACAAGACCCCCTTCCCACACTGGGACACCGCAAACCTCGACCTCACCCGCCTTACCAAACCTGATCCGCCCGAGGAAGAACAGATCGATGGACCGCCCCAGCCCCAGCGCCATCCAGCCCAGCTAGACGGGATATCCCTCCTCTTCCACCTTCGCCAGAGTAAAGCCGCCGAACTCAAAAGACTTGCAACGCCAAAGGACGGCTCCTGGATCTCAACCTACGACGCCTTCTCGGCGTTCATCTGGCGCACGCTTACGCGCCTCCGCGCCCCGGTCTTCAACCCCGACCCTGAGAAACCAGGGGCACTTTTGTGGGGCGAAGCCGTCGATATGAGACGACGCATGCGTGATCCCCCTGTTCCACCCCGGATGCAGGGGAACGTCGTCTCCGCGGCGCTGAGCAGAAGCGCTCCGGATGGTACAACGCACCCCACCGTCAGCGACATCATACGCGACTGGCCGTTGTCGAGACTAGCCTCGTACATCCGGGCGCTAACGAACAGCGTTACGCAGGAGGGGGTCGACTCGGCCTTGACGCTTGTCTCGCGGGTCCGTGATAAAACGGCGCTCAATACGCGGATCGACTCGTTTCCGCCGATGAGCATACTCATGACGGATCATCGGGATGCCCGGGTTGCAGGCAGGGATTTTGGGTTTGGCCGGCCGGTTGCTTATCGGCATTTGGTGGATTGTGTTACCAATGGGGTTGTTGTTGTTTATCCGCCTAGGGCTAGGGCTCGCCCCCGCCTTGAGAGTGCAGGTGGGAATGGGGCAGTTGGCGAGCGGGAGGGGGAAGGGGCTCGGGAAGATGAGGGCTGTGAGTTCTCGATTTTCTATGAGCGGGATCTTGCGGCGGCGCTGGTGGGTGATGCCGAGTGGAGGGCGTTCTTTGAGTACAGGGGGGTGGATGGGGTGGATGTTGCTACGACGAAGGAGGTTCCTGTTTATACATAGGTGTGCCGCATCGTGCTGTTAAAGGCGACGTATTTTTACGCGTCATGTTATAGTCGGGTCTTCCTTTGGATTGTCAAGTCTTTCATATTGTAATGCTCGAAACTTCTCAAAGATGCCCTCGCCATGCCATGCGATGCCTAGCCCTTGGCCTTGCTGGCACTGAACAGGGGTAGTACGTAGGTATGGTAGTAAAGTCTCTTCTCTCCCATTCTGCTATGCCTGAACAGCGGTGATCGTCAATATCAGGAGCTTGGTCCTTCAGCAAATTTCCCGGCTCGCAAGGCCGGCCACTGGCAGTTACTATGGGTAGGGTATTGTCGGAGCGATTTCCCGACACTGCCACCGTATTCGCGCGGCGCATAGTTCCAGCACAGAGACAGCGGGGTAAGAGAAGGCCCATCCTTTTTTTCTTCCTCTCCTTCTGTCTCCGCTAAGAACATCACCTGCCCGTATAGTATCTGCTCTCCAACTTGCTCGGGGAGCGCCATCAACGCAAGGATTCCACGGGTAACTCCAAAGTCCGGTTAATTCGTAACGCCATTCCATAACCATGTCAAGTGATGAAGGGCAGACGTCAACAGACGAGTATGGATCCGACACCCCTGGATCTTCTGATGAACTCATGGTTAATGATGATGGCTACGAGCCATTGTCGAAGACGGTGTCCCCCTTTGAACTGGAGCCCTTTCAACTCCCGTCTATCAGCTACGCGAAGATTGCGCGCGATAACCCGGAGAGATGGAACGAAGAAGATAGGTTGGTTGAGGCTTTGATGGCATACGGTGCGTGCCGGATTCGGGATCATGGAATCTCCCAGGAGAAATTGGATCGGTGCTTTGAAATGGTTGGATTGTCTTGTTCCTTCTTTAAGGTTGTCGACATTCTTTATACCTTACTGATTGATGCATGTTGAACAGTCTCGAGCATATCATAACCACCTGGTCGAAGACAACGAGTCAGGCAAAGGGAAGCTCATGCCCACAAAGATTCAGGGCCCCCTCGACAGCAAACTGGAGCAAGAACACGGCGCTCTGAATCCGGCCTTATACACAGACAGGCTCTTGTGCGTACAAGAGCTACAGCGTGCGTTGGGCAGTCTGTATACCGATTGTGGCTTGATGGCCTGGAACATCCTCGACAGTCTCTCAGGAGCCATGGAGCTGCCGGTGCACTTGCCTTCGCTCAACAACGGCTCGGCCTGCTTCGAGCCTTCCTTCTACACCCCTGGCACAACCAACCCGGACGTGTGCTTCGGGCCATGCATCGATCCCTCGCTCATCACCCTGCGGTTTCAAGACCCGCATGCCGGAATCAAGATCGCTGATCTGAGGGATCTGTCTGCGGACGGAAACCTGTCTGTCAAGAGAGTTGTTGGATCAGCGACCTTTTACCCTGTTGCCGCGGAGCCGGGAGAGTGTCTCTTGTTTGCTGGCCATATTTTCAGAAAGCTTGTTCCGGCCATCAAGCACGCTGTCTATTGTATTGAGCGCTCGGAGAACGGGGTTCATTTGAATTTCTGGCATGTGCCGGGCGAAGACGTCAAGCTTCGTCCGGTTGGTGCTCGTCGGGGGGAGGGGGAGGTTAAAGACGAGGGGGAGGATGAGGGGGGTGATGAGGGGGATGATGAGGGGGATGACGAGGGAGAGGAGGGAGATAACGAGGAGGATGAGGGAGATGAGGTGGAAGATGTTAGGGCGTACTTGAAGAGAGTGTCTCCAAACGATTTGAAGGATGGCCGGGGCGCATGAGCAGAGAAGGAGTGCTGTTCTTTGCTTCACCATCTCCAGGGGCCAACTCCAAGCTACCGTATTCCGCACCCAGATTCCAGACCAGTTTAATCGGAAGTACGGAGTACCCATCCTGGCATGTGCACTATGACTGTTCCAGCCTTCCGTGGCCGCGACCAGTGAGCCTTAGGCCTGAGCAGCATCTTCTCTGTATGTATCACTGATCAACGGTACAGATAGTCGGTTGGTAATCCGTATGGCCGGCCCAGAAATAAGGTTAGATAGACGCTCTGTAGTCCCGAGATTCCGGACGTTAGTGACGAGCAACATGCCGATCATTGATCCTGCAAGGTGCCAGGATCGGGCTAGAGGTATAGATCGATCCCGCAGCCCCTGGATCCTTGCCGAGCTGCCAATCGGATGCAGCGCTGGAAATAGGGTGAAAGGAAGTTTGTTCTGGATACGTCAAACTTTTGCGGTGGCATGAGCGTGCCTGGCAGTGTAGCTGTCGATTAGCCCTAAACGGGCCGGTCCACTGCCCCTGTTCCTAGCCCTCAAGATCCCATCCATGTCGAGCTGTAGACTGGAGTGCCGTGGACAAGTAGAGACCATAAGGTTATAAAAGGCTTCCATTCCCAGCCTCAAACCCTTCTTTCCCGTGTTTCTCACACACTTTTACCACTGTCCTTAGCTTCTTATTCTCTCTTCGTTACATCGCCCATTGGATCGTCACAATGCACTTCACCCCCGTCCTCCTCGCAACCCTCGCCTCTATGGCCTCTGCCCTACCAGCCCCCATCGTCGAGACCGTCACTGACGCAGCGGGCGTCGCTGTCGCGGTTCCCGATGTCGACGCTCTCGACCTCCCTGTCAACGTCAATGTCCGGCATCTCGCGGGGCCTGAACTCGATGCTGAGGTTGTTGATGTCGATGCCGAGGTTGAGGATGTTGCGGTCGTTGTGCCTGTTGTATGTCCCGTCATGCAGTATCTTGTGTCAGGTTGTTTCGTTTGCTAATCAAGTAATGGGCTTGTAGGGCATTAACGTCCGCGCCTTGCCGGACGTCCCAGTGCCGCTCCCAAACGTCGACGTCCCCGTCGCTCCTATCCCGCAAGTCAAAGTCCCATCTATCCCCGTCCCTGCGGTCCCAAGCACCAAGGATCTAGGCGTTGACGGCCTTGTCCCTGAGTTGCCCGGTGTATGTCCATCCTACCCCCTGCAACCCTATATCCACTAAAAAAACCGCACAGGGCCTGAACGTCCGATCCGTCGCAATCCCTGACGTCCCAGTTCCTGATCTCCCGACAGCCGGTACCTCAGCGAACGTGAACGTGAACGTCAGATCCCGCGCCACCGATGCCAACGCCAACGCCGATGCCGATGCCGATGCCGATGCCGATGCCCTGATCGGCCTCCCCGCAAACCTCCGCGCCGGCGTCACGGACGAGGTTGAGATGCCGGAGGTGGAACTGGGTGTTCATGGCCGCGCCCTCCCTGTTGACCTCCCGAGCACGGCTGGACTTGTCCCCGGCGGACTCCCTGAGCTTCCGGCTGTGTCGGAGATTTCTGATGTCCCAGAGGTGCAGGTGTCCAATGTGCCCGAGGTCCCGGGGTTGCCTGAGGTCCAGGTCCCGAAGGTGGCTGAGTTGCCGGTTGATGTTCCTGCGGTATGTACCCTATCCTGATGGCGTTTTGAGCGAGTTTGGCCAGTGTATGCTGATTGAATCCAAACTACTTTAGGTCCCGGCTGTTGGGAATGTTGTTTGATCATACCATACTTTACGATACGCTTTAGCGGTAGGCTGTGAGATGGGGCTTTGGGGTAAGGGTGCCATGGGAATCTTTGAATTGTGGGCTTTTATTGCGGGTGGGCCGGCCATGTATGGCTTTGCAATTTCTGAGGCGCCCCGGCCTTGCTACCCTATGTCAAGGAACGAAAGGGATCTTCCCTCGGGGTTGGACGGGGTTGTAAGGTGGATTCTATTCAATTGTATATTATCTTTCCTGTCGCGGCATTAGTAGGTTTCGCTTGCTGCTAGATTTCTTAATTTGCTTTAATCAACCTTTAATATGGATGTCTATATGGGCTCGCTATGGTACCCGAGGCCAGCTTTCCCCATTCCCATATTCTCTATCGTACAATCGCCGTATACATTTCAGGCTTATCGAGTTGATTGCGGCAATGGATTCTCGCTTGAATCTGTACTATGTAGGACGTAGCTAGGTAGGTAAATTAGGAAGTCAAGGCACAATTCACCAATTGGGATAATGGGTATTTATCATACCGGATCCTCTTCGTTACCATTGACTATCGTTATAGGTTTGACTCGCACCTGCAGAGTGGGAAAACTGTTGTTTCAATAGAGATGCCGTTCTTGAAGGAATATCATAGCTAAACTTTGACGATGTCTAGAGTCTAGGGTTGTTCTCACAAGGCTGAGGTTGTTAACTGTTTAAGGCCGGTGTATGCTACTCGCCAAAATCGGGAGTGTAGTGTAGGATGGTGTTCTATCACAGCTTGGAGAGGGATCGGAGTTGAATACCTAATGTTGAGATCACCCGCTGCTACCTACCTCCAACCTACCATGCATGGGACGCCCGATAGCACCTTGCATTCCATTACCCGACCCCCAGCGCTTAGTCAAACCCACATGAGGCTCGAGCTGCGTTGTCACTCTCGAAGTATGAGGAGCTCCCAAAAAGGCAATTTGGTAAGAGAGACAAAGGCGAGATTGGCGGTTGACTGGTTTTCTGGCCGGTGCGGTGCGGTGCGTGTGACGGCAATCAGAAATCAGACCGAACTATGGATGGAACTTCGATCTGATGCGTCTCATAGATACGTGTACTTGGCAACCCAGTGTAGGTTTTAACTTAGGACCTGGGAACGGCGATGGTAGAAGGTCGCAGAACCTCGATGTTCTTGATCTCCCTCTCAGGTGTTCTTCGGAGATCTCCTTAGATCTTATTCTTTTTCTCTGATCTTGTTCACCATGTTCGCTGATTGCGGCGTAGATCGCACCCGCACGCTATTGGTGGGGTGGGAATGATTGACAACTTAGGGCTGTGGTGTATGGTTGTGACTCGGACTTATGGGGTACGTGCATTGAGATAGCGGGCCAGCTGAAGAACTCCCTGAGTGATTGACACACTGATTGTTAGTCTTAGAAAGGTGCCCTAGCGTGCCATCGCTGGTTCAGGGCTACAGATCGATAGATTGGTGGGCCGGTTGCTGATCTGCAGGGACTACGTGCGAAAGAGATGAAGAGACCCGCTATCGAGATCGCGATGCGCATTGCCATATACTATATCTGGAATATGGAGATGTCCGCACGGCTGGTCAAAGAGTAAACGCGCTCCATAGACCTTCAGACAGAGAAGTGCCTCCTATAAAGGCTTGAGATTTGAAGGTATATAAGGGCCAACTCGTGCTCAGAGTATCATCTCCAAGCACTCATTCTAATCATCCCACTCTTCTACCTTCCAATCTCCTATTCTTTCAAGATGTACTTCAAAGCAACCGCCATTGCCACCCTCCTCTCCCTCGCCGCTGCGGGCCCCATCGCCACCCGCGAGGCCAGCTGTGCTACCAACGCCGTCACAACCTTGAACTCCCTTACAGACGAAGTCAATGGCCTCAAGACCACAGCCCAGGGCATCACTCTCGCTGGCATGTTCATCAAGATCCCCGTATGTCCGCCCTATACTCCCCAGTGCATCCCATCTAACAGACACAGACCCTGATTACCGGAACAACGAAAACGATCTCAACCGCCACGCTGGCGGCCACGAACCTCCGCTGTGACGAGGAGCTCAGCGAAGAGGACCAGAAGAAGGTCTGCGCTGCTGCTGAGGCTGTAAGTCATACTCTATCTCTGTTGATCCATATCTATGCATTTTTGGCCACTAGTCTAACAGCGCGTCAGTTCGTCAAAGCCGATCAGGGGCTCGTCTACGTTCTCATCGGTAAGCAGGGGATCATAAACTATGGACCTTTTGCCGCGCCTCTCCAGGCGGTTACCCGCCAGTTCGAGTCTGCTACGGACGTATGTATTAGATTATCTGCCATTGAAAGGACACTCGCTGACTATACACAGAGCCTGGTCTTTGGTGTTCTCGACGCGGCGCCGACCTGTGCTGGGAGCGTTGAGGAGCTAGTGAAGACCCTGGATAAGGATACACAGCACCTTCAGGAACTTCTGGAGCCTAGCCCCCAGGTCTAGGTAGGGTGACGGGTGGAGGGCTTTATGTTCGGCACTGCAGGGACGACGGACTTCGGTTCCTGTTTCTGGTGGCTGAGCTGTTTTATACTTTATCTTTTGTATATAGATCGATAGCCTTGGTTTAATAGATACCCTTGCTCTCTAGTTTTCATTTGTTGTTTTCCATATAGGAATAAGCTGCTTACCTACTTGTCAATGCAGAGATCAATCATCGAATCAACCCCTGACACTTCCGGGAAGCCCGGATCCCGGAACAGCAGGCAAGAGATCTCGATAATGATCAAGCATCATTCTCGATCCATGATCTCAATAATCAAGATTGCGGCGCAGATCGTACCGGTACCCGCACGCTATTTGTGGGGGTGTGCAGGCGATCGACACTCTACAACTGACCATGTGGAGTAGCAAGATTGCGATGATCGCGAGTGCTCCAGAGTGGCGGATAGCGGGAATTGCATCGAAGCTGGTTTGTAGAGGAAGAGCTTACCGTCTGGGATATGCGAGCTGTCTAGTTTTTATTACTATGGGTTTGAAACTTTTGTCATTGCTACTGTTATTACTTTTTTGTGGGGATAAGGGCATATACTGCATGTCTGCAGGCCGCCGAGCAAGATCTCGAGACCCTAGGTAGACCACAATGAACACGATCATCTACTGATCGGGACGATTCAGATGGCCTGCAAGGACGATCCTCACTAGCGCAAGGACCATGAGTGGTTCAAGCTATTGCTTGTCCACTCAATAACCCAACAACTTACCGGCGAGTACCCTACGGAGCACATGGCCCCGTTAGGTAAGTTCAACATATCCAGAAGTCTATATAAAGGCCACGCCCTGCCTGAAGAATTAAATATCCAATCAACCTCACACTACAACCCTCCATCACCCCATCAACCTCCCATCCACCCACACCATGCATTTCAAGACCGCCGCCATCGCCACCCTCCTCTCCGTGGCCGCTGCCCTCCCCGCCCCAGCCGACCAGACCAGCTGCGTCGACAACGCCGTCACCGTCCTGGACAACCTCTCCTCCGGCGCCAAGGCCCTCCAAGGCCAGGTGGAAGACTTTACCCCTTCCGCTCTATTCAGCACTTTCCCGGTAAGCTCTATGCTTGAGACAGCCCTGCACGGCATACAGGGCCCAAAGCTAACCCACCCACCCATCCAGCGCATCATCAACGGGTTCAATGATGAACTCGGCGGCCTCGCGTCCCTGGACCTCAACTGCGGCGGCGAGCTCAGCGCCGACGACCAGAAGAAGGTCTGCGCTGCTACGGAAAACGTATGACCCCCTTACCTCTGTTCAAGAAACCAAGACAGGACTAACAGCCCTCAGCTCATCGTCGCCAACGAAGACCTCGTCAAGTCCCTGGGCGCGAAACAAGCCATAATAGGCCAGACCCCGTTCGGCGGCCCGCTCTCGGCTGTCGTGCGTTCCCTCGAGGCCACTCTTGATCCGGTTGTTTTTTCGGCTATCAACGCCGCGCCTGTTTGTGCTGGCGACTTGGAGAAATTGGAGACGGCGCTTGCGAAGGATGTTGAGGCGGTTGTTGGTCAGCTGCAGTTGTAGAATTGGGTAGATGGAAGTGACTCGGGGTTGGGTGCTGGGGTTTTGTTCGAGTGTATTATGTTATTTTATTTCTATGTAGTATATAGTTGTTTTATACCCGCCAACACGAGACAAGACATCTTGTTTGCCTGATTGACTTCCATCTGCAGACTTTGGGAAGTATCATCTAGTTAGGCCCGTACGTAGAGGCACAGTGAGCCTGAACTATCAGTATTGGGTTAATGGGTACGCCCAATCCATAGTAGCGTAGCTGGAGAAGTACTACAACTCTGCAGCCGTGCTATGATAGTATGATCGATTGGCAGGATAGTTATTGTAGCTATAGAGGCCGTTTCACATGCAGTGCACAAACTACAGTTCCTTTATTCACAACTATGGATTAATAGATCTGGGGTGGTGTGTCCCTAATTGCTACAGGACTCCCTCTGTAACACAGTATCTATTAGGATATGGCTTACTATACCTGGCAATAATGTCTACTTGCATGAGTTAGTTAGCAGGGAGCCCATACTCTACAGGAGTTTGTTTATTGTACTACCCATAACAGAAGCCGTGCTTGTGTCCTAGAAGGCTCGCTGCAGCGACACCTTATTTTAAAAGTGGAAGGATCTCCCAAACTTGACCCTTTATTAAGCACTCATGCATCCCCTATGCTTCCACTCCTATCTATTCTTCCACTATCCTTTATAACCGCGATTCCACTGACATTGAAAACACACTTCACCCGTGGCCGCCAGCGCAAGCTAACCAGTAATTGTTGATCTCCATTCCAGCAAAAAAAAGAGAAAAGAAAAGAAAAAAGAAATAGATCAGGCTCTAGCCGTGGATCGAACACGGGACCTCTCGCAGGTGGTGCTATAGGGTTAGCCCTAAGCGAGAATCATACCACTAGACCACCAGAGCTGATTGGTTGAAAGACATGCTTAATAATAGTTTATATAGCACAAAATACATACTCCACGCCCATCAGCTCTGGTGAGCTAGTGGTATGATTCTTGTTGTCGCGGTTGTCCGTTCGCCTGGGTTGAGAAGAAGAGAAACATCGTGAATAGATATTGCATACTGTAAGTTAATTATGTGTTCAAGCTGGCCAGAGTTCTTCTCCATTGGATAGCGACGGTGCGCCACCTAGGTTCGCCATCTGCTGTTGTTGCCCTGTTATATATAGTGGGTCATGGTAGGGCTATAACTCAGGTCGGCAGCTTACTATTGAACACTCGACATCAATACCAAAAGCTCCGCATACCCATTGGTTCTTTCATATCCTTGACTATCAAATGCTAAGTGTTTTCCAGTAAAGGTCACGTGGTCGCATTGTTGTCGTGGTCTCCTCCGTACGACACATCCTACATCTCCTCTGGGACAAAGACATTACCCCAATTAACATCTTGTCATACTCACCATGTCAGTTAATCCATCGAATACCGCTGCATATGGTCCAGAAACACGATACAAATCTTGCCTCGAATTAGAGAACGCTGGAATCTCCTATGTCATCTGGTTCGAGGACGCCCTGGTACACTACGGGGTTCCAACAGTAGTTTTTGATCTATACGTACTCGTATTGGACATCGAAGCCGCTGGCAATGCTCTTCTCGAAGCCGGATGGACCGATGACACCCAATCACCCCATCGAATCGGCGACGCAGTCGTGGACATTCCGCAAAGACCCTTGATATCCCCCGACAAGCAGACGAAGACCGTCCTTCTCCTCGCATCAGACTGGAAATTCCCTCTAGCGCCTGACTCACCTCTTGAACGAGTGTCTTTGTCGCAAGCGGACCAGACACCATCCCCACCCCCAACGGTCTCGTTCCCACCATTACCAGGCCTCCTCGACGCTCTGATCGAAAGCTGGCTGGCTGGACCGACCGAGGATCCGACCTTACTGCTTCGACTGGCCTGTTACTTCAACTATCTCTACGAATACGTGCCTGCACTCAAGGAGCGCTCATTTGCCGAGGAGATAAGACACGAACATCGGCAGTTCCATTTCGATGTGCTTGCGGGGATGGAATCCGGGACATTCCCCTTCAGAGACCATCAACGTGGGATTCGAGATGCGCTGCTGCAGGGTCGGTATGAGTTGTGCGAGTGCTCCGCGTCTCGCGATAACCAGCTCCTCTTTGGCGGCTGGGGAAATATCCGCCTTCCTGATCCGCTGCATGATGGATCTGAGGAGTAGCTGTGCTATATAAGTGGCGGGGTTGGGACATGCTCGTGGTATAGCTCGTACCAGGAATATCAGATACGCGCGTACAGTTCTTCAACAGTCCGAAAGGCCTTGAGGAGATTTTGTGAAGACAATGTAAACAACGAGGTAGAAAGAGCGCAGCAAATGGGCGCCGTCATTGGATGTTCTAAATCAATAATCATTCTATGTTCTTCTATGGTATTGATCTTATGCGGACCGACAGCATAGTTATAGACAAGAGACAAACCAACAGATCAAACCTGGGACTAAGAGTGCATAGATGGTGAACACAACATAAAATAGTATCATACTCCAACAGAAGCAAGAGACAGCCTCGCCCCAGGCCTAAGCAATATATATCACCAATCGACCAGATATCCATATATATACGCAACAAAGAGGCCGAGATGCGTCAACAACCCCAGGAGCCAGTAAAAAGGCCTACACAGACACCATTAGCAACCGAACAGAAACATGGACTCGGCAGACAAACCAGTTGTAAAGTCGTAACCAGCAGACACCCAAGCATCCGGATTCTGATACCTCGCAACTCGGGGAACATCGCCACAAACTCCCCCGTCGCATTCGGCACCTCCTCAGCCCTCGGAAGCAGCCCCGGATTCCGCGCACAGGGAATACCCAAACAGGAAAATAATATCATTCGCATCCGTATGCTTCTTCGCCTCCCTAGAACGCCCCAGAATCGACCGACACTTCGCATTGAGAATAAGCGCCGGCTTAAGAACCCTCACGCCCCCAACACTAATAACCTCCGTGTCCTCATCAAAGGGCCCCCTGAACAGCGCGGGCGGGGCCAGGATCTCGATCTCGATCTCCACGGCCGTGCCTGTCCCATCCCTAAATGCCGTGTGGTTTGTTCGCGGCTCGACGGTGAAGTGCGGCGAGGCACGGAGGAGGCGCCGCGCGGCGGCCGGGGGGGTTTGGCCGCGCAGGACGACGAAGTCGATATCTTGCGTTGCGCGCGTTGCGCCGGGGACTACGCATGCGCTGCCGCCGACGAGCGCGTATTTGGGGGTTTCCGGGGGTCAGGGCGTTGGCGACGGCTGTTGCGGCGCGGTGGATTTCGGCGGGGGGTGGAGGGGTGAGGAGGGCATGATGTCTAGGGTCTAGGGTCTTTGGTCGGGGCGTTGGCGCTCTGGGCTCTGGGGTCTGGATGGAGATAAGTACTGAGCTTGGTCGTTATAGAGTCGGTATAAGACTTCTAGTATCAGTGGGATTGGGTTGGATGGAAGGGTTGTGCAGGTAGCTAGCCAAAGCTGTAGTTGCGATGTATTGGTGAGCAACATTGTTTGACATGGAACTGTTTCCTGCTTATAACTCCCATCATGAAAGCAAAGTCAGGCACAGCTCAACCTCGGGTTCTTTCATGCTTTGATGGCGCGCGGTCCCCGGATCTAAAAATGCACTACCTGCTCGTCCGTCAAAGGCAGTCTGGTAAACAAAGAAGTTCTGAGATCCGGTTGGCGATCAAAGATTCTGAACATATGTCGCGAGCGCTGGTAATAGCTGAAGTAGCTCTAGTGCCCTATACATAAAAAAACGCTCAGGCTCAAGGCTGGCACCAGATGGGTGAAGATAACGGAACTATGGAAAGCTGCACTAACGGATTCAGCGTGGAGGGTGTAACCCCAGGGTCAACGCAGCGCCTAGCGTTGGATCGCTTATAGTGAACCGATAATGAGAATGGAATCAAGCGCCGGCTGAGGCGAGTACAGGGCAGCTAACTACGATTCTAGCTAGGTCTCCTCTACAACGCAGAAAACAGTCTCTCAGCCTCATAGCGCCAGCTTCGAGGCTTAGTTTACCTAGCACTTCAACGGTCCAACGAACTAATATCATGGAGTCATATCGAAAGCTGGCATTCCGCCGGCTAAACGCACACCATCCAATTGGAAGAGATGTTGGCTTGCCCTGCAATGCCAGCGAGGGAGGGAGCTGGAAGGTGATGGTGAGTGGGTCTGCTAGCTGGAGGCTGGTGCAGTAGCCCTAACCCAGCGCACCGTTGGCATGATTAGAGAGCAAACCATACGTCAAAGTTCAAAGTTACGCGCCGCCTTGCGCGAATTACTATTGTAGATAGATAGGGTCAAGCCAGGGCTCTTGATGGCCGTATCCCAATCACAACCGTCGACCTAGGCGACCGGTCTATCGAGTTACAGCATCGATCGTACAATTGATGGTATGGAGATGTTTCATTTCATTGAAGACTACGATATAAACAAAGCAAAGCGCATCGCCGTAGTGCGCTTCGTACCCTATCTCAGAATGCCGGCTTTATACCTCAGCATTGTTGGCGCAGGAGAAAGTGTTCGTGCTCGCATCGTCGTGGATCGCCTTGCCGGAGACATATAGACCGAGTCCGCACTGTCATAACGAGTCAGTACTTCGGGCTTTCTTTTGAAGATTGTTGAGGAGGTCGACTCACCATACACCCTCCAATCAACACAATGCACACATTCAGCACCGTCAGGAAGATCTTGCGCGGGCTCGAGAAGTACCGGCCCCAGTTGAGATGGAGCCAGTAGACGCCTCCGAGACCGTATGAGAACCATGAAGCAAACAGGGAGCTGATCAGACTGAGCAGGTCGCTGAAGACGGGGATCGCGTCGGCAATGATCCACGCGATGATCCAGCATGTCAGACCGATAGCAACCCAGGACCCAACAGAGACGAAGTCCCGCCCGTGCATCCGGTTCGTGCCGCGGAAGAGCCGCACGTAGATGTACTTGAGACCGATGTGTCCGTTGACGATGCCAGCGCCGACGATCTACCACGTTGTCAGTCAGTCGAATGTCAAAGAGGATAAGCTGATCAGACATACCGTCGGAATGGCAATACCATACGCAACCTTCTTCAGCACCGGCCCAGCCGATCCCAACGCCGGACTGGTGACAGTCTGGCCAGCATAATAGTAAATCACCACGGCAGCAACGGTATAGAAAATAATCTCAAACGTCTGCAGCATATACAGCGCCTTGGGAAAATCCCTAGGCTCACGCATCTCCGCAAGCAACCCAAAGAACGCAACATGCGCACAGTACGCAAAGACGATATTCGTGACGGCCGTAAACGCATGGAACAAGTCCGTGTCAATCGTCGCCTTGATACTCGACGTCCGGCCCTGCACACCAACGCCCACCATCGTGATAATCACCGCGGTGAAGATACTCCCGAAACTGGCGCACGAGATATACGTCATGTTCTTCATCGTGCGCGGCAGCGAGCCGACCATGCAGATCACAAAGCCAACGGTCGTGAATACCATCGTGCACGTCCCATGCTCGGTAATCGTGTTCATCATCACGCTGAATGTAAGGATGTGCGAGCCCATGATGAAGATGGAGAACAGCAGCTGGCCGATCCCGAAGAGCTCGCGCCCGAATGCGCCCATGAGGATGAAGCCCGCGTCGGCGAGGTTCTGGATGTGCGGGTAGCGGCGGTGGAACTGCGCGATTGTGTAGCCTGTGTATGTGGCGAGGAGGCCGAGCCCGATGATCAGGATGAGGGCGCTGAGGAAACTGTTAGGAGGGGTCTAGGGGGGTAGGGTCTCTGGTGGTGGACGTACGGCGCGAGACCCAGCTGCGCGAGGGTTTTGGGGAGAGATAGCACGCCCAGCGAGACGGACTCGGCGATCATGACTATGGGAGCTGGCATTAGCAAAGCTGTCCTTGACGCGTTTGGAACCTGGATTGCGGCGTGACTTACACATTCCCGTCTGCCACCACTCCATCGTCTTGTACTTGACCTCCGCATTGGACTCGTCGCCAAACGCGTCGACATAGCGCGGAACCTGGTCCTTCTCGTCCTGCTCCCATCCCGTCTCGGTGTCGACGGGGTCGGGACCAGGGACGGGCGTGACTTTGTCGGGGCTCATTCTGCTGGTATTGAGAGTCTGCAGGATCCCGTCGTCTTCGAGAACGAAGAAAGAAGAAAAAAATCTCCTGGACGCGGTGGATCAAGCGTGCTCTTATGTAGCCGCCTAAGCCCAACCCCGGAACTCGGCCAGCTCTGCAGGCGACGGACTATGGGGAAGATGCTTATCAAGGCTGTAGAGCAAGATAAAGGTAATTGATAATTGTAACGATTGAAGAAAATTCAACAGAAAATTCAAGCATCTGTGTGTCGTAGCTGAGGACTTGCCAATGAGAAGCTTGGCCTGGCGATCTATTAGATAACTCTTAGTTAATGGGAATCCCCCTCCACTCCGAGCTTAGCCGCAGTCTCCACCTGTGCAGATAGGCTGGGTGGGCGGCTCTTGCATATGGAAAGGCTAGTCGGACAGGTGGGGACCTGCATCTGCAGGTGAGACTGTGTGCCGAGATTCTTATGGATTTTTATTCTTGGGCGTGTCTTGGAATATGCCTGGAGTTATGACTTATGAGAAATGGCACAGAGACAGGATGAGACAGGATTGAAACCGGCCAGCGTCTATGAAGTACAGCACATTCTCGATGCACTTGCTAAGTCTCACGAGGATAGACGTCACAATGCTTCCGTCTAGCATGATCAACTGATTCCGTCAAGCGACAGACAGTGGAGTTGTTTGTTGGTGGCTTAACCCGTCGCACCAGGTACATAGCCCCGCCGGCCAGCATACCGTAGGGCTTCATGCTTGACTGTAAGCCAAGGTCCTATATCCAGAGCTTCCAGTCGCAAATATAAAACCAGAACTTATTGTAGGTATAGCAGCATTATCATCATCCTGCCCAATGCCAAGATCGAGCCACAATTATGTTTAGGGGAACGAGAGGTAGACATAGTTAATGTCTGATACTTACTGGTAACCTTATGCGCGACGGACTGAACTCGTCAAGGCGCACTTGTTGGGTAGATTGTGATAGTCCCAGCAGATACCGCGGGATGATTAACACCTATTGGGTTGCCTTTATTGGTATTTCTTTAGATCAGCGCCCAAGTTCAGAATAATGAAATCTATTATTGTGCTGCTTGTATCCATGGAGAAGGTTTGCACAAGAGGATGATTGAAGAGAACAAGATTACTAGATATTTCATTGGCGGGCTCTACAGCTACCTACCCAGCTGGGGCGTTATATACCTTCAGATGTTCATGTGAGCTTTGCCCTTATTTCACATGCTGTACGACACAGCGACGTCAGACTGCTCTCCAAGAGTTAGGCACGTCGTTTGATTGATAACCCAGCATCGACTTCAAATGGACAGAGGGCGTAAAATGTGGTGTCAGAACTCAGCGTAGATACGGATGCCCGCGGAGCTCCAGAGGCATACAGCTGGGAGGAGTTAGGGCTTGCAATCTCCAACTTGTGCTCACTTCAAGCTTGTTCTTTCAGACATTCCAGAAATCTAGCAAGCTATTTTCTTATTTTTTCTTTACTCTCTCCGCCATTTATAATCACTTATTGCCGCCTTCCTCTTTAGAGCCCTCACCCTCACTCTCCCTCTCAACCTTAAAAGGCGGCGCACAAGCCCCTCCCTCCCGAAACTCCTTGCCCACCATCGCACTGCCCCAAACCGGGTTCTCAAACAGAAAGTAACTATCGCACCCCGTAAGCTCCAACGCATATCCCACATCCGCACGGTAGTACTTGATCGTGCGCCCGCATGCATCGTACCAGACAACGCGCACTTTGCCTGCATACGGACAAGACCCCTCTGGTGCTAACGCCACCCGGTCGACGACGTGGATGCGCCCTTGGACCAGCGCCCAGTAGTAGGTCTCGTAGTCTGGCTCGTCCAGGTAGATCTCCGACTGAGCGTCAGAGTCGGAGTCCGGGTCTTCCTCCTCGCTGTCCTCCCCATAGAGCGCTTTTCGCAACCTCTCGCGGTGCTGCCTGGCACTCTCGCTAACGCACAAGAGCTGCGGGACGCGGTAGAAGATGCGCCGCTGCTCGCGGGCTACATTATACAGCGCGGCATTGTCCAGCGCCATCGCGGTCTTGCCGCCGCAGTGCCCCGCTAGCTTTTCTTTGATTGCGGTCCATGCTTCGTCCGTCCCGGACTCGTAGCATGTGCGCACCCAGGGGATGAAGTAGTCGTCTAAGCAGCGGTCTGTGGGATGGCGGACGCGGCTAAGGAGGTCGCGTTCTGCGGTTGTGAGATGGGATGCTTTGCGTCCGCGCTGCTGTTTGATTTCTTGGTAGGGCTGGAAGGGGGGTGTTAGCTAGCCATGCTTGTTGAATGTTGTCTGGTTTAGGGCTTACCTGCTGTCCCTGAACGCCAAGATCTGCGAATGCAGCGAAGATCTGCTCGCGCTGGGCGTCGTCGGGGAGCGGGGAGTTTTCTTGCCATTTCTCCAGGAGGAAGAAGTCCGCTGTTGAGATGTATGGGTCTTCTGCGTGTCGCATGCTGTCTGTATGGTTGAAGTATTGAGATGCTCATGTCTGAGCCTTGAAATGTACAAGAAAACAGGCAGAAATCGGCTGAAGGTTACCTAGCCCCTGGTACGGGGGTACCTGATCTTTGGGCCAATCATACAGTACATTTCGGTTAAGTAAGTGTCTGAATTGAATAAGCCGATTAGCCGTAGGAGATCGAGTCTCCACTTATTGGAGATGCGCATTCAGGCTTTCTGAGCGTATTGCTGTTCCATGTACGATGCAATCATACCTCGTGACAAGTAATTCATATTGACCCAAGACTTTAGCCGATGAATACCAGCTGAGAATATCAAGGTCGTCTCTGTGACGTCCCTAGCCATTGTACTCTAAATTTCCAGTCCAGCAAGGTCTGCTGACCATGCATAATCCCTTTCGGTCGAGTGGTATACCTAGGTAGAATGGCTGGCTAGGTTGTCACACCTCAGTCTCATCGCGGCGGTCGGGAGGCTCAGTCAGCGTCTGGTCTCGCATTTAGTAGCAAGCCTTGGACGCAAGGACCTTACTTTGGTATCGTCGTTACTGACTCTGTAGGGCTAATGCAAATGGGGTTGTTAGCAAGAAGGCGTATTTGCCGCTGTATATGACGTTTACCTGCTGGTCCTCCACACCAAGAATCACAAACTCAGCGAAAACCCATCTTTTCGCGCGGCCTAGAGAAGTTGGCCACATAGAACGGCGGACTGGGCACTTATATGGCGCAAGGACGTTCCAACTTCAAGTCATTTCAGGCCCGCAGCATCGAAAAGCTTCACCCTGCAATCGCCCCAGGCTTTATCGATCCGCCCCGACTACAATGCGAAAAAACAGAGCCTTTGGGGATGAGCTCAGGTAAACAAGGAAGATCCATGGTCCAAGGAGTAACCTACAAGTCGCAATATGCCCTTGTACCCTCCGCGAACAGCCCATAGCCGCGCAAAATCAGGACTCTTCCAGCTGCACATAGTGAGAAAGTCTGATGATCCCCCGAGCTGATTGAGTAGAATTCGTCCAATGGGTAGCCAGACACTGCGAGCAAGGGTTTGATCTGTTGAAGTTTACGGGAACTGGGCTCCGGTCGAAATAACTCGAGGGAGGTGCAGTCCGTGTTGACTCACAGCAACTATATAACATCCTACATTCTCATCAGACACTCACATTGCAGCCATACAGACGAATTATCATGCCATCGAGCAGCTTGTCTACAGTTCTCCGGTGCCGCTGCTGCCACCCGTCACCCGTCCACACCCACTCGCCCCCGAGACCCAACTGACGCAAAGACTAGAAAGAGAAACAGACAATGGTCGAGAGCATCAAAGTCGTCAAAAGCCATTCTTTCAACCAGCAAGAGGGACCCCGGATCCACAAACACCGCGCAGGAGAAACGAAATCCTAGCCGGGCCCAGCGATCCGCCTTTCGTGACGAGCTGATCAAGCTCAGCAACGCTGTCCATCTAGAACAGCTGTACACCCTCTGGTGCCCGATTATGGGCTGGTGCGAAGCCATTACCCTCCAAGCCGCGCCACTATTCCCGCAAATTCAGGGCCAAGCGACAATAAACACTATCTTCGGCAAGGAGCGGCCGGCCGAGTTGTTCTCGGCCACGAACGGCATTTTGATCTCGAACTTTATCCGGAGGTATCTTGATGCTGGGAAGATCGTTATCGTGCCGGACGTGCCGGACCGTCCATGCCGCTTCGAGTTCCTGCGCTGGATGTGGGGAGGCCCGGCCGGGGAGTTTAAGCTTCGAATCATCGATCCCGAATGGGACCAGCTGGACAAGGCAGTCACGGTGTTTTTCGACGTCAAGTGGCGGGACCTTGACGGGAGGCGGTTGGTCTTTCGGAGTGATTTTCGACCGGAGGTGCGGTACCTCTATTTCCACTATTGTTGCCAGATTATGCGACGTGCCTGTGAGGTTAAGAGGAATGGGAGCGGGGGTGGATATGAGGATCTGAAGGACGAAGTTGGTCGGCCTTTTTGGGAGGGTAGTGGCAGATATCTGCCGAAGAACATGTTGTTGGCGTTGGCGGAGGAGGAGGGCCATGGCCATGATGCCAAAGATGTGCTGCTGCAAGGGGCAGCATGTGGCAGGGGCCGTGATAGGGAACTGCTGGATGCATGCTTAGCTTCTATTGAAAGGGCGGGAGACTTCGAGGATACCGGATGGGAAGAAAGTGATAATGAAGAAGAAGAAGACGATGATGAGGAGGAAATTGATGAGGATGGCTCTTCAACGGCAGACGATGGAGAATCGGCCCTGGCCTGAGACTAGGTACCCTATTATGCGCCAAATTGTGACCTTGCTCTTGTCAACATGCGTTCGGGAGATATCCCATGTTTTCGTTTTCTTAGATGTCTAAGACTTGATTCTGGTAGATGCGCTTACAGTTGAAGTCAATATGACAGCGCTGCCAACATTATGCTCAGTCATAAGTATGCATAGAGATTCCGCCCTCCATGCGGTATCTTGCCCAGCCCTTCACTTGACATCTCATATATACCGGTATCCCATATATACCCCAGTAGATAGGTACTTGTACTATGTACTACAGCTCTTCCACACATTAGCTCCTCACCCACCCAGCTCAAACCTCTCCCTCTCCCTCTCCCCAGACGGCCTCGCAGACAGCGACACCACCCCCGACCCCCTCACCGAACCAGCATCCGACAGCGGCGACAGCGCCAGCGGCACACTCGCCGGCCTGGGATCCTTACTCACACTACATGCATCACCAACGGCACTCGCGTTCCCAAACGTAGACATCGACGCAGGCCCCGCGCCCGAGATCTCACGGATCGTCTCCGGTGCCTTCCTACGCTTTTGACGGCGGTATAAAATGAATCCAAGTACAGCTGCAAGTACCAGAGCGCCTACTCCAGCACCAACACCAATCCCCGCCTTCGCGCCCGTCGAAAGACCCCCATCTCCATCTTGACCCTCGCCCGTATCACCAGCAGTGGAAGTCGGCGTAACTTCCACCGTCCTCGTCTCCGTAACCGTAGCCGTAGCCACGCTCTCCGTCGCCGTCGCCGTCGCCGAGTCCGCATACAGCAAAACCTGATCCACAAAGTCCCCCGCGCCCCCATAAACATCCCACGTGTAAAGCCACACCGAGAACGCCGCCGTCTCGCCCGGATCTAGACTCGGCAAGAGACTACCCGGCAAAACGGTCGTTAAATCTTCGGGGTCGACAGTGGTCGAAAAGACGCTCTCGTCCATGGCTGTTGCGCCCATTGGTAACAGCTCGATTGTGAAGGGGAGGTCGTAGAAGAAGTTGTAGGTCCATTCGAGTGTGAGTCTTGAGGTGGGGAGGAGGGCGCCTTGGGTTGGGGAGGTTAGGAGGATGAGTTCTGTGAGGGGATCGGAGGGCGAGGTTGTTGAGGGTGCGGTGGTTAGGTCTGGGTTGGGAGGGGTGTTAGTTAGGGCTTGGTCCTGGTATCCGTCCGCGGATCTGGAGGGATGGGAGGGACTGGACTTAGGCTCACCAGATGAATCTGAATCCCAAGTTATGATGGTTGAGTATGACCCGAGATTGTTATCGCTAACTTGGGCGACGGCAACCTTGACTGTTAGCACCCAGAGAAAGAGACATGATGCTAAGCTAGAGAGAGAGCGCATTCTTGTCCAGGGCCAGCTGCAGCGAGCCAGCAGGCGGTCGTGAGGCAGCGACGAAGACAAAAGCAAAGCTGTGCGACTCTAAAGATTGTGCAAGACGATAGTCAGTTGCGGAGTTAGGCTTCAGGCTTCAGGGGAATATTGGAGGAAAGAAACAGCAAGCAAGCGCCCAGCCCAGCCCAGCCAGACGGGGAGTTAGGGTTCTGCGGCGCAGTCGCGGTGCAGATTTGGCTTCAGGATCCGAGGGTTGATTGGGCCGTACAACGCTCATTTCCCAAACTCCAGGGATTCTGTTGGCATATTGAGACATTCATTGGCCTGGCTCAACGGCGGGATTGGTTTTGGACTCGTTGTGTTTTGGATGCGGACTGGTGAGCCAGTTTCCAGGAATTAGGACAGGACGTTGCAGTGCTCCGCAGGAGGTAGTATGTAGGTGTCTGGCGCAGGTGTAGATGCAGGGCAGGTTCTTGAAATGCAAATAATCACAGTCCGCCTATGGTCTGTCCTTGTCGGAGAATTCCCAAGAGCAGGAACGGCAAGGTTGGCGCTGAGGACGGTCGGATACCGGTTCTCCGATGCACGAATGCATATGATATTTGCCATTTCAAACGAAGTAGATGTCAAGAAAGGGCACAGAACTTCCCTGTGCAGGCTAGCTTGGAATCACATCTACGATAACCTAGCATGTGTCTATCCTGTACAACCTTAACCTTGCAGGTGCTACTAAAGTGCCTCATCTTGAACATTACCCTCCATCCTCTCTGCCTCTCCCCTAAGCCCTCGCAGAAGCCAACTCAATCCCGGACCCCCTCGTCGAATCCAACCCGGATAGCGGCGACAGCGTCACCGGCAAACTCCCCGGCCTCACGGTTCCCATTGTCTCCCCACCCGCGCTCCAACTCCCATTCGCAGGGAAGACCGCAGACACCGCAGGCTCCGACGCCGTAATCTCGCGGATTGTCTTGGTCGCCACCTCGTTCCTCTTCCGACGCCGATAGAAAATGAACGCTCCTATCGCGACAAGAACAACCACACCAGCCGCAACACCAACACCAACACCCGCCTTCGCGCCCGTCGAGAGCCCTTCATCCCCGTCCTCGTAGAAACTTGGATCGGTGCCCCCGCCCGTCGTCCAGTAAACACCCTCACCATCATCAGACGCCGTCGGCTCGGGGTTTTCCGTCGTCGTATCCAACCGCGTAGTCGTCACAGAACCCTCACCCACAACCGTACTCGTCAACGTAGCGGGTGTCGGGAGCGCGCCCCGAATAGTAAGCTTCGGGATATCCGTGCCAATAGCGATGCCGTTGCCGTTATCCGACATGTATAGATTGAGCCAGACGGCCGTTATCTCGTCGGGGGCAAGAGAGGGTAACGCGCTTGCGGGGAGAGTGATCGAGCGATCGGGCGCGTGGACGGTCGTGGAGAAGATCTCGTCTGTGCGGTCGACTACGACGGTGGACCAGAGGCCGACTGTGAAGTCGGAGTTGTAGGCGAAGTTGTAGCTCCATTGGAGGATGAAGGAGTCTGCGTTGACGGTGTCGGTGGGTTGGGGGTGTTCAAGCCAGATGGTGCTTGCGGTGGCTATGAATGGTAGAGCTTTGTTAGCATTGCGCGATTGTCGAACGAGAAGAGATTGGGCTTGTGAGAGTGGGTTGGGGTTGAAGGTGGGATGGTAGGGCCATACTGGTTTCCTCTGTGGTGGTGGTAGCATAATTGGTAGCTGTGTAAAGCGTGGAGGAATCGCCGGAATCGGTCTCGTAGATGCCCTGTCCTTGTGCTTTGGGTGCAGCAGTAGCACTTGCAATAGCAGCATACAGAAGCTCGATCTGGAGGGGTATGAGAATGGATGCAATTGCACGCATCTTGAGCTCAAGCCTGACGTGAGCGATGCTTGAAGAAAATCCAGAGTGCGGAGAGGAGGAAGAAATCAGGGGCTGGGCAACCTGGGAAACACTGTACACAGATTATCTGGCAGAGCCTGGGCCCTGAAGAGCAAGCAGCTCGTATTCGGCTTCCATCATCCGAGACAGAGTCAGATTTGACTTGCTCTGGTTGGACTGCAAGGTGATACGAACCATCCAGCTTGGTTCGGGAGGAGACAGACTCAGAGTCCTCTTCCAGTGGCAGTGACAGTGCGGTTGCACAGGGCTGAGCATCTCCGGGCGTTTATGAGATCCAGCCTGTCAGATTGAGTCCCCTAGGCCAGGAACAGCATGGCCAGCACTGACTGTCCTACAACCGTTTGATGGGGATCGTCGCTTGCCCAACCCTAAGCCCCTAATAGGCTAATACCAGGGGAATTTGAAGTCTACTCACCTGTTTCATTAGCAGCACCGGCTAATGCTGCTTGAGAGAATAGCTATCACGACAGGATACACCAGCCTCGCGCATGTCCAGGCCAGGTCGTGGACATGTGCTAATTTCAGCTAGACATGAGCTTGCTCAGCCAGCAATCAATCCCCAAATTTCGGAAATGCATCTTGCCTTGCCATACCCTCTACTTCTGTCCGTCTACATACTCACTTCCACCCCTCAAGCACATCCCTCACCGTAACAGCCCTAATCCCCGGGAACACCCCATTCAAACTCCCCACTCTTTCAAGCCTCGACCCCCCACCAAGCGTAAAAAGCTCAAAAGCCGCCATGAACCACTGAAACGCCTTCTTCGGGAAGCGCTCATACAACGATACATGGCCCGGCAACTCGGTGATTTTGAAACTTCTTAACTTCTCAACAGAATCATAGTGGATCTCGAATTCGACACCAAGAACCTCCTGAGCCAACGCAACGAAGTCATTCCAACTCATCTCGTCACCGGCAACACAACTCTCCTCTTCCCAAGTCTCCAGATCAAGAGCCGCGACGACGAAGCGCGCAAGGTCGAATGTATATGTGAATGTTACCACACTGGTGCCGTCACCAGGTATAGCAGCGACTTTGTTCGCGATGTCGAGTACGAAGACGTTGCGTTTCAGGTAGGTCTTCATCCCGCTCTCGGGGCTAATGAAATAGTCGAGGAAGATGCCGTTGTGGAAGACTGTGAACTCCAGATCCGAGGAGCGGAGGGTTTCAAGGGCGTCGAAGTAGTCTTTTAGTTGGGGGAGGATCTCGACAGCCCTTTTATTTCCATCGAGATCAGCAGAAGCATCAGGATGGGATGGGCAAGGGCATACGTCTCCGGATACTTAATCGCAAACGAACTCGGCACGAATCGCTTCGTCGTGCTTGAGAGGTTCGCAGCCTCAATGAGATTCTTCTGTGAGGTTGAGAGTGAGTCGCCCGCGACAGCGAAGGCGCAGATGACGGTGTGGATTTTGTTTGCTTCGAGGACGTCCACTAGGGCGGGGATGTTGGTGTAGTCGACTGTGAGCGAGGTGACCTTGCCTTGACTGGTGGATGGCTTTGAGTTTAGGCATTAGTGTTGGAAATGGTAGAAAGACGTTGGATTAGGGCAGATGAATGGATACCTTGCGCGAGAAGACAAATGCCTCATGATGGGATTCAGCGAGGACTTCGACGATCGTGCGCCCGACGCCCCCTGTGCCGCCGGCGACAGCGACGTTGACCATTTTGTGGATCGGGGTGAGGAGGGACTGAGAGAGGGAATGCGAGGTCCGGGAGAAAGGGCAATGGGCTCCAGAGTAAGATATCTGACCTTTATATAGTAGAGGGGAAGGGAACCCGCGGGTTCCTGACCCAGAATGCCGACCCACCGTGAACGCTAAAAGCTGACACTTGCTTGCGAGTGGAGATGGAGTTCGATCAATTGTATAGAGTATAGACAGGTTTTACCTCACCATAGCAGGGCCATTCTCAGACGCTTTCCATTTGGAGACGTCATGGCGACGGGGCAATATACTCAGGTGAGATTCATAGTATATGTACAGAATGGAGCGTTGCGAAACGGAGTTGAGATATTACCCAGCGACTGACACTCGAATTTCACCGGTCCAAAGCCTGAGCTTGACACTACTCATCGTCAGCATTCATTATCTCTCAAGCTGCCATCAGGTCCTATAGGCTAGACTCACCATCTGCCAATAAACCCCCCTCCTCGCCAACAACTCACCATGACTCCCGCTCTCAAGTACCTTCGATCCCCGTCGACTCTCATCGTCCCCGAAGACAAAAATCACATCTGCTTTCTGTATGGTGGCAAGTCGGTGTGCGACCGCAATGATCGTCAGGTCTCCGTTCTCCGCTAATTTCTCCATGGCGCCCTGGACTAACTTTTCGCTCTGCGAGTCTAGGGAAGATGTTGCTTCGTCAAGGAGAAGAAGACGCGGGTTTCGCAGAAGAGCGCGCGCAATGCATAGTCGCTGCTTCTGTCCACCGCTTAGCGACGCTGCGGAGGAGGCGTTTGTGCCCAGCTGTGTATTGTAGCCTTCGGGCAGGGAAAGGATGAAAGAGTGGATCTCGGCAGATGTGCAGGCTGAGATCATCTTCTCTTCCAGGTCTTGCTCGTTTTCGTCGGCGTCGATTCCTAAAAGGAGGTTCTCGCGTATACTGCCGTTGAAAAGCTTCGGGTCTTGCGCGACAAGTGAGAGGTTCCTGCGGTAGGTGGCGACGTCAAGCTCATTTATTGGAACACTCCCAAATAGTATGCTACCCTCGGCAGGCTCGTAGAACCGTTCTAGAAGTGAAATAAGCGTCGACTTCCCGCAGCCCGAAGCCCCTACAAAGGCGACGAATTGCCCGCTTGCGATGCGCAAGTTGAGGTCTGTAAAGACCGGTGTCTGGCGGGACGGGTAGTGAAAAGAGACGTTGCGGAACTCAACGCTTGCATCGGATGGGGTAGACTCGGCTTTTTGGACAGAGGATGTAGGTTGGGAAGTAGGTGTCGAGTCTTCCGATGTCGTTGAACGAGCCTGGAAGATCCTCGCAGCAGAAGCTTTCGCCTGCGCGATATCCGGCCCAGAGCTGAACATCATCCCAGCCATCTGTCCGCCCTGAATAATGGCTATGTACACAACAAAGAACGGGACGATGTCGTATTCTCTCGACGCGAGGAGTTGGCCTCCGTACCTGGCACCAATTGTCAGCTCATTTGATCTGTGTTCCAATAAAAAGGATTCAGGATACCAAAAAGTCAGCGCCATCGCGCAAAAGTCTACACTATCCGAGAAGGCAAACACCGCACACGCATACCACGCCTTCCTCAGCGCCTTCTCTCGTTGCTCACCAAGTAACGTCTTGTACCTTTCCAGAATAAAACCTTCCATGGTACAAGCCGACACTGTACGAAACGCCTTGATCGCCTCCGCCGCGAACGCCGAACTCTCCGCATAGACCTTGGCATTCATACCCTCAAACTGCGTCTCGTATTGGATTCGAAAGTACGCCGCGAGAACGATGAACGGCAATGCGGCGAAGAATGCAACGGCAGCGAGTTTCCAGCCGAAAGCAAACGAGATGGCGACGCAGCCGATGATGACAAACATTGAGACTAGTGGGAATACACCGTTGGGGCCGAAGAGTTCTTGAAGTTGTTTTGTTGAGCTGGAGAGGCTTGAGGTTAGTGTTCCGGAGGAGTTGTCGGAGGCGTCGAAGAAGGGGATTGGTTTTCGAATTAGGCTCGTGAAGTAGTCTCTCCGATAGAATGATGCGATGAACTATCCATACTTGTTAGTGTACTGGCTATACCATGGAGCGACGGGAGACGTACGTGCGAGGTTAGAACGGAGCAGAACCCCAGGGTAAAGTAGCACGTCCCTACGGCTAGGGCTAGGACGAAGAACATCAGCGCCCAAAAGTTGGCGGAGTCGACGAGTCGTTGGCCGGTAAAATTGAAGACCTCGATGAGCTTTGCGAAGAGCCAGCTCTGGAGGGCGAAGCCGGCTGTTTGAAGTTAGGTAGCTAAGACTTTATCTAGGTAGACAACTTACATCCTGACCCTGCAGCGGCCACAAGCACGATGAGGAATAGCATCCAGTATGCCCGCTGCTCGTAGAATATGGTACCAAAGCTTTTGAAGCCGCCCATCTGCTTTTCGGGTAATTCCTTGGGCGCGTCTTCAGCCTTTTCCTCCTCTTCCACAACCCAGTCATAGTGTTGCTGAGCATCGTCGACAACGCCATCTCCATCAAAAGTACCCAGTTGCTGAGCTTTTACGAGCCCTGCATACGCACCGTCGCTTTGCAGTAGCTCTTCATGGCTTCCCTCTTCAACATTAAGCCCATCCCTCAGCACAATAATTCGATCGGCGTTTCGTACCGTCGACAACCGATGCGCAATCATAATCGTCGTGCGATCTTTCGAAACACGGTTCAATGCTGCTTGAACAACCTTCTCGCCGCGGACATCTATTGAGCTTGTCGCTTCGTCAAGTATCAGGATTGGCGGTTGGGAAACAATACCGCGGGCGATGGTTAGCCGTTGTCGTTGTCCGCCACTGATGGTTATGCCGTTTTCGCCGATAGGAGTGGAGTATTTCTGCACAGTGTAAGCAAAACATCGGATTTTGGCCGCTGCCAAATATAAGACAGGTTAGGATATCATACTAACGGTAACCGTTGGACGAACTCATCGACGAAAGCCTCCTTGCACGCCTTCTCAACGAGGCCCTTCTTCACGTCCTCTGGAGCATCCTCCCACTGAGACCCGATCAGACCGAAAGCGACGTTGTTGTAGACGGTGTCGTTAAAAACAAAGGGCTCCTGCTGTACAAGGCCGATCTGGGCCCTCCACCACTTGAGGTCCAGGTCATTAATGTCGTGATTGTCGACCTTGATGCACCCGCTATCCTTCTCGTTTTCTACATCATCCTCGGCTGGCGAGGAATTACTATCGAGCTGGTACCACCTCTCCAGCAATCCAACAACCGTACTCTTGCCGCTTCCCGACGGTCCAACAATCGCCGTCGTCTTCCCGCGCTGAAAAACGGCGTTGAACCCCTTCAGCACGGGGACGTCCGGTCTAGAAGGATAGGCGAATGACACATTTTCAAAGACGATATCCGAATGGCTCGACACCTCCGGCTCTCTTAGACCACCACTATGTAGTCCCTCCGCGTCAATGACAGAGAAGAACGCCGCGGACGCACTGACTGCCTTGGAAATCGCCATGATTGGTGCTGCAATGCCGCCCATTATAGTCACTACCAGGAGGACTGAGAAGAAGACACTGTATCTCAGTCAGTAATGGCCGTTTGTGCGAGGATGCAGGATTTACGTTATCACAGTCCCAACATTCGAAATGTTCCTCTCGCGATAAAGCTTAATCCCGAACCAAAAGGCCAAGGCATAGCTGCAGTGCATGCTAAAGAACAATATTCCAAGATGAAGACCTGTGACGAGGGCCATTTTTCGCCCCCGTTTGCGGGCCTCTTCGACCCACTCGCTGTATTTTCGAGATAATGGGCCTTCCGCACCAAGAGAGAACACAGTCCGGATGGACCCGAAGACTTCGCTTGCGATCGAGGCGTGTTTCTCATCCGCGAGATCCACGCCTCTTTGTCCCGAGACGAGAATTGGAACGGTCACTCCGAACGCTAAAACCACAAATAGGATTGCCGAGGAGACGACAAGCGTCAGTGCCCAGGAGTAACGAAATGCTATTGCATATGCCGCGATCAGCAGAGCGATCGACTGGAAGAGCATCGCTAGACGGTCCGAGACGCTCTGCTGCATGGTGTTCGAGAGCGCCGTTATGGTATTCGTGACGCTTCCGATGGAGATGGCGTCTAGCTTGCTGACTGGCTGACTGAACAGCGAGGACATATATGATAGCCGTAGAGACGAGGATGCCTTCAGGCTGACCATGCGGAAGGAGAGCATGTAGATGTACGTCAACACAAACTTGCCAATGAAGAGGTAGACGAGATACAAACTACTTCGTCAGTGAGAACCGGTAATGGATGAGGATGTTTAGCCTACCTATTCTTGCTGACAGTGGATTTGAACTGAGACTCCGTTACGCCAGAGTCTGGAATGAAGTACTCGTTGAAGTCGCCGACGAGGTTGCCAAAGATGATGTTCATCAGAGGGAGGGCCTGCACTTATCAGGACCTGGCAAGGACATAGCCACAGGAACGTACTATCCCGGACCCCATCGCGCATCCAAGGCCGAGTATCATAAGAAGCCAGCCATAATTGCCGGTGCCGTAGGAGAGGATTCTCTAGAAATTTGTCGGTACTGAACAATGAACAAAGCTAGAATAAAGCCCAGTCGGAGCATACAATGTAACTGGCGAAGAATGGAGGCTTCGGGCTCTCTTCGCTCTCTGATTTGTTGTTTTCCTCCTTATTTGATTCAGTCTTCTCTGCAGGCTCCTGCATTTCAATGACTTCTGCGCCAGGCGGAGCCGCCGGTCCAGGCTTTGGAGTACTTGACGATCCATCCATCGCTGCCGGCCATGTATAGTGCGGTGCTGACTCTCAGTCCGCGAGACGGCCGTAACCTCTGATATATGACACGTTGAACATAGGCAGCCGCGTCATCAGCCAAAACAGTTTAGATGCGGCGACCGTGACTCAGTGGCCGCCTCGGCGCCTTGGCGGTTAGGCGACATTGGGTATTCTCGTACTCGCAACGTGGCCATTACTGCAGTGCTGACTCTATGGGGTGCTGACTTCTGACGAGATGAGGCTGAGAGTGATCCTCGAAGGAAGCTGGTCGATGATGTTGAGGGGGAGAGAGGTTGAGGAGAAGAAGAGTGAGCGGGGTGCTGAAAGGGTCTCGGTCATGTGACGCCAGTCGCCCAGGCCTCCTTCCTAATTGAGACATCCCAGGTCGGAGCTGGAGGAGTGGAGTTGTAAGTATCTATACAATAACTAGTCGAGGTATCTAGTCTGAGCCGGGCAACCATGATCTTGACCGAGACTATATCAAAGCATCCAGCAATATTAAGGATTAGTGGTTTCTGATGGTAATAATATATATCTGATCATGCTGCTAATAGAACGGAATGCACCTTCAAATGTATTCGAGTCTTTCAAACCACATTGCTCTTCTGTCCTAACCTCTCAGTGACACGGTATGTTCGTGTCTACACAGATATTTTGTCTTTCTATATCTAGGTCTCGTTGCTGCTTGGGTGTAGCCGGCCATATGTCTAGAATCCCCGTACGAGACGCCAAGTCGACCCGTCGTCAAAATGCTTATTAGAGGCTGAGAGGCCGACAGACCCCAAGGACGTATTAGGGCCCTACAAAGATCCCCAGTACTCAGTTCAATAAATCCGTGCATTGAAACCACATCACAAATCTCTCAGCACTCAAGAGATCCTGTACCATTCCTTCCGTGATCCGCTCAGCAATGCTCTGAGCCTCGATATCTCCAGGTGCTATTCCAGAGTAAGGATTAAGATGATTGGCCAACTAGTAGATCACCGTGAATAGCTAGACCGATGACCAAGATCAAAAATATATCAACCTCAACAGCTAGCATACTCCGTAGATCGAAACAACAAGCCGCACCTTCCGCACCCACAGAGTTCGGACGAACCCCTCTCTTGAACCCCATCAGCTAAGCGCAGGTTGAGACAACCTTAAAGCGAGCCTCGAACCGGAGCTCACCGGCGGCACAGCACCAACGCTCAAACTCAAGCGCAGATCGTCATTCGCCGCCGCCGCCGCCACGCCAACGCCAGATCTACGGGCGTCCGGATGTGTCTGAACTGGCAGCGGAAAGGCAAGTTCCTGATCTCCGATTTTGTTGAGGCGCATGCTCATTCCAAGGTTCCAAATCGAGGTATTGGACAGCATGCTTCAGGTTTCGGCCAAGCGTAGCACAAAAACAAGGTAAGTTAGAGTTGCGCCTAGATGCATTCCTTCGCGTTTCAGGTATAGCTCGGAGTCGGTGCTCTAGTGCACTTCCCAGGAGCCGGGGGGTGTCAAATGCCGTGCCGTCACTCGTAGTGTTTCAGGGTGTCGAGACCGTGGAGGGTCTGAGGCCTGGGAAGGTTGTTCAAAGCGTGCAGGGTGCGGTTCGAGGGCTCTGACTACCCCGTGCCCGCAGCTCACCAGCAAGCAGGGGTCATCGGCACACACTACACTACGATAGGTCAGGTTTGAGCTTGCGGGCAGGAGAACGTGCCGAGAAAGCAAAGTTGACGTCTGGCACAGTCACATTTGCCCCTGAATATCAGGTTCCTGTTTGGTGCGTGACAGCTATCGGCCATCTCGGCGATCTCCGAACAAACCTTACAAATCTCTACAAAAGTACCCGAAGAAGCCTCGATCAGATCGTCGACTAGCGTCTACAAGTGCAGATCCATGTACTCCCTGATACCCTACTCCGTATGTATCTCCGCCGTTGTCCCGGGGTTGTTAGGGCTAGCTCCTGGGGTGACACAGAACGGTAACTGGAAGCCCCAAAGCCCCCCGTCAAGCCCAGAGCACGACTCAAGATGGAGTAAAGTAATTGGACACAAATCAAGAAATTGGAATATCGCTATCGCTGTGGCCTGTGTGACAGCCAATAAGAGCGGATAGCCACAATCCTTCAGTATAGACTTTCTTTGTTCACGATGCCGCAGCCCTCGACTCATCAGGTCGCAGGATCAACGCTAAATATGCCTGCGCGGTCCGAGTCCCCTGTCTGGCCCTTAATACTCGCAGGGCCCTGGTCCAAACTGAAAACTCAGAAGGAGCTTTGACCTTGAGATCGCTCCTGTCAACAATGCACCCACATGTCCGACCCGGGAGAGTTGCCCGTACTGCCAGCAAGTGATGACATCGTCAACCCGATCCTCCTGGGCATCGCCTCCTTCCACGTCCTCGAGGTGCTGTTGGCCGTCTTCCAAACCTTCGAGCGCCACCAGGGGCTCTATTTCGGCAGCATCACAGTCTCGCTCGTCAGTCTGACCGGCTACATTGCCAGCTTATTCATGATGCACTTCTCGGATGAACCGAACGTCCTATCTGCGGCCGGCTACGTGCACGTGGTCTCATATGCAACCCTCTTAACGGCACACATCCTGGTCCTGTACTCGCGGCTGCATCTCGTGCTGTATAGCCGGCGCCTCCTCCGCTGGATTCTGGTAATGATAATCGCGACCTCGGCTGCGCTCGGCCCCTTGCACATCACGACAATGTCGCTCTACGTGTCGACATTCTACTCCAAGCGGTATTATGATCTTGAACTGACCACCGAGTTCGTTGTTGTATTCGGAGCTATGGCGCGCGAGTTCTTTATCTGTGGCATCTACATCGTCCAGGCATACTGCAGCTTTCACCCGATCGCGCAAATGAAAGGGAAGACCGGGCGGCGCGTCTTGATGCACTTGATGCTTGTCCAGGCATGTGCAATTGCGCTGGATATCGGGATTGCGGTACAGTTTTCTCAACCTGCTTTGCGCCGGGCGGCGAATGGGTATAATGCACTGATGTTCAGCATCAAGCTGAAGATGGAGGTTGCGGTGCTCAATTCGCTTGTTTGTTTGCTTAAGAGTCCGATTATTCTTGGCTCGCGGTCGGGGTCAGATGGCGAGCTGGAGCTGGAGGGGGGCGGGGTGAGTCTGAACTTGGGGCTTGCGGCCAGCGGCGTGACGAACAGGTCGGGACCATAGATCGATGTATTGGGGCGGTTGGTCTGATGTATATTTAGCGTGTATTATTGGTGGCACAATGATTAGCTCAGTTGGTTTCCGACACAAGCAGCAAGCGGTTCTAGGTTCTCGCCGTTAGGGCCGTGATTCAAGCTTCTAGACCCGTAGTCAAGAGACGTAGCTTGTTCAAGACATCCATGGGACATTGAACTTTAATCGCGATAAGGAAGTGCCTATTATTAGGAAGCGTACTACACTTCCTGTATGGGATGGTTCGTCTGCGTATATTCCGGCTACTGCGGTCAGCGTTGTTGCCTATGAACTCGAAGCCCTAACTCGTGCTCGCAGGCGACCCACCCAACTCTCCGGAGCTCGACCCTTCCCAACATCCGGCATTAGCCTAAGCAGGGATCTATGCAATTGCATGGCTTTCAGATCGCAGAAACCAGACCAAGGACCAAAATCCTTGCTATCGTATGCCCACGGGTCAAGTCCCGTGGCCCAATAAGCCGGACGACAAGGATCCTGCGCGATCCTTTTGTGACACCCTGTAGATTTTCTTTGTTGGCCCTTCTCTCAGCGGGACTTCAATCGCACGAACCGCTGCGGACACAGAAATAGGTCCGCGTTCCTGGCTCATACATTAATTGAGCTTGGCCCCGTCCATCCCAGCAGAACGATTACCCACCACCTCGACCAGACCACGCAAAACAGGATACAATGGACCCCTTCCAAGTCTACACGCTCGCAAACTCCATTCTCCTCGGAATCGCGGCGTACAATGTCGTCGAGCTGTGCCTGACAATCTACCACACCTTCGAGCGCCGCCAAGGGCTCTATTTCGCCTCGATCGTGATCTCGACGCTCGCGCTGGCGATCTTTATCCTTGGTTCCTCGCTGTTACTTCCCGATTCCAGGCTCTTTGTTTCGGTGGGAAGGTATATCTATTTCTTTGCGTGGCCGGTCCTTGGAACATCACATATAGTGTTACTCTACTCGCGTCTGCATCTAGTCTTGCATAGCCGGCGGATCCTGCGCGGTATCTTGATCATGATCATCATTTCCTCAACAGTCATTGTCCCGCCACAGTTAATCGTCCCATACATCGGTTATAGCGGTGGGTTTTCCGATGTTCGTCTTGCGAGGAAAGTCTGGCGGTGCGTCCAAGGGGTTGTCGTTGTGAACACTATGGCCCGTGAGGTTATTATCAGTGGGGTCTATGCGGTGCAGGCGTATCGTTATCTCAGACCAATCGTCCAGGTCAAGGGGGAAAAGGGCAGGGGTGTTATGGTATACCTTATTATTGTGCACATTGCTGTTGTGCTTATCGATATACCATATGTGGTAATGTTCTTCTCGCATCACGGAGTGGCTATAGATGGCTATACGGGGTTGATGTACAGCATCAAGCTGAAGATGGAATTAGCCGTGTTGAATATGTTGGTGACGCTGTTAAAGAGTCCGGTTGTGCTTGGGGGTATCGAGGGGTCGGATGAGGGGAGTGAAGGAGGAGAGTTGAACTTGAATATTCAGGAGCTGAGCAGTAGAGCGCGAGAATAGATCGTTTCGAGCATTGTGGCCGAGGCTTTTATATAAATACAGGGCGATCGTTGTTTCCCTTTGATCTGTATTTAGCCCTAAGGCAGGTACGGCACCCGGGGTCCCGAGCTACAGCAACCAACGCAACCAGGAACACCGGTTCACCGATGAATGAGTCTGGCGGAATGGGTTGAATGAGCCAATAAGCCCTCACCAAATGTATTGGGTCTGCTTTTGAATCATGGAACCTGCTTTGATATCCTTGGTTCCGCTTGGAAATCCTTGGTTCCGCTTTGAAATCGCGTCAAGATAACTACCTAGGTATGGCATCGCAATGCCCTTGAAACACATAAATACCACGCATCACCCCGGTGCTCTTGACAATTATCGCTCTGTCCAGGTGCACCGCGATTAATTCTCAATCTTGAAGAATATTCTACCCGAAGCCCATCATAAGACGCATCAAGCCAGTCAACCATCTACCAGAAATGCCTTCCTACGTTGTTACCGGCGCCAGCCGTGGCCTTGGAGTATACCTACCCTACCCTACCCTACCATTTACCCTACCATTCCATCCCTTATCTCTGCATCTCCTCCCCATGCATAACCTAACCGTTGAATCTAACCGTTGAACCCTCCAGTTCGAGTTCATCCGCCAGCTCGCCGCAGACCCAGCCAACACCGTCATCGGCCTCGTCCGCGACAAAGCCGCCGCAGAAGCGAAGGCCCGAGCCCAGGGCCTCGCATCGGTGCACTTCGTCGAAGCGCAGTATACCGACCTTGCTTCGCTAAAGGTACGTCTAATCAGCCCATCAGCTCCGATCATTGCAGCCGAGAGAAAGCCTGACTGGATATTGTACAGGCAGCGGCGGAAACCGTCAAGACCATCACGGGCGGAACACTGAACTACCTCATCAACAACGCGGCCTATGTCTCGGAGGTTAGCGAGTGGAAGACTCTCGGCGATTTGTACGCTACGCCCCATTCAACCCTACCCCGTCATATCACACTAACAGCCCACCAGCCACGACAATTTCTCCACCCTAGAGTCCGACATCCTCACCTCGATATCGATCAACACCCTCGGCGTAATAAAAACAATCGAGGCCTTCCTCCCCCTCCTCCAAGCCGTCACAGACGGCCCCAAAAAAGCCATCGCCATCACAAGCGGCATGTCCGACCTCGACCTAATCAACAGCGCCGGAATCGCCGTCGCTGCTCCCTACGCTATCAGCAAGGGCGCCCTGAACGTCGCGATCGCAAAGTACAACGCTCTGTACAAGGGCGAGGGAATCCTCTTCATGGGCGTGTGCCCGGGGTATGTTTCGACGGAGCGGATTACGCAGGAGGTCGCGGAGGAAGATAAGGCTGCGATGGCTGCTATGGGCGCGGGCTTTGCGAAGTTTGCGCCGCACTTTAAGGGGACGATTTTGCCGCGTGAGTCTGTTGCCGGTGTGCTTGGGCTTGTGCACAAGGCGTCTGTTGAGAATGGGGACGGGGGTGCGTTTGTGTCGAGGTTTGGGAATAAGACGTGGTTTTAGACAGTTCCGTCTTTCGAAAAGATGAAGATGTGTTTTGGGTAGTCAGGCCAAGTCCTTTCTCATAGCCTGCGCGTGTTGATACATCTCCTCTGCCTCCAGAGTATAAAACTCCGAGACTGCTAGCTGTTTCAGAGAAGATATATGATCAGGAGTTAATGCCTTCAAAATGGTACGCATCTAGGACCCGCAGATGCATATTTTCCGTCTCTTTCAGTTCGTTCTAAGTTCATTATCGACGCGTCAACCGACACAATCTTTTAGTGTGGTTCATTGAGGCATAACTTCCCTCTCAACTTCACATTGAGAAAGAGCTTCCAATAGAGCCAGACGAAGAGTAAAATGGTACCCCTGCCGGTAAGTCTTCTTATATTTTCAACAGCCCCAGACTTACTCACAAGACATAAACAAACGGCCCAAAAGCACCAGACCGGTCGACTTCAAACGCAGCAGCATACCCAGCGACTGTAATATCCAATAGATCAATCTCAAGGCGCAAGTCGATCACCGTCCCGTTGAAGCACGCCCGCAGTTTCCGACACGCTTCGTTGAAAAGAATATCGGTCGCCCCTCGCCGCGGTAAATCAAGCATACCGCCAGGGTGAACACAATCAGCATGTAGAAACACGCTCTTGAGTCTGGGGACATGGCCAGATAGGGCTAGATCAGCTATATAAAGCAGCGAGTGCACGATAGGGGCCGCGCAGTTTTGAATGGCTAGGGAAGTGAGTGAGGAAGGGAGGTCAGGGGCGTCGCCGAGATAGAGCTGGTCGATGGTAAGGTAATCTAGGTTCGTGAACCCGCTCAGCGAGCCGCATTGCGAGGTGGTGAATGTTGGCGTTGCGGATGTGTGAAGGGCTGAGCTTTTCATGAGGTGAAAGATGATGATATTCCTAGGATCTTGACAATATCAAGGTAGCTAAGTACAAAGATTGCCTACCGCCTAGGTTATACGTAGGTCCCGTCATTTCTAGGGCGCAGGCTTTAATGCCAGGAGTAATGCGCGAGGCCGGAACAAAGTTTATCCCGCCTGAAATACTAAAAATACTACTATTAATAGCTTATTTAATATTTAACACTTTTATTAACGGCCTGTTTTAAATAATAATACTTTTTTTAATAGCCGCAATAATAGCAAATTTAATAAATATATTTAAAAAATAATAAAAAAATAAATTATATAAGTAGTATATAGCCTGCTTATATAAACCTATAATTTATAAACCCCTAATTTTTTAAATTTCTTTTATTATAATAGCTAATACTAAAGGTAATAATAATACTATCTTTTTTATTTACTTACCTACTTTTTTATTAACCTAGCCGCTGGCGGCCTATATTACTAACATAATAAATTATTTAGGCTATAAATTAGTAGTTTTAAATAAATTTTATAAGTAGCTATATTATTTATAACGCAAGCTTGCGCTTTATAAGCTTATTAATAAAGCTAATATAATAAAAAAGATTACGGCTTGTTTTGTTAACTAGGAAGCTATTATTAGGTAGTATATTAGTATACTTATTAAAAGTAATATAATTTATAGGTATTATACCTAAGGCCACGGGCTATTTATAAAGTATATTATTATATTAAGTTACTTTAGTAATAATTATATAAATTACTATTAAAATAGTTTTAATATATAATATATTAATAAATATAAATTATAGCCCTTATTTACTTATAAATATATTAGTTAATATATTTAGCTTCTATGCTAGGTAATAATAATAATAATAATAATAATAAAATAAAAAAAAAAAAAAANAAAAAAAAAAAAAAAGTAAATACCGCCGCCCTGCCCATGCATGCTATTTAATTTACCTACCGCCTGTATTACCTTATAATTATAATAATAATAAACTTTAATATTATTATAGCTAGGCTAGCTGTTATAGCCCGTGTTATAGCCCTTATAATAAATAACCTTACTAATAAAGCTAGTTTTAAAAGTATTAAATATAATAATAATAATAAGTAAGTAATTTTTTTTAGTTTGTTTTTCCTAGGGCTAGACCCTAGTAATAAAAAAATTTAAATTTACTATAATTTATTAAGTATAGTTAACTATAAATATTATTAAAAATAGCTTGTATAAACTATAGGCAAAGATTTAGTATTTAAAGGCAAGTATTTAATAAAGTATTAATATTATTTTAATTTATTAACACCTCTTGTTTAACTTTAAACTAATAAAATTAACTACTTAATAATTTTAAAAGCCTTATTTAAAGCGTGTTATTATAGTTTATAGCCTGTTAATTAAATACTATAGCCTTATTTTATTATTATTTAAGTTATATTTTACTTTTAATAAGTAATAAATAGTTATTATCTTATTTATTTTTATAATACCTAAAACTTAATTTTATAATACTAAGCTATATACTAATATGGCTACTTCCTAGGATTAAACTTAATTATATTATTTTTTTAATATATTATTATAAAAAATAATTTATAATTATATTATTTATTATATTTTTATACTTTATTATAAAACTATTGCCCGGCGCGCTAGCCGCGTAGTATATTATAAATTATATTAAGGCTATAGGTAATTATTATTAGTAAGTACTAGCTAAGATATTATTAGTATAAAAGCTAAAGTTATAGGTTAAGCGCCTAAAGGCCACCTTTATATTACCTAGTAATATAAAGGTAATTATAGTATAAATTATTAAAAAGCACCTTTTTACGCCCTGTGTTTAGTGCATGGGAGAAAATAAATTATTTATAAGTTATATTATTATTAACAGGTTATTATCTAGCGCCTGTGCTAACTATTATTATACCTTAAAAAGTAAATATTATAATTATTATAATAAGTATTCTAATTAATAGTTTATAAAGCTAGTAATTAATTATAATAACCTAAAAACTAATATTAAAAATATTACTGCCGCCGCCTGTGCTATAAAAAAAAAAAATATATAAAAATAAAAAAAAAAAAGAAAATAATAACCATGCTATAAAGTAGTTATAATACTACCTAGTAAATAGCTAAGTATTTACTTAAATATTAACTCTTGCTTAATTATAAACCCGCGGCCGTGTTAAGTAGCTTTATAACTTATTTAATATAATAATTACTTAAAAAAACATGTTTGCCGCCGCCTAAAAGGCATTTACTAAGACATGCCTTAGTATTATAACTAAGTTTATAAAAAAAGCGGGTTTACTAGTAAATAAAAAAAAAGGTGGGGATAAGTTCCCTGGTTTATTAAATAAGTTTAATAAAAAGTTATTAAAAAATAATTAATATTTATGGGGCCAGACCCTAATTAATAAAGCTAGTTTAAACTATTATTTTATTTTTAAATTTATACTTATGTTATTATTGCTCTTGTAATAAAAAATATTATTTATAATTATAATAAATATATATTAGTAGCGCCTTAAATAACCATTTTTATGCCTTTATTTTTTAGTGTTAGACAGGCCGCTAACTAACTAGTTATAATTAAAAGGTTTTTTAAATAATAGTTTTTTAAGTAATTATACACGTGATATAGCCACGTATATAAAACCTAGTAAGAATTTTTTATATATAATAAAATTTAAAATAGCCTGCTTAATAATAACGCCCTAAACCTTATAAATTATTATTATATATACTAGTATAGCTAAAAACTATATATAAGTATAAATAGCGCCGTGGTGGTAAAAATCTTACCTTATATAAAAAATTAATACTATATTACAGCTATTATTTTTTTTAGCATGTAAATTATTATACTAGTTAAAAGCTATTATTAAAGCAAGCGGCACCTTTTAAGTGGGATTTATAGTTTTTAATAGCTATATAATATTTATTAACATGCCTATAGCACTATTTATAAAACCCCTTTTTATTTAAATATTTTATATTAGTATAATATAATAGCTAAAAAAAATTATAAGCTTTTTAGCTAGGTTTTTAGCCTGGTTTATTTTTATAATTATAGTACTAAATTTAATATAATTAGCCTATAAAATAATTACAGGCTTATTAAAGTTTAACACATGGTTATAATTATACTAGTATATATTATTTTTTTTTTTATATATATAAATTATATTTATAAAGGCATTACTCTTACCTATAGGTAACTTAGCCTGCACTTGCGTTATAAAAAGCTTTTAGTTTTTTATTATAATAATATTTTTTTTTAAGTACTTTAGTATAAAAATAAATACATAAGCTATTTAGGAGCTTGTGGTCTAGTAATAAATAATATTTAGCTTAATAATAAGGTTAAATTAATTATATAAATACTAACCAGCCTTTTTCTTCTTATTTATAAGTAAAAACATGGCCTTAAAAAAAGGTCTCTAGCTAATTAAAGGCAGCTAGTAAAAATCCCTAGCTAGGATAATATTTAAGTTATTAAAAAATTTAGCTTTATAATTTAGGAAGATCTTATAATATTATTAGTTAATATAATATAGTTATTTTAAACCTATTATAAATTTTTTATTAATAATTAAATATAACACGCCGCAAAAACTTGCCTGCAAGGCTAATAATACTAAAGGCTATAGGTAATTATAACCCCTCTTGCCTTTTAATATAACTAGTAATTAAAATAGTAAGTATAAGATTTAGCCACTAATATTATATATAGTAATACTAGTTAAAGCAGCCTGTATAATAATAAAGGTTTTATAATTATTAATATAAAAAGCTATATATTTTAGGGTTATAAATAATAAGCTAATAATATAAAATTTACTAGTACTAGCCTTGCCATTTAAATTAATTAATAATTACCTTAGTAAGGGTAATAAATATATAAAAATAAACTATTACTTATTACTAGTATAAAGGACTAGTAAACCGCGCGACTATAAGATACTTTTATAATATTTAATTATAATATTATATAGCTGGTGTTGCTTAACCTTTAGGCTATTTAAATAAGCTAATAAATAAGTTAATATATTTACTAGGTAATTTACCTTTACTAAATCCTAAAATTTTAAACTAAAACCAGGTTTTTTTACATGCTAAGTTTAG